GGACGCCGTGTGCCGTCAGAGCGCCCCCGACCTCATCCTAGGCCCTGCGGGGTGTTTGGATTATTTACTGATGATGCTTTCTTTTTCTTTTTCTTTTTTTTTTTTTTTTTTGGCGCGTATCTTTGCGTCCGTGTTTTAACAACCCACAAGATACCTCTCGGCAAGGACATCATCTTTCCCCAGACTCAGACTCTCGTATCGATCCAGCATATCAGAGAGTCCAAGCCCAGGATAATCCTGCAAGCCACCGCCAATGCCACGATATTTGTCTTTCTGATTCAATTTCTCCAATCCCTCGGCATATTCATCAAATCGATGACAGCCCTTACTGGCGGAATCTTCATCAAAAAGATCCTTCAATTCATCGGGAATCTCAGACCCGCGAATCCGATACCCCTGCGCCTTCCCGCGCACCGACTGCCGGAAAATATGGAACAGATTCCTTCCAAGCGCTGATCGACTCGCAACGACGGAGAAGGCACTCACGAGCGTGAGGAAATCCTCATCCAGCACGTCAAAAGACTCTTGCTCGAGCATGGTGAAAAGCGCAAGGTTGATCGCGTACATGGCGAAATGATGCGCGCGACTGATTCCGAATTCCCGTCTGTGGAGCCGAGTCAAGGATGCAATTCCTCGTGCCGCACTGCTCGTTACTTCCCACGCGTTGTATTTCAGGTCTGGGGTATGGCGGGATGGGCTTTCAGGGGTATTGGGCTCGAAGGAGGGGTCTGCGGAGATACAGCTGAAAAGGTTGATGATGAGGGTGTTATATCGCATTCTGTGAGTGTGAGGTTGCGTTCTCTAACAGGGGTAAGGATGATTTACTTGAGTAAGATGATGTGTGGAGCCGGTCTGTATCGCACATCGAAGTCTTCGGGCAGTAGTGCGTGCCAGTGACGGAGGCGATCGTAGAGAGCCTCACGGCTCTGGAGGTGAACCGGGCCCAAAGCTGCACTGACTCGGTGATCTGCGAACATGCTGCGCGAGATATCTCGCGCAATCGTCGACAGGCCGCATGCTTCGTCAAAGTACGAGGCGAGGAACGATGGACGAGCCTCGCGATGCGTAGGGTATGGGCTCCATAAAGACTGATCTTCGATTGGGCTTCGAGAGACGCGAGCCATATTGACATGATCGATGAGACTAGGGCGTAGGAAACCCGTGTGGACGATTCTATGGATGTTAACCTTGAACCTCTTGCGCTGACTCTTTGATCGAGCTACTTACGTGTCGACGTTGAAAAGACCCCATGCCGTTCGCTTGCATGAAATTTCCATGTCCTGCGATAGTTCGCCAGAAGCCATGCGAGGACCTGTGCTACCGACCAGACCCAGAGATTCTCCCATTCGAATGGCCTGGTGGAGCATGATATATCCCAGATCATCTTCTCTCGACATTGCATATCTCCATGTGTCAGCTTACACCAATGCCTCAAATACAGGCTACAGACCTTTCATATAGAAGCAGTGCTCCCTGCAATCCCGCCAAGCTAGGCTGGGAGGAGCCCTCCTTCTTCAGTCTCTCTGCCTCAGCCAGAAAGTCACTCCCCTTAGACGAGATATCCCCAGGGACAACGTATGCCTCGGAAAACTCCGAGAAGTACTGCAAAGCATCAGTCCAAAGTCGAGCTTGGAACATCCCTAGTATATAAACTCACGCAAGCATTGCTCAATACCGCATTGACCAAAAACGGACTACAAAACTCACTTCCAATCTCGCCGCGCCTCATGTGTTTCAGAAACACATCCTTGTCGAGGAATGTACTGAACGGCCAATTCCAAGCAAAATACAATGACACGAGATGCGACACCAAGTCCCCATCGGCAGTCACATTCGTCCAAGGCTCTGCGGGAACTGTACAAGGCGCATCATCACACAGGTAATGGATATCCATGACCTTTCTTCTGAATGCAGGCGTCGACCCTTCCACATTGAGAAGATGTCGCATATCCTCGAGCTTAGTGATCGTCTGCTCTTTCTTTGGGGTGTCATCATTGCGATTGAGCGAGTGCAGAGTGTCATTGATGTAAGCTCTGATCTCGTCAGCGGGGGCATTATGCCGAATAATAGTTAGGAGGTGCAGGGCGTGGGATTCATTTGCTTCGCGGACTAGCTTGAAGACATCTGCTAGGAAGTCGCGGTGGTAGGAGAGTTCGTCTGCTGTACGCTTTGCGGCGACCCGACGACGCTGGTCTCAGGATTCGTCGAAGATGCAGACTCGTTTGAAGGTTTGACAGTTTGCGCAAGGTGATGTACCGCTGCACTGGTCGTTGTTAGACTTGGACTCGAAGTAGATGTTGATGCCGGTGTCTGGAGATGGATCTGGCTGACCTTTCGTTTTGATTTCTTACAAGCCAAACAGGCAGTTGAAACTCTTTTCTTCCAGGTCCCTTTTTCGGGTGGGGGGCTGTGCTCAAGCTCGTCGTTCTCTTGGTCGTCAGAGATGGGGGAGGAGCCTGGTACCAGTTGGCGGTATTGGTCGCTCATGACAGTATATCGCTGTTATGTATGGAATTGAAGCAAAAGTTGAAATATGAACAGTCAGACACGATATGTACTGGATGAGATATACAAAACAAAGACGAAACCCTGTACAGATCAACGCATGCCGAAGGTAAATCCTGTTTCGATTGGAAAAAACCCTGAGGCTTTTCGCTTTACCCTAAGTATACTGGTTTGCCCGCGGGTGACGTGGGTTGAGATCATATGGAACTCCTGCCCGCCTATCGGCTATGCCGTTGATTTGCCTGAGCTGCCATATAGACATGCTATATCGACTATGATGGGCTCGAGCATAGTTCCGTTGATTTTCTGCCGGTTTTCTTAGGTGTATACGGAAGGATCCATGATTATGGAGCTGTGCCAAGCCAAAAGTGCATTGCGATCTGAAGACAGTACTTGGGGAATTCAAAAAGGCCCATGACCAGATAAAGAAAGGAAAAAAGACGCTGGATTATTTGTAATGTAATACAAGTACTTCTTTTGCATACTCCGGATGGAGTCCATAGGGAATGCAACTCCGAGCACAACAGGATTCTAAACAGACCGAAACATCTAGTGCTCCAGAATTCTCAGGCTACCCTGCACAACGCAGTTCTCGAGCACGGATCCAGGGGGGATATCAATGGTGCTGCCCTCGGAGGCAACAATGATAACGGTACCCTTGAGGGTCACGTTGCGACCCAGGTTCACAGGACCGGTGACGGTCAAGTGATCCAGCTCGACGATGCGGGGAATGCTGGCAATGCGCTTCTGGAAGTCGGAGACCTTCTTGAAGTCAGAGCCCAGCTTGATGACGGGGACACCACCGAAACGGTTGGGGTCCATGACCAGCTGGCCGTGCTCGAGGCGGTACAGGTCAGACTTGACGACCATCAGGTCGGAGCAGGTCTTGACGGGCAAGAAGCGACGACGGGGCACGTTGACACCGTGGGCGTTCTTGAAGTGACGAATGGCGGCACCAACGGCGGTCTCCAGCTGGTAGATGGCCTGGTCGGCCTCGCCCTTCTTATCGGCGGGGATGGACTTCTCGTTGGGGATGATCTCCATCTCGAGCTCGTTCTCCTCGACCACACGCTTGATGGCCTGGACGTTGAGCCAGATGTTGTTGGTGTTGAAGTACTTGAACTTCTTGATAGACTTGAACTCGTTGACGTGCTCCTTGGGGACCTGGGCAATCTCGAGGAGACGGACCTTGCCGTCGGAGTCAATGATGGTACCACCCTTGACATCGGCCTTGGTCTTATCGGTCAACTCCATGATGTACTCGGACTTGGTGTCAGCCATGTGCTGCAGGATGCGGAGGTCGACAACGGCGCCGAGGTTGTCAGCGTTGGAGAGGAAGATGTACTCGATGCCACGCTCGATCAGCTTGTCGAGAGTGCCAGAGTTGTAGAGGGACTCGAAAACATCACCGTGACCGGGAGGGTACCAGTCCTGGAGGGGAGAGTCGAAGCTCTTGGGGGCGGGGAGGAGGGAGTCCTTGATGATACGTGGGTAGCGGGACTGGTTGAAGGTGATGATGTCGACGTTGTGGCCCTCGTACTTCTTGATGATGGACTGGGTGTCCTGGTCGGTGTTGAAGGAGTTCATGAGAACGAAAGGCACGTTCACATCGAAGGTGCGGTTGAGGTGCTCAATCTGGCGCACGGAGAGATCGAGGAAGGACATGCCCTCACGGACCTCAATGACGGACTTGGGTCCGACACAACCCATGGAGGTACCGAGACCACCGTTGAGCTTGACCACGGCCAGCTTGTTCAGGAACTCGACGGAGGCATCAGCACCGAGCTCGTCGTAGCCGACGACCTGGGAGGGCTGGGGCGGGGCAATGCGGTCCCAGTTGACGGCGTTGCCCTTGGCCTTGTCGTTCAGGAAACGGCGGAACAGGGCGAAGAAGTTATCCATCTCAGCCTCGAAACGCTTCTTCTCGCTGGGGTCGGTGACGCTGTCGCCGAGGGCGTTGAGCGCATTGCGCATCTGGGAGGCAGCGACGCTAGTGGACGCATTCTCGAATGCCTGATTGGAGGTGAAACGGGTCAGTTCCGGGCCAAAGGTTGGTTTGAGGGTCGCCATAGTGGAAAATCGAGAGCAAGACAGGAGAGGGCAGAGAGACGAAAGCCAAGTAAACAAAGCTTAAACTTCAAGAGGGGCAGGAACGGCAACGGCAGGAGCAGGATTCACCGCTTACCATGTGTGATTGAGACTTGCCATGGTGTTTTCCACCGAAGCTCTCATCGGCAGGAGCTCGAAGGTGAACAGGAAGTGCCTTGGAGGCCATTATGAATTATGATATCTGGGCTGTTAGCAGGTGGAATACGCGGGAGGGAGGGATCGCATACCAAGATTTCCAAAGAAAAAGAGATACCGACCGAAGAGGGGGAGAAGGAGGGATCTTAAGTGTTCAGAAACAAGGAAAAAGGGAGAGGGCCGATCTCCAAAGTGGGGGGGGTCCCCGTGTTATATGAGGTATTCGGTACATAAGACATAAGACATACGAAGTCTTAGTTACTTATCATATTACGGGCTTATTTCCTACAGCCCTGGAGCTTCTCTAAGACCGGTGGCAAACCAGTTACCGCGGTGTGTCGTCAACGGGCCCGACATGAGGGAGAGCAGTACTCTGTACCATCTGTGCCATTGCAATCTCAACTGTGAACGGTCTACACTATCAACATTCCCACCTAAACCCCCCCAAATACCCGGATTCGGAAGTGGAGGACACACCGTTGAGCGTTAAGATGCAATCCAGACCGTCAGCCCCTTTTTCTCGCTCCGATTTGTATTTGCTACTGCCCCACCTCCCTGAGCTCCGATTTATCCTCTTCCGGGTTTCACTTAGGAGTTTCAAGAGTATTATAATGGCATTTAAGCCATACTATGGGAATGTTATTATGAGTTTACTACTGTATGTTCAACGGAGACGGTAAACTGTTATCTTCGGCCACGGGCCGACCACGTTCGGGAGTGATTCGTTGCTGGAATGCCAGCCATGCTGTGGTATGTGCGCGATATCCAAATGGTTTAAAATATTCTAGCGTTGCGTACACGGCTATACCGTTCACCTGACTCGTATGTACCACCATCTCTGCTGAATCCTGAACTAGTATACTCGGCCTCGTTGTATAGCTACTCTCCTGTACCTAATTTTATACCCTTCACGTCTGAAACTATTCCTCCCAAGAGTGGAACGGCAGAAATTATTACTCCACAAATCAATCCCTTAATGTTCCACGGATCTGTAATTGCTAAAAATACCAGCTCTTTTCCAGAAGAATTCGAATTAATACAAACCCCTCATGCACGGCCCGAGCTTCGCGTTGCGGGACGATCACTCTTGGGACTTGGGCTGTGCGACAGTTTCACTTACAATTGGCTCTGGGTGAAGGCCCTGGGAATGTATGTACTCCGTACTTGGTAGAGCTTCGCATTGGCCCCTTTCAGATTCCAAGGTGAGACATCGGTGAATCGATGCCAGTGGCGTTACTATTGATTCGCCTAGTTCGAGGGTCGTGCTAAATTTACTTCAGATCATAAATATGGACATTTGAATTCAACCAAAAAAAGAGAAATGGTAGATAAAAAAAATATAAAGGATATCGTCATAAAACACCAACAGTTCATATTTTCATAGACCCTGGCGGGCGGCCAGGGCAGATCAGGATCACTGGGACCACTCAGAGAATGGATCAGGCCCCACTGACACTGCGCTTGCTCAAGAAACTGCGGCGAGGCATCTTCCGGGAATCGGGACTCTCAGAACCATCCCCTTCAGCAGCCGTAGACCCCGAAGTCGTAGGTCGCAAGCTGGATTCCGAAGGCGCGAAGCTGGACCGAAGAGTGACAACACCAGCGCCGACGGTGACGACCTTGTCCTGGCCGGCAATGGAGCCCTGGTCATCAACGAAGAACAGGGCATCACCAAGGACCTCATCGGATCCAAAGGTGGCGTGGTCGACGACGCGAATCTGGTACTGGGCGTCGGCAGTGGTGTTGGGCACCCGGAATGCTTCGTCGTAGTTGACTGTGCCAGAGGAGTTCTTGTGGGTCTTGGACTTGTGCACCTCTTTTGCGCCCTTGGGACCAACGACGCGGATGGTCACGCGCAGGTTGGCGTTGGTAGGGAAGTTGGCGGCTGAGACCAGGCTGATGTTGGCGACACCCTTCTCTCCAGACGCGGATCCGATGACGCTGAGGCGGTCACCGTACTGCGAGGCGTTGCTGCGGTTGCGAGAGTGCTCCCTCTGCGGGGTGTTGGGAGCGGAGTCGGCGATCGAGGCGCTCGGGGCGAGACGATCTTTATCCTCTTCGGCAATTGAAGAGGCGTCCTCGTTCTTGTCCTTGCCGAATCGAGACATGATGCCATGCTTGACGAACGAGGCACCGCGGACAACGTTGCCACCGACGAAGCCGACACCCTTCACGGGAGCTCCGACAATCTTGCCGGGCACAGCGAAGGTGCCGGAGAAGGTGGAGGAGCCTTGGCGGGAGCGAATAACGTAGCTAGGTTTGAAGAGAAGCTTCAGGCGGATAACGCCTGACTTGCCATTCAGAGGAAGTGTGACTTCCTTCCCGACGAAGGGCTCCAGGTCTTCCAGGTCGATAGGGCTTGCGCCAAGCCAATCAGCCGAGTCACCAAAGTCCCAGTCCCAGACATCAACGTGGAAGTTGGCGCCAATGCGAGATTTGATAGGGGTCTCAAAGAATTCGTTCCAGGCAGGGTGGAGCGTCTTCTTCTGAACCTTGGTCTTGTGAACGGTCTCCTCACCCAGACGGAACTTACAGTACGGGTCGGAGAAGCCGTTGCGGTCGGCAGCGGGGAGTTCGGCAGCATCGAGAACATCGACACGGAGCGTACCCATGTTGTTGATGCTCTCCATGGGGTCGAGCTTCATCTGGGTGGGGATGTAACGAGCGCTGACGGTAACCTTGCTGACTTCGCCATCAGTGGAGCGCAGAACCAGCTCGGTGGGGGTATATAGCATGCGCATGAGTGTTGGCAGAGTATCACCAGTCAGCTTGGCAACAGTGTGCTCCTCGCTGGAGTCCTTGGGGTCGTCCTTCTTGACGAGACGCAGGGTAATCTTGGAGAACTCGAGCTCGCGAACGAAAGCCTCACCGACGTCAGTGAACTTGGCGGTCGTAGTGTGGATCTTGGATGAGACGTATGCAGGGAACATGTAGTCATCCATCAAGACTTCAAGCTGCACGTGGGCATGTGCCAGCTGACCTTCATGGAACTTGAACACGATGAAACCAGATTCTACAGAGAGTTAGTTTCGAATAGATCAAAACAGTGATTGGCACATACCATATTTCTCGAGATCATCAGCACTGACGAAAGTGCGGGGAATCGATTTGATTGATCGAACAGACGCAGTTTCAGACTGAGGTCCAGTCACTGGACGAGATCCATTGGTCTCTAGGCTTGTGCGGCCATTGGTGGTAGGCTCATCATTACCATTAGTGCCGTTGGGGGCAGTACCATTGGACAACGCCTTAGATGCCTTGGAAGCCTTTGAGTCAACACTCGCAGACTTCGTGTGCAGTGTCTTGGGGCGAGATTCCATGCTCTTGCGGAAGTCAACAGAGTCGGGACCAGGGGTACCGGGGACCTCCTCCTCTTCTTCCTCCTCTGCCTCATCCTCGGGGTTGACAACAGGCACAGACGGGAAGAAGGCCACATCGTAGTGAAGCTCTCCCTTCTTAGCGCCACCGCTGATACTCAAGGAGCTAGTAATGGCCTGCTTCTCATCATCGATCTCATACTCGCCGTTTTCGTTTTCGCGCACAAAGTCCGAGGCATTCAGATCGCACCAGCCAAGAGTTCGGTCCTTGTTGATGGTTTCTTCATCCATTACCTCGACAGTAAGCTTCTCGCGGGCGCTACGAACAGGCACGTACACTACTTCATCCCACTCGGGGTTGAGGTTGTTCCGGAAGGTAACGGTTCGGCCACGAGTCATACCAGAAAGCAGCACACGAGCGTAGGGGTCGGACTTGCCCATTGCCTCAAGATTGCGCAGGTCTGTTGCACGCTTGAAGTGGAAGCGCATGACACCAATGGGGTCGATGTAGCCAGCGCTGCCGACACCACCGAGAGCAACAGGCTTCCAGTTCAGAGTCATTTTGGCACGACCATCCTTAGCACCGTGGAGGTGGAACCATTGCTGGCCACGTTCCATCATCTTGATCATGTCGTTCATCTTAATCTGATAGCGGCCGATGATGGGATCCCTGCTAATATCGCGGTCGTCCTTGATAATCAGACCCAGCTTGGCGTTCTTGCGGTCAGTAACCAGGAACTCCTTGGAGGCATTCTGGAAGATAGGGTTGTTGGTGCGTTTCAGCTTATTCGTGATGTGGATTTCCTTTCCGTTGAGAAGCAGGACACCGTACGGGTTTAGTTTGCCAACCATACTTCTGCTTCCATCAAGATCCTTGGCCTGCTCGATGGTGAATTGTGCGATACCGGTGTTGAGCTCGGGGGCAGGTTCAGCCTCGCCGGCCTCATTCTTGCGACCTTCGAGAACGGGGAAGAAGCGGATATCAGCCTGGATAGCACCACGGTGGCGGCCACTGGCCTGCACTTCCAGGTAAATGCCCTCGTGAGAAGGCTCCTGTTCAAGTTTGTCCAAAGCGAAGCTAGCTGTACCCATTTCCTTATCCTTGCGGAATTCATTCCAGTCATATGCAGCGATTGACAAAGCATCCGCAAAAGAAGTAATAATGACATAAATGGTTTCGTTCCAACGGGGACTGTCCGTGTCGTGCATAATCTTGGTGCGACCGAGCTCATTGCGGTTGTTCAGAGACACCACGGCATAGGGATCAGGTGTACCAGAGAACTTGTCCGGGTTCTTAAGCTGGTGAGCACCGTGCAGAGTAATGGCCACAACACCAATAGCTTGGTCAACGGGGTTTCCAGCAAGCATCTTGGCAATTTCGATAGGGAAGACGTTCGGGTCGTACATCATGGGCTGCAAGTTGGCGTGGATCTGATCCTTGATGAAGGTCTCTAGGCCGGGAATGATGTTGATATCGAATCCGAGGTGATCACCACCAAGAGGCTTGCACACGTAGTCGAGTTCGGGCGCATCCAAGAAGCAGACATCCACGCGCTCGATGTGAGGGAAGGGGATCTGGAGCTTGACCTTCACGCGCATGAGGCCCGAGCAAGCCATGTCCTCGACAATGACGTCCAGGCCTTTGCTGAGCACGCCCTTTCCAAGACGAACCTCAAGCACTACCTTGGGGTTGATCTTATCCTTCATCTGGCGAGCAGTCAAGTCCATGTTGTCATTGGGGGTGAAGCTGAACTTCCAGTCCATGATCACAGTATCAGGCTCGGTCTTGGGGTATGTCTTGACATGCTCCAGGCGAGGAGGCTTGCTTCCGAGGACGAAGGTCTTCAAGCGCAAGCTATCCAGGAACGCCGGGGTAGATGTGCTGAGAACCTGGTCGACGGAGTTGATGATGGTATCACAGAGGACCGGGGCATAGATAGGCCAAAATTTGACCAGGAAGCTGTTAATCCACTCCAAACTCTCAGTGTCCGTCTCGAGGCGCGCCTTGGACATTTCGCGGCTAATATCATCACGGAAGTTACGGCGCACACGTCGAATGGACGTCCTGTAGTACGTGCTGCAAGTTGCCATGATCAGCAGAACCCAACCGATACCACCGCCCACGACCGCAATCAGCCATGAGGCAAGACAAGCGAAGATGATGATACCCGCATTGTGGTACCAGTCACCGAAGAACTTGTCAGGAATTCTTCCTTCCAGGAAGGTCTGGTGGTCCAGTAACGTGCCCTCGTCGTCATCACCCTCCAGCTTCTCAGTGACAAACTTTGGAGCCCAGCCTGTTCGATCGCGCGCCCATCGGAGGTCATCGTCGACTGGCTTTCCTTCCTCGGCTTTCGTGGCTTCGTCGGCCATAATGGCGGTCGCGGATTGCGGCGGTGGTAGGTCATAGTCTGCTTTCCCATCATCCTGCAACCGTTAGCTACCAGGCCGCGGTCGCGGAGCTGCGGTTCTCTTACCTTGTCTGTGATCACCGCGATGCCCTTGGGCTTGCGCGGGTGGTGGAAATCAGGCGGCAGCCGCTAAATCCGACGGGTTAGCCGATGCCTTTGCGGGCGCTTGGGATACTCACCCCTTTGGCGGCATTTGCCTTGTCCTCTGGTGAAGCGTCGGGGTCGAATTGGTATGCGGCGACGCCAGCTTCTTGGGCGTCGTCGACGACCTTCTGTTCGACTGTATCTGGATTGACATTGGATTTCGGGTCTTCGTGCAGCTCCTGGGCTGTCTCGACGGCACCCTCAATCTTATGCTCCGTCTTCTCCGCGTCGGCAGACGCCATGTCGCCAATTGTGTGTAATTCCGAACCGAGGGTGAATTGGAGGATCGGGTAGGAGGGGAAAGGCGCTTACACCGTAAGCTGCTGCGTACCCGCCGGGAAGTAAGGTGATCGCAGTGTAGGTGCAAAGGGAAGGTTGAGGGGTACAGAGTACAAAGCCAACAGGTACCGAGAAAGAGGAGAAATGTGGACCGATCAGCTCCCAGCCGCTTGCGTCAAGGGGAAGTGTGGCTGGTATGACGCTGACAATTAATTTACATTCGTATCATATCAGATAATAAATTACGCACAAAAAGGGGAGATCGTGAAGCTCCGGTCGATCGAAGATCAGTGACGTACTACCAGACGATCCCGTTTGGTTGACACTTTTCTCTGCGCTGCCGAGTTACCTCTTCTCTACCAGTAGACCTACAGAGGTAGGTAGTACTACAGCATGCCGACTCAATCTCACTGCTGGCCAATTCGCGCTCTATTCCTCTCCCAGCCATGGCGCCAATTGCAATTAAATAGATTCCGAGCACCGCCACAGCCCCGGCGGATATGATTCCACTCCTCCTTCATTGGCGCTGGAACGGTGGGGAATGTCTGTATTTTCCCGTCTCTCACTGGACCATTGCCCTCGAGCGAGGGCGCTTTACTCCATACAGCCCTACAAGATATCCCGGTCTCTAGGCATTCTAGGCAACGAGATAGCTTCAATTTACCATACTGCGTACTCCGTACTGGGCACTCCGAATCACATTACATCTCGCACCAGTACTAGTACACGTGTCATGCAGCCATCGTCAATTCAATAACCCTGTCAATCGCACACTATCGACTTGAACCCGCCCACCTACACCCGATCCGGTGGATCGTCCAAGGGCTAGCAAACCCACAGCTCTGTAAAACCCGAGGTAAACCTTACTCTCTGGGATCTATCACATCCTGTCGGGAGGTTAATTCCACGGCAGCTCGTGTTACACCGGACGAAACCTGGAATGGTGAGTGTTCGGTTAGATCTGCGTTCGTGCAGCTTTTTCTATTTTCTCGTCCGAATTCCCTCAGCTTTCGGCTTTTTGCTTTTCGTTTTTTGTTTTCTGCTTTTCTACCTTTTTTTTTTATCTCCACCTGAAGGAGTTGTGGGTCACGATTGAAGGCTGGGACGTTCGTGGTAATGTCGGCCGAACGTCGGGGTCGTACAGACCTCTACTGTACTCGTAACTCTGTGCTGCTTGATACTTGATGCTTCAATTGCAATGCAAACTAATACGAATGTTACGGGATCTTGGTGGAAACATACCCAGGAAAATGTGAAAAGGCTAACTAGAAGATAATTTTGGCATAGACAAAAACTACATATATGGGTAAAGATATCTCGTGTCAAGTCGTGTCCGGACATCAAATCCTTGAATCGTCAGATCCAATCAATTACCTCCCCATGCGGATGACACCAGCAGCCATCAGCTTCTGGATCTTCATCCGAACCTGCGAGTTCTTCATGTGTTCCTGCAGGGCCGCGGGGTCGCTCTTGGCCTGCTGGAGGATGCTCTGCATGACGGGGTCCTGAAGGACGGACATGATCTCGGGGTCGTTCTGGATGCGGGCCATGGTCTGCTCCTCGGTCTCACCGGCACGGGCGCTGAACTGCGCATCCAGACACTTCTGCTGCTGCTGCTCAATCTCGCGGGCGTGCTTGCCATCGTCTTGCTCGGCGGCCTCGGTGAAGGTGTCCAGAGCACGGTTGTACTCCTTCATCGCGATCAGGGCGGTACCCTTGCGCATGTACGCGCGGATGAACTTGGGGTCGAGCTTGATGGCCTCGTCGCAGTCCTGAACGGCACCGGGGAAGGCCATCAGCTTGATGAGAGCGGCGGCACGGTTGGAGTAGCCGCGGGGGTCGGTGGGGGCGCGCTTGGTCATCTCGGTGAAGGCGTCAACGGCCGCGGGCCAGGCACCCTCCTGGAACTTCTGCTGGCCGAGCTCACGGGCCTTCTCGGCCTCGGCAGGGTCCATGTAAGCGTTCTTCTCGGCAGTGCTCTTGGTCTTCTCGGCGTTACGGAGTTTAGTCAGGGCGTCGGGGGTGCGGTGCTCCATGAGGGACTTGTTGTAGAAATCAATGGCCTTGGTCAGGTCGTTGAGCTTCTCGTAGGCGGTACCAATACGAGTGTAAGCCTTGGCCATCAACTTGAAGTCGGCGCGCAGGTCGCGGCCCTCCTCAATGGCCTTTTGGCAGGTCTCGATAGTGCCCTGGTAGTCACCCTTCTCGAACTTAGCCGCACCAAGGTTGTTCAGGTAAGTGATGTCCTTGTTGAGTTCCCAGGCCTTGGAGTAGTGCTCAATAGCCTCGTCAAGCTGCTTCTTCTTATAGAAATCGTTACCGATCTTCTTCTCGGCATCACCCGCTTCCTGGGCCTTCTTCTTGGCGATGGCCTCCTCATCTTCAGGCTCGGGCTCCGGTGTGGGGGCCTTCTTGGGCTGCGAAGCGCTAGGCTTGGATTCGGGAACTGGGGGCTCAGCACCCTCACCGCCGAAGTTCATATCAATACCGAGAAGCACGCTCATGACCTGCAGGAAGCGAGGGTCACGGATCTCCTCGCCGACGCTGTTGGGGTTCTGCTGGATCTTCTGCAGCTTGGCCATGAATTCGGCATCTCCGAGGAGAGAAGAGGTCTTGGGGTTGTTGGCGAGCTTTTGGAGCAGGGCTGGGTCGTTGAACATGCCCCCGAGACCCCCGGTGGGGTCACCAGTGACACCGTCAGCGGTAGCCTCCGCATTGATGGCACGCTGAGTAGCCTCCAGGCCAGACTTGGCCTGGGCGTTACCGGGTTCGATCTTCAGGGCCTCATCGTAGGCGTCGAAAGCAGCCACTGTGATAAGTCAGTGCAAGGTCCAATGGATCATTCCTACTTTGGCATTGGTGTCACATACAGAGGTCTCCCAGACCACGCTGGGCAGCTCCCTTACGGACATGACCCTTGGACCAGTCGGGCTTGATTTCGATGGCCTTCTCGGCATCCTCGAGGGCCTTCTGGTATTCATGTTGCGCGGAGTAGACAGCGGAGCGGTTAGAGAAGAGGATATGGTTTTGGGGTTCGATGGCCAGAGCCTCAGAGAATTTCTCACTGGTCTTTGTTAGTTCTGCTCCGGAGTCAATATCAAAGGTGGGGTAGCGCGTACATAGCAGTAGGATAATCCTTAGCAGAGAAGGCCTTGTTGCCCTCTGCCTTCAAAGCGTCAGCCATGGTGTAATATGATGCTGAAAAAGTGTGGGATGTAGATCGGATTTAGACCACAAGAACCAGAGCAATCTGCGGTTATGAGCTCAGTCGGCCGGAGCTTCTCGAAATTTCCGTGATTCTCCAATCTGATGCCTAAGGCAAAAGTACTAAGAGCCTCAGGCGAATACTGACACCTGAGGCCATAACGCTGACAAGCTCCGCGGCGCTAAACTCGTTTAGGGCCCAGTCACTCCCCGCTGAGAAAAAGTCGCCAAAAAACATCGTTTGTGATTCATTCGTGACTCAAATTAGCCGACAGTGACGCACCATGCTTCCCTAACTCACTGCCTGGCTCTACCGTCCTCCCTCGAACATGAAAAACCACGAACCCCTACGAATGAACCCTGTCTTAGCCTGCTGATCTCTCCGTCGCATCTCCAACAATGCCCTCCGCCGCGGGGCCCAAAGTGGCCGAGCTCGCCTCTAAGCTCTACGATACATGCGTGAGCGAGTTCGATCCTGACCACTTGTTCTACCAGAATGACTTCCTCAATCTCAAAATCATCCCCGGGAACGACCTCGCACTTCTGCTCGAGTGCGCCCAGAGTCTGGTCGATCAAAATCTGTTCCGGCTTCTCCAGAAGGATGGAAAACTAACATGGCGACTCATTGACCGCGAAGATGCCGAGAAGTAGGTGCCACCAACAACCCCTGGGCCAAAGGAACCCTCAACTAACCCCTCGTCCCCTCCAGGCTCCGCAACCTCACACCCGACGAGGCCATGGTCTACAATGTCATCCATTCCACGGCACGAACAGGTATCTGGGTGCGCCACATTGGAACTCGTACGAATCTGCACAAATCTATCCTGGATCGCTGCCTCAAATCGCTCGAGGGAAAAAATTATATCAAATCTCTGCACAATGTCAAGTTCCCCAGCCGGAAGATGTACATGCTGGCTGGCCTGGCTCCAAGCGAGGAAGTCACCGGAGGAGCCTGGTTCACTGATGGTGTGCTCGATGCCAACTTCATCAGCACTGTCGCTGGCTTCATTGAATTCACCGTGAGCCGAAAAAGCTGGTACGAGGTTCCCGCCTCGGATCGCAAGAACAAGCGCATCAAAACCGCATCTGGAAAGGCAGATGTCAAAGAAGAAAAAGCTACCTACCTCCCCTACCCCCACGGCTACAAGGGCTATCCTACCGTTGAGACCATCACCGCCGCCGTCAACGAGAGCGGCATCACACCCGTCCGCCTGGGCGAAGAGAGCGTCGTCCAACTCCTCGAGATGCTCTGCTACGACAACAAGCTCGTTTCCATCGGTAATGGCGAGGTCTACAGATCCCTCCACAGCCCGGAAAAAATCAAAGAAAAACAAGCTCGGAAGCCGCCAATTGATGGCGACGACCTTGCCCTGGCCAACAAGCATCTTGTGAAGAACGGAATGACTGAAGCACCCTGTGGTCAATGTCCCGTGTTCCGGCTCTGCTCACCCGGCGGTGCCGTCAGTCCTGAAACATGCGAGTACTTCGACCCGTGGCTGAACAACGGACTTGGCTTTTAGTGAGTCACCTACGATTTTGGATTTCGGCGCACTGAACGTTCCTGTGTGCCAACACGTTTGCATGAAAACAAAAAGGAAAATATGTGTGCATAGCGATGGCGTTTACTTGATTTGCTTAGGCCGATGCTATCATTGGCTTGGTTTGCGGCATGGACATATGCAGGATCTGGGAAGGAAACTTGGATTCTTCCTTTGCTTCCTATTGCCGGGAAATGGAGCTAGTTTCGTCTAGAGATAGATGAATTCGAAATTTGCTCTGTTCAAATTCTGATTAAATTTGCAATCTTGTAGAAATTTCCACTGGTCAAAACGCCTCCCATAAAACGCCCCGGGTATACCATCGTAATCATAACTATTTTCCAAGAGTGCGTCGGCACTCGTCACAGTACCATGTCCCCACCGGTTCTCGGGTTAGGCCAACGCACTTCCAGTGGAACCACTCATAAGGACACTCGTCGTTATCGCAAGCCACCATGTCCCCATGGCTGACCGTGCGACAGGTACAATAGACCTTCGAGTCCTCATTTCCCTCATCCTCCTCGTCGTCATCGACATCGTCATCTGCCGCACCGTCACTCTTATCCGAATCTGAGGTATCGGCACTACTGAGCATGGAGTCATCGTCTTCATCTCCCTCGCCATTGGGCGACTTCTTTGATGCCTTGATCCGCCCACTACTGGAAGAGCGCTTGAGTGGCTTTCCGTTCGCAGACTTGAGTTTCTTAACTTGCTGATGCGGCGCCACCTTTTTAGTAAGTGCTTTCTTTATACCGATGCTGGTGCGGGGCCCTGCACTTCCAGCACGGCTTCCAGCCGGTGTACCAGGTTTAGGTGTCCCAGGACCAAGGGACGATTGGCGCAAATTCGACGAAGCGGCTGGAAGAGTACCGAGAGCAGGGTTTAAGCGACGGCGTTTAGAATCCACCGCTCCGGCGGACGATTCGCGTTGTCTTTGTTGCAGGTGTACGACAGCCGCAGCGGGTGTTGCGGGAGCAGAGCTTCGCGCTGTGGACTGAGCAATCTGTGCAGTGGAGCCGGGTGGGCGTGGTGTTGTGGATTGATTAAGGCGTTGCGCTGCAACCAGGATGGGATTCGTGCTTCCGGAGTTGGCGGTCATGGGTGTGGAGTAGGCGGGTGAATCGGAGGGCGTTGAGTCGGGGAAGAAGACCTTTGGCGGGTTGCGGTATTTGTTTTTGGAGTCGAATAATGATGGCAGAGGAGGGTCGTTTGTAAGAAGGCCTTCGTTGACTAGATCTCGAATGCGCACGTCAAGGCGCTTGATTTGTCGATCAAGAAGGACGCAGGCCTTCTCGCTCAATTGGATCTTTTCATTCTGTAATTCATGCGATTTGTCCATATTCTGAAGGATGGTCTTGCCATATGGCTCTTCTTTGGGATTCGGCGTGAGGCTGCCGTTCAGTTTGATGAACTTCTGGATGCTGCTGTCGCGGGAGTTGATGGTCGCCCGACACTCTTGCATGACTTTGTCCTTGGCTTGGATCTCCTCCATCAAATGGTTAATCTCAGCTGGAAGATTGGCGACATCGTGAACAAACTGTTCTAGAACAGTCGCGCAGTCCTCGGCTCCGTGTGCCATTTCCGCTGGTCGCAAGTCGGGGGCGGAGAATGAAGTTGTGATTCCGGTGCTGAAGGTATCAATGAAGCAGACTCAATCTAGACACCTCGTCTGTTCTTGGTCGTCCTTGGCCGATGTTCGATGGCCCGATGCGCGCCTGGCTTTAGTCGTGTTGATAAAAATGGTGTAGGGGGGTGAAGTCGGGTTCCAGGGTTCCAAAGTGACAGATGACTAATTGCTTTCGTTGCCAGGATCTGCAGGTGTCAACCGAACCACATCCTTTTAAGATTGAGCCCTAACTAACCTTGGAACTTCATTTCTGGAATTCACTTAAGCTGACACTAATTGGTCTGGGTGTGCTTGATATAAATCTTTTGGGTATGGAAATCATACCAGGATACTAGGCCTCCAGAGGTCGGGAATGCATTGAAATTAACTGATTCCCAGCTATGCTGCTGCTAGCTTCATAATTGATATACAGTAGCTACGGTGATACCGACTCGGAAGAAAAGATCAAGGAACGAAGTTTTAATCTTGCGTCTGGCGTCTCCTGCCTGGAGAGAGGGAAGGACAGAAGTAACGGGGCGAGACCCGACTAATTCTTCACTCGGATCTCTGCTACACCAGCAATTCGCTTGATGTCTTCAAACACATCCTCTGTGTGAGTGAAATTAGTGAATACCCCATGTTCTACACTAGACCATACCAATCCTAGGGGGGGTTTGGGCTTACTGGGTCGTCAGTTAAAACAATGGCACTGGGGTTCCTATATCAGAGATAAATCAGTGATCTTCCATGCATTGGAAAAGTCTCTACGCACAGGGCCATACCTAAACAGCTGTCTCAATTCATAATCGGCAATAGCCACCTGGTCACATATGGGGCTTTGGGATTACTCCCTGTCCGCGTCGCCTAATGGGATTGAACCCAATGTAAACAAATAATACTGGCGGTCTCACCACGCCGAAGGGTCTATTCTAGGTCTCAGAAGATCTTTTATTGTGTGATAACGTCAATGACCATGCTATTCAAATGTATCCGTACCCTAATAAGCATCACTCGACATTGAGGGTTTCTGTTGACGTTAATTCTCTCTTTCGCTCCTTTCTCACTGCCCATGCTTACACTCTGCCTTCAATTCTTTCTCACGCCTGCATGCTACCCGTGGACTTTAACCTTCTTCTCACATCTACATTCTACCTTCAATTCTTCCTCGCAACTTCATTCTACCTTCACCTTCTTCTCACATCCATATTCTACCTCCAACTGTCTGTAACCATTCCCCACGCGGTCATACTCTACAGGCAACAGGTGAGTACCTTTCATAGGTGCAAGAATTTGCAAAGGTAAGCATTCTGTGACTCCCTCGTTACCATTGAGTCCACCATGATAAGAGGATGCGAAGTATTCTTTCCGAAGCATTGATCCGCTTTCGAGTGACTACCTTCTCACGCGAACCACCTCGGTTTACATACCCAGCTCTAACAGTCTTCGGCCAATTCAGCAATCAAGATGTCAAGCCGCAATCCGAGGCTTAATATTCGTCCAAGAATGACCCCAGTCCCCGAAACGGATGCCATTTACTCGGTTTGGCCCAAAATACTAAAGACCATACTTCAAAGAGCCAAGCTACCCGGCCTGTCCGCGATTGCTTGTGTCAGATATGGCGAATCGGCAAGAACGACAGTTATCTTCATTGGGGACTCCGAAGAAGCCACCCAAAACCATATTAACCAGACTCGGAAGGGCCTCCGTGCTTATCTCGATCAGAAGAATCTGTCCCATGTCGACATTGCGTTCATTCGGGGCCGTACTCTTCGTGGAAGCTCAACGACAGGAGAACTTGACACAAAGATTTTCGACAACATTTCCATGATGGGCCAGAGCCTGGCAAATAAAGCTAACACTGTTACTTGCGGGACCCTTGGCGGCTTTTTTGAAGTTCGGCTTCAGGGATCTTCCAAATGGAAGACTGTTGCCATGACCTGTTGTCATGTGGTGATGCCCGAGATGGAGGCCGATGAGAAGTTCCTTCTCGATTACTGGTCGGCGAACAATATTTTTCCGAAGGGTCAGATGTCCCCAAAGCAGATGTTAGCGCACTGGCGTGACAACGGAATTCGCCCTGATGACCCGAACCGCAAGATGTTACAAGTCTGTCATCCCGCCGAGGCTACCATGAAGAAACACTTGGAGGAGATCACTCGCGAGCTGAATGTGTTCTCCGAGAACCCTGCATATCAAGCTACCGCCAGAGAGTATGCTGCAGGTCTTGGCGAGTTCAGGGGCAAGGCTCAGAAAGCATGGTATCGCCAGTTGAAGAACGAAGAGGACATGTACAAAGAAAAGGAAGCTGCCTGTCAAAGCTTTGTTGACAACATTGGAATCGACTTTGGTACAGTTTGGGCGGCGTCAGGGTTCAGACAAGGCAGCGCTCCCGCATCCAGCGCAGCGGGCACGCATCTTCAACATGAGCTCGATTGGGCGCTGATCGAGGTCTTAGACCATCGAATTCCCCGGTTTTTCGAGGTGAGTAAACAGGCTCGCATATAGCTTCACGCTTCATCGCAATCTTCATCGTGTCCATGAGTTTACCCAGAAACAGCTAAACTGACTTCTTGGTATTCAGACCCCCGACGGAAAGAGCCTCTCCACCCTCCCGCCACCTCCACCAGGCCTGTTTGCCGAGCCCTATGTCAAGGTTCCCGTTTACTTTTTCGGACAACGGACAGGAAAGAGGGGCAAAGGAATCTGTCATGGTTTGAAATGCGCAGTGGTTCTTGAGAGGGCCAACTTCCCCGATCCGGGGGTAGAACCCTCGTTTGAGCTCATAGCAACTGGCACTGGAGAAACCGGCCAGTTTTCTCTCTCTGGTGACTCTGGCTCGGTGGCACTAACTGGTGACTGGAACAACCCGGTGGTCCTTGGATTGGTCTGGGCTGGACAGGCCGCGGCCCACTATACCATGTTCACCCATATTGATCACGTCTACAGCGACATCAAAAAGCTCACAGGAGCGAAGGGGTTTCGCATTAAGATGTGACCAGCAGAGGAATTTCAAGTCACACTGGATGGATCCATGGATGCATTCCCGATGTCATGTGGGGGGGGGAACTTGGCTCTCCCGAGGTCTTTGCTTGAGTTCAGAACCTTGGAAGCTTCCAGAAAATCAATCTACTCTCCCTTCGCTTTCTGTGTATATTTATCGTACCTAGTAGCCTGACACGTACTGTAGTCTGCCTATATCCGAGGTTTAACCTCTTGCCGCGATTGTTTTAGCCAACAGTATCTAGTCAGGACTCCTAGAAGTGCTCAATTACGGTTTAAAGGGATTGTAAAATATGGGTTGCAGTCCATTTCTAATGGTGTTGCTTCAGGTATCTTCAGCCAAGCCATGTTTTCAGCCCAGTTGGCTTCTGTAGCAGTAATCAAATGGATCGAAACTCTCGGTGGATTTCGTGATCAAAACTGCTATGCGGGAGAGATCTCTTTCATCCAACACTGCCACCAGTTGTTCGCGAACAATGCGCCAGTCACGATCACTCCTGTAGTTCACTTTCAGAAAGACCGTCATGGCGCTTTCTTCCCCTGGAGATGGCACCATGCGGAAGAGATCCCAGCGTAGCGTGTCTTTAGGGTCAATCGCGCGCTTGAGGTCGACAAGAAGATCTGCAAATGGGATATCGCGGTCCTTTGCTGTGTTGAAAGCAAGACACGGGTACTTGCGAATCTCCGGGTCAAAGATCTCCACACTAAACCCAGTGAGATCCTTTTTCATGTCGCAATGATCATGGACCCATTTCCAGATCTCACGACAAGCCTCAATCCACGTACTATCCACAAATTTCCTGGAAGCCTCGAACACAAGAGTGGGGACGCCATCAAACCATCTGTAGGCTGCCCAGTTGTATGTCATGAATTTCATCGCTGTCGGATTAATATTGTACTTGTCCATGGTGGAAACAACCATTCGCAAAAATTCCCATGATTCATAGGCTTCCCGGAAAGGGTGATTGTTGGCTGGCTTGTGAGGCTTGCGATCGGTCTCATCGGAAAAGGGGAGAGGGCAAAGAAATGGGCCACCCGCGCGACCAGCTTCATTGATGAATCCGTCCGGTTCAACAAGCCACTTTCCGGGATCAAGATGGCTGTCACAGCTAGTTCGCACTCGATGGCCATTTCGGACAGGAGACGCATACGCGGCTGTGAATTGAGAGCCCATGCTGAGCCATTCCCACGCGGTATCCGCCTCCCATATCAAACTCCATTTTTCTTCGAATGAGAGCTCGTTGGGCATTTGGATTGAGCTGGCTGGTGAGACTGGACGTGAGTCAACGAAGTAAGGCTTTAGCTGATCAGAGGATGCTGGTCCCGGGGTTTCCTCTGAAGGCTTCGCGATCTGGATCTCGGCGGGATTGGCTGCGCGGCATTGCTCATGTGGTGGCGTGATCGCTGGCAAGGCAGGTGGTTCGAAAGACTCGCTGATGTTGGATATCTCGGATAGGGTATCAGATTCGTCGTCAATATCTCCATGGTGAATAAAGACTTTTGAATCCCTTCTGGGTGAGTCTCTGGGCGACACCCTGGGGGAAGTCGCTGGAGAGGACCTGTTGGAGTTCTGTGGAGGGGTGAAAATCTCTTCTCTGTCCGAAGAGTAATCGGAGCTTTGTGGGCTGGATGCATTGATATGCGGCTCGGTTGTGCTGTCCATGACGACCTGACCTGGAATGATTCTGGCAGGGTCGTCAAGGCGCAAATCGTTGATGGCAAGAGCTGAGTCGAGAGCCTCGACTTCCGCCTTTGGGGGCAATGGAGTGGAGAAGACTTCAGAATCCATCTCCGGGTTGCTTTGATTGAAGTAATCAGAACTTGCGAGGTCTTCGTGCACAGATATGGCGGCCACCCCGATGACTTCAGTGACGCAGTTGCTCGTCACGCGGGTAGACATGATGGGCACAGGAGTAGAGGATAGCAGAGTTCAAAAGACCTGAGTAGATGAGCGCTTTGTGGGAAGAAAGGTGGCTCACTTCCGAGGAAGCAAAGTTGGCAGCTGGAGTGAGGGAGTGAAGAGAAAGAAAGAGCGTTGGGAGTAGTACAGAAGATGGTGGGTCCAGAGCGGAGGCTGAAAGGTCTTGGCAAAGTTTAAATATGCTGTCGACTTGCTGCACCTAGTACTGCTTGTAGAATGTGCTTAGATTCATGATTTTAGTTCCGTCTATTGAGGATCTGAAACCAATAGTCCTATTGACGGTATTAAAATTCGAGGATCCACGTCATGGGTTCCTTGTGACCAAAAACTCACCACACATGAAACAAAGCTCAAAGTACTACTAGCGGTAGGCTTCTTTACTGATCTACTGATCTACGGGTCGGACACAGAAGTATTGCAGGTCATCTCTCATAATTCATGACATCTTAGAGTAAGACCTAACCAAAGTGTGCGATGCGAGGTCCATGGCATCGACTTCCTTTAGCAGACGAGGTGTCGCGTCGTTTTTTCCGCAGGGCCGAGCCACCTGGCAGGTAGCCCAGAGCAGACTTTTGACTCTTATGGCTTGAAAAAGTCACTCGGATCAGGACCTTTCCAAGATAAGCTTGTCAGCATCCACGGAGCTGGACGAGATCCAGTACGGATATTGTCGGTATCGGAAACTCCTTCGATACCATCTTCTTTCCACCTTCCATTCCCCTAATATCGACCCCGGCCCAACTGCAGCGTAGGGCTTTTTTTTAAATGATTTTCTGTGTTTTTTTCACGAAATCAAAACGCAATGACCAAGGTCAGCGCACTAAGTGAAGTCCAGATCCAAGACTTGACCCTCGATTTCCTCATTTAGCGACGGACAACGATGCCCTGGCGGCGGACAGCGTTGCGAGCACGGCAGTACTCCTCGTCACTCTCATACTCAGACTCGGAGCAGCTGTCCTCGGAGGACTCGGTGAGGTAACCGCAGCGGGAACCACCACAGTCGAGCTTGACGCGGTCACCCTTGCGGGTGATACCGTAGCGCTCGCAGCGGCAGTGCACGGGAGGGTCGCTCATGGAGGAGAGCGAAGAGGGAGAAGTGGAGCCCGAAGAGCGGGAAGACAGCGAAGAACCGGCAGAGCTGGGAGGGCTGTTAGAGTAGGAGTACTCATCGGACAGACGAGAGCCGGCGAAGCGGCGGGTCAAGTCGTCGACGGTGGGGGCGAAGTCAGCCTCGCGGAGTTGACGGGAAGCGTAGTTCTTGGTGGGCTTGGGGTGCTGGATGCGCGAGGGAGACAGGGCGCGGCCGGTAGCGATGTTGCGGGAAGGCTTGGGGGCGGAGCGGGTCTTGCCACCGGGAACATCGAGGATGTTGAGCTTGCGGCCAGTGGTGGGCTCGACGGTGTACTCGACAGCAGGGTCGTGGGACACGTGGTAGCCATCCATGATGTAGTAGTACCAGTAGCGACTTCCGAGCTGCAGCATCGAGGTCTGGAAGCGGAACTTGCCGAGCCAGGCACCGGGCTTGTCCTCAGCGGAGAGGGGGATCTGGCGCTGGTAGTTGTCCCAAGAGCCGACCAGGTGGACGGTCTTGACATTGGACGAAGTGCGAAGGGAGAACTTGAGCTGAACGGCGGACATGATGAATAAAATGTAAAAAAGAGTTGTAAAAAAGCTGTCGTAGATAAGATGCGTAAAGAGTATCGTATGGATTGAACAACCGGAAACTGCCTGAGCTCGGTTGTGTAATTGGTGTATAGACTCTTTTGATCTTGACGGGAACCGGTCCACGACAATGAAGAAGAATAATCGAGCGAGATTAGATTAAATTGGCTTTGTTGTGAAGAGACCTGTTAAAACAGTTGATCAAGTCGACCGGCGACAAGGAGAACTGTTGATAAAGTTGTAAAAATTCGAGATCCGAAGCAAGGCAGATTTCAACTCAAAGAGCACAGCTCGTTTGAGAGGTAAAGGTGAAAAAATTATAATAGTATAGAAGAGAAAGAAAAAAAAAAGATCCAGGCAACCAGTGCTCAGGATAACTCGAATCAGGCAGATCTCACACAACAAACGCTCGCTGAAGAAAGAAAAGAAGAAAGAAATGCGCCTCGGGAGGCTATGGCATTCTTTTAAACAGAACGATTCGATCAGCAGTAGCAAAATGGACGACCAGCCCTGGTGGGCGGGTAACTGAGGTCGTTGGTTGGTTCTATGCAGTGTTGCGCAGTGATGTGCTGCCCTCCCCGTTGCAGCCAATCAGGGCCCCCCATTTGACGCTGGTGCTCAGATGAATTGAGGAGAGAGTTTATGTCCTTTTCCTCTTTTGTCGAGCTGACTTCTCCACTGAGACATTCACTGCATCCAGAAAGCGGGCAGGGAACTTCATTGACAATGGGAATTCCTGAAGACTTGTCAGCCTCATGCACAATAGTGGAATTGTGGAGGGGTGATGCGTTGTCACCGGGATCATTGCCAGATTGCATATATTACCCTCACATCTAGACTTTCTGATCTCATCTCAGATTGGACGTCTCTGTGTGAGTCCGGTGTTCAAGTATGGAGCACGGCGTGTTCATCTCGACGGAGTGGCGGTGAGAACCTCAAGCTCAACTCGAGACCGTGCGTGCCGTTCCTTGCGTAGAGCACGCCCATATCATATATGGACAGAGAAGACCACACTGAAATCCTCTCGGTCAGACATCAGACCTCACCGGTGTACAGGGTGAATGGCTTGGAAAATTCGCCGACACGGGATGAGATGCAAGCGCTCGATCAATCAGAGGCCGCAGCTGAGGTGCGCATGCAGCCACAGGGTGCCGTCAACTACCGGGCCAGGATTTGTCGGCATTGCAGGATCAAGTGACATTTTGGCATCCCCTACTCCGTAGATGCAGTTGAACTCCCATCAAAACGGTTAATCTTCAGGAAGGAAAAGAACTCCGCGAGGGAGTCGGGAGGTCATTGGCCAGAGCGGGAAGACGGGGGCTCATATGCGCCAAGTCACCGCACAAAGTACGGAGGGGTAAAATGTGCTGTGTCCCGTAATTGTACTTCGTATTGTAGGTCCTTTTTTTTCTCTCTCGAGACCTCTATGTCCCTCGAATTAGACTAGCACTATGAGTGATATCTCGGTGGCCGTGGTAAGTAATGCCCCAATGCAGAATTCGCGCGGTGTTAAGATTCTGCGCAGGATCCCGATTACTATGATCTATTCGGAGGCGACTCCGATGTTTCTTCGTAAGTCGCGTCCGGCACATTTTGGGGGTATTGGGCTTACGACGCGACCGCAGTGGGACAACCTCGCTAGCCTCTTCGATCTATCGAGGAGTCTTTGAGAATGGAAGACGGTAAGAGCTGGCTTTGAATGAATACCACGGTGAATACCACATCAGACTAACAACGCATTAGCTATCAAACTGTCAGGGAAGGCGAGTACTGGTATATCGACCAACCGATGATCCCGACGGCCGACTCTAATATCAATGAAGGTGCCCATGTGATGAGCAACAGTTTGAGAGTTTACTAGCAAGGTATGCTTCCTATTCTTTATATCTATGGGCCCAAGCTGATTCCGATAGTCACCTGCTCTGCGTGGTGCTGGACTCAAACGAGGAGAATCCACTATTCCACGCCCCTGTGCGGCAGCCGAAGGTAAAGAACATTCCGAAGTCCGCCGCGAAGCAATGGGGCCGCTGACCAAACCAGGAAATCCTCGACATCGGCACAGGCCGAGGCAGCTGGGCCGTGTGAGTGCGACATCGCTCTGAATTGTGAAGTCATACTAACAAGCAGTAGAGATGTAGCAGACATGTTTCCAGACAGTAAATCAGCCTCCCCGTGGTATCCGCATCACTTACTGACAAGCTAGCCACTGTCCGAGGCGTAGATCTCTTCCCTCCGCCAATCGACTGGCTGCCCCCGAATTGCATCATGGAGGTAGATGACGTCCTCAAAGATTGGACCTGGAAAACCTCATTCGACCTTATTCATCTCCGTCAGATGGTCGGTGCATTCACACCCAAAGAATGGGATGGCGTCTTCGATCAATGTTACAGGTAAATCCATCCATCCCCATGCATGAGCCCTCTAACCTATCTAGAAATCTCGAACCTGGCGGTTGGATCGAACAATTGGAAGTTGATCCTCACATTGTTTGCACAGACAACAGCTTGCCTGCCAACTCATATGCCGTCCAGTTTGCGGACGCGATCATCAAGGCCGCACAGAAGGCCAACCAGCCAATTGATACCGTGGAGACCATGCGCGGTCGCATGATCAGGGCTGGATTTGTCGATATCCATGAGAAAAAGTACAACTGGCCCATGGGTCCTTGGCCGCGAGATCCATTGCTCAAAGAAGCTGGACGCCTGCACTATCATCAGTGGATGCATGGAATGGAGGGGTGGGCTATGTATTATCTGACCAAGTGGGGGACTCCGAGCCCCTGGTCTACCGACGAGGTTCAGGTGCTTGTTGCGAAAGCTAGGAATGAGCTCAAGGATGGCCGGATTCACATGTGGCAGTATGCGAAGAGGGTCTGGGCTCGAAAACCTACTAGGGAGGAGATTAATGCTGCTGGATCCCCCTTGGGCGTTCCCATCAAAGATGAATATAGTCCTTGAAGCTGTTCCTGACCTCGAAAGTTTGTATGAACGTGTCGGGTTGGATTTTTGGTTCTTGTTATAGTTTTCCGTTCAATATTCCTCGGTATTTAGCTTCTGTTCCTATATGCTATGTTTATCATAGCATGCTTCATGTTCAATTGGCCATGTGGGCGAAGCAAGCTTCCTAATCCTACTCGCAAAGTTCAAATTAACGCAAGGTACTAGAAATAATGAGCATTCCATGCTACTTCTAAGCCCCAGGCCCTTTTCCGATGACCTGTTCCAGGAACTCAAAGCCTTCCCTCTGCAGCCACCAAGTCTTCGAGCCAACCTCCATCATAGCTGCAAAGGTATGTTCCTCGCCCGGAACCTCGGTCATCCCGCACCTCACACCATGGTCCTTCAACTTTTGCAAAAGGGCCCGACTAAGCCCAATAGGAACCATCGTGTCTGCCATTCCATGGACAATATACGTCGGCGGGAACGCATCGTTCACGTTCAAGATTGGATCGATTCGCTTCATGTCCGGGTCATCCTTAGAGGAATAAATTGCATCAATCACAGTCCCAGAGGCAATCTGCGTGAAGGCGAAAGCATCGCGTGGCTTTGAAAAGTCCGGTCCCTTGCCTGTGCCGGCCTCTGTCTGACCTTCCAGTGATACAGAGCTATCTGTTGGGACGGGATACTCGTCATAGATCTTGTTTAGAAATTCCGGTGTCAGGTCCGAAGGAAGTTTCTTGGCCACATGGGGGAGTGGAATTCTCCAGGCCGGGTCAGCGAAGTGCACTGAGCCGTACAGGGACAAGATAGCCTTGACGGGTTTGGGGACATCAAAGCCCTGTCGGAGTTAGTATTTCTGTCCTTGACATAAAACGTGGTAAGGTATAGTTACCAGACTCAGAGCCAAATGTCCTCCAGATGAGGTCCCGAATGCAGCGATATTATCCAAATCGGCACAGTAGCCGCGGCTGGAGATAACGTTGTCAAGGTGACCATCTTGGATCCAGGATAGGAGATCGCGTATATCCTGCATTGGGCCTTCGAGGATGTTGACAGCCGGGCAGAGGCGGTGGTTGGGAACCAGGACTATCCAACCCCGGGCTAGACAGTCACTTATTTGGGGTAGAGAAACCATGCGTGAATGGCCGAGCATGAAGGCCCCGCCATGGATGTCAATCACTGATCTCATTAGAATGGTTCATGTATATCCAAGAAACTCCATTTTCGAGGTCCACGGAATGAGGGAACGCACCAACAGGGTGTTTCTGTGTAGACGAGGGTGCAGGGAGATAGAGGTCTGTGGTGATTTTGCTGCCATTGATCTCTTTGCATATGACTGTGATCGGATCTTCGAGAGACATTTTGTGGTAACCTTGGAATGTTTTTGCCGTTCGATTGGAGCGCGCAGTCCTCCAGAGGTATATTTAAACAATTCGCGGGGATGGAAATCCCAGAGCTGGGGTCTCGGGATATCCGGAAGCCGAACACGTACGGAGCCACCGCGCGGCACAATCCGAATGTATGTTGAAGATATGCCGTGAACTAAAATCTGAATTACGAGAAATAAACAGCACTTGGAAGTGATTCAACTATGTATGGCCGAAGTTTAAATGCAAAGGCCAACCCTCCCAGACGCCGCGAAACAAGGCCAAGCAGATGCGCATTTTTGCAGCGAGATCATTAAAATGCAATGTAGAAAATTTGAGGAAGCCAGGGATCAACGCACGGATACTCCGGAGCGGTCGGTGAACATACGAGCGGCAATGTTCATAGAGGCCAGCTCTTGGAATAGCAGCTTCGCGGCGTAGGGGATGTGGACTTGCGAGATGCGATGCTTGTTGTTGCAGAGACGGCATTCGAAGAGGCCCTTCTTCAGTTTGCTAGAATGATGTTAGCGAAAGAATTCAAAAGGGAAAAGGTTAAACTTACGCAACTGGAGTCATAAGACCACAGTCATCGCAAATGTGAACACGGAAGGGGTCAGAAACGTCGAAGAGACGTTCCTTCAGGAAAGCACTGGCGCCGTGAGCGATCATACAATCGCGCTCCATCTCTCCGAAACGGAGACCACCATCGCGGGCACGACCCTCGACGGGCTGGCGAGTCAGAATTTGAGTCGGACCACGTGCACGAGCGTGAATCTTGTCGTCCACCATGTGACGGAGACGCTGGTAGTATGTCGGTCCAAGGAAGACCTGAGCAACCATCTTGCGGCCAGTATGGCCGTTGAACATGACCTCAAAGCCACGGGATTGGTAGCCGTGCTCACGCAACAGACGAGAGACCGAGTCGACTGTGACATCAGTGAAAGGCGTGGCGTCACCCTCGAAACCACGGAGAGCGGACACCTTACTCAATTGACACTCGATCAAATGGGCAATTGTCATACGGGATGGAATGGCGTGAGGGTTAATAATCAAATCGGGAACAACACCTTCCCGAGTGAAAGGCATATCCTCCTGACGGTAGGTGATACCAATTGTACCTTTCTGACCGTGACGAGAGGCAAACTTGTCTCCAATTTGAGGAACCTTGGTGGTACGCATGCGAACCTTCACGAATTTGAGGTCGTCGTTACCGGTGGAAATCAAGACTTGATCGACAATTCCGTTCTCAGTACTTCGCAGTGGCGTGGACACGTCAATCTTAGTGTGTGCCTTCGTGCGCTGGCCAAGCTCTTCTGCATCGGCGGCCAAAGGAGCAGTCTTTCCGATAATTATATCTTCACCGGAAACACGCACACCTGGAGCAACGATTCCGTCCTCGTCCAACTTATCGTAGGTTCCCTTGCGCATGCCAAGAGTGTCGGCGCGCATGGGCTTTTCAAAGCGCTCAACAACCTGGAGACCGACCATCTTCTCTGTATCCGTGTAGGTACGGTAGAATAAACTGCGGAAAAGGCCACGATCGATACTGCTCTGGTTCATAATGACGGAATCTTCCTGGTTGTAACCAGAATAGGTGGCGATGGCGACAATGGCGTTCTGACCAGCGGGCAATTCTCGGAAACGCAAGAACTCCATTGACCGAGTGGTAGCCAACGGCTTCTGGGGGTAGTAGAGAATGTTGGCCATTGTTTCCATACGCTGTGCAAAGTTTGTCAAGAACACACCCATAGCCTGCTTACCCATAGCAGACTGGTAAGTGTTACGGGGAGACTGATTGTGATCAGGGAAGGGAATGATACTGGCGCAAACACCCAAGATCATACTAGGATGGATCTCGCAATGCGTCCAGGTGTGTGCACGCTGGCTAAGAATTGACCGAACACGCTTGTTGGGGTCGTTGGTCTCATCCTCGGGCAAGGCATAACCAGCTTGAAGCTGCCTGGATATTTCCAGATCTTCGGGAGTCATCACAATCATGATTGTCTCCTCTTCTTCTGCGTCGACATACTCAACAGCACCAGATCGCACCAAACCATCCCATCCGAAGTATTGTTCGCGACGTTGTTCGGGGGTCATGTCGAGGGGCAAGTCCTTGTCTTGTTCGAGTTTGCGGATGTGTTCCTTGTTCAGAATCAACCCACCAGAGTTCTCACTCTTTGGGTCATTGTCGATAACGAAGAGCGGTCGGCAAACACGACCGGTGTCGGTGAAGATCTTGAACTCACGCTCACGGATATCTCGGATGAGACTGACCTCGTGGGAAATCATGTTTCGGCGACGCAAATTTTGCATGGTGTTGACCAAATGCGAGGGATCACGGTGGATACCAACCCAGACACCGTTGACGAATACCTTGGTCGCGTTGGGTGTAACTTGAGGCTCGAACTCCTCCAAAACTTCCATGTTACGCTGGATCATGAAATCAATGATAGGCTCTGCCGGTGTTCCAACGGTGATGTAGCACATCAGTGCCAAGTTCTTGACCAGACCACAAGCTTGTCCTTCTGGTGTCTCGGCCGGGCAAACCAGACCCCAATGGGTATTATGAAGCTGACGTGGCTTAGCGATCTTTCCATCTCTACCGATGGGCGTGTTCGTTCGGCGAAGGTGAGACAACGAGGAGGCGAAAGTATAACGACTGAGCACCTGGGACACACCAGCCTTTGCACTGGCTGCCTTCTTCTGCTCACCCCAGTTACCAGTGGCAAGAGCGTACTTCAAGCCACCGGTGAGTGTTGCGGCCTTGAGACCAACGTTCAGGTAAATCTCGCGACTGCTGTCGACACAACGCTGCACGTAGCGCTGAAGGTCCTTCGTGACTCGGGTGAAAAGGACACGGAACAGACTAGCCAAAAGGGGGCCAGCCAGATCAAGGCGCTTCTTTCCGAAGTGGTCACGATCATCCACATCACGCCGACCCAGAGCACACTGGAGAAGACGGTGGACCATGTAACCAAGGAAAAATGCTTTGCGGGTTTCGCTGCCCTCGCTCTGCGAGATGTGAGGCAGCAATTCCTTCTGCATAATATCCCGAGCATAACGCACACGACGATCGTGGTTCAGGTTTGATTGTGAAGAGCCACGCTTGGCAATAAAGTCCAAAGCGACCTCGCGATCTTGGATGACAAAGCCCTCCTCAATACACGGCTTCAGCATCTCCAGCATCGGGGTATCGTTCCTGTCGTAACAAATGTGATTGAGAATATCCTCGTCAGAAACGACGCCCAGCGCACGGAAAACGACGACGATTGGAATATCGGCTTTGACGTATGGGAGCGTCGATCGAATGGTCGGGCCGAATCCTCCCTTGGCGCTGTCACCTTTGGCGAACAGCTTCAAGGTAAGGGAAGAGAGCATTCGCGAGCCCTTCTCGACCGCACTTCGAATCTCAGCAATGTAGGGCGTGGGGCTGGGGGGTGCCTTCTTGAAGACCTGAACAATGTTGCCAGCGCTGCGCTCCTGTGCGATCAGAACCTTCTCACTCCCGTTGATAACGAAGTAACCACCAGAATCGTAGGGGCATTCGTTCCAGGCGTATAGTGAGGGTTCATTGAGATCCTTCAGGATACAGTATTTGGATTTCAGCATGATTGGCATTTTTCCAATGAAAACTGTTTCCTCCTTCATTTGTTCCTGGGGTAGCGTCTTTTCGTTCCATTCAAGGCCTCCGTATGACTGGCCCTTCTGGTCGCCTTCTTCCTCATCATCCTCATCCTTCGCCAACTTCTCGCGACCCTCCATAATTTTCTTCGTGACGCCCAGGTACAGCGGGGAGGCATAGGTGAGGTTGCGGAGTCGGGCTTCTTGTGGCAACATGATCGTGGTCGCACCATCACCTTCTGTCACTGATGGGCGCGAAAGCATGACAGTACCGAATTTGAGCTCGTAACGACGCACGACCACCGGCCTCACTTCGTCCTCGTCTGGTGGGAGGGTCTGATCAAGCACCACCTGGCCCTGCTCTTCTACGAGCTCTTGCATCGTCGAGGAAATGAACTCATCGAAAGAATCGAGCTGCTGAGAGACCAATCCTTTCGAATCGAAAAAGGACGAAATCACCGTCCAGCAATCCTCGGATGTGATGCCCTCGTCGGCGTCATCATAGAAGTCCTCCTCATATGTCTCGTCGTAATCAGCCATGATGGCGGGGTATCTGGGGTTGAAAAGCTGATAAAGTAGGGAGGGTGATTCGGGGGCTGAAAAAGCGCGAGAGGCGCGTCGGCCTTCGAAGGTCTCCGCAAGAAACGCTCAACGCGCTGGAACAACTGCTGCTCGGTCGCCGAATAGAGGTGGGTTCTGGGAAACAGGGGGTCAGAGCAGCTGCGAGAGAATGCCTGACAAACTGGTGGGGATGAAAGAGGAAGTCCCCGTCAATAATGCGATGAAGGAACTGATCTCCAGTCGTTTGATGCTTCTGAGCCCGCTGGGTTTGCGCTAGTCCCAATGTGCCAATAACACGTGATCTTGCTCTCACCGCTCAGAAGTATAGGTACGCCTCCGGTCCTGCCCAGGTGTTCATTCCATTCTCTGCGTCTAATCGGTGCATTACCGTATGATCAGTGGTCTTCGCAATTCTCAGATGATAGCAGATTGTGGAAATTTCATGTCCATTATATTACAATTGTTCTGGTGTGCCATCCTGCTTACAAAAACTGCAATAGGGTGGTGAGCATATCCCTGAAATCCCCATGGCCGGGTTCCTCCTCGCCAAGTCCTTCGAGTTGCTCTATTTGAGTTAGACATGAAGCCTTGAAGTATTTCGTGGGACATACGTACCTTGTAATGTTCCGCGGACCAGTGACAGATCCTCGTCTCGGTCGGCAAGAAGTGAGACGATCTTTTTCTTTGCCCCATCATCTTCTGCAAGAAGCCACGCCAGAATAACATCAATAGTCTGAGGTTGTTAGCAATGGTGCAAGTCAGGTAGAGATCAAAGTTTACCTGTAATGAGAACAGACCGGCGTCGAGGCGCCTGGAGAGCCACTCTCCGGACATGAGTCTTTGCTCCTCCTCATCGAAAGTTCTGCGCTCTTTTGCAATGAGCTGTTCCACAGGCGAGATGCGCGCGGCATAGTCGCGCCGTAATTTAATTAGCTTTTCGATTCGTGCATAATCCTTTTCCATGAACTTTGCCAATGTTCGGATGCGTGACGCAGAGCCCCCGGGAAGGAGACGAAGAAGGGAAGCAAAAATTCCGAGGAAATGTTCAATATTTTCACCTTCTTGCTGCAGGGCTGTTAATTTCGCTTTGTTTGTGTAGGATAAGTCGGGACGAACCTTTTTCAAGAACATGCCGAAGACAGTTTTCAATCCGGCTGCCTCAACCAGTCTCTCGCAAGCCGGGGCCCCTGTAACTCCGCCTAACGCATGATCCAAGGCCCTCAAAGCACGAGGTTTGCTGAATTTGCCCTCTTTGAGCATGATCAAAGCAAGTTCAATACCCTCCGCCTCAACAAATTTGCTTTTACCGGAGTCTTCCTCAACGAGGCAGATAAGGGAGTCGAACACGTTCTCGGCAAACTCTTCTTCGTCCGTGTCTTTAACTGGATCACGTTTGCGGTACGAACTGAGTATCTGGAGAATTGCATCGATGCCGTCGAGCTCAATGAACTTCCCACGGTTTTTTGAGGAGGATTGCAGCAAAATTGCCAACACCTCTGCTGCGTATTGTTTATTCTGGGACACAGTCACTTCTCTTTGCTGGATACGAGATAGGATCCACGGCAAGATTGCAGCATCTCGTGCAATGGTCTCAGCGTGTGGTGTCTGGGAGGCAAGGTTTTCCAAAACATCTAGACATTGTCAGTATATCTCAATGGAGATAAATTTGCTCTGTTGACTTACTGAGCACATAATAGACGCCCGCTCTGTCGGTTTCGGACCCTTCATCAAGTCTGGAGAGGTTCTGCGTCAACAATTCAATGAGGTCGGCTTCCAACTAAGATGTGTTAGTACTTTTGGATTCATTTCTCTCCAAAATTTCAACCTAGAACACACCATTGCGTTGACCAGAATTTCCCATTGTTCTTGCTCCGCTTCAACATCTTCGTCTGTTAATTCACCTATGATCTGGATGACGTCGATTGCGATATCGGCATTTTCATGCGACAGCAAGGAGATCAAGGAGCCCACACATCCCATCTTTGCAAACTCTTCATAAAGTTCTGGATGCTCGGCGAGGATCGATAGACCCTTGATCTCGCTGTCGAGGTCTGCCTCGGAAACCATGAATCTAAGGGGGTGTGAGCGATATGTAGGACAAATTCTTCGCGTTTACGCACTTCTTAGGGTCGTTCTCGAACTTTGCTCGTAGTTCGGCATTTTTCGAGATCTTCCGTTCAAAGTTCAATGCGAATCGGCGTACCCACGCGGAGTCGAAGTTCTCGGGCTGAACGAAGGAAGCATTAGATCAAGGCAGGATTTCCACGATCGAATGGACACATACCGCAGCCTCTTCGCCTTCGTTTTCGTCAATATATTCCATTGCTTGGGCGGTCTTGTGTTCCATTCCGCCGCCGAAGAAACGTCCTTCCTCGTCGTCTGGCACATCCTCCTCGAAGTCTGGGGGAAGCTCGGGCCCAGCTTCCCCATCGTCAACCTCATCCTCCACCATGGGTGTCTTGCCATTTGATCTGGCATCGCCATCGGATTCGAGCTTTGCTGATTTGTACACCTCGTCTGTTCGTTCTCGTTAGGAAGCTGGAACTAGCGCGTTCTCGGGGAAAGGGCGTACTAGGGTCTGTGAGGGGCTCGAACTTGCGCTTGGCGCTTCCACCTGAGGATGGCTTCTGTTCCCAGTCAGAGATGCTCTATCGAAGAAAACCGCAAAAGGCGTTCTGGGCATACCTTGAAGAGCTCATCGACATTCATTGTCGCGGCAGGAGGATTGCTAGTTCAGTGGAAAGCGTAGCAAGCGCCAGTTTCTATTGGGCGCGAATGAGAATGATAACAAATGAGCCTCGAAAACTGCTCAATTGGGAGAGAAAAACAAAGTGAAGATTGTCATGGACGCTGTCGCATCTTCCATGCGCGGGCAAAAGATACGGTCGCCAGGAGGAGCTAGTGACGCAGTGACGCCAAGCGTTCCGAGGCCGCAGATTTCTCGACATCCGACCTTCTCTTCTATCCAACGACATCAATATCCGTCTTCCATCGTCTCCTCACATCACACACAATGGCCCCCAACCAGCGTATCGTTCCCTCCGGCTCGCGCCCTCAGAAGGGCTGGGTTAGCACCGCCTACGATGAGGCCACCAACCCTGAGAACAAGACCATTGTCCGCAGCATCATGGTCTTCGGTGTATGTTTCTTTCCATCACTTTGATCTGGAATCGCATCACAAGGAACTAACAGTGTTTGTTTTCTTCTTTTTTAGGCCGGTATTGCGTTCCTTCACTCCAGCTTCGGAGAGTTCCTCCTTCCTCCGTAAGTCGCACGCGATACGAATCCATCAATGCAGCTGGAGCACCGTTCTAACTGTCTGCAGTATGTAATATCATCACGCCTTTGATACCTTCCGTGACACGGCTCGGACCTCTCCTTTTGAATCCTATGGATATGGAAGCATTGCGGCGTCGGTCAACGGAAATTGCAATGCATAGACGCTTTTCGCTCGGTGGTTTATGGATTGGATAATTTGTACAATATTTTGTTAAGGGGGCATGTATCATCACACATGTCAACTCCGGTTCTGAGTTCATGAATATCAGGGATTTTGCTGCACGCTGCTGTCCAGTAATGCAGTTCACTTCAATACTATCTTTGTCACATTGGGGACTTCGAGCTCCCAATGTCTCTATACAAAGGCTACTCGGCTACTTGGCCCTCTAGGGTTCCCAGGTGCAACGCTGGAAGTGTCGTGGATCTGAGCCATGGTCGGATGCCAATCACTTGGATGATATCTGCTCATCATATCCATATACTGAACCATCCATGGATTATTCTTGGGGGCCATGGCTTCTTTTCCTCGTGGTATATATCTCTGACATGAGCAGATCGAGTTACACGTCGATATGATCGCCGATTTGATCAGACACCATGGTAAATCGTGTTTGCAGTGACCACTTAGCATCTCTAGGAATATTCTTGGATCAAATTGAAGACCCCGTGGCTTGAAGATGTCAAAGGTCAGAAATGGTATAGGTAGACTTATAGGAACACTGGTCCACGGGTGTCAAGGGATGGATACAAGCAAAAACTTTGAATGACAGACACAGTTCATCTCAATTTCGGAACCTTGATGATGGCCGAGCCTTTGATAGTGTACCGTCTGGAGACATGAATTGTCATTGGTTTCAAGACGTATGTACGTTATCCAGAAACGTGCCACCTAGACAAAAGCAGGGCACTTGCAGCCCTGGAGGTGGCGCGCGCAGTGAACGTGACTGGGTTATACGAGGGCCACCTGGGGGCTCATCAATAATTCAGGTCTGTATATCGAACTTCTGTTCTTCCCGAGGTCTAGGTTTGTTTTGGGGATCATAGCTTTACTTCGCATTTCTAGGTTTCGTGTCACAACAACGCCCGGGCGCCATTGCCACTGGGCACTACCTAGGTGTGTAGGTAATGAGCTCCTCGGGGTATATTGCCACCTAGCCACTGCTCAGGTTCAGCTTCTCGAGGCAAAGAATATATATTCCCACCAACTTGTATATCTTTGCCTAAAAGGATTCTTAGTCAACTCTCACACCGCAACACATTTGGTAAAAATTTCCGACTCAACACCATTCTTGAAATGTTTCTTCTGACATCTATCTGCATCCAGGTACATCCCAAGGTTGCACATTCAGCGCATTGTTTGCAGTGACCACTCGCGTGTACCTAGGTAGTGGCGATCTTGCCAAGAGTCCCCCATACCCCACACTCCCCCGAGTTCTCCGAACACCGCCTTCTTGCAGACGGCCTCTGTCCACGGGTATTTGCCGATCAGTTTGAAACATCAATGCATGTATACTGTTACGGGGAAGAATATACTTGAGCGGCCATGTCGTCAACTCCTGATAGCCAGACGCAGCCTTTGAAACGCAAGTCAACAGACCCGCGTATGGACCCCATGGCCAAGAGACACAGTCTTCAGTATGATCCGCAGGTTCCTTGGCTGCACGAGTTAAATCCTACAGGTATATGGCGAACTCAAGGGAATCCAGATGTTCACCATGCACTCCCGCTGGCAAACATGGTATCTGCTGTCCAAGACCTGATTGATCCAGACTTTGATCCGTTGACAGCGATGCTGGACGATGAGCCACGATTTCTCAAGCCTTTGCCTGCTCGAATCGCTCCAGAAGATCTGGAGTTCCTGAGGTTCCGCGGTGCACTCTCTCTGCCTGAGAGCGGACTTCGCAACGAATTGTTGCGCTGTTATATTCAATGGGTGCACAGTTTCATGCCCGTTTTGAACCTGCAAGAGTTTCTGCGATGTGTTGCCGAGAATGACCCAGCGGGAAATGTTAGCATCCTCTTGTTTCAGGCAGTCATGTTCATTGGAACCGCATTTGTCGACCTCAAGCATTTGCAGGACGCTGGGTATTCAACACGCAAGAGCGCACGTAGCGCTTTCTTCACTCGATTGCGGGTATGTATACTCTTTGAGCGCCAATGGAACATCAATGGGAAGATATACTAATGATTGGATAGTTACTATATTCACTTGACTGTGAAGAGGACCGTATCGTGATTTTGCAAACATTGTTATTGATGACATATTGGTCTGATCCTGAAAATAGCCCGCAGCGAGATATCTGGGACTGGATTGGAATATGCAACACGCAGGCACAGTCCATTGGGCTCAATAAAGACCCTTCATCGGGTGAAATAGATATACACACTCGACGATTACGCTCTCGGCTGTGGTGGTGTCTTTTTTCTCGAGATCGACTCATTGCTATGGGAATGCGTCGCCCTTTGCAGGTCAACGAAGGCACGAGTAGTGTTCCAATGCTTCGCCTGGATGACTTCGATTTTGAACCCTTCTCCCCATCCGTGATAGCAAACTTCCGTTGTCGCCAGCTCGAGGACGTCTCACATCAGAAACGCCTGGCTATCATGTTTATCGAGAAGATGAAGCTTTGCCAGTGTATTGGCAGAGTGTTATTTGCCCAATATACACCCTCTCAGCGTCAATTCGGTGCCACAAATCGCACAACGGTCACCATCGTACCAAGACAGGCGTCTGAGTCGGAGTTTGCACGATGCGGTCAGAAACTCGACTCTTGGCTAAGTGCGCTCCCTAAGGATGCCCAATTTATCCCCAAAACAAGGACCAATTTTCAGGACGGCGAAGACGTCCTTTTATTACATGGCGCAATGCTTCGCATGCTTTACCATGCCACCAGCAGTGCACTACACCGGCCGTGGGCTACAGCTACCAAAGATCAATCGAAGTCCCGTAACGACTGGCGAAACACTGCTCGCAGCAAGATGCACGATGCTGCAGGAGGCATCACACATATCATACAAGGCTTGAACCAGCTTAATCTGACACGTTTTCTACCCCAATCTGGGGTAACTGTCATTCTACCTGCTGCCGTGGCGCACTTATCCAACACAATGTCCGACAATGCAGCTGTTCGAGAAAACAGTGTCTCTAACTTCCACCGCTGCATAAAAGTCTTACATTGTCTGAAGGATATCTACCCCGCCGCCGATCAAGAGTATGCCAATATCGAAGCTGCTATAAAGATGCAGTCTGGGGCATCGAGTACATTTTTCGAAGTGATGCAGTACAATCTCGATGCCCCTGCTATATCGCTAACAACCAGGAAATCGAGTACCTCGCAATCTCTGCCAACGCCTCAAATGCATCCATCGATATTTGGAAACTCTACCAATGAGAATGAAACGCCTAAGCCACGGGCCGCATCGACCCAAGAGGCAGCCAGTCAAATAAAGCAAAGCCCCCAACCTGCACAAGAATCGGCCCCGCCACTCTTCCCAAATGACTTCGATCAATTTGATGACCCAAACAGCGTCGGCAACAATCCTTTCAATTTCCTTTCAATCGATATTGACTCTTTCCCCGATATTCCTACGCCTGCCCGCCCATCGACACTCGAAAACGCCGATTCAATGAACATATCTCCACTTGCTCAGGAGCCAGATACCGTCGATTGGGCACAAGAGCTCTTCCGGGAGACTGACATGCACCAATTCAGTCATACTGAATCCTTTGGCGAACTACACGCAGCAAATCAAATACAAGATATTCCGGAGCATGGGACATTTCCGTTTTCCTTGGAAGGTACAGATGACACGATTCCACAGGTTGACCTTTGTCATCAACCTGTAACTAGTGCAAGACCCGATATTACTGGTGATCTGGACAGGGATCTTGGTTTTCAATCTGGGGATGATATGTTTTGATCCACACCCCAAGGCAAGTGGTTATCTGGCGAAAATCTTGTACACTACACTGGCACCCTATACACAAAAGCAAGCAACAAAGACATTTTCACATTATGTTGCTGTGCGAAACTCATAAATATCACTAACCATTCCTAAAGGCACCCCCGACAGGGATCATTCAATTAAGAGCAGCTATGTAGTTCTATGGTTGGGCTCTTTCCATTGTGAACAACACTAGGTCGTTAGGTCGTACTTGCCCTCAAACGAGAAGCAAGCCATCGGATCCCACACTTGTTCACCCTTTCCCCTCCAGGGCTGCCCAGGTGTGTCACATATCCTGCATCCTGCATCCTGCATATACACGAGCAGACTGCCCTCTGAATCACGAAAGCTTTCAAGGAAGCTTAGCTACACTCACATCAACCGGAGAAATGGAGCCAAGCCAGGGTCTATGGCTCAACAGCCAGCAACAGAACGTAAGCATTCACACATTATGAAATCATGACCAATATCTCACAGCTACTAGCCACAAGAGCCCGTGCCACAATTCGAAGAGCATACAAGCTTCCACTCCAACGTGGGCGATATATCGAATCCATCCGATTACAAACCCTTTGGCGTGATAGATATTATCTCACAAGGACATTTCCTCATCGGAGTACTCAGCCACACCCAAGTTCTCAAATACCCTAGCGACCCAAGCAGCACGGAGCACCAACAGCTCATGCGAGATGAGGATGCGATTCTGCAACACATCGGATCACAGCCTCGCATCGTGGAATACCAGGGCCTGAATGAATATGGCTTAATGCTACGCTACTATCCTTATGGATCACTTCGCAGGCTTCTCAAATGGTGCCCGAACATCAAAATTTCCAGGAAGCTCGAATGGTGTGGACAACTCACAACTGCTGTCCAGACGATTCACTCAAAGAATGTGATCCACTGTGATATCTGTCTTCACAATGTGCTCCTGGATGAAAATATCGAGGCGGTTCTTGCTGATTTTCAGGGAATTCTCTTGTCGCAAAACAATCAGGTTCTGGTTGATGGGCGCACACGCGAGTGCCCAAAGTCATACATGCCTCGGGAAGATGTGGAATATGCGAGTTTTAAGACGGATTTGTTTGCCCTTGGTTCAGCGATTTACCATATCATCAATGGGCACGAAGTGTTCCCAGAGCTGAGGAATCTTCACGACCACGTGGAGATACTGCGTCGTTTCACCAACCGTATCTACCCTGGTTCTAACTATGTGGCCAGCCACATAGTGGAAAAATGCTGGAGAGGAGAGTATGCCAATGCCGGCGAAGTAGTGAATGATCTGGCGGAGGTCCTTCACGCTGCACGCCAAGTGGAGGCGCAGAACAGCTTTTTTGACAGTGGTGGTGTCTAAGAGAATCGGCGTGGAGGGTATTCTATCGCTTGGTAGCTATCATGTATTCTTATGGTGTATGGAATTAACAGGATATCCCTAGGAGAAACCCACCCAGTTTTCCAAAAAAAAAAAGAATCGTGGCTCGTATTCGAAGAAATCAAGTTTTCTGTAAAATCATTCCAGGTTTGAATGCAGTACTGATCAAGCCTGCTTCGTCCAGCGGTGACTTTCATCGCCCGCCTCCCAGGATTGCTCAACATAGCCCAACTTCTTCTTGACCTCTACCACCTTGGCGTGGTCACCAGTGTTCTTCCCGAGGTTGTCACTGAGCTTGACAGCGGGACTTCCATTCGCAGTAGCGATTTTAATAACGATGTTCAATGGCTTGGATTTATCGCCTGTTGCTTTGTTTGTGTAATCGTCTTTGATGGGATTAGCATTGATGGATCCAAAACATAGATGTCAGACTCACTGGTAAAGAAAGTTCCCACTCCAAACGTGGGGGTGAGGCCTGCCTCTTCAGCAATTGTCTTGTACTCCAGACAGTGCTCAATATCCAGTGAATCCGAGAATACCACAACTTTCTTGTCAGTGATACCCTGTCGGTCATAGAATTCTCGAACCATCTTGACGAAGTTTGTTGGGTCTCCCGAGTCTTGGCGGACGCCTGTATAGCACTGTGCGTATGTAGTCTTTGACTTAACAGCGGCATTTTCGTTTGGAACCGAGATCGGCTTGCTGAACGCGTCGAGGAAAGCCGGTGTGCCAAAGGTATCGGTCAACGCGATTCCGAGAACCTAAACCCCTCCATTAGCTTGAATCTTGTGCAAGAGATATAACACATACACCCTCTCCGAAACAGCCGAGCCAGTAGCTGAGTGCTAGCTCGTTGGCGTTCGGATAATCATCCGTGATCGCCGCAATAGTCATGTACCATTCGTGCGCCACCGTTCCAACAGCAGGCTTATTGTATTTCATAGCAAAGTGGACATTGCTTGTTCCAGACATGGCACCAGGCCAGCCCTGCTTTTTCCCCTCCTCTGCGGCGCGGCAAAGCCCCTTCATGACCAAGTCGTGCGTGTGGTAGTCTCGTCGACGACGCGAGCCGAATTCAGAGAACACACAGCCGTTCTCCAACAGCGTGCATCCCTTCTGGTATGCCTTCTCTTCTTGGTTCTCATAATCCCAGTCCGTATCGCTGAACATGAAATATGCCTGGCTGGTCAACGCCAGCAGAGGAATTTCATAAAGAATTGTGTCGAGCCAGAGTCCCTTGATGAGATATTCGACATTGCCCTCGTCATTGTCACTGCCGGTATCGTGTGTCGCAACGAACTTGACTTCGACGTGCTCGGAAGGATTGAGTTGGAAGGTCTCGAGGTAGGAAAGGTATGCGTCATTGAGGTACGGGCACTTTTCGCGCAGGAATTCGCGCTCCTCGGCAGTCACGCGGATATGAGCCAAATCTAGAGGGCCGACTGTTAGACACCACCAAGTCAGGCGAGCGGTGATCTACTCACTGTTTAGCTGCTCCAGCAACCATTTGTAAGCTGCGCGCCGCAATTTCATGTGCGGGGTTCGATTTGTGAAGCTGTAGGTCACAGCTACGCACCTATGTTAGCCTATGGGCGCTTTCCCCCGGGACACTCGGCTCTACTTACAAACATCTGGGAAGTACTTGAGGACCGCGCATTGCATGGTCAGCTTGTAGAGATCTGTGTCCAGAAGGGAGACGATTCCTTGCGCCGCCTGCGCGGAGTCATCTTGAACCATTTTAGTAGTTAGTCAGAGCTTCCGGTCTGTCCGCAATGATGGGAAGTAGATAGAGATTTGCGAGAGGTGGTGCTAGGAAGATTGAAACGGGGGAATTGGGCTTTTATGTTTTCTCGCTCTTTTTCCATTGCGCTATGGAGCGCGGGGAACGCGCCGATATGCCGATGATAGTTTGCTCTGTTTGCATCGTTTTATCAATCTGCCAGTTGTGCGCTCGCGCGTCTGTCATTGTCTTCCTGGAAAGTTCAATTGCTGTCTGCCATAAATAAAGCTACAAGACCCTGATCGTCATCCTATGGCTATCATTTCCCTGCATATCTCACATGGGTGAACCCCGTTCATAATGCTTTGACGATGCAGCACTTGAGGGCCACTTGGGCATGACAATAGAGCCCTAGGGTTGGCCAATCACTCAACGCGTGTAACTGACAGCCCGACTGAATCCACCCCTTCCGCATGGGCAAAGGAACGATGTCATGCCATCTGCCTTTCAGATACGCGATACTCAAAGACCGGCTTGACTGTTTGAACACCCAGTCAGGTGACCCTGGCTTTTCTCCCGAGGTCTACCTATGTAGTAGATACCTTCCTAGGTATGTAGCCTGCTCTCTCCCTCTCTTTGATTTTCTCTTCTTCATGTCTACCTCCCTGAGTCAATACAACAATCTCTCCTATTACCTTCCTCATCGCTAGCGAGCAGCTAGCCCAACAGATGATGGGATTCCTCTCCTGCTTCTTTTAAACGCAATTTCGCTAGGAAGAAGCTGCTTCCTCTTTTGTGGGGAGGGGGCTATCTTATACTACAGAAGCTTTAGGATCGTAGTTTGGCAGTTTCTTGGGACGAGCACCCAAACTTCACAAGATTAACCTTCTCCAGAGGTCCGTTTCATGTCTTCGAATTTGGGTGACTGGGACTTAAGATAAGGCTTTTGCTAGTTCTGATGATAAAAGAAACTTAGTTCTTGCAAAATTTGCTTAACCAAAAAAGGAATTTGGTGTATGAATAAGAAATGTAACATGGAGATATGGTCAAATTGAGTTAGTAGTCCAACCGAGAACCAGAACCTGTCATTTCCAATAATGACCAAATTGGTGTATCAAATAGGCCTGTGCGTCTGGGCTATTTTGGTCCCCAGTATCGAGCTAGTAGTCCTTCGACAGAAAGCGGCCTGATGGTGGGGAATTTCTCGTTCAAGCTTCCACTTCTTTTGATGTGGGATGTGCCATCGATAGTGAACCTCTCGAAGATTGACATAAACCATTGGAAGGATTCTTTGGGGAAGTGCTCATAGAGCTTGCGATGACCTGGTAGTTCTGTAATTTGAGACTTCTCGAGCTTCGCGGCATCATCATAGTGACACACGAATTGAGAACCTGGGATAATTAGCCTGTAGACGGGTAATAAGGATGAATTCATACTATACCTCGGTACTTCTCCGCCAACGCAAGAAACTTGTTCCATGTCATTTCATCTCCCGCTACCCGAGTTTCTTCGTCCCACTTCTCGAGGTCCAGAGCTGCAACGATGTAGCGAGCTAAATCAAATGTGTAGATAAAGCTGACAAGTACGTTTCCATCACCAGGTATGGCTGCAGCCTTGTTCTCGATGTCGATGACAAAGACATTTGGCTTGAGATATGATTTCATCGCGGAAGTGCCAAAGTAGTCGAGGAATATCCCGTTGTGGAAAACGGTCCATTCAAGACCCGACTCTCGAAGAGCATCCATGGCGGCAAAATAGTCCTTGAGCTGGGGGAGAGACCCTAGTGCGCTGAAAAGAGATCAGATTGAGATGCCACCTTGTTCAAAGAAGGAAAGACCCTAACCTTTGCGGGTATGGAATGGCATAACCACTTGGAATAAACCTTCTTGTTTCTCGAGATTTTGTAGCAGCCTTGATCAGGTTCATTTGGGAGCTCGCCAGTGAGTCCCCTTCAACTGCAAATGCAGATATCACAGTATGGATCTTGTGCCTCTCGAGGATAGATACTAGCGAGTCGATATCGTTGTAGTCCACCTGGATTGTGTCTTTCTGATTTGATTCCTAATGATGGTCAGCCTGTTTCATTGAGGGAAGCTATGCCTGTACTAACACTCCGCGTAAGAACAAAAGGATGATGGGGTGATTTTTGCATAACCTCCACGATGGTTCTACCAACACCTCCAGTTCCGCCAGCAATTGCGACGTTGATCATGATTCGTTGGTTTCTAGATGGAGAAGGGGAGTTCCAGGAGGTGAAATACGGAGATAGTAAAGTAAGACTCCCTGTGAAGGCTGGGTCTCAGGGGCTTTAAATATCTTTCTAGCTTACCTGTGAATACGTTTTAGCATGAGAACTGTCCCGGGGCGTTCGATGCCTCATCGGTGCAAGAGTGGGGCCCGCATAAGGTTCGCTCCACACGATACGAAAATGGCCTCTTTGGGCGTAGTGTCACTCCACTTTCTCTTCGTCCTTCTCTCATTCTCCATTTCTCATCATACCTTTCACTTTGAATACTGCTTGGGAATATGGGCTCCCGCTCAATCAACGGAATTGACCGGTTCCGTCTGTTCTCCGCCCCGAAGAGGCCCTCGGCCAAGCGCGGCCGACGCAACCACACCAAATCTCGACTAGGTTGTGGCGCCTGCAAGACTAGTCGAGTCAAATGCGACGAAGTTCGCCCACACTGTGGTCGATGTGTTTGGCGTCAAAAATTCTGCACGTACGAAGTTACCCCGTGTGCCATTAAAATACCGTCAGAGAATCTGGAGCGGCATGTCTGGTCTTGTTGGAATCCAACTCTTGGACACACATTGGATTTTGATTATACCTATGACCCATCCGCGACTGATTTAGGTATGGGAATGGCAATGACACCAGTTTCACATATAATGCAGAGCTTCTCGGACTGCGTGGATTCCTCGTTTCACTCCCCGTTGGGGAGAGCCTTGGTCAAAGACTTTATTCTACCAGGTTGCGCTAGTCACCCCATGCTCATGCATATCCTCCTAGCTTTTTCTGCTCGCCGGCTTCATTTTTTACAACCTTTATCTCGCGAACACGAAATTGCATATATCTTTCACTTCCAGTCTTCTACGGAGCTATTCAACAACCTGCTGACAGAGGCAGTCGTCGATGCTCAGAACATAGCCTTGGTCTATGCTACCTGTCTGCTCACCACGATGGTATCGTACACTACCGGTAGTGGTTCAATCTCAAATTCATGGATCTTCCAGGAGGATGAGGCATCGATCAAAGAGTCTTTGATATGGTTTATGATACAGGAGGGCATGGGTCTCATCTCTGAGATCCTTCACTGCCATATAAATCAGACTTTTTGGCGATTGAAGCGGTATCCTGCGGGAGATCAATCCCCTGCGCTGTCTTCCGGGTTAGATAGCGGCTCCAGCATTTCACGGCAGCTCTCGGCTATATATGGTACCGCTTCAGGCACTACTCCGGATCATGATCCATACTCTCTCCCATTCTCTATGGTGAATAGCTTTCTGCGACAGAGCAAAGTTGGACCATGTCAGCTAGATGCCCTCCTAGGCTTCGGCCCGAAGGTCCCCCCTACCTATCGGAGACTTGTTCGAGAAAAAGATGACAAAGCATTGCTGATATTCATGATATGGCTGAGCTTGTTGGCTCAGAAGGCCCCTTGGTGGGCGGCCACACGTGTCAGGGATGAGCTCTGCGCCGTTACATGGTTCCTGAGTCAGAGCCAAGATGACAGGATCAGATGCATTGCATCAAACCCGGACGAGGTAATGGGGTGAGAATGATTTGTTATTTTTATTGAGACAGGTCAAAAGTTATCGATAGTAGCATGCGATCAGCAATTAAATAGGGTGTGTTCTTGGCTGAGATGCCGCCCTGGTATTGCCAGGTAACGCTTCGCAGTTCCAGTTATAGCTTTGGGGGTAGTCGATACAGGGGTTTGGCCTAAGAGCTTAAAGGTATCACGCTGTATACATACCTACCTAGGTAGGTAGTAGTTGGGTGTAGACCCCATGGTCATCATTGGCTATCCTTGGTCTCGTACAGACACCGCCGAACCCCCACCCGTGTCATAAAGCCCGCCTTAAAAAAAAGCACTGCACAAAATTGACGACACAAAAGACCAGTTTTGAGGTTCAGGGCTTCTCTGTATTACTCTCACCTGTAATCCGTACGCTCATCCTACGAGATTTGATTTGATTTCAAGGTTGGACCACGGTTTTCCTGTACCCCTTTAGAAATCAGAGTTTGGACGTCTGCGACCAATCTCTCTCTCGTCCTCTCTCTTTTCGTTTTCCTCTGCGTGTATTTTTATCTCCAGTTGCCTAGGTTGGAACGGAAACGTCCATGTTATCGTGTTCCAAGGTTTACCTAGTAGTCAAAGCTTCAAGATATTCATTTCTTACCAGGCATGTGAAGTAGCTTGGATGTATGGATATACATATCACCGAGCACACTTGCCGAGGCCCTCAGGCCCCCCTCCCGAGTCAGTCTCCAGTCTATCTTTTCTTCGTATACCTAGGTAAGAACAATTGGCTTGAATGCACCGAGAAACCGCTGGCTTCAACAAAAAAATACCCACAGAAGATACATTTATATCCCAACCCAGCTGTTGCGACATGCTGCGGTGGGCCGTGATAGAGGGAAGTCCAAAAAATGAGTGCATCATCCGTGAATCGAACACGGGCCTCGTCGATGGCAACGACGAATTCTACCACTAGACCAATGATGCCAGTTGTTGAAATTGAACCAACTATTAGAAAATGTAAGAGAGAGATTTTGTCATGGCAACCTTGGAAGGGAATATTGGAAACCGTGCTCAAGTGGGTAACTTAGCCCGCATTTCTTGTGTGGAAGACAAGGTTTTGTTGTGGAGTTCCACGCGAATGCTAATCTCGGATCCGGCGTTCCAAGGTTGGGATAAGGTTCGGCACTGGATTGTTATGAGGGAGTTTGAGGTCTGCACTCTGGATATGTATTTGGAACAAGGTTTCTCCCAACCACTCCCACGGCGTATCCATACCTAAGTAGAGACCTTTAACCCAATATAGAGCTCATTTTGGACTCTTCAGGCACCAAGGAGAGTAGGAACCATGGATCCGAGAGAAAACAAGATCATACAACATCCTAAAAAGGCCCCATGAAGGGTCATAGCGAATGTAACTCTCCTATGGTCTGGACTATCACAAAGCAAGTGTATACTGGTGGCCTGAATGGTTCAGAGGCAGGTGAACCCAAGGCAGAAGAGGAGCAGACTAACTGCCGACTTCCGACGTCAGGCCCATGGAAACCTGTTCGGCTGACTCGCGGAGATAAAAGCGCCCGAGCTCGGACTTTACGAAACACCGAAAATTAGTTCAACCTTGGTGCTGAAAATCGAGCTCTCTTTTCTCTCTTTCTCGTTCTTGTTCTCTTTATTTTATGTGATTTGCGTTTTCGACTCTGCATGCCACCATGGCTGCCGTGACCAGAATCCTCTCCTATGCGAGCAACAAACCGTACCGATCTCAAGATATTCAATATGAGCCCGCATTGCATCTGAACCAAGATGGCTTTGTGGACTTTGCTCCCAACGATATCGAAAATCCACGCAACTGGTCTCTGCCACGTCGAGTTACCATCACCATCACCGCCGTTCTGTTGGTCGTGAATGCCACTTTCGCTTCAAGCTCGCCCAGTGGTTGTTTCGGTTCCATCTCCGAAGAGTTCGGTGTATCAACAGAGGTAGCAGGCCTCACCATCACACTATTCCTGCTGGGCTACTGCGCCGGTCCCCTCATCTTTGCCCCGCTGAGCGAGTTTTATGGCCGCCGATGGATCTTTTACATCAGTTTCGCCTTATACCTCGCTTTCAACTTCCTATGCGCCTTCGCACCTAACCTCGGTGCCCTACTGGTCGGCAGATTCCTCACGGGGACCTTCGTGTCTGCTCCTTTGAGCAATGCGCCCGGAGTGCTTGCAGACCTATGGGATCCATTGCAGCGCGCTAACGCCATGGCTGGCTTTTCCGCGATGGTCTATGTCGGCCCAGCCCTGGGACCTGTCATCGCTGGCTTCCTCGAGCTGAAGGAAGATTGGCGATGGAGCTTTTATGTGCTTCTCTGGCTTGGTGGGCTGACAGCCATACTGATGCTGACCATCCCTGAGACATATGCGCCGACGGTGTTGTACAACAAGGCTAAGCGAATGCGAAAAGCGAGGATTCCTGGCTACGAGGACGTGAAAGCCCAAATCGAGAGCAGTGACAGAACGCTCATCGATATCTACAAGGTTGCAATGACTCGCCCATGGATCATTCTGTTTGACCCGATCTCCCTGCTGTGTGCAATCTACATGGCCGTCGTCTACACCTTGCTGTACATGCTGTTCAGCATTTACCCGATTGTGTTCCAAGAGAAGCGAGGATGGAATTCAGGCGTGGGCGAACTGCCACTAATTGGCACGGTTGTCGGCGCGTTGATCGGCGGCGTGATTGTACTGATTGATACTCGAATCCGCCAACGCAAGATCGAGAGGGGCCAAAAGACAATACAAGATACAGTTCCCGAGGACCGGCTGACCTTGGCGATGATTGGCGGTGTTGGGTTCCCTCTTACAATGTTCTGGTTTGCATGGTCCGCCCAATACAAGTAAGTACCGGGACCTCGAATTAAGCGAAATCGAAACAAGACTGACTCCGTGAAAGTGAGGTTCACTGGATAGTTCCAACTCTCGCTGGGTGCTTCCTCTCAAGCTGCTTACTGCTCATCTTCGTGGCCTATTTGAACTATCTCGTGGACTGCTACTTGATGTATGCCGCATCTGCCATCGCCGCGAATACCATAGCCCGATCGGCCTGTGGAGCCGCTGCACCGCTCTTCACCAACCAGATGTTCACCGCAATGGGCGTCGGAGGCGGAGGGAGTCTCATTGGTGGAGTTGCGGCTGTGCTAGCCGTGATTCCCTTCCTTTTCTACAAATATGGCAAACAGATCCGTATCAAAAGCCGGTTTGCACCAGCTTTGGATGCTCGGAGAGAAACGAAGACAGACGAAGAATCTGCGCCCCAAAACGGTCCCATGCAAAGTCCCGTCTCGGCCTCTTCTCCAAGCGGAACCTCACTGTCTCCGTCTGTCAGAAGTGCTGACATTCAACGAGAGGTGACCACCGAAAAATGAATGATGTCATGCCCAGGAAAATAATTAAATGCCATGATGGCTGATAATATAATCTACCAAAAGAAAACTTGGAATTTCCAAGCTTCGTGCAATGATCATTAACCCAACCAATGCACCAAATACAATGCTGGGACTTGATGTTCAGCTGCTTTTCCAGCTATTCTTTTTTTTTTTTTTCTCTCACTGGTAGAGGCGAAAATTGACCGAAAGTAGACAACTGCTACTCACAACGTATGATTAAGTCACTAATTAAAACAGAGATCTGGACTAGAATTTACCGTCCAGTGCCTGAGGAAAGCCTTGGCAGAAGCGGCCGCAGTCATGGCTGCATAATCCTGCCACAGCTTGTTCTTATGACTGTCTGCGTAATCACAGACACCCTTGACAATGATACAAGGGATGGTCTCCCATGCGCCGGACCCCTCCATCTCGAAGGCTATCGCCTTGGTCTCCCTTGAAATCTTGTCACGGTCTGCCCCGGACTTCAACACCGTATCCCCCGAGGCAATCAGACCAAAGTGTATGGCAGGTTGATTGTGGCGGTTGTGACGGGATCGTTGAACCAATCTTCGCTGATCGCATCCAAGTTGATCGCAGGTGGAATCGATAGCCTTGTCGCATATCTCATCAGCACATTCTCGACAGCTGGCGGAGATGGTATGATGTCTGTGAATGTATGACGCATCAAACAACTTGTCTTCTGCTGGCCCCGGATAGAGTATTCTGTCTCGTGGGTCGGAGTTGTGCTCTCGCTCATTGAGGTCCTTGGCTATTTGATCTTGCAAATTAGCTCGATGCTTGTTAGTTTCCAGACGAGCAAGCAATGATGATATTCGGGGATCTGGTCGTCCTGGTTGATCATCATAGGCGGATTTACGTCGAAATTGGCCCGGGTATTGCCTGCCGAAATCATACTGGACTATGCCTTTGCTGATGACGACGTCTCCAAGTAGAATCTCAGTGTTTCCACCAGGGAGTGGAACTCCACCACATACTCCAACTATGAGAGCTAGTTTGATGTTGGGGAAGCTCATCGAGCATGCGGCTGCAACATTTGCTGCAGTAGCCTTCCCCATTCGAGGCTGGTGTGCGAGAACCACATTGTGGTTTCCTATCAATCCTGCCGTATATGAATTTGGGTCGTTGGGCTGTTTCCCATATGTATAAACACCATTGTCGTCTTCCCAGTATTTCTCAAAGATGGCTTCGATGGCGTTGGCCTCTATTCGGAGTGCGCATATAATGGCAACAGTAAAATCATGACGTGTGCGAGGCTGTTGCGGACGGTTTTGTGGTTTATTAGAACAAGCCGCGGGTCGACAGTGAGACGAGTCTTCCAAGGTTGTGTCTGCATCAGAGGAACGTATTGGTTTGTACGACATCACAGCAGTTTCTTCCAAACTGGGCATGGGAAGGTTTCCATGAGACATTCGCGGCCGGGGAGCCTTCTGTAACCCATTTTGATTATGATGCTTAGGACCAACAGCCGTTGATTTCAACGCTGCGTTCTTCAAGCCAATCTGGTCGCCATGTTGACCTAGGCTGACATGAGGAACCTCCACAGCCCCTTTCGTGAAGACTTTACAGATGCCAGCATCCGCAAAGCTAGGAGATTGTAGTTGTTCAACTTGACCCCAGGTCCAATGTGCTCCTTTCACAAGATCTTGCTCCAGTGGGCGCACAATTTTTTTGTAGTAGGTGTCGATGAATTGCTGATTTGAAAGAAGAGCCTCGGAATCCAACGTGTCAAATTGGGAAAGGGAGGCTCGATCAATACAGAATGTGACAGCACTGACAAGACCCGAATCTAGGTTAAAGCGCTTCCGAAACTCCTTAAGAAGATGCTGAGCAGCATAGAATGGTTTGTGCTTTTTGGATGCATACAACGGATCACTTTTGATATCCAACATGTCCTCTCCAAGTTCGATTTCCAAAAGCATAATGCCAAGGGCAAGGATTGTCGGGAAGGGGTGGATTTTGTAACCGCGCGATCGAGTGGCCTGATTGTCGTCGGGGCCGAACTTTGTGGCGATGAAGACTTTGTCAAACAAGGGATATGGCTGAGAATTTTGTACTTTGCAGTATACGTATATATCGTCGATAGACATGCTGCCACTGAGCCACGGACCCTCGAATAGATGGAGCATGCACCGAGCGAGCGTCACACCCATCACTCGTTTTGCTGCATATGTTGGCTTGATAATAGCCTGCAACTCAGTGAGGCTCATCTCCACGTAGTCTTCTCCCGCCAGTATGACTTCCAGCGGCCGGGCTAGTCTTTGCTTATCCCAGAGCTGGTATTCGTCGTCTGTGGTCAAGTATAAACACACACCCCGAGACTGATCGTCGTGCATTATGAGACAGGCAGGCGAGCCTTGTTCAACGCTGTAGATAGGTTGTCAGTGACTTAAAGGGGGGAAAGAAGGCATTAGTGAAATCGCTCACCCATAATCACTTGTACAGACTCTACACTCTTGAAGTATACCAGGACCAGTCAAAAGCATAAACAGGCTATCATGAAGGTCCTCTGAGGAGCTCCACTGGGGATCCAGGAAGAATTTTGCCTCCAGGCAAAGACCTAAACGGCCGTCATGGTTATGATGCTCCGACTGGCAGGGCCAGTTGGCGTGCAGAGAATTGTATAGTGACTGCGACATATGCCGAACATTGTCTTCTCGGCGGAAAACGATTTCGACCATGGGAGGTCTTGGACAGTCCCCATCGGTTTGTTCCAAGTCATCCGCTACATCGTCAACATCGTACAACTCGTCCACCAGTGAGTTCCACTTTTTGACCGAGAAAATGAGATCTCGGAGGTGTCGCTCGTCGCGGCCGAGAAATCCTTCCGGATCAAGGGATCGAACATCTGAGCGGCGAAAAAGCTCACGGAATGTGAAAAGATGAGGAAATGGGCTGTTTGCCTGTTGAATGTCTGGGGGCGGGGAGGGTTCCTGGGTTTTAGTGATGAAGTAGGATAGGAAGAAAGGGAGGGTGTGGGCCCGTGACTTTTGTTCCTCTTCCAGCAAGTGCTGGTATCGTGACTTGATGTAATCGCCGCACAGTACTCGCTCCAGTGAGTGAGCTACCTCGCAAAGCGACTTTTCGAGAGACTTTCGGCGGGTCAAGGCATAAAGCACCTGGATTGATTTGATCTCCGCCACCAGATGGGCTAATGATATTTTCAAAGATCGATGAAGGCTTCCCGATGCCGGGCGGCTGTGGTTGATGGCTTCGACAAACGCTGTTGCGACGTCTGCGACGATTTCCTCCAATCGCGGCCCCACCTCTCCCTGAATGTCACACATTGTGGTACCGACTTGCGGCCCGGACCTTGTAGGATATTAACCGGACCCAAGAACAAGGAAACCATGCGAGCGCACAAAGTCGGACGTGCGGGGCATAAGTGCACGAAGAACCCCAGGTTGTACGCGCGAAAAGAACTTGGATTTGTCATGCGTCAGCATCGCCAGGGTCTCCGAGGTTCGGGGGCCTAATTGGCGGCGCATAAGCTGGCGCTAAATCCATCGCCCTTTGGGCAAAGATGCGCAGACCCCCACTTTCATTCCCACACCCTGATCCCTAAGCGACACCTCTGCGGGCGTCTCTCCATGCTCTGAATAAAAGTCTAATCTGGCTACGAGACAGACCTCCCTGAGACAGAAGACCGACATGTCGATTGCAGATCGGGCTAGGGAGGCGGAGGGTGCGTTTGAATCTTGGAGGACCTCGTTTGATCCTGGGTCCCCACAAGTCGAAGAAGCCGAGAATCAACTCTTCAGATTCAATTTATGGACGTCGAATAACTTTGTTTTTGGGGCCGAACGTGCTTCGATGGACTGGAGATTACGCAATGCGGCTGTGCTACACTCTGCAATGGAGGACTTGCTGAATGACCTAAAAGACAACCTAATTGGTGCCAACCCCCAATTCTTCGACACGAAAGCTACAGGCTAATAGGGATACAAAACAATTAGGACAGCATCCTAGGTCGCTTGAGGATCATGAGTCTACCAAGCCGGGGATTATAGAAGAAAATCTCGACGAGCTATTCAGGTTCTCACGAGCCGTTCGCCGATCAGGGGTCCTCCACAGATTCGTCAAGATTGCCAACTACATTGAGCTCAGTCCAGAAGGGCTCAATCTTACCGAACAGTTTCGCAACGCTGCAACCCAGCTTGTTGGCCACTATTTGAGGAACTCACCTGCAGCGCCGTCCCTTCGTGACAGACTCATTGAAACGATTTGTATACGACAACAGAACTTCTCTTATCTGAAATCTCGAAGAATGAGAATGCCAATCGCTCCACGAGCAACAAATGCCGGGGCGCCTTCCGCATCTCGATCAGTTCTAACAACCAGTTTCAGCGTTGGAGGAAACATGTCCGCAGCGCCGAAGAGAAAAAAGAACGCAAAAGTTGAACCACCAAGGCAAATGGAGAACTCTGTCATGACAGCGACAACGGTACAATACAACAATGTAAACTTCCAATACTCTGTTCAATCCGCGGTCAATGACCGTGATTCAGAGACAACAGACAGCGATGCAAACCTTGCATCCCCGCCAGTGGTGCCAATCGGACAAAAAGAATGGGAATGCCCATATTGCCTTCTAGTCTGCCCAGTCAAGGAGTTCAACGGAGAAGCATGGAGGTATGAAATGCCGATCTTTGAATGATAGATCCACCAAACTGACCATATTCTGTGAGGCAGGAAACACATCTTGGGGGATTTTATGCCTTACATATGCATACTGGACAACTGTCTGACCCCAAACACTCTTTTCAAATCAAGCAAGGATTGGATACTTCATATGAAGAAGGAACATGTTTCCCACGGATACTGGACTTGTATGGACTCTGCTCATGATACGCCTTGCTTGTTTAAGAGTGAGCACGAGTTCAAAAGCCACATGCATCAATTCCACGGGGACCAATTTGATGATTCAGAGCTTGAAGACCTCACGGAGGCTTGTTTTGAGTCCAAGCCAAGCAATTTTAGTCTGTCGACATGTCCTTTTTGTGATGCGAACGATCAGTCAACCTGGCCTACGGACGACATGCTTTCGCACGTGTCTCAGCATTTACTTTCCTTTGCTCGAATATCCCTCGAAGGCTATGTTGAAGAACAAGTTGAGACTTCCAATATTTCCAGCCTATTGGACGAGACGGATTCATCTCACAGCCCAGTAATGGCAATGACTGTCAAACAAGGCCTCGAAATGCACATTGATGCCTTCACTCAAAACGAAGATGATGATACAGAGTCCTTAGATACTCTATCTGAACTGGATATACCCCAAGACACCGAGAACGAAAGTTGGGAGTTTTATTGGAGTGGCAAAGAGATAACGCATTATGACCCTACCACTGATCCAGTTTTGAGAAGTCTGATGAGAAACGCAAAGAACGTCAAATTTGATGATCGATCAATGCGGGCAGGCTGGGCTTCCTTTCACAAAGTTTCACAGGAAGTCATCAATAGACAGTCTAAGAAGGAACTCGTCCGCCAGGAGATGCTACAGGAAATTGTTGTTACAGAACTGAGCTATTCGAGGCAGTTGAAGGTTGTTCAAGATCTCTACAAAGATCAATTGATAAATGCCGATCCCCCCATCGTTCACGCCGAGTGCTTGAAGAACTTTGCGGAAAAAGGGTTCGATCACATTGATTTAATTGAGAGAATCAATCGAGAACATCTTCTTGAGCGACTTCTCGATCGTCGAAGAAGACAGGGGCCATTTATTGTTGGTTGCGGTGATATTTTTTGTGACTGGGCAACCGTGGCCTCGAAAGCGTATGTGGCATACAGCACCGCCTACCCTTGTTTGAACTTTCTCTTTCGCGATGAAGCTACGAGCAACTCGCGGTTTGGTGAATTCTTACGTCAAGCCCGTGGTAACAAGAGATCTAACCGACTCGCTTGGGACACATTCCTGAAAAGTCCCATCCAGCGAATTTCGCAATATGTTCTACTACTGAGGGCAATACATAAAAAGACGCAAGAGTCCAGTGCAGAGATGTCAGATCTGACTCTGGCAATTCATCAGTTGGAGGTTTTACAAAAGGACTGTGGAGATGCATTTGAGAAATCCCAGAAGAACATGGAAGTGAAGGACTTGATTTCAAGGCTTCATGTCCCGCGCGACATAATATCAGACTCCCAGCTTGATATCTTTGATTTAAACCTGGAGATCATCTACGAAGGGGACTTGCAAAAAAAGTCCACGAGATCTACCAAGCTCTCTCTGGCGAGACTGACCAAAGATCTGGTGAGACCCAGCCAGGGGGGCTTGATTGATACGCATGGGGTTCTTTTTAACACCCATTTTGTTTTAATGGAAACAATGACGGAGTCGAAAGAATCCCGTCGGTTCTCAATTTTCGACAAAAGTGCCCCGATCGTACCTAGAAAGAGATCTTATAAGGTCTCTGAGGTCCCAATTCCTATGCAGATGCTTGCGCTGGAAGTGGATATGGAGACCAGGCAGGCTCATTCAATAGCACGAGCACCTAAGCTCAGAAGCCCCGAGTACCCTATGAGGATCAGAAACCTGGAGACGAACGAAAGTTTCTCCCTCTTTGCATTCTCTCAAAGTCAGCAGGATATCTGGAAGAAAAAGATAACCGAGGCTCAGACAAGACATGCTGCTCTGCTGGTGTCATTGCACAATGAGCCCTTCAGATTGAACTTTCTATCAGAATCAACGTTTCAGTACGCCAGCAGCCCATCCAATGTCAGGATTGCTGTTGTTCCAGGAGCTCCCCTAGATCAAGCCATGAAGAAAGCCAACGTGATGGCTCTACAACAATCTAGACTTTCAAATTCTCCGCCATACTTGGCGAATGTCAACTGTGTCACTGTCATGTTCCAGTCAGAGATCAATCCCACTCTATTCATAGTTGGGACAGATGATGGAGCTTTCATTTTCGGCACTCGAATTAAATCCCAGGAAGGAATCAAGGTGAGTAACCAACTGAAGACGTTTTTAATTGACATGTTCATGCTAAGATCTCATTGAGATGCTCCCTGGTTGTCGCGTCACGCAGATACACGCGCTTGAGCAAGCTCGAACACTTGTTCTCCTTGCGGATAACCAGATCTTTGTTCATGAGCTTCACCCATCAGGCATGCCATTCCAGTTGCTCCATCCAAGTGTCGTTACGAATTATGAGAACAAGATCGCTCCAAAGCAGGTGTCCGGTAGGGATCGAGTTCACCTCCTCGTCGCGTGTCATTACAATGGCCGACCATTGCTCATATATCTGGATGATATGCAAAGGCCGAAAAGATTGAGAATGATCTGGCCCACGCATAGAGAGCCAGGCACATTAATTAACCAGTTTATTCCAAGATGGGATTGGTCACACTCGGTTTCCGAGCTCGATTGCGATGATCTTATCGTCTATGATGACCTTACCCGCATCGATATCGATAACACGACGGGACTTTTGGTACTAATGACCCCTCAAAGAATTGGGAGAGTCGGCTTTCATCTTTCGAGCGTGGACAACCCTTGGAGAGAAGAACCAGGTATCTTATGGTCTGTTGATGACTTTGACTTACACACCGTTCTCGATCGACAAGAAGATTTTCTCCTGCCAGGATTCACGGAGCAATACCCCAATCGGCGGGAAATGCTTGACCTACTCGAAGCTCACTCGGTGGGAACTTTCGTCCTCACTGATACACAATCTCGCCTCGCTGGAAATCATTATGTCGCTGTTTACGAACGCTTTGCATTCTACCTCACGCTGGATCTCGAGCTGTCGTCCAAACCTTTCATCTGGTTTAGAAGCAATGTCAAAAAGGCCTGTCTTGACAGAGAGTCTTTGATTCTCTTTCACGAGGAATACATTGAAGTCCGCGATGTGCTGAGCGGTAAGCTTAGCCAGGTTATTCCCGCCTGTGGGGTAAAGTGTCTGAGTGACAAAAGCTACGTCCACAACATCCAGAAGAGTTCAAGCCCACCCAGCGAGAACAATCTTGACCAAAGGAGTAAGGACCAGAGCGAAGGCCTTGAAGAAAGTGGAAACACGGTGAAGATTTCCACGCAGCATCCAGAGAATGCGAACCTCCAGAGCATCCTAGAGCTGATCCGAAACCCGGAGGCCCCGCAAAAGGAATAAACCTGCACGACCAGGGGCTGCTCTAGGGGATCCCAGAGTCTCTGAGAACGCACATATGTACCTGAAATATACCTAGGCACTAGGTAGAATCTTGGATACTTCAGCTTCAAGTTTTTACGGAACTGCAACCTTGGAAAGAATGAATATTTTGTCCCAGACCAGAAATAGCCCTGGGGTCTACGGCCACAACTTCGAATTGTTTACCGAGGTCCTCTCAGAGTTGGACCTAATACTTAAAGGTGAGCATCCTAGTAGTCGTCGGTTTAGAGCTTGATTTTTTTCCTTTTACCTGGGTACCGGCTAGATTTACTTGCTAAGCTAAGAAATGGTAGAAAGGTATAGGGCTTGAGCACGAAAGAAAGGCGGATCAAAAGGTATGAAAGGAACTTAAATTCAGAAATAACGTGAAGAACAACTATGAAACACAATCTATAGTAAGAAATCTATTAGTGTGCCAATGAAGGCGATTTCGCTCTATTATGCCCAGCATAATTTCTCACAGCTTGCTGGCGACAAGAAGGGGAATGTTCTTGGCCTCATACAGATCCTTGTGGGCAGCCTTGATGATATCCGCTCCCTGAGAGTAGTTAGCAAATGCCAAAGTATGATGTCTTGCTGTCACTGACCTTTTCGCCGATCATGTAGACCGAGTTCTGAATGCGACAGTCAGGGATGACTGGAATGACGGAAGCATCTGCAATTCTGAGATTCTTAACTCCGTGCACTCGGAGCTTAGAGTCGACGACACCATGGTGGATGCTCTTGGAGAGACGAGCAGTACCGCAAGGGTCTAAGAAAACTGTTAGCAATTGATCGATGATTTGATGCTGATAAAACTCACGGAATCCAGTTTGGCTGCGATCGAGAACAGCTCGGTTCATGTCCTCATCGGACTCGAGGGGCATCTTCCAGGGGTACTCTGAGAGAACAATGTCCTTGAATCCAGCACCCTTGGTGAGGAGGTCGTAAGTCCAGCGAACACCCTCGCGCATAGCCAAGATATCGAGATCATTGCCAAAGAAGTTCAAGTTGATGTTCGGTTGGACCTTGGGGTTGGCGTTGTTGAGTGTGACCTGGCCTTCGGAAAGGGGTCGGAGAAGATCAACAATGACAGTCATGTAGCTACCCTTCTCGGGCATGGGGTAGTGCCACTGGAATGCACTGCTGAACAGACCGACAAAGTCAAGCTCGAAGTGGGGCTGACCAGCGGGTCCGAATGGGTCGAGTCCGCCATTAGCGGCCTTGGCCTCCCGGTAAGCCGGGTACTTCTCCAAGCGCTGGTCGATGCGAGGGAATCCAACAAGTTCGAGGAATCCGGAGCTTGCAGGGCCGGTCTTGTCGCGCTTGTAGGTTGAAACGGCCTGGTCGTTCAGGGGGCCGGAACGGAGGATGTGGTGATCAAGACTGTATCCTTCCTTGACTTCGAGGACGAATGGGACAATGGGGTGATCCAAAAGATGCTGACCAACGTGAGGAGACTCCACAATAGACTTTATGCCGTGCTTGGCGAGCTCGTCGGCCGGACCGACGCCGCTCAGCATAAGAAGCTTGGGGGTCTCGAACACACCCTGGGACAGAATGACTTCTCGGCTAGCGTAGACACTGAGCTCGGTGTTGTAGTCATCGCTGATGACGGTGACACCGGAGCAGACGCGAGTAACGGGATCAATGATTAATTGCTTGGATCGGACCCCGTAGAGGATCGTGACATTGGGCTTGTTCTTCAGGTAGAGGAAACTGCCTTGGCGCTCACCCTGGTAGATAGTGTCCACACAGTGAGTGAGACCCTTCATCTCACCAGAGTAAATGTCCTCAGTCAGAGGCTCGCCCTTGGAAACCCAGGCTTCGGTGAGGGCATCACGGAACGGCTTCATCTCTGGAACCAGGTCGGCATGGGAGATCTGCACGGGGCCACCGGTGCCAATCTTGTTCAGATCGGTCGAGTAAAGCTTCTCGTCATCGTGGTAGGTGGCGCACTTGCGCAGATACTCGACACAGTTGTCCCAGTTCCAGTCCCGGCCACCGAAAGCCTCCCAGTCATCGAAAGTGGGCTTGGAGCCAGGGATCCAGGTGAAGTAGTTGGCGCAAGAACTTCCGCCAAGGGCCTTGCCACGAGTGTTGGGCTTCTCGACACGCTCATACTCGTCGCGCTTGATCATGGTGGTCTTGTAAGACCAGTCATATTGACTGCCGCGAAGGGTGAATGCCTTGGAGGGAGTGGTGATCTGCTCAATTTGATCCGGGTTGGGAATTCCCGCCTCGACAACCAAGATGCGGACATCAGGGTTCTCAGCTAGACGACCAGCAACGGCGTTGCCAGCAGTGCCACCGCCAACGATGACGAAGTCGTACTCAGATCCATTGGAAACGAATGCCATTGCGAGAAATGAAGATTGTAGAATGGAGTGGGAAATTAAGGAAGATGTTGGAAATTAAGAGCGAAAATAAAAAGAAGATCTTTTGAAGATGGTTTGCTGAATGTTCAAGAGGCTTGAGAATTGAAGGTGTGTGAAAGAAAAATAAGACGAGAAGTCAGGCTGGTTTTATACTTCGTTCTTCATGATGAGGCCTTCAGACAGGCCGCTGTGCCGGAATCCGGTATGACAACCTTTAGCCAAGCCTCGAGATTGTCGTTCCCAAGACGGTTAGGACAGAAACTTCCCAAGGTCGGAAATATGCAAGGCGCATCTACTCCAAGAATCCAGAGGGCTGGTTCCATGAGTGACGGTAGTGGCTCGGCTTTGGAAGGACCAGCCCTACGGGTTGCTCAGGTGCTTAGTATGCGCTATATTCCCCTCATGAGGAGAAGTCAGAAAGCCACCCCGCACGAGCCCCTGGTATCAGCCAATCAGACACTATCAGATGCATCCTTGGGGCTTCTGGAAGGTCAAAGGAAGGTCGAAAAGGTTGGAGCCTTACAAGGACGGCTCTCGGCGTTCCGTCGGGCGAATCTCGTCTGTTGCTATGGTGGGGCCCATCTCGGCCCATGGATGCCGAATGCGAACATCCACCCAATCACATCACTTCCTTTTAGTTCTTGTCTCAACTGATCTTCGCGTCACACATTTCATATGCATCTATTCATAGTCGACATTGGAGTTGCGCCCGACGAAATACGGCTCTTCGGCATCAACGTCGACGTTGATGACCAGGAGGCTTTTCGGCGTGTTGCTTTTTTGTCTTGCTTTTTGCGCCCCATGAGAAACGAATGGACGGCCTCCGATTACGGATTCAGAGAGCCGAAGTTGGAGATTGTCGCGATGTTGCATCCCCGAAAGGATTGTGATAAAAGCCATCAGTTTCCCCAAAAAAGAAGAGGTGCATACTTTCTCAATCTGACAGACTTGAATATCAGAACCACTCACCAACATGTCAAAGCCCAATTTTACCTTGGCAGAAGGTATCCTTCCCTGACCCCAATGAAATCCCTGAGATACAATATCTAACACTTGCCAGGCCAGCCCGTTTCCGACCCATCTATCAGTACCACTCTACCTACATTTGGTGGCGGCGCCTACACGACCTTGGGCGACACGCTGCTCCTAGAGACACTTGCTCATTTTAACCGAGAACGCATACCCGAAAGGTTGGTACCAAACCATCCAATTCATCCGAAGCTTTGAGTTTATCGAATACCAAACTGACGGGAAATAGAGTGGTGCACGCCAAGGCCTCGGGTGCATGGGGTGAATTTGAGGTCACCAATGACATCCGGGCTCTCACGTCAGCCAAATTCCTCAACGGTGTGGGCAAGAAGACCCCAGTCCTTTTCCGCCTCAGCACCACTGGCGGTGAGAAAGGCAGCGCAGACACTGTGCGTGATGTGCGCGGCTTCTCAGTGAAGTTCTTCACCGAAGAGGGTAATCATGATATTGTGGGAAATCATATTGTACGTGTTGAATCTTTTTTTCGGTAACTAGCTAACAATATCCAGCCGGTGTTCTTTGTCCGTGATCCAATTCGCTTCCCGTCTTTGAACAGGAGCCACAAACGACACCCGGCCACGAATCGCCCAGATTGGAATATGGTGTGTGGGTCCAACCCTATCTGTGCTGCCAAGAAGGCTAATCTGTCTTAGTTCTGGGACTTTCATACTAACCAACCGGAAAGCGTCCACGCTTTGATGCATTTGTTTGGCACTCGAGGTATCCCGGACTCGATTCGTCGGGTTCCCGGCTTCGGTGTTCACACGTTCAAATTGGTCACGGCCGATGGCAGTTTCCGTTACTGCAAATTCCACTTTAGGCCTACCCTTGATATCACCCATTTCTCTGGCCCCGATGGCACTCGCATGGCCGGTGCCAATCCAGATTATCACAACCAAGATTTGTGGAATGCCATCGCCCGTGGACAGTTCCCCGTTTGGAAGCTGTATGTGCAGACCATGGAGCCAGCGCAGGCTGAGACATACGGCCGTGGTCTGTTCGACATCACCAAAGTCTGGCCCCATAAGCAATTTCCTTTGATTGAGGTTGGCAAAATGACTCTCAACAAGAACGTATGATACCTTCCCGTGGAAGAATAGAGCGAACACTAACTTGACAAGCCCGAGAATTATTTTGCCGAGATTGAACAAGCAGCATTCTCGCCCTCTAACATGGTGCCCGGAATCGCGATGACCCCCGATCCCAGTGAGTTCATTTCACCATATTCTGGTAATAAAACCAATGAAACAGCACGCTAACCCATCTTCCACCAACCAGTGCTGCAGGCACGTATGTTTGCTTATCCCGACGCTCAACGATACCGTCTTGGCGTAAATTACACCCAGCTTCCCCCAAACCGAGCAATCTGCCCCGTGCATCACCCCTTCGAACGCGACGGGTCGGCAACCATTACTCGAAACTACGGAGGTGAGCCCAACTATGTGCGCAACTCGCAGAGCCGTGGCGCTCCTGGCCAAACTTTGGCAGATGTGCGACATACCGAGCGCATACAGCAAAATGCTGCTCTGGGTCAGAACGAGCTTTCCGTCGGGGAAGAGGACTTTGTTCAGCCACGTGAGCTGTGGAATCGCGTCTTTGACGAGACTGAAAGAAGGCAATGGGTTTCGAATGTGTCGGAAACTTTGGATGAGCTGCCTGTTGCTCTCAGACATGCTGTTGCTGACATGTTCAGCAAGGTTGACCCCCGTATTGGTCAAATGCTAGCCGCCAAGGCTAGTAACAGCTCCCATCTTTGATTGTGCCCCTTTTATCTTTTTGAATGTTGCCAAGAACGCAAGTAATATGATAGATAGATAGATCGATAGACTGATAGATAATTAGTGTGGTACTTTTCTTTTGGAATAGAAATGAGTTCGTTTTGACCGAAAGCCAACCCTTAGAATCCTGGTCTGCATGCCCAGGTGCTGCATGGTACCTAGTATGGGCCCTGGCCCAGAAACCTTGGAAATACCTACCTAGGTAGTAGTTCCAAGGTTCTTAGCAGAAATCGTCCCCGTAACAGAGAATTTACCTATCTATAGTGCACGCGCTCGGACGATGAGAGATATTGACACTGTTCTCGACATAACTGAAACATTTTCAATATCCCCGGGAGGTTCGAAGGTTGTCTTGTACCTAGGTAGCTCCTGAAAAGCTCGATGATCTCTAACATATATATCAAACCACGGAAAATGAGAGAAAAAAAACGAAGAGAAAACTCTGGCTCAAGGAATCTCGGCAGAATATGTTTCCAGATTTGAGTCAAACCAAAGGCAAAATTACATGGCTGTCATACTCTCCACCCATATGCACCCAATGTTTTCCCTTGTTGTGAACATGATCCGTAGTACCAAAGTTCGATATTCCTTGGTAATGGCCACTCACGCACATCTGCAAAGACTCGCCAGCCTCATATTCGACACCCATCCCCCATATGCCAATCTCCAATCGCACCACTGATCCAGGTTGTATTTTCTCCTCCTTCTCATGAGTGTAGAAGGGCCAGTTAGGGTGCATAGAGCGCGAGGTATCGATTGCACGGTTTGAAGCACGAAGTATACCGGTCGGCCCCTGGTAGAGGATGACTTCTGTGCGCTGGTCCTCAGGAATGTCGGATATTTTGGAGACAGGAATGTTGGTCCAAGGGATATTGAGGTTGAAAAGCTTCTCTCCTGATGCAGAGATCTTGTTGAGAACAACGTATATATCCATGTCATCCAGATCATCACAGCTCATGTAAAGCACTGCCTTTGGAATGCCGACAATCTGGGTCCGTTCGGGGAAAGTATAAGTGAATTTTGCCATGTCTTCAGGATCCTCGGAGTTGTAAGACACCCGGTCCAACTCAGAGGATGCTCGGTCCAAATTCAAGCGTCCATTGGACGTAAGATATGCTCTTTGGTAATTTGTGCGTGGGATTGGAAAGTTTTCCTCGACCAAGTTGGCCAAAGGCTCTTTCTCGCCATATCTCAAAATTGCCATTCGCACTTTGGGGGTTGACTCCCAATCATTCTCGATTCCCTTCAAATACCGGTCGAAAAATGATAGGAGCTCATTTCGGCCGTCTTGGTTCCCCCATATATCGTACCACTCCTGATACGGGTGCCATCGAAGCCATTTCTGTGGAGTATCAACTTCCAGCCAGCCTCTGATTGCACCCATGCCGTGCATAGTGTTGGTCCACGTGCCCGTGATATAGGTGGGGATTTTGATCTTGGTCATGTCAGGTCGCTTGTCGTTCCACCAGTCATTCGCTAACGGGTGCTTTTGAAACATTTGTCGGAAGCTTTCCATTCCGTTGCGTCCTCGTAGCATATGCTTCACGATGAGATGATCGAAAAGATCGCCGCCGTATATGCCACCTCGAGCAAACTGCTCGCGATACAGGTCACCGCATCCTTCCCATGGCGCAATGGCTTTCAACGACGGAGGTTGAAGTGCGGCAATGAACCATTGCACGATGGCAAGGTGCGAGTTACCAGCCATGCCAACACTGCCGTTGCACCATGGCTGTTGCGCAATCCACTCAATCACATCGTATCCATCTTCGGCTTCCTGTGTTCCCATAATTGCCATTGTGCCTTCCGAATCAAAGGAGCCACGCGAATCCACGTTGATCACGGCGTACCCGCGATCTACAAACTCTGCAGGGTCGGGCGCTTCGAATTTCTCAAGTCCACTCAGCGTTCCGTCGGGAATACCGAGATTCCATGGTGTCATGAGTTGAAGGGACTGAATTCCGTTGAACTTCTTGCCGAAAGGACTCCAGCAAAGTATGGCCGGGGTTGATCGTGCGGGGGCTTTTGGTGGTCGGTAAACATCGGCGTGAAGTTTACAGCCGTCTCGTACAACGATTGAAATGTCATGCTCCACGAGGATGTCGCAGGTCAAAGCACGTCTTCCTGGTGCGGTTGAATATCCTTTTGGAAGTAAATCCTCGCGTGGGTTCACTTCCTGATAGCCTCCATAGCCCACTTCGGGATTCTTCAATCCTTCCACGGGAATTTCAACGTTGAATTTTGACGACATTTCGAGCAAACGAGAACTCCGATGATATTGAAATGAATCTGAATGCTGGGCGGTGGTAGTTATAATGATAGTATTGGGGGACTTGTGCCCAGTTCGGCTCGGCTCGGTTCGCTTCGGCATGCGGGCATGTTGCTACCCCGGATTGCCGTGTGGGGGAGACCTGGTCATTCTTGCAAAACATGGGGTAAAGCCAATCAAAAGAGATACGCGTTTTGGATACGCCAATTATGTACGTGCTATAAGAATCAGACTAGCCTCTGTGGTGGAACTCTTCAACCGCTCACCTGGTTCCCCTTACCACGGTACTTTTCTATTCATTGATACATCTTCATCATGGACAAGACCGACGTGAGTCACGTTGAGATAGCACAAGATCCTCGTCGGGACTTAGACCATGTCGGTCAAGTCGAGCTCTTAAAGGACAACAAGGTGATCTTAATACCGGCCCCGTCTGCGGATCCCAAAGGTATCTTCTCGTTGTCAAGTTGGGTTCGATCACTAACACGTTTAGATCCTCTAAACCTTCCACCTTGGAGAAAGTGGATGTTGCTCATTCTGGTCTCGGCATATAGCTGTACAGCCGTTGTCCTTGCCTCTGGAATGGGCCCCATATTCTCCGTGGTAGTGCAAAGCTACCCTAGCCAGGAGTCAAAGGCAAATGACTTGATGACATATCCGACCCTCTTCATGGGTCTCGGCAATTTTATCGCTATGCCATGGGCATACACAGCAGGTCGTCGACCTATATTCCTCGCATCGATGCTGCTCCTCATTGGGGCCGGGGTCTGGTGCCAGTGTTCACAAAGCCTAGGGAGCCACATTGCGGGCCGCAATATTATGTCTCTTGCGGCCGGGCAAAGCGAAGCTCTGTCTCCCATGATTGTTCAAGAGATTCACTTCCTTCATGAAAGAGGACGGAAGATCGCATGGTTTATCTTCATTCAAAACATTGCTGCTGGAATATTTTTCGTTGTTTCAACCTACATGGTTTCCGCCTGGGGTTGGAAATGGTGGTATGGCTTCTTCACAATTATGAATGCCGTCATATTTGTTCTGTCAGTCATATTTGTAACAGAGTCTCAATTTGACCGACCTGAAGAGGCAACCATGGGACAAGCACCTTTGGACCCCAAAGTTATCGATGCTATGGAGAATGCCACCGTCAGCGCCCATGGAACTATTCTTGATGTTGCGCAGTATGGGCCTCGCCGTTGGAAAGACGACCTCAAACCCTGCGTTTTGAAACCACGCTTGAGTGATATCCCTGTGTTCTATAAGCAGATCTTGCAGGGTCTCTGCATCCCAACGGTTTTCTGGCTCTTACTGCTCAATGGTGCCCATCTTGGTGTCTATGTTTTCCAATCATCGACATTTTCAACTATCCTCATGAGTCCACCATACAGCTTTGCTTTCACATCGCTGGGGTACGTCCAAGCCGGCCAAATCGTTAGCTGTCTCATCTTCCTTCCTCTTCTAGGGTATGGTGGCGACTTGACCATTCGGGCCCTAAGCCGCCGCAACAACGGTTTATATCAGCCCGAATATCGACTCTTGATGATGGCAATCCCAGCTGTGATTGGGACTGTTTGTGGCATCATTTATGGGCAGGCGGCCGCCTATCCTGATAGGTGGAACGTGAGTGCAATCGTCATCGCGTACAATGCTAGCTTTTTGGCATTCTTGGGAGCAAATATTGTCGGCATCACATATGCCGTGGATAGCTTTCCACGACAAGCGGCACCTTTCTTGGTCGTCATTTGCGCAGGCCGTGGGCTGATTTCCTTCGGGTTGAGTTATGCCACTCTGCCAGCTGTTCACACCCTTGGGTATGATCGGACCATGATTGTTGAGACCGTAATCTGTGCTGTTTTGGCGCTCATTGCGATCCCGGTATTTTTCTTTGGATTGAGGATGCGGAACTATACCCAAGCCTGGTGTACAGGGCCATCAAGCGAGGACGGAGGACCAGTGAGTAAACAATAGGCGGTTGAGACCGGGGTATTCAAGCGTGTCAAGGTTGTCAAATTGACGCGATTTGAGCTTGTCATACGTGAAAAATCTGAAGGTTGAGCCCTGGAGGTTCGAATGTCAAGTTAAACATTTACTCAGAGCCTAGGGAAGGTACCAGCCAGCACATGCCTATCTGAGTACACCCGTGGACCTCCCAGGAGCCAACTCGCATGAATGCACTTGAGCCATCACTCTCTTCCGTAAGACATTCATTCCAAAGCCAATATATTACTTTCGTTTCACGACTTTTATGCTTAATAACCGGGAGACAAATCTCAACGAGAGACCTCCTTATCATGTGTGCGCACTCACCCGCTCGTGAATCATCAGCTCAAAGACTGTCACTTCCCCCCAAGCTGGCTCTTTCACGCTTGTTTTGTCAATATGAGAAATACAAGTTATGCAAGAAGGTGGGACTTGTCCGAACATCCCTGTGGAGCTACATGTGTGACAAACCTTGCACTCAGGTATGTTTTCTTCGCCTTGGGGCCCATATCAACGTTATATGCCGAATCATGGTGAGTAACTGTGCTAATAAAATGGACCAGCACGACATAGCAATGCAAGGCGATATGAAGGATCTCTGCGGCCTCTTAACCTGGGCTTTTGAGCTTGAATCGCAGACCGGGCCCCTGACCTGGAACCACGAATTCCTCCACAGTGTGGTATTTGCGTCTAGTGAGCTGTGTTTTGCCTTTGAGAAGGCTGAGACTATCCACCTTGATTGCTACCATCAAAACAAGTTGGGTTCATCTTCCTCGGCGAAAGCGCTAGAGCCAGTAAGTATATTTGCTGGCTTCTCTCTGAAGTTCTGTCAATAACCTCCGACAGCATTACGATTCCTATTACCGGACGCTTTACGCCTTACGCCGTAGAGACTTGATTGACTCCGGCCCCCCCGAAAATACTGCAGATGGCGAGGAGTGGATACTGTTGCGCCTATGCTTTGTGGACCCTGGCTTCAAGGAATGGGTCGACAGAATCAACTCCTTTCTTCACAAAATTCTGCTTGCATTCCGTCTTTTCTATTGCCCCCAGGACGGTGTCGTTCCAGCACCCAGGGTGCATGCGCTTCTCAAAGGCTGTCCATACAAGTCCGATATCGACGAGGCCACACTCGTTTTCAAACCACGTCCAAATGGCATCCCAGAGGATTATTTTCAAAGCAATCTTTATCCAGTTGATTCGGACTTGGGATCCTTTCTCATTCCGTGGGGCTAGCTACCAAGCTGCAGATTCCAAAGAACAGTCCCGCGGTTGTGATTTGCAGGTGAATGAACCCTGAATGTTGAGCGTTGCATAACCCAATGAGTAAATTATCAATAGGATACGAAAACATTAGTTGAGCCTGTTTAGACTTTCCACGGCAACAAGACAGCTATTTCCAACTGGTATTGGTCTCTCTCTTTGCTATTACAGGTGCATTTAACAAATACAATGGACGGCTGCATAGATAAGCATAATCTATGATTTCATCCAGTCGGCTTCATTTTGATCTGGCAAGCTTTCCTTGTACGGATGCTTCTCAATCCATTCCTGTGCACCAAATACTGTAGCGGAACTTTCGTAGAAGTTGCTCAGCAGCTCATTGAGTTCTGGAGAAGGGTTAGTGTTATGCTTTTTGGGTCTGAAGGCTGGTAATGGTACTCACTATCAATTTCGGTGGGTTCCGAAGGTTGCAGAGAGAAACGGGAAATACCTTCTCTCCACATGACCAGGGCCGAGGGAATGGGAGTGCCTGGATTGATGAGCTGGTTGCCTTTCACTCGTCCAGTATACAATCTTACCTTTTTGCACACAAATGACGCTAGGATCCAAGGGGCACTTCCCGTCACTGGTCTCTTCCTGGTAGTGCGCAAAGTCAAACTTCAGCATTTGCTGCAAGAGGCGAGAGTTGGGCATGAAGATTGGCCCGTTGGAGTCTGTTGTACATTTAGCGCTGGAACACAAGTCACTGGACCCGGGTCAACAAACATGGGCTAGACTTGGAGATATTGGCGTGGACCAATCCATTCTCGGACACTCTGATTCCATCTTTTCGGTAGCGGGTTTCCTCTTGGTTGGCATCGTACAACGTCGCCTTCTTGCTTAGTTGAAATCGATACATTGTCGCCGGGAAAGTCGTGTGGGTGGATAGCAGGGAGAATCCTCGTGCTTGGCTAGCATTTAGCCTAGCGGCTGGTACCCAGCGACTGGCAAACATGGCTGTGAAGATGGTGTTGAAGATGAGATCAGAACACTTTGATCATGGAAAATGTTAGGCGTCGGTAGGGCAATCGTGTGCTGATTGCCTGAAGTGAGATTGATTATTCTTCGAGAGCCGCTGCTTTAGTCGTTTCAGTCGACAAAGTCGAAAAGGGTGCTAAGAGTGGTTACAGGTCTTCCGCGGAAAGCCAAACATGACCGGACGTTCCCTGTCACATGATCTCCCAACAGTGACGGAGCAACATGGCCCGGGCGCAAACCGGTCGCGATTTGGTAGCCAATGATCTCACTGGAATTTGCCCCACTCACCCTTCGACAGGACCCACGTGGCTGTCCAGATGTTGAGATCGTAGATGCTGCAGAACTTCAGTGTGATTACTAGAGAGAGCTTGTCATTTCATACGATAGTACATGCTGGCACAGCTTGAAGTCCCTCTATCCAATGTCCATTGTGAAGGACATATTCATTCTTATTTCGCTGGTTTACATCGTGCTCTGCTGAAACGAAGCAAAGGCTAAAGGTCGATATCTATCTTAGCTAAATGAAAACAGATCTAGACAAGTGGAAAAATCCAGAGACTGAAATTGGCCTACACAACCGTCGGTCCTACATTTCTCAATGAAGTTGCAAAGCCCGAGCTTTCAAGCAAAATCTCGATGTCCGCGGTCTGGCTCACGGTTTCACTTCGGAAAAAGTGGACGAAAAGAAAATATCGGCTTCAAAAAATGACTTCGAAAACACGGGACACAATCTTTGAAGTTTGGCAGTCGAAACGAAGGGACATCATGTCTACTAGCAAGCCCAAGCTCGCTTGCTTCAGCCGAACCGAGCCGAGCCGAGCCAGTCATGCGAACCGAAGCTCTACGAAGCAGGTGCACGGGTAACATTCACGACATGGGAACTTATAAGTATAGCGATAGAATCATGATCATGTAAGAAAACATACTTTCATCGTCGCCGAACATCGAAATCTTCTGCCAGTTCAGCTTCAGCACCATGGCCTCTACAATCACCAGTACAGCCAGCACTACCGCTCGTCTGACGGCACCAACTGGAAGGCTTTTCTCTCAGGGAACCGATGTTCATTATGGGGACTTCAGAGATGATCTTTTGATCAACGGCTTTGCGGTGGTCAAAGACGCCGTTCCCCGCGAACGAGCGCTGCAATACGCCAGCGATGTCTACCAATGGTTAGAGGAATTGTAAGTCCCAAGATCTATCCACGCCCAGATAGTATTCTGAAATCTCACACCCACGACACTATAGTAACCTTGGATTTGATCGCAATGATCCCTCGACAATTCACAAAGATCATCTCCCAGACATCAACGAGAAGGGGATGTGTCTAGGCTACGCAATCTCGCATGAGTCGTTTACATGGGCCGTACGACAGGAGCCTGGTGTGGTCCAGGCATTCGAGAAGGTCTACGACACAGAGGATCTGATTGTATCTTTTGACTCGGTTAACATCGGCTTCCCAAATCGGAAAGATGTCAAGCCCAACTCTCCCTGGCCGCATCAGGATCAAGATCCCGAAAAGCCCGGATTTCGTTGCTTGCAAGGTCTTGTCAATCTGTTGCCAAACGGACCCAAGGATGGAGGTTTAATCGTCTGCAAGGGCGCGCATTTACTCAGTGAAGAGTTCCATGCTAACTTCAAGGAGGAGGAGAGAATTTGGTCATGGTAGGTGAAACTTGAATCCAAATTGGCGCAAGACTAATTGAACTTCGTAGGACATCTGAATGGTATGGTTTTACCAAAGCCGGACAAGCTTGGTTGAAGGACCGCGGTTGTGAATGGGTCAAGGTAGAAGCTGAGCCTGGTGACCTGCTTCTTTGTAAGATCCTGATGGCCAATCTCGGAAGTTCTTGTGTGTAAACTGACTATCTCAGGGGACTCACGCACCCCTCACTACAATGTTTCATCTGAGACCTCGCAGGATCGGTTCTGTGTTTACACTTGCTTTATGCCCGTTGCAGATGCATCGAAAGAACAACTTGAGACCAAGAAGATGGCCTTTGAAGGTAGGACTACCCGTGTGGTATAGGATGGGAGTATTTTACTAATAGCCTGTAGAAACCAAAATGACTACCCACTGGCCAAACGCAATGCATGTCGTGGATCTGCCTGTTTACAGAAATGGCGAGCTGGATCCTCACAATCGCTCGAAGCCTCGTCATCCTGTTCAGCTTTCCGAGCGTGGATTTAAATTGACCGGTATTCCATATCTCGAGCAAAGGGCCTGAGTCTGATTTTATTATCTTGAGCTCCAATAAGTGTGCTTTATTTAGGTAGGATTTAAATCAAATGTATTCACTCGAAATTAGATATGAATTGTATCATTCGGTATTTTCAAACAAATAGCTCAGATCATTCCAGTCCCAGCCCGCCCAGTCAAGAGATGAGGGATCCCAAGATGTAATTGTAGTATCCCGTACAGGCGATAGCGATTCGCCGATGAGCAAAGTGGCAGGATCAACAGCTCCCGTCGCTGGATCCTGGAGGCAAGACAGAGTCCACTGGTCCAGGCTGTCAAGAATAATGTCAATGTTGCACACGGTTTTGCTTCTATGATAGAACTGCCTTGTAAGTTGTAAAGCAACTTTCATCAACTATTCAACAAATTAGTATTAGCAATTGACGTGTTATGTCGAAGGGCCACTGACCTCGTAGTCAGACCGAATGAGTGATGAGTGACGTTCGCGCATTATGTGGATTGCGAGAACGCCTACCGCACTGAATGGGGATACCAGTGTTGACAGAAAATGAGGTTTGCTGGAGTCGGCAAGTGACACCAAAAGCCTCACCAGATCTCGGGCGCCTTCAGTCACTACCATTGGACTGTCAAGGAGGTGCTGTTTCCATGGCTTCCCTGTTGCGTACTTGTCAACAACTTCACTCAACTCTTCTTTATCAATCAGAAGTGAGCTCCGGTGTAGATATATCGTTCTATGAGCCATGTTAGTGACAAGAATTCCATGTGACGAAAAGGCCGGATCCTAGCAGGGTTGCGCATTGGTTCAAAATAGGACACTGACGCTGTGTGGTAGTAGAATGATAGAAAGGATGCTTGCGAACTTTGTTGAACTCCCGAGATTGGTCCTCGTCGCAGCCTAAAGATTCGACTCAGTACAAACTCAGGGGATTGCAGCAGACCGAATGAGTCGAGCCTACCTGAGATCTGTTGGAAGACGGTCGATCCAACTCTCGAGAAGCAAGCCCAGCTCCCCGCCAGTCTGTAATTTCTCCTCGATTGCCTCTTCCACTGACTGAGGAAGCCATTCTTCTCGACGCCAGGCCCTCGCCGAACGTTCTTGCATTTCGTGTAGGACATTCGCCAAGTCGATAGACGCTTCCTTGAATGCATGGCTATTATCACGCCTCAGTTCGTCTGGTCTTAACTCTCCCTGGACCCTGGATAGGCCACGATCCCAAATTAGGGAAGGTCGACCACTTTCAAACGCAAGGATCTTCTCGAAAACATACATGCACCACCATGTTCGTTCGCCGTTGCTCTCGTTTTCAGTACAGGGCGACTCTGGAGAGGACCCCATGGCCTTATTCTGATTGATGCCAATTGACTGCGCCATTGACACACCTAACGTGAGGACATCCCACGCCCAGGCGAGTCTATCGCAGCAACGAATGACGATCGCGAAGAGAAGAATGGCTTGAACCGAGTCCAAGATCCGTAGTGCAACAAGATGTCCAACTAGCGAGTTGCAGTACCCGATATACGATGGAATCTTCCTCTGAGATTCTTCCGATGCAGGCATGGCCATCATCGCAGCCGTGACAATCAAGTAGGCCAATGCCAACTGGCAGGGGTTTGCATTCCCATGCATGGACGAGCGGCCCTCGACCGATGATAGGTAATTGCTATAGATATGTTCTATAGAATCACGATCAATAAATGGAAACACGCCGTGGATTGTGGCAAAGTAGCAATCGATCAAACCACGGATTTCCCCTGGCGAGGGGAGCTCTGGTGCGCGGCCAAGGGAGAAAATCGGGAAGCGGTCATTAGTCACAGGAGGGATAGACGATATGTGTCTCTCTTTCAGTCGATAAAAAGCGAGATCCAACCATTCCGTTGTCAATTCGAGCATGCTGCCCCCGGGTAAGCGGGGCATCATTGGCAAGCGGCCCGTCCTCCACCGTTCCCGACCCCAACATTGCGACCACAGGCGGGGACGGTCATTCGTAGAGATGTTGGAGGGCTGTTCACTATTCGAGGGATTTGTTGACCGTGGTGTGATCCCAGTAGGCGTTGAAACTCCACCCGTTCGTCGCCGTTGGGCGACCGGCGCCCCCTCTCGGCGCTTATCGGTTGTTATGCATTCCACCCCGGCTTGCTCACAAGTGCGACAAGGCTGCTTTTCGTCGCAGCGAGTTTTCCTTTGTCGGCAATAGTTGCATGCATGGGACAGGCGCTTCCGCTTGAAGCTCTGGGAATCGATTGACTGGTTCATGAGTGCGTCGGCTCAAAATAATTGGGGTCGAAGGGGGATTTTGGCATCTTCGGGTCCACGGGTGGTCCCGACACCCCTGGACCTCGGGAGAAAGCGACATCTCTCACGCTTGACTCTGACCTTGGAACTCAGAGGTCGCACTTCCTGAGTAAGATGGCCGTGCTGCCTACTTTCTTCAGAAATATGATACGCGACTGACAAATTCGTGCTCAGTGCCCAGGTGGCCCATCAGAGCATCTGCGATGCTCTCGGCAAAAATATTTTCTCGTTCTGTCGATTTGGCAACAATGCAGGACATGGCAGAGAGTAATGGCGAGGAAAGCATATCAGAATGAGTTCACTTTCAAGCTTCGAGCACGGCTTCAACACACTGCGGATGCCCTCCAGAGCTCAGGCTAAGTAAACACGACCAATCAGAGAAAGCCGCTTCTAAAGTCGAAATGGATGCGAGGTGGGCTTTTGCGGCTAGCTGGAGTTGAAGTGGATTTTGACTCTTCACTTGCGATGTAAATAGACCGTGATCAGCGCGCTTTTTCTCCATCCTCTCTCTCTCTCTTTTTTTTTCTCGGGATTTGAATTCTTCTCTCCTTTCTACTTCAAACTTCGATGCTCGCCTTCTCTCAATGGCCCAAAACACGGAAACAACAGCTCCTGGTGCGGCTGGCGCAGCTCTCTATAGCCCATTCATTTTGACATTTTATGATCTCTGGGTACTCACTCTATCCAATTCATTTGCCTGGAATTGTCCCACAAAAAGTGTACAGCTACCTTTCTTCAAACGGTTCATTGGAAAACGCCACCTGGACATTGGCCCTGGCACCGGCTACTACCTCGCAAACGCCGATATACCAACCAGTACACAGGTCACATTGCTGGACCTCAATGCGCATTCCCTGGAGTTTGCAAAGCAACGTCTCGGCAGACCCGATATTGAAACCGTTCAGGCGGATGTCACACAGCCAATCCCAGTAACTCAACTTTATGACTCTATTTCGGTCTTCTTTGTCATTCATTGCCTCCCTGGCCCATCGCAGGGCAAGGCCCAGCTGTTCACAAATCTAAAGCCACTTCTTTCCAAGGATGGGGTAGTTTATGGGACAACAATTCTTGGGAAGAACGTTAGGCATAATTGGTTTGGAAGAATATTGATGATGCTTTATAATGGCAGGGGCGTCTTTAGTAATTGGGACGATGGGGAGCAGGAAATTCGGGAAGCTATTTGCAAAAATTTCGAGAAAGTGGAAACCAGGGTAGTCGGGCGCGTGCTGTTGTTTTCAGCCTCGCAACCTAAGCTTTCGCGTTAAACTTCCCCGGTTTCCCAGGGTCCGCCTGTATATTACTCATTGTCCCACTTTGGGGTAATAATAAAACTACTCCATACAATCTGTCGTTTACTCTAGTAGCCATATATATCCTCAAGCGAGCGCATCCCCGTGGCCTTGAAACACACAGCGCCAAGCATCACGCGGCAGGACCTGGGACTTCGTGACTTCTCAGAAATACCTAGGTATCAAGTCGATCTCTACACCCAGGATCTGAGGCCGCGATTGAGTGATCTATACGAATAAGAACAGTGTTCACTACAACCTCGGGAGTGGTGGGCTTATCACCCTGCATTCGCCGGCCCCTTAGTCTTCGAAGTGTCATTTGCCCAATAATTTCCCTCTTCTAGTACCCCGTACATTTGTTGGCCTTCCCGCCCAACGCAAAAACCCTCCAAGACGAGAATCAGACGGAAGAGCGCTGTTGCCACTGAGACTGGGTAAAACCCTTCGTCGCAAAAATCCCTGAACCCTCATGGCCTGCCAAGCCACGCACGTTTCACCAACAGTCGCAGCCCTGGAGGATTTCAACAGGCCAGACCCCAGCCTCTCTAGATATGGCACGGGAAACAATTTGCCGGAGGCCCACCAACGGGGCGAAATTCTTGTATGCCTGAACGCTTATTCCGTGGGTTGATCTAAATTTGCAGATTGCCTTTCGCATTCTCGTAACCTTATCCGAATTAGGCTTAGGGGCCGAACACTATATCTCATTCGGGATAAGTTTACGAATGTGGATCTATACGAACTCCGTTCTTTTGATAGTTGCGAAATTTGCATCCTGACCCTGAAAGATTTTGAAGGCCGAGGGATACTTAAAGGCGCTAGATTCCAGTCAAATAGAATATCAATTCATTCAACTCATTCAATCCAAAAAACCTCATCCCTCCCAAACACTCTCATCATCAAGATGTCTTCCGCTCATGGAGACTGGGTTGCCTATACATACTACCCCTCAATGGGCGCAGCAGTAGTATTCGTCGTTCTCTTCGCAATCGTGACTATTCTGCATACCTTCCAAATGTTCCGCACGAGGACATGGTTCTTCATCCCGCTTGTCATTGGCGGATGCTGTATGTACCTTATCGGCAATCTAAGCCCATGGGTTCTCCTCAACATACTAACAGAAGTCAATAGTTGAACTCGTCGGTTACATTGGCCGTGCAATGTCATCAAAACAGTCCCCCGACTGGACACTCGGTCCCTACGTCATGCAAAGTACACTCCTCCTTATCGCCCCGGCGCTCTTCGCAGCAAGCATCTACATGGAACTCGGCCGTCTCATCCTCATGGTGAAAGGGGAACAGCTTGCGCTTGTTCGCGTGAGCTGGATGACAAAGATCTTCGTTGCCGGCGATGTGCTGAGCTTCCTGATGCAGGCATCTGGGGCTGGTCTCATGGTCACGGGCTCGGAGGGATCAAAAGGCACCGGCCAGAATGTCATCATCGGCGGTCTCATCGTTCAGATTGTCTTCTTTGGCTTCTTCCTCCTCAGCTCGGTCATCTTCCAATTCCGCCTCACTGGCAATGCTGGTGCGTCTGCTGTCGCGGATGAGTACCCTTGGCGCAAGCACATGTGGGCCCTGCAGGGGTCCAGCATTCTTGTTCTGATCCGGTCTGTGGTTCGCGTTGTTGAGTATGTTCAGGGAGAAACTGGATATGTGATGGAGCACGAAGTGTTCATTTATGTCTTTGATGGCTTGCTGATGTTCGCGGTCATGGCCATTTTCATTGCCATCCACCCAAGTGAAATCAACTACCTCCTTGGTCGAGGCCATGTTGTGACGGCCATGGGTGGATTGAAGGTGAAGGAGGGATCGATGGTCTGAAGCAATGATTTGGGAACGGTGGCGTCGAAATGGTTTTTGCATTTTTTCTTTTCTTTATAGACAGATCGCTTCAGGGTATATGAATATATGACAACAATTCAGATAACATCCTCATGGTAATTCGTGCCAAGGAGCTCATTCATGGGCCAATGAACCAAGGGCCTCCATTGAGCATCCAAAATCGCCCACACAACATTTGCCACGCGAGTGCACCACTCATCGAAGCACCAACTATGCTGCAGGCACCGCAGAAGCACGCCATAGTGCGCCAACATGACGAGTGCCAAGGGCTCTCGCTCCCGCAACAACTCCATGAACCGAGCTGGAAGCTTGATCGCCCATCGCCCTGCGATAGTATTTGCCCTCATGCCACCATAAACCCACGTCAACATCTCTTGCAGATTTTGGATCACCTCGGAGTAGATATGGAGTTCGTGATTGGCATCCTTTCCACAAGCTTCATTGGCCGCGCGCAATTTTCGTAGAGCAGCGACCGCCTCGTCTGGAAGTATTCCTGCAACCTCCTCAACCTGCAGGATGGGCCCAAAGGAGCTGTTTGATAGAAATTCCCGGAAGTTCCTCGGTGTATAAATCACTTGCTGGGTACCGCGGGTCAGAACAAGAACTTGATATATGTCGTCGACGGAAGCCCAGGGATCCTGCACACCGGGGGTATTTGGAAAACCGAATGTATAAATCACCACGATGCCCGCAAAGGCGAATATGGCCTTAGCATTCTCTTCATTGATGTCACCGAGTAATCCTCGAAACAGGGCCAATGCCTGGTTCTGATGCGCGACAGCACGGTTCAGATACGAGGTCCGACGTGATGGCTCTGGGCCTGTGCGCGCAAGATGCAGAGCAGATAGCGCAAGGATGCCGTGCATCAAGAAAGGATGGGAAAGAGCCTCCTCTGGGACAAGGTTGCGCCAGATCGGATCCGTGTGTTGGTTGCGCGAGAGTGTGTGGAATGTTGAATTGCACCACTGCATCATGAGCTCCAAGTCGTGGACATTCAGCGACGGGGTATTGTCTGTACTCGCGGTCATGCCCGAGTCGGTAGCAGCGCTTGACGAGCGTGCGAAGTCGAGACCACCTTCAGATTCCTCATTTGTCCAAAGCAATGAAGTGGAAGAGCCATACTCGCATTCAGTATGGCGCTTTTCACAATTGGAGCAGGATGGGCGGGTTTCGTCGCACTGTGGGTGGTGAGACGGGATATTTGGATTTGGGTATTGCTCATACCTTCACACGTCGCCTCTTGCATTCCACGCAGCCGTGACGGGATTTCCGGTGCGGTCGTCGGAGCGCCATGTCATGGAGCTGGAGCCATAATCAGGTATGAGTGTTGAAGGATGGGAATTTTAGTCTCAGGCAACAGGATTCGATATAGAGATGGGGATTATGTAACGGAACCCTGACGATCAAACATTAAAAAAAGGCTTGTCTAATCTGAAACATTGTCTCTCGTGCACTGCCTCAGGGTCTTGGTCCTGCCCACGAGAGATCGATCTGATTTGATCGATTCATGCAGTCTAAATCGCTTAACGAAATTAAGAAATCTCCCACAGTCTTAAAATCAAGCTTAACGGCATTTGGCTATTTTCCCGCTCGGGTGTCCTGGCATTTCAACCAGCAAAGGAGCGAAAAAAAATAGAAAAGAAAAAAACTGGACTCAATTGAGCTTGCAATACCAGACTTGGTCGAAATATTGATCGCAAATTTCCTAAGTAAACTCCCTCAATGCATGATCTCGTAAATTCGTACAAAGTACAGCACAAAGCGCTGTTCATGAAACTCGAAAGTCTTGGCTCAACAACCCCCTCCCCCGGCGGCAGCCCCGCCCGCTGCTCCCCCGGTGCTTGCAGCCGAGGCCTTTGCTCTTCTGGCTCGCTCCACTACCGTGAGCCCTGACATGAGCGTCATCAGATAGAACCTCTGGCCCAAGTTCCAGTAAATCTCCAGGGACCCAGTCGTTTTGGAAAAGACGCTGCCGGACGAGAAGACCGCGACGACGTTGTTACTCCCCTCCTCGACCAGTTTATAGTTTTCATAGCCACTGCCAAGCGAGTGGGTTCGTTTCCAGGTGAAAGTCTGCTTCTTGCCGTGGTCGAGGTGCATGCGGAACCAGTATTGGCGTTTCGTAAATCCTTGCTTGTGGAGGCACTCCCACTCCATTCGACCTGGCGAAGACGGGTTGCCCAGGCCGATCTCTGAGTCCGAGGAGAAATGGCGGAACTTGCACACACCCGCGATAGGCCCGTTGTTGTCGGCGCTCGCGTGGAAAGTAAGATCCGGCTTTCCGGGGGTCAAGCTGGAGTTGGCCACATGAAACAAGTGTGTTTTATTTGGCGTGCTGACATCGTAGTGATGGCGCCAGAAACTGTGGGTGATGATGTATTGGGCGGTGGGATTCATGGTGGGTTTAGGCTCCAAGGTACTTCAGAATGATGGTGGAATGGTATATAGAGTATCATTGAATTTGTGAGACTTCTTTATCCGAGTAGATGGGCACCGAACACACATATATATAAACTCATTCTCGGGTCTCTCCCGGGACCTCAGCCCTGTTATGATTCATAGGGTGAAAAGGGGATCAATCAGAGTCATAGAAAATGGCCCCCAAACCGACTGAGCCCTGGAGGTTCAGGCAGTGCAGGGCAAACGGGAATAGTGGGCCAATCACATCGTGGCCCCCAAGCTGGAAGTAGAAACATGGAGCGCCCACGTGAACTGAGCCTCAAGTGCAGATCGCCAAATAGAGAGTTTCTGGCGTAGAGACGTCATATTGCTGTTCTCGTGAGTACCTACGCTTGATTTGGGTGGCTTCGCAACAGGGCGTTTACCCGGGCACATATGACCGGATCTCGAAGATTGCAACCTTGTAGGCTGACAACTTCAGCGATAGACGGGAAACCAGCAAGGTTGATCAACTCGGCGCCAACGGGATTTGGTATCTGTGACATGATTCCCTCACCGATCTTCAAATTCTGTGGTGCAAGGTTGCAACTCTCCGACTGTCTTGCTCAACATTCGAAAGATTGCGTGGAGCAATGAGTAGTCCAACGCGGAGCAATTCTACTTATTCCGGTAACTCAAAGATCTGTCGAGAACGATGCTTTGTTTCTTCAAGACCAAAGCCAACTGAATAGCCCAAGCATCCAAATAAATCAAGTAGAGATGGTAGGACGTTCGAATTTGTCCACGGGATTGTTTTGACACTCTCACGTGATAGTGGATCACATGATCATGCCTGGATGCCTGAGAACTTTCGCCGTCGCGTCCAAGAAGTGAAGACCAGGGCAAAACAAAGTGAGATTTCAAGGTCTGAAACACCTTGTCTGACACCTGAATTGCAAGTTCATCCTTATTGCCACATGAGCTTCTTGACCTTCATCCATCTGATCAGGTGATAGCTCTCACCTCAATCTCGCAAAGCTCTTGCGGCCCAAAATTTACATCCTCTGATGCATTCACCTCGTCTCTTCTCATTGTGATCACCTCCCACCATGTCCTTCCAAGTACCCTACGAGTCCAGTCCGCCCGAGACGCCCGAGAAAGACCGCTCTCGCAGTCTCTGGAGCAACATCTCGACAACTCCTGCCGGCCCGCCGCCTTCGAGCACAGGTTCATTTGCGCAACCGACATCCAACATCAATGGCGGCTCACGCATAAACTCCTTTACGCGAAACGAAAGCGCCTTCGCCACAAACCAAAACTCTTTCTCTAACAACGACTTCTCCAACTCAATCTTCACCAAATCAGGAGGCATCAACACGAATGACAGCATTTTCGGTTCCTCCTTCGGTTCGACCGATTATGCCCCGCCGAAGCAAACCAAAGGACCTTCTTCACAACCCCTGGGCAAATCGAGCCTGCGCTTTGGAATGACCAACGGTAGCACCTTTGGTGATTCACTAGGATTCGGCCAATCCAATGGATTTGCCTCGTCGAAAATGACCGATTACCACGACGAAACAGACCAGGAAGCGAACGGTGAGGAAGAGCTCGAAGAGGAGGAAGAAATGGAGGAGGACCAAGAAGAGGATGCCGACCCAATGGACGAAAGTATCCAGGACCCATCGAAGAAATTCAACTTTTTGGACTCAGCCTTCGGAAATCCCTTCCAGTCCGAGCCATCCCTTGGCGCTCAGCGCAAACCCATCTACACCAACCCAAACGATGCTAAGCGACCAAAGCTTGATGAACACTGGGGCCAACCGTCACCAATCGGCAAGACTCTTAAGCCAACAAAACCATCCGCCTTGCCTTCCATCCTACACAACATTGCTTCCCGCTCCAAGATTCCTCCTATCCACGAGACGAACGAGTTTATTCTTAACACCGAGGACGCATTGGGAAAGCTTTGCGATCAGTTGAAGGCCGCAGAGTTCAAACATGTCGATTACGATGAGGTTCTCGCCAATGTGTCGAAGGAATTGGTTGAAACCTGGGAAAACTGTACCGAGGAAAGTGCGGCCGATCGGTCCTATGGCGCTCACGCTGGGATCGGTCCCGGGGAGCAGGCTCCCCATCTCACAAAAGCAACATTCCTGGCATCCTTGCTCCTTCAAATCCATCATCCTCCACGTGAAGCTCCCTCGGTTGCAGGCGTGAATCCTATGCGCACAGCCGGACTGATCAAGGCCGTTGGTCGACCAGCTGTCCCCAAAGCGCTTCCTCGGGTTTTATTAGAATGGCTAAGCGATCGCCACGCATCACAGACGAAGGACCTCCAAGCCCTGAAATACGTGGAACCAAATCCCACAGCTTCCACCAACTTTTGGGATATCATCATCGCGTCTGTGCTGCGCGGCCGTTTGAGTGATGCAGCGGACGTCCTCCGATCTGCGGATTTCAACTACGCCCAATCCGCTCGTGAAGATGGTCTTGCACAGCCTGGCTATCGCGGCGCGCAGCTTCAAAACATTCAACGCTGTGTCAACAAAACCCTTCAAATCCTCGAATCATGCCCTTCAAACCAATCCGACGACTGGGATGTCACCGGCCATGAGTGGTCTCAATACCGAAAGCGTGTTCTCTCTGCAGTCACTGATTTGGAGGACTTCGCCGAAGGAGACGAGCGCGATGAATCTAACATTCCGGTTCAGGAAAGTCGCTTCCAAGCCGTCAACTTTGGAATGCCAACTTTCAACCAGAACTTCAACCAGAACCCGGTCTCTTTTGCTCAATCTGCTCGTATGGCCGAGAGCCGTGTTCCTTGGTCAATCTACCAGAGCCTAAGGTCTATCTACCGAATCATCCTTGGCGACCCATCCGCCATCAAGGGCAAATCCCAGGACTGGGTCGAGGCAACGATCACATTGACAGCTTGGTGGGATGGTGAGGACGACGAAGGATTGGATTTCGGTGCCAGTGAAGGCGATAAATTCCAAGATTTCCTACGCTCCCGTGGGCCAAAACACCACGTCCGCGCAGTTGATCGAAACATGCGCGATGCTTACCGTAACCGCCTGGCGCAGGCCCTCAGCCACACCACCACAGACGCCTCAGACAGTGCGGATTTCCGCCCCAACACGATGAACAGCGTTGAAGTTGGTCTGGCATCCGTCTTTGAAGGAAACGTACAAGGTGTGCTAGAATTGATTCAAACATGGTCACTGTGCGTGGCCGCTGCTGTGGCAGAAGTTGCCAGCCAGGGTGGTTGGTTTCAGTCCGGTGCCAGTCAAAAAACCATGCCTGGTCTCTCAGAAAACGACCTCATGGTCCTGTCGTACGGACAAGTACCCAAGTCTTCTACTAAGCTGCGTAAAGATGATATTCTGCGCCATTATGCTTTCGCCCTCTATGACCGGCCTGTCGTCGCGGATCTAAACGGTTCTCGGGAAGGCTGGGAGTTGTCGCTGGAAGTATTGAACCGCTTTGATGATGGGAATGAGATGAAGAATGCCGTGGCCGAGATTGTGGATAAACTACCACTGGAAACGTCGGAGCAGCTGGACAAACTGGTCGTTCTCTGCTCAGAACTCGGGCTGGATGACCAAGGTCGCAGGGTTTCTGAAGTAAGTCACACCAAGCGATCGATGCCCGATTCATTTACTAACCTGTACAGCGTTTCGCCGACATGCTGACCTCTAAATCCGAAAATTTCGGCATGGCCTTGGTGTGCTACGCTCGCGCTCAGAGCCGACGCAAGGTGAAGTCAGTTGTTGACCTCCTGATCTCTTACAGCTTAGTTCAATCTCGTGCGTATCCCGCGACAGCCGAGCTTGATGAACAACTTCGCTCTCTGATGAAGGAGCCGAAGGCCTGCTTGTCCTCGATTGCTCAGATTGACGAAGAAGCCGCCCGGATTCTTCAATTTTACCTTAGTGGTTACGCGACCCTCCGTCGCTACTACGAGATTCGGGACGAGGAACTCGAGTTAGCAGAGGGACAACAACCTCGATACAAGCCTTTGGCCCGTCGTCGTGCGGCGGCCCAGGCCCTCGCAGCTGTCATCGGCAGTGCCGCGGATAACATTTACGGCGGCCTGTACGACCCGGATCGCGACTCGGCCGTTCAAGTTGACGGGCTCCTCGCACTGCTTGGTGAAGCACTCGCATTTGTGCAACGTAAGTCCCACAATTCTCACCGATTATCACTTGACCGGCCCATGTCCTAACCCCATACAGAGCCCACTCCTGTCCTTACTGTTTCACAACAATTCACCATCCTGTCCGCGATCGAAGACCTCGAAACCGTGACTCCCCGCGTCTACGCCCAGTGCGAGGAGTGCTTCCACTCTACCCTCCTTGAATACCAATCTTCCACTCGTGGGGAAGTGTCGGATCGTCCCTCCCCCCGATCCCTCCTCCAGAAATCCGTCAATTTCAACGCTTCCAGCTTTTCCGTCATCGGGAACGACATGCGAGAGGGCCGTACCCGCTCTGGATCTGGTGCCGGATCTCTTGGTAGCTCTGCCGTCCTTGTTGGCGCCGATGCGGAACGAGGCTGGGATTGGCGTGCCGGGTTACCAGAGTCCGCCAAGGGCGAGGATATCCTACGCATGCTCCGACTCGGCCTGGCTCGAGGATTAAGCCATGGTGCCCTCGGGTCCATCTAATGCCCCGGTGCCCGAAAAGGAATGGAGTTTGGACCACTTAGTGACTTGGGGGGAGGTTCTGTGTGCAATACCTTGTACGATAGCAATGCATCATTTAATTCCTAGAGTCTGCAATTTTTACCCCTCATGCACTGTGGAGTACCCAATATGCAAAGTGTCCAGTCTCTCCGATTGCCCGAACGGGCAATCATCAGCCCGAGTGGGCCTGACGCCTCAGCCCTACCAGACAAACCCTGAAGGTCTTAGCCCCCAAACCGGTTATGATCACGATTGACTTAGCGTCATCTAAATGCGGGAGCCTAATCCACGCACGACCTCCCTTTCAAGCCTTTGAATTTGAGGATTCCGAAGAAGATGTCCTAGGGAATTATGCCTTTCGGTGAGTATAATTTCTATATTTGTGAGGCTCAAGAGGCTGAGTAACGCCCGAGTGGACATCAATTGATGTATCCCCGTGTCGATCAAGTGAACGTAAGCTAAACATACTAAAGCGACACTAATAACGCCCCGAGTGGACTCAGCCTTGGCTCACCGACTCGCTACACCAAAATGTGCCTGTCGCGGGGTGCTTCTTCACTATGTGCTCACCGTATCATCCTTTCTCTCTGGCTGGTCACCTTGGCAGCTCTTCCAGATTACTCGAATCAGCAATAGTGAGGCTCATCTCGAACCCTTCCCAGCTGAATCCCTCCGCTGCCAGATGTCCCCCACTATAGAGGGGTAAACGATAGCAGGCCCTTGCAAAGTAGAAGCTCTAATTGGGCGCGCCCCATCGGCTACTCCGGTCCGTTTTTTTCCTGGGGCTACAAGATTTCCCATAGGGCTGAATGGGATCTACATTGTTTCGTGTAGCTGTTTTAAAATACATCCCATCCGGGATGCTGGTCCCTCTCTACCCTTTTACTCCCTTTTACTCCCCTTCACTCCCATTAATTACCCGGCTGGCTCGCAATCCCTCCTTACACTATACCGTCTTTTTCTACCTGTGAAGATGTGCTACAAAGTCGTCGAGCGCTACTCCGTCTGCAAATGTCTCTATTTCGAACACTCCATCGACCCTTGCCAAGCCTACGGCCAGCGCGGCCATACCGTGCAAGAAAAGACCGTCCTGGTCGGCTATGCCTGTGATCTTCACTCGCGTGTATCTGGTGGACCCCGCTGGTCGGATTCCGGGTATTCAAGCGAGAAAGGGTCTTGTCGGTGATTTTCCGAGAGTGGCTGGGCCACTTGATCCATTCAGACAGGCCTCGGGAATGGCTATTCTTTTTTCTTTTTCTTTCATAGCATAAGATCCGGCAATACTGGCTGTTGCTGTTGACGTTGAGACGTGCTATGCGATCATGGATGGCTCATATCTTGCCATTATGCGAGTTGCTCCTGGTGAGCGGCCTCAGGAGTTTGGGCTACCACGGCGATTTATTCAACCGGGTGTTGGATACATGCTGAGGCGAGAGAAGCGACGGAGATTGTGGACCTGAGCAAGGAAGTCCTCGGTGTGCAGGTGTGGGTACGGGATGCAAATTGGCGATGAGTTATGATTATGCGATGCATTGAGGGTGTTGTCTACCTTGGTATAAGCATGGTTGATGTTATGAGCTTTGTATTCGGTACGGAGGATTCGTTGGGGACTGGTTCCTTGATAGTGATCTGTAATTTATTTTCGATTCCTTTCATTGACATGCGCTTCGGATTGGGGGTACTATCATTAGGTACTATAGTTCCAAGGTTCCCATCATCGCCGGAGAGCCTGAAGGCTACTAGGTATCTGAAAGAGTCCCTGATGTCAGTTTGGCAGTGTGATTACCCGTAAGCAAAGTTGTTTGCCCAGGTGTTGTGCCTGTCCGTTCAACGTTTATCAATCTGCGTTTAATGTAATCCGTAGGCCATACCACCCGTGGACGGTCATGATAGATCCATTTTTCTCGTGAGGGGGTTCAAGAAATCAACACCGAGGGGGATATCGAGACTGAAATATGTGAACGATTGAGTTTCATACTCAGCTTCGCAGTCTGTTTGAAGTTAACATCGGAAGCAAATCTCCCACCCGAGAACCTTGAGAAGGGACCGACCTTGAATTTGAAAAAACTACCCGCTTCACTCATCCCAGCTCAAAAGGAAAAGAGCTTTCCTGGCAATGGGATGACAGGCGCCCAGGCAACGTGAAAAGAACCGGTTAGATTGACGATCACCCAATATGATAGATCAGAAAGCGGCGGAGTCAACCTTGGAAGGGATTGTCCATTCGTAATCCTCGTATCCTCGTATGCAGGGTAACCGTGACTCTGACGTTGGCTCTTCTAATTGTGTAACTAGGCAAAATCCATAGATTCCGACGCCATATCCATTTTATCGTCCAAGATTCTTCGCTCCTTGCAATGGAGGGCCAGTTCAAAGTCATCATCGTAGGCGGGGGTCCGATAGGGCTACTCGCCGCACATACTCTTCACCGTGCTGGAATCGACTTTGTGCTTCTCGAGCGCCGACTGTCAATCGTTGAAGATGTGGGGGCTAGCATCGTTTTATACCCACAGACATTCAGGGTCTTGCATCAACTCGGCATTTTCGAGACTTTGTTTCCGTTGGGAACCGAGATCGACCACCACCTATCATTCACGAAAGACGGGAAGGTTTTCAAAGAGAGCCCGAAATTCCAGAAGATCAGGGATATGTATGATGATCTTCCTGACGTTTTGCTCTCTGTTTCTGACCAAACCACATGTATAGCCATGGTTACGGACTTACCGTATTCCACCGCGCCGAGCTCCTCAGAGTTATGTACGATTGCCTACCGGAGGCCAGCAAGACGAAAATTCTCACAGGCAAGAAATTGGAAAACATAGAGGCTCATGATGACGGCGTTATTGTCTCATGTGCCGACGGATGTGTATTTCAAGGGTCTATGGTCATAGGCGCAGACGGAGTTCACAGCACAACTCGCCGCCTGATGCGCAAAATTGCACTCACAGACAATCCCTCGCGTGACTGGGATCCCGAGCAACCCTATAAGTCAACATTCAGACTGTTATATGGCGCTTTCCCTGCATCTTCTCCACCTGGTCAAGGATACGACGTTCAGTCCTCAGGAAAGTCATCAATGTACTTCAGCGGCCACAGGCACGGCTGGTTCTTTTTATATGATAAACTACCAAGACAAACTACGGAGAGCAAGCGCTATAATGAGAAAGAAGTTGAGACACTTGCCGGGGAGTTTGCCGACTTCCCATTGACCCAAACGTTGAAGGTCAAGGATGTGTGGGCAAACATGTCTGCGACCGGTCTTACAGATCTACAAGAGGGAGTTGTCAAGAACTGGAGCCTGGGAAGAATCGTACTTGTGGGTGATTCCTGCCACAAATTCACCACACATCTTGGGCTTGGATTAAACAACGGAGTCCAGGACGTTGTGGTATTGTGCAACGACCTCGAAGCCAGAGTCCGAGAGGCACCCGATGAATGTCCAGGTGCTGACGCCCTGGTCCAGGTATTCGAGAGATATGAGACCACCCGGAAGAGCCCAGACTGTTCGTTGATGGGCGATTGGGAAAACTCAGGACTCGAGACGCGCATGCACACATGGTCAAGCACTTTCTATTGGCTGTTATCTCGATGGCTTGCGGTTTGGTCATTTGGGGAATATCTGATCCTTCGATTTATGAAATCCCCTTCCTTTCAGAAGGCCCGAGTGTTAGACTTTATACCAGCTTCAGACATCATGAAGGGTAATTCGCCCTGGCTGTACCAAATGGAGGAGCCGGAAAAAATGAGATAACAAGACGCAGAAGATTGATACTTTGTTCCCAGAGCCAGGTCAACGGGTTGAGGAAATGCAAAGTCCCAGGAATTTGACCTGGAACCAAGACATACTCTATCTATAGCCTTGTGTTGTTTGATGGCGCGTGCCCGACTATCTCAAGCGACGATATTAATTCCCATGCTGCGTCCATAGTCAATTGCATCACGGGAAACATTATCGCATCCCTTTATTATGAGAGATTCAAGCTTGGTCGCCGTTTGGTCGTCGCTTTGCGCGTCCGCAAACATACGGATAGTACACCCCGTGATCTTAGTCTGCGATAGGTCCAGTATCTTCAGCTTTGGTAATGTAGCCCACAAATGGCCAGCATTTGTATCATCCATATCTGCCATGCAAGCAACCCCGAGCTCAGTGATGTTTCGTAGCTCTGGGTTCATCCCTCGTGGGTCATCGAGAAGACTGAGGAAACCACGAGCATTAATGTTGTGACAAAAGCTGACATGCAAGTTTCGCAGCGAGGCTTTGGAATGTAAGAGGAAGAGTGCAAGAGTGTCGGCATGTACCCAAGGTGTGTCATTGAAGACGAGGGTACTCAGGTTTGGGAGCTTGTTCTCAGATGGTGTGAGGAAATTGCCTCCGAAACCTCCGACGACGAGATTCTCGATGGATCCCGAGTAGAAGCGGAGTGTTCGAAGGGTGCCTGGTAGGATTGAATAAAAGTTATGCTGGACTGCAGCGCCTCGTAAATCTAGTACGCGCAGTGGTGGGAGATGCTCGCCATCCTGAACTGGATCGAATCTGTAGGAGCATGATCGAGCCGGTTCCCATAGAAGACGCAGCTCTTGTAAATTGGGAAACGCTGGTTCGGTAGTCTGCAATTAAGTGTCAGTGATGCGGTATGGACAAGGATTGGTATCTTACAGATCCTAGGCCCGGAACAACCACTGGGAATGAGAGGCCTGTCCGATCCTCCTGAGAAGATGCAATGGTAAGACTCTTCATATTTGGATGGCTTTGAGGCCATGTGGCAGCCCGTGGTGCTCTGGAGGGCGCATCCCAGACCTGCAGGAATGTGGCGCTTTCAAGTCGAGGAAGACTGGAGATAATGCTACCAATGGAAGCGTGGGACAGCTTGATCTCTGGTCCGCATTTAATGCTTTTCAGGCGTCGGAACGCTTTTATCTTTGCGTAGAACTCCTTGGGTTGTTCATGGGAGACCATTAAATCCAGATGTTCCAGTTTGGGACATCTGCTCAGCATGTCAAGCACCTTAGGTGTGGAGGCTGGAACAAGATTCCCAATTGTGGCACGAGTAAGTTCTACTCGTGATCGATGAATGTAGTTTCGAACAGACGTCCAAGGCACGCGAGATCTAGCTCCTGTAAGATCGATCGACATCCACAAGCTTGGAAGGCCTTCAAGAAACTTGTTCCATCCTTTTGAAACGCGCAGAATCGCCCTAGATTCGGTGTTAGTGGGAGCTTGAGGTGTAAGCGTAGAAGCACTCACGCTAGTTGCTTAAAAGTGAAAAGGCTTAAGGTGAGATGGGCAATCTCGAGCGGCAGAGCTGAGAAAGGGTCGCGACGATTGCCTCCAGCTAATTTGTCACGAAGCTTCTTTAGGAGCTGAGAAATGACCTAAGGACAATCAGTATCATGTTGGCAGGATGTGCCTTGGATCTTTCGAGAAATCACGTACATCGCGGCCTTTGTGTTCAGCGGGAAGCTTCACAAGAGCGTACTCGTATATATCACGGGCTTTGTCGAAATTCCCATCAAGGCATAAAATCTTTGCCAGGCGGAGATATCCCTGTGCCTAGTCAGGAAAAGAATATTTCTTGAAAGCATCGACATAAGAGCAATTGGGGCAATCATGAGAACAGAGAGTATTCCCATGACAAGGCAAAGGGATGAACTATACACTTACACGATCTTCGTCAGGCGCAATCTTAACCATATTTCGGGCATCGGCACGAGCCTGGCCGTACTGCTTCAGGCTGCAGTAGGTCGCCGCGCGGTTGTCCAAGACCCCAACATCTTCTGCATCTTCTGCCAATGCCTGGTCAATCGGTTATTAGAGCGGCACATGCGAATAAACAGCCAACGCGTACCTGGGTGAAGGATTCGATGGCACCTTGGAGATTACCCTTTTTATAGGCAATCTGACCAGCCTTTTGATGCGCAGCGACTTGCTCGGCATTTATCTTCTTTTTAGAAATTGGCCCACGCCCTATACGTGAATCTGGCCTGGACGTCATGACGCGGAGCAGTTGCCGAAGTGGTGAAAGGCATACGACGAAGTGGTTGGCAATGAGTGGGTTATAGCCACGCAAGGGACGGATCCTCAGTGTGGATTGGGCGGTGCCTTATATCGACAGCGAGTAGTGTATCACCACGCACGATGTCGCAGACGCAAGGGACTGATAGTCTGAGCTGGTGCGCGTAAGAGTCCAAACCAATATTCTATGGCATTGTGAGAAGTCTTCTCAATTACGGAGTACATTTGATAAAAACATGTCATATTGACTCGAGATGTATGCGGTGTTCGCTTAGAGTCGTCACAGCGATGTGAAGCCGGCAGAATACCTCTCTTCCCGCCGCTTTGCATACTTGGCACAACCACCTCCCCGTACTTCCCGTGTTTACTTTCTTCCCCATTCGGTATGAAGAGTTGACCATCGCAACCCTCCATCGTCGCCATGGAGTCGCAGAATTTGCAGGCAGCTTCGACTTATGTGAACAATATACTGCTTGCGAGGGGCCTCCTGAAGGGTGGACGTGCGATCGATTTCGCAGAACCCGAAAACGAAGATGGAGGGGCCGATGCCACAATGGCTCGTGTGATCAATCTGGTTAACGATTTAGTTTTGAGACGAGATGTATGCGCTCCAATTCCCCATGCGACTGCGTACAAGGCTAATCCAAACTAGCGCGAAGCTGAACACCGCGAAAGCTTGTCCACGACTATTCGCACACTCCAGACGACAGAGACGGAACAGACTGCGGAGATTGTGAGTTGGCTAGGCTCAGGGGTGTCGCAATGCTAATGCGACCAATTTGCGCAGGGGAAACTCAAGACCAAAACATCCGAATTGACCCGCTCGTTGGCCCTGGCAGAGGCCCAGGAGCGCGCGCTCAAAACAAACGTCACCAACGCGGAAACGACCATCCGAGGATTGAAGGAACAAGTGCAGCGCATGAAAAGCACCGTCTCGCAGGTGCGCGCGCAATGTGCGAACGATATTCGCAAGCGGGATTTGGAGATGCAGAAGCTTAAATCGCATTTGGCCGATAGACAACGAGGCAAACGTGAAGGCCTAGGTGTTACGACAATCAACATCAACCCCGCAGCGGATCGTTCGCGCCTTGGGGCCAGTGGTGGTGATAAAATCAATGACCCCGGATACAGCTTGAAGCAGGAAACAACCGACTTCCTGACGGAATTGTGCCAAAACCTTAGCGACGAAAATGATACGCTCATTGAGCTTGCGCGAAACACCGTCCACACTTTGAAGGACCTACAGGGCTTGCCGCAGGCGGAAGCTACAACCGATACCGAACAAAATGGCATGGCTGCAAGTGTGGCGCAGAAGTCTGGGCCTGTTACTTCATTGCCAACCTCGTGCGAAGAATTATCCACCCATATGGCGACAGTGCTGGATCACCTCCGGATACTACTAACCAATCCGTCATTCGTCCCGCTGGAAGAGGTTGAGGTCAGGGACGAGGAAATCACACGTCTTCGGGAAGGCTGGGTGAAGATGGAAGGCCGGTGGAAGCAAGCTCTGACTATGATGGGCAGTTGGCAGCGTCGGCTTGCCGACGGCGGGGGCTCTATTCAAGAGGAAGAGTTGAAGCACGGCATGGACCTGGACCTCAGCATAAACGCACCCGAACCAAGCGTGCAAAGTGCGGATTCTAACCCTATACCCACGATCCTTGAAGATCAAGACGAAGAGCAAGATTCGCGCCACGTCGAGCAGGACACAGAGCAAAAAGCATCAGAGCCGGAGATTTCTAACCCTCGGACAAGGTCAAAGATTCGAAAAGTACCCGAGCGACCTGACCGTGCCTTAAGAGAGCGAAATGATAACAGCATGGCAAAACGCCCCCGAAAGGTTTCATTCACCCCTGGTCTACAAGGATCTCCAGCCGTTGAGAATGTCGACGACGAAACCCTCGAAATCAAAGCCTATAAAACAGAGAGTGTGACCCGCAGGCCAGCAAGACGCAAGACCCAGTCGAAGGAAGCCCGCCAGGTATGCCATTGTGACGAACCCCCAGGAAGCCCCATGGACTGATTTGATTTCCCAGCTCAACAATGAATCTCTGAGCGTCCAACAAAAGCTGGCCGCGGTCGAGGACGAGGCCCGAGCAGCTCAGAATGAACAAAAAGAGCGTGAATCACGAAAGAGGAGTCACCCCGATAAGGCCTCCAAGCCTCCCAACCGTCGACGGAGTACACTTACCACTGACGAGCTTGGCGAACTGATGGGCGTGGCCCGGTAATCAATTGATACCCCATAATAATGTACATAGCATGCCCAGGTGTAAATACGGAGTTTCAGTTTTCATGCGTTGATCTTTTTCGGAGATAAGATGGACCTCGGTAATTGTTTCGGCTTCTCATGTCAAGATCACCGTCTCCTCACATCTTTCATCTGCTTCAATCGACCTAAGTTTTCTCACTGTACATACCTGCAGCTTTTCTTTCAAAAGCTGGTTCTCAACTTTATATTAACAAATATGTCACAAGAAACCTTCAAAGGCTGGGTAGCGCACGACTCCAAAAGCCCTCTCGTCTACACAGAGTTCACCCCCAAGACCTGGGCAGAAACCGACATTGAAATCCGCGTCTCCCACTGCGGTATCTGCGGCACAGACATCCACACCCTACGCTCAGGCTGGGGTCCAACGGACTACCCATGCGTAGTCGGCCACGAAATCATCGGCACCGTCTCGCGCATCGGATCAAGCGTCGCCAGCTTGCCACCTCCCTCCAATAAATTCAGACTCGGAGACCGCGTCGGCGTCGGCGCGCAGAGCGGCTCATGCCTTCGCGCAGACTGCGAAGCTTGCGCCGATGGACAAGAAAGCTATTGCGCGCGCATGACCGGGACATATAATGGGCGATACCTCGATGCGCAGCGATCGAAGTCATATGGTGGTTTTGCCGATACGTGGCGCGGACCTGCGCATTTTGTCTTCCGGATCCCGGACGCTTTGCCATCCGCTGAGGCGGCGCCGTTGCTCTGTGGTGGTGTTACTGTTTTCGCACCGCTGCGAAAATACGGCGTCGGACCTGGCAAGACTGTGGGGATTATTGGAATTGGGGGGCTGGGACATATGGGAATCCTGTTTGCGCGAGCACTTGGAGCTGACCGGGTGGTTGCTATTTCGCGATCATCTGGGAAGAAGAGTGATGCAGTTGATGGTCTCGGTGCTGATGAGTTCATCGCGACTGGCGAGGAGAAGGGTTGGGCGAAGAAACATTCGCGAACACTAGATGTGATCCTGTGCACTGTGTCCGCTCACGATATGCCGTTTGCACAATATCTGCGCTTGTTGAAGCGAGATGGAACTTTTGTGCAGGTTGGGGCGCCGGAGGATGCCTTGCCGCCGCTCATGGCTTGGAGTCTGATTCAGAAAAGTGTGAAGGTTACTGGATCTAATATCGGATCACCTGCAGATATCCGCGATATGTTGCGGGTTGCTGCAGAGAAGAGAGTTTTGCCTTGGATTCAGAGGAGGGAAATGAAGGATGTCAATGCTGCGCTGGGTGATATGCATGATGGCAAGGCGAGGTATCGGTATGTGCTTGAGAATGGTGTACAGGCCAAGTTGTAAATGTGAACATCCATGTATATATTTGTCTATGTCAGGAGGAACCACAGCCCTGGAGGCTTCTAAGGTTTGCCACACACGGACAGGGGAAATCCGCATTTAGAAACCTTGGATATCATCATGCTGACAGTAATATTGTCATTCTCCGAGGCCCCGACGTCGGATTAGGACAGAGTAGCCTACCACAAAACACGTTCTACTTCATACCGATCTGATTAAATAATTGTGCCCTGGTGTCCAGGTGCCCTCCTGGGAATTAAGCCATGGACTGTGTAGATTGCGGGAAAAGAACATAAAACAAAACTGCGTTTTTGAAAATATTTGGTGAATATCCATGGATGAACGCCTAGCCATGGGGGGACCAGGTATTATGGGCTTCAACTGAGGCCTAGTGGGCCCCCATATGGGGCTGAGCTTTGCAAGCTAAGCCCACAGCCTTCAGCCTACCGGTTGGGCCCATTCTAGTGTTTGGGCGTTGCGGAAGTCTATGTACAATAACCTTGGAGTCTGGCACTCGAATCTCACCTGGCATCATGAAACACAATTTTAGTAGTGACGGAAGGCCTCGGATTTCTACTCCGAGAGCTTTCATTGACTCTGCAAAGTCCGTCATTTCATCAAAGTCATCATGGCGCTCATATTCTCTACGGGTGTCCACCTGGGCACGGCTAGACGGGCCCAGTAGTGGGCTCTGGGCTCAGGGTCAGTGCCCAGTGGGCTCTTCCGGGGGCCCATTGGGCCCCAAACATTACAAACATGTCCAGGTGCCAATTCTTGGCATGTTCACAAATAACGTCCACGGGTAAATCCATGGATTTTGGCAGTATCCTTGAGTTTCAAGGAGAATAACGTTGAATTATCCTAAGAGAAGCTTGTGTATAGTGGTGATGATGACAATGAAGAGGGACCTCGGGAATATTGAAACTCATTATTAAAAGACTGTTGAAGATATCTTCCTTACGATACCTAGTATCATCCCTCAGAATCCAAGTTCGTGCAGGGGAAAATCTAGACACCACGCTCTTGGCACCACCGCTCAACCTCCCGAGCCAGCTTGTCCTTCTGATCCCGAACAAGCTCCATCATGGGCTCGACCTGCTTTCTATGTGAAGCAATAAGATCTTCATTGTCATTGACTGCAGCACCCTCCTTAGGTGCAAGATGGGTATCATAGATCTTGATCATTAGCTCCATAACAGCCGCTAACTGGTTAGGCAACCACTAAAAAAAAAAAGAATACATCAGTATCTGGCGATGATGAAGAAAGAAGAGAACTTACAGTAACAATGGGGCTACCACCTGTGGCAGTGGGGTGAGGAGTACGGCGGATGATGTATTCGCGGGCGAAGAGCCAGTGGCGCCAGCGGAAGCTGCGAATGTGGTTGAGAGTACGCAGGAACAAGACAGCGGTCTCGGAGTCTTGCACTGCATAATTCTGGACGCCGATCTCCTCGGACTTCTCGCGAATATATGTTAGGAACTTGCGATGGGGGAGAGGGCGGTAGGCGCGGAACTCGTGAAGAATCTTGGTGAGGGGGGTCTCGGGCATTGGGATCTCGCAGAGGTGATCAAGCAGGGGAATCTGAGGTTGTCAGTCTAGGCATGAATGTCACTCTCTAAAAGCTTTGACTCACGATACTGTCATTGGCACCACTCTCGCCACGGAAGTTGAGAGGTTTGTCATCTTCACAACCTTCGTAGATGACACCATTGGGGAACATGGATTGGTTGGTGATACCGAAGATGAAGACGCGGAATGAGAGATATTCTGATGGCTTCGAGTTGCCCCACATGTCTGTCGAGATAATGGTTAATATGCAGTCTAACAGCACCCCAAGAGGAATAGTGTTGGTGGAATATCATACCTTCCATGGAAGCTTCGATCTTCTCCATCGACTTCAGGATCTCGCGGAAGCCATCGTTAACCTCCTGACGAGATCCACGCTGCTCCAGAGAGTCAACAACCTTCAAAGCACCGGCAATGAGAGGGCCAGTCTCCTTGACCATGTCGACGTGGGTCAGAATGAAACCAGCCTCAGAGCTCTTAGGGTCAAGACCTCTCTCAAAGGAACGGATCAAACGAAGGTTGGAGTACTCGTTGAGACCCTTGGCAGGATCTTCAACTGTATAGTTGAAGAGGGCATATGAGGCAGCATATGACATGAAAGGGGGAAGGTTCAGGCTGCAAATTATCAGCTAACTATATCCATTGTGGTGGTGTGCAGATGGTTGTGTACACCATCTATAGCATGGAACAGAGTGAGGGTATAATTGACTTACATCTCAGCACAACGATACATAGGTCGAGCCACAGACTTGGGGAGGACGTCACGACCAAGTCCGTATCCACCTGCGGGATCCTTGTTCCAGTGCTCCCAGCAAGGCTCAAGCAGGTAAGATGAGGCCAGGAAGGTGTAATCACGGAAGACGGCAGCGATGGTAAACCGGTCATATGAACCATCTGGTAGAAGAAGCTTCTCAACCTCATGGGTTAAGTCAGTGAGCTCAGTCTGAACGGCAGGACCAAGCTCGTATGTGGCCAGTAGACCGGGCTTGCCATCCAGCCTGACGACAGGGAGACGGTTCACAAGCGAGAGCAGGGCACTGAAGGCCTCTGGGAGCTCAGTGGGGGCAGTCTCGTAGGGCAGGAAGCCTGTCTTTGTAGTGATGGTGAAAGGGTCAAGGTTGTGAGACAGAGCTGAGGGTTCGTCATTGATATGAGGGAACCGCTTCAGGGTAGCAGGAGAGGGATAGGGAACTTGGGTTCGGGTCATGATGATGTATGGACAGCTAGGTAAGGGTAGGATAGGATGAGTGATCGGTATCCGATGAGCCAGGGAGGTGTGTAGGGGGAAGTTGTATGTGAAGAGGAAGTAGGATGACAAAGACCGAGGGTTATGTCAAGACTAAGGGGATTTTGGACGCAAAAGTTGCGGGAAGAGGTCAGAAAGTGAGAAAGAGATGAAAAGAGACTTGGAACTTGAAGGATTTAAGCGGGTGAGGAGCAGGTTCTTATAATACTTTGAGGCCGGTAACAATTCCGGCCTCAAGTCCACCATTACGAAAGAGATAGAGATAGCGTGGAACCCGTGACATCCGATGCTGCAGGAAATGACTGCGTGTTACATCTGTCTAGGAATCATCCTACAGCTTTATATGGCCATATTTGACCAGAACACGTTGTTTTGCCATTCACCTGTCTGTCCAGACGAAGTATATAATTGCCCAGTAAGAGAGGGCAGACGACGGTCACGGGGCGACACTAGGCCGAATGTAGTAGAAGCTGGGGAAGGCGGCTTGAGCCTTTTGCTTTAAATGCGTCGCGTATTTACTCTAGAGCATGATGAAAGATGACATACAAGAGTGCAGAAAGGCATTGACCAACGAAATTGACCATTCAATGGTGGCTTATCACAGATCAAAGGGTCAAGGTGTGTGTTCAAAGCACGATCTATGCTCGAAGTTCGCTGCGCTGCCAAGCCAGGATCGCCAGACACGGCCTTCTGATTGGACGATAACACGGGGTTTAACTTTCCTAGCGTTCGGAGGCCGGAATGCTACCGGCCTCCGAGAATAGCCGGCCACATACAATCCGGGTACGTTTGATATAGGCCCAGTTGCAATAGTACGATCGTGTAAGATCACAGGCTTGGTTCCTTTGTACGGGAGTCAAACAACCTTGAAAGTGCCTAATACTCTGGGGTGCCGGGAAAATCTTCCAAGGCTGTCCTGCAAACAACTGGCCTACGCGCTATCGCTTGAATGCATACAAGGGAACCTTGGAAAAAGCGTTGGATGACCAGATGGGATCGAATCTCATTAAACATTACTTCACCAGAGGAGCTCAGGTGAATCCGCGCTCGGTTCTATTGATGACCAGTGTACCACGATTCTCGTAGAAAAGCTCATGTAGCTTGGGCAGGAAGTACTGCAATACAGCATCCCCTGCAGCTGCCGTCAATGCCTTCTTATCACCCCAATAATGTCTGATCAACTCCCCAACACATCCTGTAGTCGCAACTTGAGGGCACCCATTGGCCTCGGCGCAAGGCAAGACTTTAATATCATCCGATCTATTAAAGTCATACCGAACATGATTTCCAAATGCAGATTGTTCATGTGCCCACTCCCGACCGTATATTGAACACCCGGGATAGCGCGTTTCGCTTGGACAAGACTCCCACGCTTCAAATAGCTCGTGGGTGCGAGGACTTCGTTGGGCTATCATGAACCCGGTGTTCAGCATTGTACGGCCATTCCAATCACGGTTATGAGGCGCGTCTGGGTCAAGCGCCAAAGCAACGAGATTGTTTTCCGTGATGTCCCAGTAGTTGAACAGCCATTCCATTGGCAGATTTGGGTACAAGATCATTGCGTCGGCATCCAGGAAGACAACGAAATCGTAATGGTGTAGGGCCTCCTTGATCGCAGTAACCTTTGACCACGTCCCAAACCGACCGTCATTTCTAGGCATGATTGCCAACCGGTAGTCGTACCCATGGATTTTCGCTGTACTTGTTAGTGAAGGCATAAAGTGCTCGAAGTGATGGAAATCTCACCATACATGAAATGATTCAGTCTGCCGCCTGTGTCATGTGGCAGCTCATCTGCGTTGAGGGGTGCCTTGCTCAGAACCCCCTTTTGTCCATCGAGCTTCCGGCTTTCAGCATCCAGAATAAGGATTCTTCTCCGCAGCGGTTCGGTGAATCTTAATGGCTCCGCAAGCCAGAAACGCTTCCCCGTGTGGCCCACAAAAATGGTATTCGTGATCGGTTGATTATAGGAGTCGAAGATCTCATGAATTGTAGAGGAAGTTGCGGATGTTTCCAGTGCCCATCGGTGGTACCTTCTATACTCGTCAGCACCTGGGTGGCTTCGGAAGGTCTTCACGTCAGAATAGCTCATACGAGTGTTGAATCCCATGCTTCTCTGTGAGCAGATGGAGCAAGGTCCACCCTGAGATAACTATGGCCAAGAGGATGACAAGAAAACGAATAAATCGTCGTTTCAGACCTAACGCCGAGTGATGCAAGTGCATGTTGGGATAGCCACACTGGAAGTCATTGTTAGATCAAAACAATCGTGCAATGTGAAGTTCAATAAACATGACATCACTTTGGAAGAATCCGTGGATTACCTGCAGTGTGCGGATTTCCGGGAATTTGCGGGATGCTGCTGGAGAACAAGACTTTTGGAAGATTGACAAAGAGTCAAAGACGAGGTGATTGAAAGCCGATTTAAGAAAAATAAAATTGAGAATACTTGTTAAAAAGTGCGCCTAGGATCGCGCAGATGAGTACCATACTGGTTTTGGAGACCCTGGGCAGCCTTGAGAGGATGTACTAAAGATGATTTTGTGTGTTTTCAAAGGTTATTGCATTGGTATTAGCTAGCTAGTACTCGTGATTAACCTCCTGTTTGAATGTCATCTCTCCATGATTTCTGACTGATTCAATTTGCTATCCAGGAATGTAGGACCAGAGCAAGAGAAGCGATACCCCAGGGGCATCGTAAACTCATCCAAACAACGCATCTAGAGCATTCAGCTGCGTCTGAATCAACTCCATGTCGTCTGAATTCTCCCGAAGCACTTTCTTGAAGTTCGCGATTTTCTCCATAGGACGGCCGGGCAAAGACCCCCCACTTTGCATCTTCTTTTCCAGTGACTCGACGGTGTTCCTTGCACGGCGCAATAGTGACCAGTATATGGTAGTCCGATCGAGATATCCAGTCTCTTGCAATGACACATCCCATTCATGCGGCATATTCTCAGTGGCATCCAGCCACTTGGCCATGTACTGCCACTGTCGCTTTTCCAACCCAGGAAAATGCACCAGCAAATCGCCTTTGTTGCCTTCATAAACCATATCCCGTTGGTACGCGTTGATCCAGGGCTTTGGTAGATAAACTACCCCATCAGTGTACCCCTTCCCACTTGGACCACCGGTGGTTTTGTTGAGCACACGCCCCATGCCTTCCGGATCGGCGGATTGACCGAGGTCAATTCCAGGGAGATACAATGGGTATGCCATGATTTCGGTTAAGAGGCTGACAGTCCACGGGTGGACATGCAGAAACATGACTCCGGAATCGAGGCCGTTCTGGTCCTGCGACGCCACCAGGTGAATGTCTTTCATATCAGATGGCGGAAGGAAGATCTCCACGGGAATTTCGTCGTTCAAGATGATTATGTCTGAGTCGACCCACCTGCAACCGTTAGCCCAGATCTCGAATGTCCATTTTGAAATACATACATGAGCCACTCCATTCTCCTTCCTGCTGGTTTGGCCAACTCGGCGATGACCAAGGACGAAAGATAGGTTGGCTTGTTCCAAACGCCGGCTGAGATATCCTGTCGCAAAGTGTGCATCGGGTGGCCCCATATCTTTGCATGGCGCTCATGAGTGAACAGAGCTCTCTCATACATCATGTTGGTGTCTCCATAGAGCATGGACACCTCGGCAATTCGATGCATGTTGATGCCCGGTGCTTGAATGCCCGTAGAGTGAGGGTGCATCACGACATAGTAAAAGAGTGTCAGCCAAACAAGGCAGAACGCAATGGAACAATCACGCATCAGCCGTAGTTTGGGAGCCATTCTGTGCGCGAATGTTCGAGTCGGTGAGTAGAAGCCGGTCTTGCGTACAATCGGGAGACGACGAGGAAAGGTTCTCTCAAGGAGAGGCGGAATTGTTTATACGCCGTATCATACGCGTATTGTCGCCCTTTGAGGTCTCGGCGATATACTTGTTCTTCTTCTGGGTATTTAATGCTAGGCTCCGGGCCCGCTTGCAGTCAATCTGGAATACCTTCAAGACCAGGCCCAGGAACGCTTGAAATCGTGGAGATGAGTTCGTATCGTACTAGTACAGAAAGTAAATATTGTACACGCCGGGTTCAAGATATTTGTACAATATTGCATGCATGATCAGACAATCCCAACTCCAAGCTTTGATGCATCGCCAGCTGGCAGGCCGTGGCATTCTCCACCGTCTCAGGCACTCGACCATGCAAGCTCTGACAGGAGCAACCGATTAATGCGTCTCATAAATTCGGGCTCGAGGATTTGTCTGGTGTACTGGAGTCGTCGTTCGTACTGTGTACCGTTTGGAGCTTGAGATACTCCTGCTCGAGTGCCTTTTGCATTTCGAACTCAGCCTGGCGCTCCAATCGAATGCGTTGTTTCTCCATATCCCGCTCGACGCCCCTGTGCATAGCCTTGATACTAAGTTAGCAAAACCCTCAGTCACAGTGTTTGAGTCGTCACATACCGCCCTATCCGCTTCCTGCGCCCAGTGGACGAACCAAATAATACCCATTGTGCCGAGGCCGGTGGCTGCGAGCGTGGCTTTTGATGCGCGGGACATTATGGCGAGTTTGCGGTAGGGATCAACGCACAAATCTACAACGCAGGCGGGCACACAGGCAATAAGACCGTTCGACGTTGAAATCCAGTCGGAGATTATCAGTTTATCGATCGGGCGGTGGGGATGGCAGAACCCCCACCGCTCTGGGGGGCGATGCGTGGCTCCGATCGACCTGGACCTGAAGCTCCAGACCAGCCGTTGAATCGTCACTGTCAGCCTCACTTATTCTCTACCCTTTTCTCAAAGCACAGAGGCTCCCAGAAAACATGGTAAGTGGCACATATTGGTATTGGTGGATTGCTGCTAACGGGGAACAACAGTCGGCTCAGAACTCCGCGGGCATCCAAACCCTCCTCGATGTAGGTGCTAACTTTACCTTGGGCTCGGGCATACACTCATCATAAACCTGGTAGGCCGAGAGAGAGGCTCAGAAGATTGTGCAGCAAGGTAAGTCGGACCTCTTCACCCCCCGGTCATCATTGCGGAGATACTAATACGTCACATCATCTTTAGCCCGAGAATGTACGCTATCTGAGCTCCCCAGTCGGTTTTCGCATGACTCAACTAATCTTGCCACGATTCAGACCGCACTAAGCGCATAAGAGACGCCAAGTCAGAGGCCCAGAAGGAGATCGAGGACTACAAGAAGCAGAAGGAAGAAGAGTACAAGAAGTTCGAGGGCGAGGTAAGAACCAGACAGATTGAAGACAGTCCACTGAAACCGGACCGTGATACTGACGGATGTCTCTGTTATAGCACTCCAGTGGCTTCAAGACCGCCGAAGAAGAGTCCAACAAGGAAGCCGACGCCAAGCTCCAGGAAATCAAGGATGCCGGCAAGAAGCAAGGCGACGAGGTGATTGAGGGGCTCATCCGTGTTACAACCGATGTGAAGCCCCAGGTGCCTGAGAAAATTGCGGCATAATGTAGATATCCCATCACATCTTTTCTTTGCTTATCGAATCATGCGCTCGTGCGCTGTTCATCAATATCCACCCTCCGGACAATATCAATCCCTTTTGGCTCAACGAAGTACGCACAGCTACATGAAAGATGGGCTAATATGCTAACACGGTTTCGTTTTCTTCGGGTACATTCGAAAGCGAGTTGAGCTCCAAGACTGTATTCAACAGTCTTGCCAGCGCACCCTTTTGCTACACCCTACTTCAAGCTTTCATTCTCAGCCTCTCGTATCAAGAGGCTGATATTTCTGCTGTTGCGAGTTACCCGCGCTATCGTTATACCTGGTCACTTACGGTGCGGTGCTATCCAGTGCCTGGCGCGGAAATGACAAGGGCGTGTTGGCTCAACGTCTCATTTTGCTAGGCTCCAGGACACTTGTCAAACAAGTAAAGTCTCAGGTGTCTCTAATCATTGGTGCTGGCGCTGTGGCGCAGTTGGTTGAGATACCCTGCCGCCATTCAAGGTGAGTCTTGGGGCTATACGACTGCTCCTATTATACCTAAGGATGGTGATGCCCTTGCATTGCTGGCCGACAATCCAAAAACCCAGGACAACTGTTCATGCTCGAGCCACACCTTTGCTTACCGTGGCAATTTCCAGGTAGCCTCTACCATCCAATTATTATTTGCCATATGCATTGATTGTCGCAGCTAGCACTTTGGGCCGTGGCCTTTCCCTGCAGCAGGAACAACCTCGTCACCCAAGATTCTAGGAAGTGGTGCTTTTGTACCATTCGCGATCGACTGGCTCACATTGTTGGGGCTAGCTAACGGGGCTACGGGCTGTGCTCGACAACGCTTCATGGACCGCAAATGGCAAATGACGTTGGACAGATATAAAAGAGACCCGTGCTGCCAGACTCGTTCCAAAGGAAATAGTCCCGGTGCAAATCACTCTTCGCCTCTTTTGATAACCTTGAAATCTCCCAAGCTCCATTGATCAAACATTGAGTCTCAAAATGTCCGTCCCAGTGTCGGGAATATCTCAGACTACGACCGTGCGTCAACGCCTTGATAGCTTCGGTTACCAGCCACGCATGATCAAGACAAACCCAAACATTAACTCGGACTGTCCAAGGCCGGGCAAAGATGCAAAACAGGAATATGTCAGCGTTTATGCCCCAAACAAGCAAGGTATCTGCAGTTTTCTGGGCCCGAATTCGCATATTCATGAGCCGTCTTGCAATCGCATAGACAATGTAGGTCTTGACAACCAGACTCTTCCAATGATATCTTTTGGCAGAGAAGTCATCGAGACGGTGGAGGAAGTCAAGCGAGACTTCTACCAGAATTTCGAGCCGGTTGTTCGCGCAGCATACAGCCGCGGGCCTTTCATGGTTTCGAGATCGGGTGCACCGACGAGAAGGGGGCTGCAAGGTATCAATTGTGGCTATCAACTGACTTGGCCTGGAAGGTTGGATCAGTTGCCGGAAAGATCAGCGATGATAGGGTTGTTTGGAGAACCCGGTACTATCAAGATGGAGCAGTGGGTTGGGAATCAGCAGATGGACCAGGCTACTAGATCCCTCCAGCAGAGTATCAGAGAGTATGTTTCAAACCCCTCCCCCCTCCTGACTTTTCCGTTTGTGTTTCTGTCCCACTCTCGTCTATATCTGATGAAACTTTCTCATGTTCCAAGCTAACCTGCACTTCCTCAAAAGCTACGCTTGATCCTATGAATGCCCTCAAGTATTCGTATTCGATTCAGCTTGCCTGCTCATGGTCCAGCTCAGGGCTTATCATCACGGCGGACTCAAAAGCTCAAGCTGTCTTGCCGATCACTGCGTGATACCTCGCTGGTGCTCTGATGCAGGTCAAAGCACAGTTCAATACGGACTTTATGCCTTAGCCTGGAGGGGCTGGATCCGACTTTCCGCGACCCTTCTAGGTAGCTCGGAGGACATTCAAGGATCCCAGTTCCTTGAACTGAATGGGAGCACAAGGTTGTATGAATACTGGTCTGGGAGACCAATGTGGAAGACGACAGGGGATATCACCGTTCAGCACCCAAGGGGGTGGACACGGTGTTTTTATGCTCCTGATCTTCATGATTCTCACAACACTCCTATGCTAGAGAGAACTTTGACGGGTCCAGCTGGCTGCTGGTTTTGGATCAGAGATGGATTTGATGGAAGACGATCCGTTAATGACACTGGGAACGTCTTTCAATGACCCTGGAAGTAGTTACTCTGATTGATATGTATATTGAATTTTACTGCATTATAAAACTTCCCAGAATCTGGCAACAGAGAGCCTATAGTTCTAGATGTTTCCGTGGTGGCAGCTCGTATCGCCCTGTTGCCTGAGGCACCAATGTTGGATGTTATGTTGCGTCATTTCGCGACGGGATGCGATTTGCAACCTCGGCGTAAACAGCAATGCATCATGCGATTGCGATTGCAAGCTCGCTTCGAAGAACAGCGATAGCATCCCAAAGATGCTCCCCATTCTTATGGTACGCCGGAAGCAGGGCGTATCATGCGACCCCATACGGATCCCGACCAAGTCTTGAGCCGCGACTAGAAGATCATGGAAGAGTTATTCACGATGAGTACTCCATCGTCCGGGATCATTATGGTCTGTTATATATCTTGGTTTACTCTAGGATATTGCTAATCCTCACACAGATGTTCCGAAACACCCCATTGTTCTGGCTCATGGCTTGCTCGGGTTTGATGAGTTGCGGCTTGGTGGCCGTTATCTTCCCGGCGTGCAGTACTGGCGTGGCATCAAGGAAGCATTGACAGCGCGAGGTGTCGAGGTCATCACAGCTACAGTACCTCCGTCAGGCTCCATTGAGGATCGAGCGAAAGAACTCGCCAGAGACATTGAGGCTGGCGCACGAGGGAGGGATGTGAATATTATCGCGTATGTTTCTATTGCCCACAACAAGATCCCGAGTCCGTGTAATGACTTGACATGTTGCAGACATAGCATGGTGAGCTTTGCAGTCAATTGGCTCGATAATTGCTCATCATTGATAGGGGTAGGCTATCCAACCGAAAAACATTTCGGGACAAGCTAATACCAACCCAGAGGCCTCGATTCTCGATACATGATCAGTCGAATTAGACCGGAGAAGTTTAAGGTCTTGTCGTTAACGACGATTGCATCGCCACACCGAGGTTGGTCAGTTCAGCACCTACATTTACTTCAGGCTGACTCTTTCGCAGGCTCTGCTGTGGCGGACTACGTGTTTGACCAAATTGGAGGTCATTTCCAGCCCAGTATTCAATCATCAACCGATCGCTAACATTCTTCACCGCAGCCGATGTCCTCCCCCAGATCTACTATGCTCTCAATCGGTTGAAAGTCGAAACAGGGGCATTCTCACAACTCACTCGGAAATACATGAATGAGACTTTTAACCCAAGTACCCCGGATGTGGCAGATGTCCGGTAAATACTTTCATTCCCTCGGATTGTCCACTGCTTAAGCATACAGATATTTCTCCTATGGTGCTGCAGTTCAACCAAGTATATGGTCTGCATTTCGACTGTCTCATCGAATTCTTGAACAAATCGAAGGACCAAACGATGGTCTAGTCAGCGTATCCAGCAGTCGCTGGGGAGGAGAATCGGGATATAAAGGAACGCTAATGGGCGTGAGCCACCTGGACCTCATCAACTGGACCAACCGACTGAAGTGGATAGCCGGAGAGGTTACCGGTAACAAACGAAAGTGAGTGGTATAACAAGATACCATTTATCGCACGCTTTGAGCTAATGAATATGTAGGTTTAATGCCATTGCATTCTACTTGGACATTGCAGGTAGGTGCCCATCACTCTGCCGTACCATCCGAGACTATACTGACATGCCCAGACATGCTGGCAAAGGAGAACCTATGATGGTCCGGATCTTGTACATAAACAAGTTGTTATCATGACGATGTGATTTCGGCTGCTCTTTCAATTGTTGTCTGCTGTGGCTGTGTCTCATGTATGTTAGACTTGAAACCGTGTTGCCAAGCTCCAGACCAGGGCTTGACATTCAAGTGAATAATCAAGGGGTGTTGCCTAGATACAAATATCAGGTGATAGGCAAGAGCATCAGATGCGATACAGAAAATCCAGACCGGACAGCGAAGTGGGTAAAAATGGAGTTTTCTCAGCCCTGCTGTGGCTGTGGGTCGCGAACATGGATCTGGAATCCTGGTGCCTGCTTCACGAGGGAAGTAAACAGTATTCAGTTGACAATTTTCATGGGAATTTGTTCGTATGATATCCATGGTGAACATGTCTTACAATCAGGGAATGGTAAATTGTATTTCAACACCAGTGTCAAGCACCCGGGGAGAACGGAGTGACGGTATCCATCTTATACCTTGCCGAACGCCCGGGCTGGGCCCTTTGTCTCCGCTACGATGGCCGAGAAATAATAAATAAATTGTGGCTGCTGAGGCGCAGCATAGAATTCCTGTCTCTGCAAGACCCTTGTGGTGTCGAATGTTGCTTGGCAAGTCGATCTGCAAACGCTCCCAACGTCATTCCGGCATTCCTCGCATATAATCCGCATTTTACCACCCCTCACACCCCACGACCTCTCATCAACCCCCGAGCCGGTTGTTTCGAAGAACTGACCCTTGTCGCATACCTCCTCGGTTGTCGCGGACACGCATTTCACCACTCAACCACGACTTTCCGCCGACGAGAGCCCCGCCAGGGCCCGGGCGCTCCGCCGTCATGTCCGCAAACATCGTGCTGAACAACCGCCACACTCATTACACAAACTTGGATTTCTTGACGGGCAAAGTGGTGCTACAACTACCAAGTGAAGCTGCTATTGGGGCGATTCAGGTCAAGCTAGAGTGTGAGAGCCGCACGCGCCTGTCGGGGCCCAAGAATCCCCATCATGCAAACTCGGATAAAAAGCGGACGGAGCTCGAGGTTCACAAAGTAAGCAAACCCCTATGATGTTGAAAGTGAGGGTCCGAGCTGGTCCGAGCATTGGTTGATTGAAAACGCAGATCCTCTACAAGGTCGCTACCGTTTTCCCCACGCCCGGTGTGATGCAAAATGGATCACCCGCGCCCTCGTATACTTTCGCTGCTGGGAACTACGAATATCCCTTCGAATTCAAGGTAATGGCCCTGGATATGATCCATGGACAATCATTGACGCTCTGTTATAGTTCCCATTTAATAATTCATGCAACTCCACTAACAGCATGCTCACCAATCTAAATTTCTCTGGGCTGAAAGTCGAAGTAGCGAAAGACACCAACAGACATGTCAGAAAGACCCTTCCGCCATCCCTGAGTGGGTTCCCCGGAGTGGCAGATATCAAGTACTTCGTGAAAGCCACCGTCATTCGACCTCAATTCTACAAGGAAAACATCAGATCTGTAAGTGCATCAGATTACCCCATTATTTCCGCGGTACAAAGACTGACCAACTGTAGATTGTACCTTTGAATTTCCTCCCAATTGAGCCACCCCGGACAGGGAGCCCCAACGAGGAAACTTACGCCAGACGGCAGCACCAGTTCTCCAAAATCCAGCCCGGGTCCAAGAAAAAGAGTATCTTCTCGCGTGGGTCCAACAGCCTCCGAGACACCTATTCAGAGCCTCCAAGGGTGTCTGTGGATGCTCGTCTTCCCAACCCGTCCATTCTTACTTGCAACGAGCCCGTTCCGCTTCGTTTACTCGCTAAACGACTAAACGAGGGAACCGATATCATCTTCCTTCAAATGTTGCAAGTCGAGCTAATCGCTTACACAAAGATTCTGGCACATGATCTCACACGCACCGAAAGTGGCTCTTGGGTCGTCATGAGTCGCAGTAACATGAATGTCCCATTGGGCAAGCCAGAGGATCCCATAGGAACTGATTGGACAATTGACCCAGGTCTATGGAATCGCTACCCCCTGCCCAACTCAGTAGCGCCGTCCTTTGAGACATGCAATATCGAGAGATCATACGAGTTGGAAGTCAGAGTCGGCCTGACACATGGCAACTCCCGAGAAATGATGGTATGTGCAAGCCGCCTCAGAATTCATCATGAAACTAACATCTTTACAGCCCCAACTCATTGTGCTTCCTTTGCGAATGCCGGTCAAGATTTTCTCTGGAATCGCGCCCCCACAAGCCCTTCTGGATGCAATGGCCGCAGCCTCTCTCGAACAAGGAAAGCAAAAGCCCCAGCCCAGCGTTCCGGCAGAAGCATCAGACAATCGCCCACCTATGCCACCCCGGCCCAGCGGCGAGCCTGTTCCTGTGAACTCAGGCGATGCATATGACGACGCCCCGCCCAGCTATGAGGATGCGATGGCAGATCACCTCAGCCCCGTGGACGGGCCCCGCCGCGAGTATCACCCACCGGAGGCCTCCCCGCCCATGGAATCTGGAACTGATGGCAAGTCCGCAGCCCAGGGTAAGGACCCTGAGGATCGGCCTGCGGCGGAAGGATCCTCGGCGCCCTTGCGACGCGATAACCGTTCTTCCTCGGAGTCCTTTGACATGCTTCCCACCACACCACCAGAGTCACACTCTGGCTCTCCTCCTCAGTCTCCGGTCGCCCGACCGGGGAGTATGATGAAGATCCCGCGAAATCCCATCGAAGACGAAAGTCCACCGCAGTACGAGCCTGTCGGTGGGAACCAGGGTGTTGCCCAAACACAGCGCCAGCCCTCCCGGAATCATCGGCCGATGAACCTCGGTGTTCCAAATCGAAAACCAGTCCCGCGAAGCCCGGATCCTCGAGGCCATTGATTTACTAACTGGTTACTTCTCGTTTACTCTACTTCATGTCAAAAGGCGGGATGTGAACTTGATGAGTTACGCCCCCATGGAATTTTCCAGCACTAAAATTCTTCCAATTGGCATCAAAGCTGATACCCCCTGTGTGGCTTCTCTTAGGAAATGTGACACCTGTAAATTGTCTGTCAATTAAGACGTCAGTCTTCAAGCCCTTCTTACTTTATTACCTTTCTAATTCATGTCCCCATTCCGGCTTTGATCTTCAATTATCATATCCATGATTACATATGCATATGAAATAACGGTTTTTGCATAATCACAATCTGTTTCACCTCCTTCAGTGACTTCCAGAGGTTGTCTAGTGCATGCCAAAACCCGGGACATGACCCGTGGACGCACACGACTTGGAAGGATCTGTAAAGCCCAGGATTTTTGGCCAAAAGCCAGAAATCTATCTATGAACCCACTTATCGATGTATGCTGCCTATGCACAATGCACCTTGCTCGCAAAGGACTCTTCCATGGATATCCTCGTCGGGAATGGTGACCGTTTATCCGGTTTCCTTGATTGGGAATCCACTGGCTACTCCTTTGAAGACTGGGGCTTTACGGCTGCATCGAACTTTGGAGTGAGCGGTGTGCGCTCAAGTGGCTTCATGGATTTGGGAAGTACAGCTTGCGGTATGGCGCTCAACTCGTTGACAGTGCCTACATAGCCTTCTACTAGTAATTGCCACTACACTCAACCGATGTTTCGCCTTTCGCCTTGCGCAACCTAGATACAGCCAAGTAATAGTCCACCTCTCACCGTAAACAGTCTGCACGCGCCTTGTTTACATCGCAGACGAGCGTCGGTCGAAAGAGGCATAGACCGAGGGATCTACGACTGAAGAGGGAAAACGCTACTCCGAAGCGGGACTAGCGCACTCTCCGCGATTGAGCTTCCTTCACTTCTTTTCCCATCCAGACCCCGCGCATGGCATTTGCCATTACATCCAGTTTCTGAAGAGTACTGTCGCTGAGATCATTGCCTTGTATACATTCTGGCTGAACCTAACGCCCCCGCCCGATCCCCCCGCGAGCATCTCGGAATCTCCCCAAAAAAAATTGACCGCGTCAATGATTTAGCTCGCGATGCGTCTCCACCTCATTATTTCGCGCCACGGCTTGCCGGTGACGCGAATTCTCTGGACGACCTCAGCGGCGTCTTCAGGCGAATACGGAACTCGTCATCCCGCGCCAACGGCCGCTGTCGCATCATCTCGGACCCCGAACATCGCTTTTTCCAATGGCGGATACACAGTCGCGCAACTTCTCGAAGATGTGAATGAAGTTGTGCCACTGGAAACTGAGCCTCATGTCTTTGACGAGGAGCTGAGTGGCCAGTGGGGATTGGAAGATTATGTGGTTGAAGTGGCTGGCTCGGAATGCTTACATTTTATGGAAGTTGATGGTTTGCTTCGAGATGGCGACGAAGTTGTGTATGTCTATGACTCAAAATGTGCGCTGCTACTCGCAGATACCTAACTTTTCTGGATATAGTATTCGAGCACTCCAGCTGGCAGATCTTCGGACCAGGCGACTTTGCGGTCGTCACCAGATCACCTCCGAGGGCAAACACCTGATCGACGGTGTACCTTTTGGTTCGCCTTACATGAAAAGATCCACCACCACACGGCCTGCCATCACAATCCCACCCCGGAAGAAGCGGCGCACTGTTTTCTCGGGCTGGGAGCACGGTCCAGGTCTCGCGGTCGAAGATGCACTCGGCGAACCCGCCGACGAGGAAGGAGATGGAGAGTGGGTGCCGCCTCCAGAGACTGGGTTCGGTAAAGAACTTTCCATCATGCCGCCTGAGCATGAAGAATCCATGGGAACCGTCATTCGTCATCCTATCGAACACCTCGCAGAGTCCGACAGCGAGAGAGATCTGTCCGACGTGGACGAAGATGAAGATGAAAACGAGAACGAGAGCGAACTCGAGAGTGAACTTCAAGCACTGAAGGAGGACTTCGAGGAATCATCTCAATTTGTTGATATCAGAAACCAAACTCGCAATCCCAGCGGACATGCCCTACGCGATACCTCTGTGTCTAAGCGGCCAACTTCCAAAGGCTCAACCGCGGCTGCCTCGACCATTTCATCCAGCAAGAGGTCTAGAGGAGATGACTTTTCGTCTCCAAGAACCTCGAAGGCTGTAAGATTCAACCAGGGGGATCAGGACCCTCCTGAACCCCAGCAGGCCAACGAAATCGCCACGGGGCCACCATTGTCTGCATCAGATTCTGCTGTTTCTTCCGACAGTGACTCCGACTCTGATAACTCGGGCTCGGATTCGGATTCGGACTCGGACTCCAGTGATGACGATGATGAAGAAGAAGAAGAAGAAGAAGAAGAAGAAGAAGAAAAAGAAGAACAAGCTTCTTCAAGCGAAGTAGAACCTGCCAGAGAGCTCACTGCACCAGCCTCGGAGTCCTCTTCTGGTTCTTCTTCCGGTTCTTCTTCTGATTCTTCTTCGGACTCTGATAGCTCTGATTCATCGGGTTCATCGGATTCGGAATCTGAGGACGAGGTCCCACCTGCCCCGAAGGTCGTCCAACTGCCACCTGTAATTAGCGCTCCTGGCGAGGGCTCAACTCGCACCAAGAAGAGCAATAACCGGCTCAAGTTGCGCCGCCGTCTCTCCAAATTGAAGGAGCTTGGTGCTTTGCCTGAGGAGGCAGATTTTGATGCATTACGCTCTTGGGAGCATGCAAATGGTGGCTGGTTCAACCCTGAACAGTCTCTTATCTCCGAAGTTTCTGCCAAGCCAACTCCCGAACTATCAGCTGAAAAGTCTGCAAAGCAGCTTAGGAAGGAAAAGAAGGAGCGGGAGCAGCAAGAGTTCGAGGCCAAGCGACAGAAGCTTCTTCGAGACCTCGCATCAGGGAATGGCGTTGATGTAGATCAAACATCAGAGAAGGAGAACGTTCCACCCCCGGCGCCTGCCGCGGAACCTCCAGTGTCAGAGCAAATCTCCACCGAGGAGAAGCCAGAGGAGGAATCGTCAAAAGAAGCAGCACATAGACGAACTTTGGATGTAGCAAGCTCGAGACGCTTGCTTTTTGGCTCTCTTGGGATGCGAACCCCAAAAACAAAGGAAGAGGAAGAGCAAACTCGTCGCAAACTAGCGGCCAAAGCCAGTGCAACCGCACGCCCAAAGCGCACTTCGCGGGCTGCCCACGAAGATGTCGACCAAATGGACGAGGGCGAGGACGATAATGAACATGAAGGCGATTGGATGAACAAGCTTGTTATCCGGGCTGTCGAGTGTGTGTATCCCGATGTTGCAGTAACTGCTCCCCCTTATCCATTCGTTCAGCGCTGGGACAAGGAAGCAAATGCCTCGATTCGCGAGCTGAAAGGGCCTACCAAGAAGCGAAAGAGAAAGCAGCGCATTCAAGTCTACCACAATGAAGAGGAAGAATATGATGAGAATGGAAATTGGTACGGCGACGACTATTACCAAGAAGGCGACCAGAGCTACTATGACACCACGGCCGATGATTATTACCAAGGACATTATGGCGGCGAGGCTCAAGAAGACCATCAACTCAACTATGACGAGGGCCCTGAGCCTGCAGTCTCCGAAGATCTTCCCCTTCCTCCCAGTGACATGGACACTATTCCCAACTTGGATGAAGAGGATGTGAAAGTCGGAGCAATCATTGTCTTTCGGCAGCTAGACATGTCCAAGGCCACGAACTGGCAGCCTCAGATGTCTGATTATCGAGTGGCCGAAGTGCGTTCGGTCAAAGAGCACGGGGTCATCAATGTCCTGCTAGCGAAACGAGACCGCAAGCAACGCCCAATCGGTCAAGATAATGAGCTTCGCCAATTCAGCAAGTTTGAGGTTCCAGATCTTGCGAACGACGAGGAAGAAGACGACGGCTACCGTGAACTTGCCTTTGCGGAATTGAGCGATCCGAAGCTCCTCCGGCCTGGCTCATCAGGCGGAGATGAAAACACCCAAGAAGGTAGCATGTCAGTCAATTAAACCATTATCCTATGGTCCCTACTTACGTTTCCAAGTGTCTCCGTAGTCGAAGAATTCGTACCAAACACTCAGCCATCGCCCGAAATGGACCTTGATGAAACCACGTTCGTCACTATTGGGAATGAAATTAGCCGGCTTGAATCACCTCGCGAGTCCGCAAATTCACCACCCGGTGAGGCTAAACAGACTCCTGCGGGACTGCCACAGCTTGAAGTCCAAACCGGATCTGAGCAGCGTAGTGTGACACCTCCCATCCCATCACCTGATTTCACCGGATTCCATTCCGCCCGATCTTGGCAGCAAGAGACTCCAGGTCTTGATGCCAATCTCGAGGGACGCACGCTCGTCAGCGCCGAAACTCCGTCCGCAGGGGCAAACCGCGATGAAGGGCCCTCCATGGTGTCCTATGCCTCTGCCAATCAATCATTTGACAACACCACTAATGATGTCCCTGATGAGCCCGAACGCCAGGTCGTGGAATCTCTCGTTCCGCCTGGTGAGAGTGGCCCACAATCTGGCTCACTTCTTTCCACAATCGACTCTCACGGCGTCGTACCAAGCTCCCAGGGTATCAAGCAGGAGAACGTCAAGAAGGAGCAACGTGGTGAGGAGCAACGTGGTGAGGAGCCACGTAGCTCTAGAGAGTCATGGTCGGACATGCTCGAGAGACTGAGAGGCGGGCAGTCAGATGCATATGAACTGTTGAGCATCAGCGACAGCGATGTTGATGAGGATACCTCCGCACTAGAGCCTCTCCAGTGGCCCTCCTCATCTAAGAAATCCAAATCGCCGCCCAAGTCACCTCAGCCACCAAAAAGCACTCCGAATGATGCTTCCAACCCAGCCGATCCTACACACCTGCTCAGCTTCTTCTCCCCCGCTGGGTCTACACGCTCCAAAAAGTCCCAATTAGCCCGCGAACCCGCCCCCGGTCAACCTTCCGGGTCTGCGCCCAAGGCTTCCCAAATCCCCGCCTCGCAAGCATCCCAGATCGTCGATCTCACTTTGAGCCCTGACGGATCCCCTGCTCCAGAATCCAGCCTTACCCCTTCGCAGCGCAGGAGATCCGCGCGCTTTGACCCAAAGCAGGAATCTACCCGGTCGCAGGGATCTCGTGCTTCTACGACGGGTTCTCAGCCAGTTGTCGAGGTGTTCAGCAGCCCTGCGCAATCTCAAAAGAAGAAGAGACGTACGTCGCGGAAGTTTTGAGAATATTTTTGATGTCAGATTCTTGTGGTAATACTATTCTTGAAAACACATACCTATGGTGCAGTACTTACAGGCGCAAAGCGACGGCGTTCTGGAACACATTCGTTTTATTGGTACATTTCGGACATGAATTTCATTTTTTCTTATTCTTTTTATTCCAGGTTTCTCTTCTTTGTCCCTATTGTATATTTGATTTATGACATATTAAAACACTCAGCATTTGCCTGCGTTGCAGATCAAGATTTGGTGACAAAACCTGGCAGCTGATTGGTCATGATGTCACCTTGTATATACTCACCTCCCTTGCATCTTCTCGACATTCATATTCAAGCCCTACCCGCAGAGAGGTAGCATTGGGCATTGATATTATACCCTTGTATAGGTACTTCTCTTCTCTTCGCTTAAGATGCTGCGAGTTAGAAATCCATTCCGGCAATTCCAAAGTAGCCGGTGTGCGAGTAGTAAGCCTCGACGCTGCATCTCGTCATATATTCCCCGCTCTTTGGCGTTGCCTATCTCTGCTTCTGCTTCTGCCTCTTCCGCAACAGTTTGCTCATTTCAAGTACGCCAACCGACATTGTCTCAGCCCAATTCACCCAGATATCTATCCACTTCCACAATGGCCGAATATAAACTCACGGGCATCTCATCTTTATCCACCCTGGGATCTCTCGATAAGATTGAAGTCGAGGTCGAAGGCGTGGAGGAAGGAAAAGTCCTACTCGTCAAGCTCAATGACCAGGTCCACGCCCTCAGTCCTAAGTGCACGCATTATGGTGCACCAATGAAGAATGGTGTTGTGACAGGTGATGGTCGTATCACCTGTCCCTGGCACGGAGGTAAGCTCATCTACAGCCTGGATGTTGTTTCTTTGATATATGATGTACGAGGCAACCCATCTCAGAGCAATATGAAAAATAGAGAGTAGCATAAGCTGACAGTCATAGCCTGCTTTAGTGTTTCCACCGGCGATGTCGAAGACGCACCTGCCCCGAATGCACTGAACAAATATGAAGTCTTTGAACGAGATGGGGCAGTCTATATCAAGGCCAAGGAAGCGGACATCAAATTTGGACAGCGGAATCCTGTGGTCAAATGCAGTGTGTCGAAGCCGGAAGAGAAGGTAGTTGTTGTGGGAGGGTGAGTTCGATCTGATGTCCCATTCTCTACAGGGCTGCTGGGCTCGATCGCCAGCATAGGAATCACCGCTGACATCATATAGTGGAAGTGGAACATTAGGTGTTTTGCAAGCCCTCCGCGAGCTCAAATACCCCGGTCAAATCACGATGATCTCCAAGGAGCCTGATCTGATCATTGACCGAACAAAGCTTTCTAAAGCCCTGATCTCAGACCCCGCCAAAATCCAATGGCGACCCCGAGAGTGGTATGATTCAGCCGCGATCGAAACCCTCACCGACGAAGTAACAGCCGTGGACTTCAAGAGTAAGACTGTTGCCACACAGTCCGGCAAGAGCATCAGCTACACCAAGCTTGTTCTCGCCACAGGTGGAGTCCCACGCACTCTCCCACTACCAGGATTCAAAGGTGAACTATCTAACATATTCACCTTGCGTACTATCCATGATGTGCAATCAATTCTCTCAGCCGCCAGCGGCAAGAAGAACATCGTCGTAATCGGCAGTTCCTTCATCGGCATGGAAGTTGGCAACGCCCTCTCGAAAGACCACAACGTCACAATCGTTGGAATGGAATCCGCCCCCATGGAACGAGTAATGGGCGCGCAAGTCGGCCGAATCTTCCAATCCAACCTCGCCAAAAACGGCATCACCTTCAAGCTCTCTGCGAGCGTAAGCCATGCCTCTCCGTCTTCAGATTCAAGTTCCAAGGTTGGCACCGTCCATCTCAAGGACGGAACAGCTCTCCCAGCCGACCTGGTCATTCTAGGTGTTGGCGTTCGCCCAGCAACAGACTATCTCACCAACAATTCGAGCATCGAGCTCGAAAAAGACGGCTCAATAGCAACAGATGAGCACTTCGCAGTCCGCGGCTTAGACTCTGTCTTTGCAATTGGTGATATTGCAACATATCCGTACCACGGACCAGGAGGGAATGGAGCCGGTGTCAGGATCGAGCATTGGAACGTCGCGCAAAATGCAGGACGTGCAGCCGCGCGCGCGATTGTGCATGCGCAACGCGGAATATCAGTCAAAGCCAAACACTTCATTCCCGTATTCTGGTCTGCGCTGGGAGCACAGTTGCGGTATTGTGGTTATGCTGGGGGCTTTGACGATGTTGTATTAAGGGAGCAGGGAGAAGGGAAGTTTGTGGCGTTTTACACAAGTGGGGAGACGGTCGTTGCTGTTGCTACTATGGGAGTTGACCCGGTGATGAGCCAGAGCGCGGAGTTGATGAGGGCTGGGAAGATGCTAGGAAAGGCAGAGATTGTGGCTGGCGGGGACATATTGAGTGTTAAGGTTTGAAATTTGAGATAGTAATGTATCGGTTGTTTGAATGGTTGGAATGTTCAATTGGCATATACACATTTGAAAAAGTAGAACCGGAACGCCCCGTATGTAGTCAACAGTGATATCAGATATCAGGGCTCATGTATATATGAGGAATTTACTTCTTGGAAGACTTGGACTTCTTCTCCTTCTTCTCGGATTTGTCCTTCTTCTCTTTCTTCTCTTTCTTTTCCTTTTTCTCCTTCTTCTCCTTCTTAGGGCTGTCGAGGTGCACATCGACAGTCTCAACCTCTTGCACCGCCTCGGCAGCCGGCACATTGCTGACGGGAATAGCAGCATTCACTTTCGGCGTGGTAAAGAACGAAGGGGGCAAGGATTGACCTTGTCTCTCGGTCTCCAGAAGTGCACGCTCCTCTTCCTCTCCCAACATCGTACCCTCGATACTGAGGAACCCACTGTCTCGCTCAGACCCTGGGATAATATCGACATCAACAACGCGGAAACGCACAGAGCCGCGCACGCGGTGGCCAGAAACGGATTGGAAGTATCCACTGTGCGCAGACTCCTCCTCTTCTTCGCCCTCGAGAGGAATTTCCTCCTCGTCCAGCGAAGTAGGCTGGAATCCTTCCTTCTCGGCGTCGAAGTCCGCCATGTCCTTATCAGATCCGGAGTCGTCGTCTGTGGCCTCGGTCTCGTCGCCGGGAGGAACCCACTTCCAGTTCGAAGGAAGACGCTTGCGCTCAATGCCGACGGAGAACAAGTTGAAGACTACCGCTCCGAGGAAACCCTCCGACTGAACGTTCACCCAACCGTCCAGAATCTGGCCGCGCTGAGGCCGGAAGACCAAGAAGGTGGCGGTCAGGTAGACATACAGAACACCGTACTCATCCGCAGTGGTAGCGTTGGTCAATGGCTGGGGGTTCTCGGAAGGCGCAGAGGTGGGGGAAGGCGGTTTGCTGGAAATTGAGGCATTGGAGTACGCCATGACCACACCTTTCAATGGCGGGTAGTAAGTGAGCAGGAGGGGCGAGAGGTGCTCTGCCAAAAGCGAGGCTTGCGCATGCGTCGGCGAAATTGAGATTGGCGAGAGAGGGAGGTAAAGAGTTGCTTTTTTGAGGGAAAATGGGGACTCCGGCGTATCTTGCTTGCGCTTTTTGGTTGGTGATGAGTCCTTGGTTTTGGATTTGCGCTTGCGCTCTGCATCTGCAGGTCGCAGTGGGAGGGCGTCGATATCCATTGCGTCGACTGCCATGTTGGGCGCAATTGGGCGCTCCACGGAGCTGAGTTTGATGTGGAGGGATTGGGTGCTTCTTTATGAAGTCGAGAACTTTTTTTTTTCATTTGGCTTTTGGTATGACGAGTGGGGAAGGCGGTGGGGCGGGCGGTGTCGGTGGGCGCTAGATGGCCCCGGACTATTTTGGGGTATGGACAACTTGTCCGACTTTCCTTTGTTTAACATGTTACATTCGAGATTCAGTTGAATCTGATCTCTCATCATGTCATCCCTTTTGCCCTTCTTTGGCTGGGCGGTTCTACCCAATGTAAGTGGAGCGATCAGAAGTGCACGATGGAAGCTAAGACCAAAGAACAGTATGCCACGTCTTTCCTTCAAAGTGTCTATTATGGGATGACCATTCGCGCGGGTGATCCTCGGCCAGCACCACAATCTGAAAAGTTCCAGCGCCATCGCCGCCGTATCTTTATATTCGTGATCACGAGTTATCTCCTATACACACTCTATGAGACATTCTACCAAGTCCAGCTGGCGGGTGACTACTACCAAGCGTTGGGCATTTCACCATTCGCCGATGAAAGAGCAATCAAGTCGCGCTTCCGCAGACTCGCTGCCCAGTACCACCCTGACAAAGTCGGCACTGACAGCGGCGCCGATGCATACTTCTTGTACCTTCGAAGAGCCCAGGAAACACTGGCTGACCCTGTGAAGCGGTTCGCATACGACCGATTTGGAACCGATATGCTTGAATGGGGCGATAAGAAGACTATGCGCGACTATGTGGTGTCGTCTTTGACGAAGCTTGCGCCTCAATACATTGGAGGCTTTATCACAATGATGGTACTGAACTGGCTTTGGTGGGCGAATTGGGGTCGATACGTAAGTCCTATCTCCAGAATTGACTGGTCCCCAAATTGACAATCAATGCAGTGGCGATTCTTTACATTCGGTGCACTGCTCACCCTTGAGCTGGGCTTAATCACCCATCCCCAAGCAGTGTTCATGCCAACCTCCTACCTTCCCCTTGCACTTCAAGCCTATCTCCCGAAGCAGTCTTTCTACCTCCTGCCATTCCAAATCCTGACACTTGCCCGCCGAGCTTCGATCATGCTTCATATCTTCATCTCTCAAGCGGCCCCGCCCTCCACCAAGGCACCCACGAGTGGAACCGGGGACAAGATTTCCCCGCAGACCATGCAGCAGATTGGGCAAATGATACAGCTCAGTCGTTCAGTAGACAACGAGGCTACTCGCCTCATGCAGCTGGGGCTTGCGCCTTTCCGGGGTGATCGGGAGAGTGTATCAACGCTTCGGCGGGGCATGAAAGAGGGTCTCATTCTTGGTGGAGTGCGATCTAGTCCCGGGGTGCAACAGGCCGTGGCCGAGGTCATGAAGCGCCGCAAAGCTGAAGAAAAGCAGGATTAAACTTGTATAGCTAGATAGATGTTCATATTATACCAAGCTTGTTGATATCGAACCTGGGCCGAATGTTTGGCAGATCTATGTGGGTATAGCTTCGACGACATCGGACATATAGTAGTCATGTTCGACCTGATGTTGATAATCCTACTAGATATGAAGATTCTAAGATCATGCAGCTTGAATTCCCACCGCTCAATCCTGACTTCAAGACGATCAAAGCAACAGATTCTCAGTCTGAATACACTCTAGCCAAAGCGTAACGGTTGGGTAATCCATGTCCGTCAGCCACGGCTGTTCCAAGGTTGTTTCAGGGCCTCTTACCTTTTGTCTAAGAGACAAAGGTCACTTGGGACCATGAAACAGCAGCGCAATTTCTCGGCCCATTCGCCTTATTACATTCATTTGGAACCTGGAACTTGAACTAAATTGATAAACCATCTAGTAAATTGGAGCACTCCTCATTGGCTGGTGCTACATACTCTCCGCGCAACATTGCGAAGTCGAATGCATTACACAGATTTTCGAGCTGGCATAGACCGCACATCGGAGTGGGAGGTTCAGAGGCATCGCTCGAGTTAGCGATCCCTGCGTGAGTGAAATTCCCTCGAGTTGATACGTCATTCGACGACCACGCAGGGGGTAAAACAAGCCGTCTACGGAGTACAATAGAGGATTGGTCTGCACAGGAAGATCTGCCTTGACCGAGTCCATACCGAGACTTCTCTATCCATATTGTACTCCGTACTCCATTGTTATGTCCGTACCGCGCCCACTGGACCCGGATCACGTTTCTCCTAGTACAGTAGTTCGTAGTTCGTGTTCTCTAGTTTCCGGTATCTTTGCCGTGCAAGTGGACCTGACCAACTCGGGTGAAATTCGCCGCGCAAACCTCTGGGCCGCCAAAATCCGGGAACAGGCATCACAAATCACGATGGTAAAGGCAAATCTCCACCGTAGAGTGTACCCAGTTTCCTCGACTAAAGTGCTTGGCGCGCGAGATTGGGCTGCGTAAGCGGTCTGTTTTTGCGTTCAGCTCATTCCCATGAACATGTGTTATGGTCGAGACATCATGCGGTCAGTTTTCGGGAGACAGCGGGTTTGAATGAGATCCGTCCCAGAGCACTTGTCGCTCTGGACAGGACGGAGTATACTGTATACTGTAGAGTACTCTCTTTGGAACTCCCGGGTCAAAGGCGAGTCAACGAGATTCAAATATAGTCCTAAGTCCAAGACAAAGTAAAATAAAAGAGAGAAGTATACGGTATGGTCATGACTCCGTACCGATTGTGTATCGAATTCCCCGGACCGACGCAGTCGAGTGGTGATCGGTGTAAATGACGGTACGACAGGCCGAAGAAGGCCTCTCCCCTGCGCTTCATTCTCCTTCGAACAGAAAAAAATTAACCATGGGATCCACGATCCCTTTTTTAACTCGCCCCTTCTTTTCCTCTTCCCCTCCCCTCCAGACTATGCTTTGCTCATTCTCCCACACACCACTTCATCAACCCTCTACAGCTCGGAGTCCAGACGGGCGAAACACCACGTCACGGTCGTGAATTGCCTCACACTTCCGTCGCTCGATTTAAAAAAAAACACACCCCCTCTCCTGGTCATCCCACATCCACGCGCCACCATGCCCGCCGGTACCCCCAATAGTCGCCGAGGGAAGAATTCCTCCTTGACCATCGTCTTGAAGGTGCCAGGGCACTCGTTGGCCCAAATCATGCTCAACAGTCAGGGCACTCCAGACACGAAGGACCGCTCGTCACCAGCTTCCTCGGGGGAACCCCCCGTGGTCCGTCCCTCCTCCGCCGACAATGGCTCTGACGACACCAACTCGACACCCGCCACTGGGGCGACACCAGGCGACACGCCGCGTCGGAAAGCTGTCCCGGGTCCAAAGCCAGGCAATAAACGAACAAACGGGCAAGCCGACGCCAAGTCGCGCGGGCGACCCGGCCCCAAGAAGAAGCCCAAGATGTAAGCAACCCTCATATCTGCGCAACCAAGTCCGACACTAACCACCACCACAGTGATGAAGGCGATAAATTACCCGCCGCCCAGCGCCTTGGGCCCAAAGCCAACACAGGCGCCATCAACGCTGGCCTACGCGCCCTCGACCGCACCGGTTCTGCCTGCCGCAAGTGGGAGCGCAAACCGCTGCAACTGCGCAGCTTTACTGGCATCATGTGGCAGCTCCCCTCGTGGCGCACACCTGGCATCGCAGACAAGCTCGAGAGTGAGAGCAAGCTGCTTGCGCCAGATTTCAGCAGTGCAGTGCCAAGTGAGAAGAGTGGGGATGGGGATGTTACGCCTGCATCGCAAATGGTGGAACCCTCATCGCCGGCCATTCTGGCTGCATAATTGTATATTAATCTGATGTTTCGGTCTGGGGCGTTTGTTTTGAAGGTTTGGAATGATGTACCATAGCTTCTGTTCTGGTTTGGTTTTACTCTCTGGCTCTGGGGTAGGTTCGGATTTGATCTCTTTGGCTCGGGTTGAGCGTGCGTTTCATTCAATATTGTGTGCTTCTGGTAGATGCAGAACTACACATGGCAACACGGACTATTCTTTTCTTTTGCACGATTATAATACAAGGCCCTTGTCTTAGTGCATAGCCCAGATTAGGAGGGGCTCGTGACATGTACATTGTATATACTTCTTCAGAGAGCTTTCCCTTTCCCCGCTCTCTGGTCCTCGAATTTCCTGTTTGGTCTCATCTTGTTGTAGGCTGTTTTGAGTGATCACTGGGTGAGTTCTGGTCGCTTTGGTCCTTTTCGACAATTTAAGGTAGGCTGCTTGCGGTTCCCCGTCCTGGCCATTCCCATGCCCACCTTGTCTCCACGCACCTCCCCACTAACTCTCCTTCTCTCTCCTCCACGCACCTCCCCGGATTCGTCCTATATCCACGCACACCAGCGCGATGGTCTTACTGCCACGCACTGGTATCATCCCATACTGACCAAGTCCAGAACCCCTCAATCCGGAAGCGGGACAGGAAAGCCAGTGGTCTGAGGCGAAGATTCCACCAAAAACAGCGGTAAAGTTGTGGTGGTTGGATTTTTTTGGGGGGCGACCCGCGATCATGAGCGATGTTCCTTTCCCCCCATCCGGTGGAGCTCGAGCTCCAACCTCATACCCCAGCATCTCCTCCATCCCACGACGCTCTTCCTACGCTTCTGTAGTTTCCGGCAACGCACTTACGCCCTCGTCCTCCAACCTCGCCTCCGATTCCCTTCCCTTCTCAACCTTCGACCGAGTCCACCGGGCTCCGTTCGGCGTGGATGCCGACATGCAAATGAACTCCGCCTGGAGACCCGAATCTCTACCACCCCATTCCCGCAAGTATGCCGGGCTCCTCCAGTCCGATGTCTCACACCCAGGACTCCTCGACCCTCCATTTCTGTCCCCATCCTACCTCCGCAACTCCCGCTACCTGAGTCGACTCGAGACCGCCCATCGGGCCAAACTCACCAGAGAGTCGAACCCACCCCTCTCCGCTTCGCCCAGCAATGCCCACCTTCCTCGCATCGCTCCGTCGCACCGCGGCATGACTTATGACATTATTGAGAAGGAACTCCCGGCCACGGATGTACTTTCCCCGCTACCCAGTCAGTGGAGTTCCGCGGACAAGTTCACCGGTCTGGAATTGAGTAACGATTCGCTCGACGTTCGGTACACCGGCCCTGTCCACAAGCATGACCATGAAGCTGCGGCCTTGCGCGCGGATCATCCTATGCCGCCGCAGTGTGGGATCTATTACTTTGAAGTCAAAATTGAATCCAAGCCCAAAGAGGGGTATGTGATCATCTCAGGATTTGCGAACATTGGCTAATGTTTTACAGTATGATTGGTATTGGATTCTCCAGTACCAAAGCCTCGGTCGAAAGACTTCCCGGCTGGGAGCAGGAATCCTGGGCGTATCACGGCGATGACGGAAAGTCGTTTTTTGGCGAGAGTCAAGGCCAGGGTCGGGCATACGGACCGACCTTCACAGTCGGCGACACTGTGGGATGTGGGGTCAACTTCTCAACTGGGTCGGCTTTCTTCACTAAGAATGGCATCTTCTTGGGTATGTCTCGTGCGCTTGAAAATGGATCGCAACTAACGAGAACAGGCAATGCCTTCCACGAGCTGCGCAATGTGAAACTGTATCCGTCTGTGGGGATGAAGAAACTGCCACCAGTTCATCTCAAAGCGAACTTTGGACAAAAGCCTTTTATTTTTGACATCGACAGCATGGTCAGGGTATGTGTTGAGGGGTTTCCGTGAAGGAATTACACTAATGCTCTGCAGCAAGAGAGATCAGCCATCCAGTCTGAGATCAACGCCACTCCAACAACAAATCTGCAACCGCCATTGGACGAGTCGGCACTTCTGCAAGAGCTAGTTGCACAGTTCCTTGCCCACGACGGCTACGTAGAGACAGCTCGTGCCTTCGCCGAAGAAGTTGCGTCAGAAACCTTGGCCTTGCAGAATGGCCGCAACGAGCCATTAAAGAAATATGAAGTAGAAGAAGACCTCGAAGCTATCAACAGGAACAGTAAGCGTCCCATCTCCAATGGTTTCAATGTCTCTAACAGCCCAGAAATCCGCTCCGCAATCCTGGACGGGGACATCGACAAAGCCCTCAAACACACGAAGGCATACTACGGAAACGTGCTAGAAGAAAATCCCCAAATTCATTTCAAGCTGCGTTGTCGGAAGTTCCTCGAAATGATGCGTCATTCCAACGAAATCAGTACACACACTCCATCCGCCCGTTCTCACGAACATGCCGTCTTCGACCACGAAATGGAACTTGATAACGAAACCGACGGCTCTTTCAATCAGCTTCTCACGGAGGCTGTCCAGTATGGACAGCAGCTTCGAGCCGATTATCCTAATGATGAGAACGGTGGCGATAAGAAATTACTCGACGATATTTTCTCCCTTGTTGCGTATCCTGACCCTAAACGAAGTGTCCATGGTCATTATCTCGAAACGAAGGGACGTGCTGCCGTTGCCGAAGAGTTGAACTCGGCAATCTTGGGTATGTCTCTCGATTTTGCTTTTCGCTTCTCCTTGATCTTGATACAGTACTAACAGTTCCAGTGTCTTTGGGCAAATCATCCGCTGCCGCGTTGGAGAGGCTATACCAACAAACAGAAGTGTTGGTTAATGAGATCAGTGAAGACGGCGGCGCTGGGGCGTTCATTAATGTCAGAAATGACGTTCTGCTTTGAGGCGCTTGGTATGGGTTTCTTTTTTTCTTTGCCGTTCTTGCCCCAGATCGTTTCTAAATCGACTGGCACTTCTTCACTTACTTAGCATCACCATTATTGAATGTCAAACTCTATGCTCCTTCCTTGCCCATGACCTCGGGACTCTAGTACCGTTCCGACGACAGAGTGCTGTCCACATACCTCGGGACAGATAGCTTGGAAGTACATAAGTGAGCGTTCTCATGCTGATGGCCGACTAGGTATGGTGGTAGTTATGTTCCAAGCGCCCGGCGTGATTGATGTCGGAATTCGCGGCGGGTGGTAGGCCTGAATGCCACCTGGGCAACCTTGGGATTAAACCCACCGTCCAATCTATATATGCACTCATCGGGAAGGTCTCTTCCGCGGGTCTCTTCCAACCTTGGAAGGTTGTTGAGGAGTACCTTGCAAGGTTCCAAGGTTGGTGAAATCTTGAAAACAAACCACACCTGGGCACTGGGGTGGAAAAGCAAAATTCCAAGGTTGGAAAGTGATAGAGCGTGCCCAGGTGGCTGGCAGTGCCTAGGTACGAAGTGCTCCTGAGTAAAATGCTATACGGAGTGTAACATGTCACATTGGATTTGGGTCACCCACTCAAGGATTTTCCACAGAGTACTCCGTACTCCGTACTTCATACATATGTGAATGTATGTGACAACAGGTTTCAGCTTTGGTGTATGTATGTATGTATGTACTACTGTACTAGGTAGTAGGTGTATGTAGGTCCATATGTTACCTATGTAGATGTTTTCCGAGTCTCTCGCATGTCCACAAAGATGGGATTGGTCCGACCCCGGCCAAAGTATATATCAAATGTCAAGGCTGATAGGCCCAGCCATAGTGGGGCACCACCTAGCGGTATGATGATGCATCATCGATCAACATGATCCAGCCTCTGATTCAAATTTAAGTAGGGTATGTATGTACCAGTACTCCGGACCACCAACATTGTACTGTAGTCTTTCTGATACATCCGTTCAACTCCATTTGAGACGAGCTAGGGCTCAGTGCCGTCACGCCGGAACCAACCGTGGAACCGCCAAACCTTATGGAGCATTACATAATCCAAGGGAGCGCTTATCTCATCACCGAAGATTGGGTACTCAGCTTCACCTCCAGAACACAAATGCAGGCGCATCTCTGGTGTGACTCGAGCTGCAAGTTTCGATGATCGAGAGGTCTTTCTCCACACTCAGCTCCTGAAGGGGCCACATTCTCAGCATGGATTCCCTCCCGCATAGCTCGGAAGGATTCAGCATTCCGACCCATTCAAGCGCTTCCACCACTCTCCGCTGTTGCTGTGGTCGTAATGATTGTGCTTTATTGGAGCACAATAATGTAGCCCTTGAAGGGTTGGAAAAGGACCTCGAAACCGCTGCAAGGCTTGGTCAGGTACGTGTGATTTGATATCGGCCCAATGACACGATCGTCGTTCCAAGGTTGGGCGGGAGGGTGTTCCTGAGCTGAACCATGCATGTTTGATACATCCTATTACTCCCACCATTCCACAAACACTACCTCATCTTCATTCCTGTCTCTCAATTTTTTTTATTCCCGCTTACTCCTTTCAGACTGGACACTTTGGTGTGCCAGTCTACGTGGTTTCATATCCCTATGGCTGCCTCCGTACTCCGGTCACCCATTCTCTCACATTGCGTTGGCGTCCGTCATGTCCACCTTTCATGAATTTACTGCCAAGGCAGAAAATATTGGAACGTCATCGCTGACCTTTTCTTTACAGGCTCTGCTTCACCGTCATGAAAGTTATATGGCTGAGGCGGAAGAAGACCGTCACCGCTTGGTCACCAGCATTGACGATCTAGAGCGCGAGAAGAAACAGGTACAGGCGGAAAACGCGCGCATAATTGAAGAAAACCGCAGCCTACTAGAGCAGCTCGACGTGTTGAACAGAGCTGTCGCCGAATCTGACGATCATGTGAAATACCTCACCGTGACTCTAGAAAGCACCGAGTCCGAGGTGCGAAGGTTGACAGTCGCAGCAACTCGTGCAGAAGATCTTGAATCCCAACTCATTCTGATGGAGACTGAGCAATCAAAACTTCAAGATAACCTCACCTCGGCGCACGAAGACGAGAAATCTGCCGTCCAGCGGTGGAAGCAAGCCGAGTGCAGCTTGCGAGACCTCCATGACCAAGTCGATCGCATCGAGAAAGAAGCACGCGAAGAGAGTCAACGCCACACCGAGCTGGTGGAGCGCATGGAGCGCAAGAGGGCCGTCGAGCGCGAGCTAGATAACGCCGCAGGCCGTCTCAAAGGCGCCGCCGCCGCCTCCGAACTTAATCGCAACGCCGTTGGGACTAACGTGGTCTCCCGCTTTGTGAAGGACATACTACAGGACAATGCCAACCTGCAAGTTGGGATAATGGAGTTGCGCGACTTGCTGGAAAACTCGAACGAAGAAGTACAGAACCTACGCGAACAAGTTATGTCTCATCAGCCGCTGGCCGGCATTGATGAAGAGAATCCACAACCAACAACCTCAACAACTCTGTGCGAGGAATTGAGAGCGAAGGAAGAACGTCGTGTATCTCAAGAACTCCATATTCATCACCATTATCATTCGTCTCTTCAGCCCGCCAAGAAAGAAAAAGGCCCGCTCAACCGCCGGGTCAAGAAACGCCGCCCTGCTTTAGGCAGCCCAGTCGCAATGCATTCTGCAGTGCGCTCGCAATCCCCTCGGAGAGGCATGCATCGCTCGCAATCGTCCGGATCATCTATGTCCACTATCCTCTCCCACACATCCGTTTCCATCCCACCACAATCATCCCGCCGCTGGTCATTGCAGTCATATGCGCCCGACTCACTAGCCAGCTCTCCACAATCTGCTTTCCAAACCGCCTCGATCTTTGACCGCGTTGAACGAGGTCTTGAATTCTCTCAGCCCACCAGCCCTGAAAGCACAGTGCTTTCCTCGCCCATCATGGGGGCACGGAACTGGAAGAGTATCGACATGCCTTTTCGACCCATGGGTGGGTTTGACAGCGATGACCAATCCCATTCCTTGCCCACATACGAAGAAGACATCTACAATCGAGAATTCCCCAACACATGCGACCATTCGAGACAGCCCCCCATTCCAGAGGAATCCGAATCCTCACCTTCCGTCGCATACTTTGACATTTCCACGCGGGATCCACTCCCAGCATCTGACGATGGAATCTTTGCAATGCATGTTCAGCCCTCGGCAATGCGCAGATCCTCTTCCCACGACAGCTTACTATCCGTATCCGTTGCCGGCATGGACATCCACACACCCAATAACCGCCAAGCGCGGATGGGCAATTGGCATCCCGGCATGAAGATCCCCCAGCGCATCCTTCCTCCCAGCGTTGAATTAGTCTCAACACCCCCTATAATATCCGCCCCCGCCATCCAAACTGACCGAGCGACAAGCTCGGCACATACATCCCAATCATTGCTAGCTTCTATGGCTGCAAACACCAAGTCTGATGCTGCATCAATTGTCTCCTCGGATAGCACCAGCACAACCTCAACAGCCGCAACCGGGCCCCGCAAGGCCACGAACTTAGGACGCCGTGTCGGGGGCTGGGTTCTAGGCCGATGGGGCACGACACCTGTATCCGATGAGACGCCTGAATCTAGGGAGCCGGCAGACTCGCCCAATACATCCGTTGCATCCTCTCCCTCTGTCGGCCCCTCTGCCGCCCCCTCTGCCCCTGTGCCCAAAATGGACCCTTTGGCTCTCCGGTTCAGATACCCTGGCGTGAACCAAAAGGGGCCTATCAAGGGTTTACGCCCTCCTCCTCCAGCGCCGGTTTCCCTTCATCCCGACGGTATAGATGAGAACTTGTTGCGAGAAAGTTTGGCCGAATAATTGGCTAAACCTCGTCCAACCTGGATTTCTCTATGATTGCATTTGCCTTAGCGATTACCCTTGATCATTCTTGCTTTCACTCTTTTGATTATCATATTGCATCCTGATACGGCTTGATCTGCATTTTCTTGGTTCTCGCATTGATTTTGGTGGCGTCTGCAATTGCAAACTTGATACCCATGCGCTTTCGTGTTTTCCTACACTCAGCAGATGAAGCTCTTTGCCTCTTTATTTTTACACTGATCACCTGAGCGTTACGCATACTGAGTTAGTGGATCTACCAATATCATTAAGATTGTCTGCACATCAACTGAATACCTTTCGCGTGGATTGACATCCATAGGCTTTCAAGGTTGTTTCGTAACCATTCATATGGCCACTAGATGATAGGGTCGTATTGACCACCTGGGCACGTTTGTCTTTTCACTTGGATCGTATCATGCTGTCTACCGCTGTTCATTGGCTCATGACGTATACGCCTCGTGTGCTTAATTCGCCCGCGAGATCCGATACGTCCGGATCGGGATGCTGGTCGAGTGGAAGAAACCTGTTTGGTCTTCTGATGGTGTTGACTCAAACGAAAGAGTTTCAACGGTGAATTTATTAGTTTCTGACATGGTCAGCATGTTACTCAAGATTTCTTCGCGGCGCGAAATCAACTCACCGCATCCATTCAAGAAAGTGCGGAACGTATCCTCGTTGCGCAGCGTCGCAGCAATGATGAACTGCTCAACGCCATAGTTGTCGAAGAGGTCTCCCACAGTAGATAGCAACAGGGGAACAAGATCGGTGTCATAGATCTGGGAAAATAAGCCTTCGTCAAATCATGAGTAGGTAACACTCACCAAATCGGCACCAAGTGCAACATCAAACTTCAATCCTCCCTCAACGCCATCAAGCTCTCCAGTTCTGTCTAACGACGTCCCCCACTCCCAGACAGCCGGGTAGATGGGAATGGGCTTTTCGCCATTCTGGTTGTATCGTATACAGGCATTGATATTATCAATCAAGAAAGGTTCCCGGTCAGTGACGACGACACTTTGCACACCAAGATGGCGAGCACAAAATAGAGCCAAGAACCCTGTTCCAGCGCCTAGCTCGATAACCCGCTTGCCGCGGACGAGCTCCTCGCCTTCATTCGATGCCAGGAAAGATCCGAGATGCAGTGCTGCTTCCCAGGTGCGGTTTCCCGTTGTGCCGCCAGAGAGAATCAGTCCCCGAGACTCAGATGTCGTGACTGTTCGTGTACTGTTTGGGGCTGTGTACTTCACCAACGAAAGTTGTTGGGCTTGTTGAAGCGATGATGGTTTGGGCTGAGAGACCAATGTGCTCCAGCTTTCCATCAGATCATCATTGATTTCCTAGCGCATGTCAGAGTAATGAGATTGAAAAGGATATGAATTGTGATGTAGATGATGTTCGAATGATTGATGGGGGAGTGAATGGCAACTTGGAATAACTTATTACATACATCCTGCTCAGGGTCAGTGATTGATTCCTCGATGCGTGAGAGAATCTGTTTGAGCACTCGACTTCGGTAGCTGTGTGGTGGGATAGGAAAGATAGTCTCGTCGAACATGTGCTCATATAATGCTGCCTGCACTTCTGGCCTGACAAGCACCGAGCCTGGTGGTAGGTCCAAATGATTGAGTTCCACCAGCTGGAAGTACTGTGCTGCTAACTTGTGGATGAATTCCATGTTGCAGCATAGAGTGAAATTATATTGCAGATCAATGCGGTGGATATTATTGGAGGGGCTGACTGGGGGAGATAAGTCAGCAGTGACATAATTTCGCTGAGGAACTTTATGCCTCAGGCATAATTGGGGCGACCAATTCGCGCCTCAGGCATATTTCCCAAACAGGATTAGTGTCTACCCTAGCCGAGCCCTTGCCCACAGAAAATTGAAAGTTCGACATCCTCAGTGACCCCGTCGACACTTCCTCCATCCAACGCACACACCAAAATGGCCGACACTCCCGTCACTCTGCGGACTCGCAAGTTCATCCGCAACCCTCTGCTTGCCCGCAAGCAGATGGTCGTGTAAGAACCCCCTGATTTTTCCCCCCTCTGGATCTGTGTGTGGTGGAAATACTTCGAGAGCGCGCAACCTTCAAATCGGACGACAACCCAGCAAGAGAAACAAGAACGCCATCGCAAAATACAACACACACAGGAACCAAGCCAGCCACCGTCAAAAACACCGATCTGACATGTTTTCGCGAATTTAGGGACGTCCTCCACCCCAACCGCCCCAACGTCTCCAAGGACGAGCTCCGCGAGAAGCTGGCCGACCTGTACAAGTCCAACAAGGACCAGGTCTCCGTCTTCGGTTTCCGCACGCAGTACGGTGGTGGTAAGAGCACCGGCTTCGCTCTCGTCTACGACTCCTCCGAGGCCCTGAAGAAGTTCGAGCCTCACTACCGTCTCGTCCGCATTGGTGCCGCTTCCAAGATCGAGAAGGCTTCCCGCCAGCAGCGTATGTTCCGTCCATATCACCAACAGCCCGGACCAGTGCTAATCTACTCGGCTTACAGGCAAGCAACGGAAGAACCGCTCCAAGAAGTTCCGCGGTATCGCCAAGGTCAAGGGCCCCAAGAAGAACAAGGATTAAGCGCATCAATCTATCGCACGAATCAACATGGACTGATACGATTGTGTGGATGGTTTGGCTCTGGAGTTTCCCACCTGGGTTCCGGTATGTTGGAGCCAGGTGCGGTCGGTCGTGTGTGGGGGTGGTTTATCTTCCTTTCAGCGAACATCAGACTAAAACCAAAATGATGCCCGTTGATTGAAGATCGTGGAAACTCTTTCCTGTCCCTGGTGCTGGTGATTCCCGTCGAAAAAAAGACCAGGCGACCCAACCAGGGCGTCTTGTGTCATGGTTCTTTGTGTATGTTTTTTTGGGGTCATCGGTTTCCGTTTTCAGGGTTATGAGAATCCGGGCGGCTGCCCGGGATGAAATTACATTTTACTTGTTATTCACTCGGGTTGTTGTAGGCGTAGGCCGGACCTGGTAGTCTCGACCTTGTACACTGTGGAGCCCTGGAGCATAGGTGGGCATAGATGGCGCACTCCGTACTTTGTGGGCTTCGGGCCCCGGGGCAATTTGGTTTCTACCATTGTCTCCTTCTGGCTTGACCCTGGTCTAGACATGTCACCTCGATCCTGCCGGGATTTGGCCGTAACATCCGCGTCGTAACATCCAATTCCCCGCAGATGATGGGTCCCGCGGTTGTACTGTGAGACTGATAGCAAAGAACTATATCGGCAGGTGAATGAACACGCGTAGCACCGAATCTGACCTCGGGAGATGCCCTGATGTTCGTGAAAATGCAGGCACAGGCTCCAGTCCCGGGTGCAACATGGCTTCCTCAAATAGAGCCGAAAATGAGAAGTACACACTCATGGCTTGACACCTGGGTGTATGTTGGATTTCATTAGTCCGAGTGGATTCGGATACTCAGGTGTCACATTTCGTGGACATGTGCTCACAAAGTTCGGAAATTGGTCGTCTGACTGCTAATTTGTGACTGTAGGTTCAGTTGTCGGAATATGTTAGCATATGGTATATACTACGCGTGGAAATACTGCATTATGGTCAATCACTTTGCATGGCATCTGATGACTCCCGACAAGGCTGGTTGCATTGGACACGGCAAATTTTCGAGGGCATGACAGCCTATGGTGCTTTCATCGATCCATAGATATACCTAGGTGCTGACTAGCGAGATGTTGAGCGATGCAATTTCACCACCCATATGTAAACACAAAAAAAAAGTCATTAATCAATATATTATCAAAGCGTAACTTCGGGTATAGCTACGGCACATATGTAACAGCAGAGGAGAACAACAACAAAAAAAAAAAAAAACACCCACACTTTACAGACAAGATAACTGAAAACAAACCAAAGACAGATAGCCGAGTCAATCAAGTCATGATTCGCCACGACCTACTATCTCGGGGATAGAAAGAGAAAACAGCATAGCAAACGAATACCAACACCAAAGCATCGTACAAGAACCAAATATCACAAACACAGGAGGGGTATTTAGCCATGGTTAACTCAACTCGTCAATATAGGCTCAGCTAGGCCTCAGGCAGCCTTTCCTCAGGGATTCTGATATCTGAAAGAGGAAGAGCAAGAGCAAGAGCGACAACCAAAGGCCAGGGCAACAAGATAGGGCAATAGAAGACACAAAGCAAGGTGTAAGGGCCACTCGGGTATCTCTATTTTGTATGAGAAGGAAAGAACCAACCAAGATTGAAAACAAAAAAGAACAGAACAGAACAGAGCGAACAGTGGCTTGGCTCAACTTTCAGTAGCCAGGATGCCCCAGCGGGGAAACAGCAGATCGATGAATCTCCCGCCCATATTCTGGTAAGGCATCGGGGAGAAAGCTGTACTGCGTCGTATCCGAAGGTCGGACACGGGTATAGGGCAGGCCATTCATGAGTGTTGGTGCGCGCTCGGTCTTCCGACCACTGCTGTACCCGTACGCATCGAGAGGGAGAATACGCTGGCCCGCGTCGCAAGAGTATGTGCGTGGCAAGCGATCCGTGTTATACTCCATCTCTGGGTCATAGTTTGAAGGCACGGTAGCCGGGAGAGGAACTGTATCATCGGCTGTGGACATGGGGATGTAACCGAAGACTAGCTCTGTGTCGTCGGGCTTGACACGGGGATTGTAGGCAGTGTGCATTCGGTCCCGGCCATAGCAGGGTTTCTGGTCTGAAACATCTGGCTGGCTGCGTGGTGTGGGCAGAGTGCGGTCTACCTCTGGGAAGGTTGTAGATGGTTGTTCGGGCAAGGATGGGGGATGAGTTGGAGGTACTTGGCCTGGCACGACGAAGTTATATTGGTTGATGTTGTCCTCGAACAATTCGCCGGTAGGTCTCAGGGCTGGATCCCAGCGGTTACCCCACGAGTAGTCGACGTTGCTGGGGAGCGTGTAGCCTGACTGGTAGGCGACTGATTGCTCATCGTAAGCCATGAGAGGATCCATCCCGACAGTTTGCCGTGAGTAGTTGGGCTGCTCCATGCCGTATTCTTCTCGGTATGGAGTCCTCAGCTGAGGCGAATGAGGCGATCCCGAGGGAAGATAGTTTGATCTCCCTGATTTGGGTACGTAGTATATAGCCTCTTCGGTGGATAGGGAGTTGACCTGGAGAAGCTGTCAGATTTAGTTCTTGCTAGACATGTTCCCTTACTTACCCTTGAGTAATGGCATTCATTGGCCCCCACGGATAGACAACTTGAGCAGGCAAGGCCATTGTTCAGATCACCGTTGCACTTGATCTTTCTCTTTCGGCATCGGTTGCACTGGGGGGTGTTAGAGACAGCATATTAGGATTTAATCAACATCACATACTGCAACCAGGGCCCTTTTCCTCGGCTTGAGGGTCTTTTCTTCCTCAGCTATGCCCACATTGCATTCTTGCTTGACTCCTCGCATTGAACGAGACATAGCACGCTTAGGTTCTCTCCGGGCTTCCAGCCCTAGGTCGTATGAGTGATTCATTGCTCACAAGATGATGATCAAGTTTCCACAAAGAATAGAAACAATCACGGATGGATTCAAAGTTCACGGGAGCACAATGTCCTATAAATCCGCTGAGAAAAAGAGGAAATGAAAGATGTCTCTGGGAGATAGGGCTAGATTTAAGCCAGGTTTTGGTAACAATCGGTGTGTGATTGTACATCATTCTCGCTATTTTTTGCCCCTGTCTTTTTTTTTAAAAAAAAAAAGAATTCTATAGATGAAGATATACGCGGCAAAAGTACGCTTTTGCTTTTTGGATAATTCTCCTAAATTCTTTTTCGCCGTTTCGTATATTTTAGGATTTGTTTTTTTTTTTTTTTTTTTTTTTGGCGCAAGTTTTTTCAAGGGGAAATGGCATGCAATTTTCCGGTCCAGATGTCATAGTATGATGAAAGAGCCGGTGTTTTAAGAAGAGGTTTCACAAGGTAACGTCGCACATGACCTGATTCAGAGGTAGTCATGGCAAAAAGAGTGCTCCGGTAGGTAGTGTTTCAGTCGATTTGAACTGCACATTTCTCTTTCGTGGCAAACAGGAGGCCCAGGGACAGAACCCCCTCCATGCCCTAAATCCCCATCACAAGTCCAAAGCCCAAAGTCCAACATCCAACATCCAAAGGTCCACTGGGTCCACTGGGTTCCAAAAGTCCCCGATGTCCAGAAATCCCAGGATCACCAACAGCAACAAGGAAAACGGGCAGCTGCCGGGTACTGTTTGCAGATCCGCGGGGGAGTATGACCGACGTCCGATGAAGACCTGAGAAATGTTTGCTCAATAGTTCAACCGATTGGTGTGGCTGCATCTGCATCAAACTGTTCTGAACTCGGGCATTGTCGAGGTCTGGAATTTAGCTGAGGCCTTTGAGGCCTAGAATATGCTAACCTGCCTGCCTTGGGGATTTTGCAAACGCACGGTGTCCCTAGAGGAGGGGGAAGGGAATACAAACGCTGTCTCAGGCTACATATGTCTCAATGGAGAAAATCAGCCAGAGAGGGAAAAGAAAAATAAAACAAAAGAAAAGCAAAGAGAGGGGGGAGAACTGACACCTGTCACTTAGCACGAGATGGCTTCCCCGAACCAAGCTCTGAAAATTAGGCGCAGGGATCAACGATCGAAAAAGGATCGGCGACATGGGTCTTTAGCGCCAGCGCAAGTGGATTGAAATGGAAGTCGGAAAAAGCAATGCTCCACTAAATGGCCACAAAAGGGTAGGGATTGTGATGACTTGACTAAAGTAGGTAGGTGACTAGCATATACCAATGCGATGGATCGATTTCGTTCTCGATGGAGAGATCACGATCGTGATCAACACTAACTGCTAAAAGGGGGGATCTAGAGACGACCGTGGGCCATGCATGAACTCCTGGGATACTTACAAGGGTCGGTTTCGCGTTACCTACGGTATCAGAGCGATACAGTGGAGTATACGCTGTACTGCAGGTACTGGAATGCGGTCCAGCGAGTGTATAGGATAGGTAGAGACTTGTGGTAAAGGGAAAGCCACTGAGATAGTACTCTGGGCAGTGGGAACGAGCAAGATGAAGAGTTCATGAAGGCTCCTGTTTCCCGTTTGAAATACCAATGTGGACAGTATTGTCTTCGTGTCAAGGTTTGACAATGCACGACATTCGGGGGGAAGAAGGAATGGAGAATCAAGGGCATTTCGACTGCCTTTTTCACTCGTCAGGAACACATTGGGATTGAGACCGGCCCTTGTCGCAGCCGATACGGCAACTTCCATCGAATGAAGAGGCGCTTGCTCTATTCCCACGTGTGTGGCTCCTGTCATGATGCCCGTTGAGACCTGCTGCAGGAGACCGGGCGTTGATCCCCAACGTTTCTGCCGTGGAACAGATCATACTACGGAAAGCGGACCGTGTACGGAGTATCTGGGATCATACTGATCTCACAGGCTAGGAATGGCAGACACCGCCAAGACCAGAGAATCCTAGTTCTTTTGGTAGGGCCTGCTGGGTGCATTGGTCGGTGAGGGATAAGCACAAACAGCTTCAAATCCCAGGGCCGATCAAGGCCCTTAATAAGATCCGCTGCATGTCGATCTCAAAAGAGGTTATATGTCCAACGGGGACACTCGGAAGATATGCCGCTCGATTGTCAAGCTGTCGTGGTAGTACAAGCGGGCCGATCATCCCGCCGACCAGAATCTCCCTCTTTGCTGGGAACGGATGGCAATGGGGGTCTCCGAGATGGAGTCCGGGCCACTGAAGTCCAGCCCCAAGCATGACCCGAAATGGTCAACAGGAAGTGGAGGAAATAAAAAAAACCCCAAAGGAAATGAAAAGGGACATGCAAGAGGCTTGAGTTGCGGGTGGGTGCGGTCATTGGTCCAAGCTCCGATCTCTCTCGCCTTTCCCGCATTCCCTTCCTCTCTCTCCTCCACGGGGCCAATCACTTCTTTCAAACATCCGCCATGAGCGCGCTTTTAGAAACCTCCCTGGGCGATATCGTCATTGACCTGTTGGTCGATGATGCGCCCAAAGCGTGTGACAAGTAAGTGCCTCCGGCTCCTTGGCTGTCCTGTGCTGAACCTGAAACTAAAAAGTTGTTTGCTAGCTTCCTGAAGCTGTGCAAGCTCAAGTATTACAATTTTTCGCCCATTCATAGCGTTCAGAAGAACTTTACCTTCCAGACCGGCGACCCACTAGGCCCTGACGCCCCAGAAAGCGATGGAGGATCCTCCGTCTGGGGTCTGCTGGATGGACCGTCCAAAAGAACCTTCCCGATCGAGCTACCGCGGAGATTAAAACATTTGGAGCGCGGTACTGTGAGCATGGCCACGGTGCCGTCCACCAACGACCCAGACCAACGACTGGCCGCGAGTCAGTTCATCATCACGCTAGCGGACAATCTGGATTATCTGGACGGGAAAGCTGCGATCTTTGGCAAGGTCGTAGAGGGCTTCGACGTGCTAGACAAAATCAATGAGTCTTTTATTGATGATCGCGGTCGACCACTCAAGGATATCCGAATTCGTCACACAACCGTCCTGGATGATCCTTTTGATGACCCGCCCAAACTGGTTGAGCCGACAGAAAGCCCTGTACCCTCCAAAGCGCAATTGGCGACTGTGAGAATCGCGGATGATGAGGAACTAGATGATAATATGGACGAGGAAACAATGGAGAAGCTGCGCCGCGAACGCGAGGCTCGCGCCCAGGCTTTGACCTTGGAGATGGTGGGCGATCTGCCCTTTGCCGATGTCAGACCACCAGAGAACATTTTGTTCGTTTGCAAGCTGAATCCGGTCACACAAGGTCCGTCAGGCTTCCCCACATCGAGAGATTCCACTAACTTCCCACTAGACGAGGACTTGAACCTGATCTTTAGCCGATTCGGAACGATTTTGTCTTGCGAGGTCATTCGGGACAAGCGTACCGGTGACAGCCTGCAGTATGCATTCATTGAGTTTGATCAACAGAAAGACTGTGAACAAGCGTACTTCAAGATGCAGGGTGTCCTGATTGACGACCACCGCATCCACGTGGATTTCTCCCAGAGTGTAAGTGCATCACAAGACTGAGGAAAGATAAATACTTATTCAATCCAGGTCTCTAAGCTCTCTGAGTCCTGGCGCAACTCCACGGTCACCAAGCGCCGACCAAGGGGCGGCTTTGGTGGTGTCGATGATCTGGAGGAAAAACGACAGTACCGAGAGGTTGTCGACGCTCCCGTGGATGAAGATGATGCTAGATATAGCATGGTGTTCGACAAGAACAAGAAGAAGGCACCAGACGCTGCCCCCTCTGGTCGGGATCGTGAGTCGCGCCGAGACTCGAGTCGAAGCCCGCGGAGGAATCAAGATCGGTACCGTCGACGTTCTTACAGCCGGAGCCCTCGAAGGGACTCCCGAAAAGACCGAGAAAGGGAACGAGGCCGTTACCGTGATGATCGCCGTCGATACTAGGATATACCCCATCAAAATAACATGTACCATCATATTCACTATACTATACTGTTTTACTTGGCAATCAAAGGTAGCCTCATGAGGTGACCTGTCCGCGGGCTCATTTGTGTACTCTATTGCTAGCATTCCACAGCTCCAGCTGAAGATATACGAATAGTGCGCGCCCCTTGGCAGAGCCCCGCCGCTAGTTCCATTAAGTCTCACTCGGCATTCGCTAGGCACTTTCGTGTCCGTGGCACTCGCTATTATTTGCCTCTGTAGATCTCTTAGCTTGACTAAAAATAACCCGAAGTGGGTTACGGGGGGCATGGTGTGAGGTGTATATTAAGATGTTACGGTGAGGGAGGACTTAATCAGCTTGGAGCTTCACCCCCGCGATTTATTTACTTTTCTCCTTTGCCACTTCCCCTCTTCCCCTCCTTTTCTTCCTATACTTTTGTATAATTCTACACAATGGCCGGCGTTATCAAGGACACTGTCACCAACATTCTTGGAAAGTTCCAAGGCACAGCTGAGGAAACTCCCCGGGAGCCGTCGACCGAGGAGTTCCAAACACTAGTAGAGAAATACGACCAGGCAGGCCAGGGACATGTCTTTGCCTTCGCCGACCAATTGTCGACTGTCGACAAGTCCAAACTCTTCCACCAACTCTCTAACTTCGACCCCGCCCGCATCAACGAGCTGGCCGATAAGGCCCTCAACCCTCCCCCCGCCGCAACGGGCCCAGTGACCCTCGAGCCCCTCCCCGAATCCGCCACAGCCTCCATCATTGACTCCAGCGCCGACGACATCCAGAAATGGTACGATTCCGGTTTGAAGCAGGTGGCCGAGAACAAGGTGGCTGTGGTGTTGATGGCTGGTGGGCAGGGAACCCGCCTCGGTAGCTCTGCTCCCAAGGGCTGCTTCGACATTGGTCTTCTCAGTGAGAAGTCTCTCTTCCAGCTGCAGGCTCAGCGTATCGCCAAGCTCCAGTCCGTGGCTGGAGGCGGCAATGTCACTATTCCCTGGTACATCATGACCAGCGGACCTACCCGCAAGCCCACGGAAGAGTTCTTCGAGAAGAACAACTACTTTGGTCTTGACAAGAGCAATGTCGTGATCTTCGAGCAGGGCGTTCTGCCCTGCATCTCCAACGACGGCAAGATCCTGCTGGAGAACAAGGGTAAGGCCGCCGTCGCCCCCGATGGAAACGGCGGAATCTACCAGGCCCTCGTGGTCTCGGGTGTGCGCGAGGACATGCGCCGCCGCGGAATCCAGCACATCCACCTCTACGGTGTTGACAACTGCCTCGTGAAGGTCGCCGACCCAGTCTTCATTGGATTCTCCGCGGCGCTGGACGTCGATATTGCGACCAAGGTTGTGCGCAAGCGCAATGCTACCGAGTCCGTCGGCCTCATTCTGCTGAAGAATGGCAAGCCCGATGTTGTTGAGTACTCTGAGATCGACCAGGAGACTGCCGAGGCGAAAGATGCTAAGCAGCCCGATGTGCTGAAGTACCGTGCCGCCAACATCGTTAACCACTACTACTCCTTCCGCTTCCTCGAGTCGATTGAGACCTGGTCACACCAGCTGCCTCACCACGTCGCGCGCAAGAAGATCCCCTTCACGGATGCCGAGACTGGTGATCTCGTGAAGCCCGAGAAGCCCAACGGCATTAAGCTTGAACAGTTTGTCTTTGACGTGTTCCCCATGACACCACTGGATAAGTTCGCCAGTATCGAGGTTCGTCGTGAGGATGAGTTCTCACCGCTGAAGAATGCCCGTGGCACCGGCGAAGATGACCCCGACACTAGCCGTGATGATATTATGGCGCAGGGCCAGCGCTGGGTCGAGGCCGCCGGTGGTATTGTCGTCACTGAGGGTGATGCCAAGGGTGTTGAGGTGTCACCCCTGATCAGCTACGTGCGTTATTCTCCTTCTTTTCCGATTGCTTCCACTAACGATCACAGGCTGGTGAGAACTTGGATTTCCTCAAGGGACGACAGATTAAGGCTCCTGCTATCTTGGAACGTGAAGAGTAGAATAGACGTCCCGATAGATATCAACCTCCGCATTGGAAAAGAATTGAACAGCGTTGGAATGGATCTACATCTATGGTGCTTGGATAGAATGTAGGGTGAAGAATTTTCCGGACACAGACTGAACATTGTACACAATGCACATGCTGTCGGGGCATTGGATCGAGGTTGATATCCCTTACTGCCCAGGTGCACACACGGAGTATACAGCACGAAGTAAATAAATCGGCCTTACGCAATGCGGAAAAGCCCGGGAGCTAGACGTTTGACGATTAACGAGTTTGCGGTTTTCCACTTTTCATATTCTGCCCGTGAGGATTGCGATCTGTCTGTTGCTGGTGAGTTGAGTTGAAATTTCCCATTTGTGTGTGGTTTTTGTTCTTTGTGTGGTTTCTCTGTCCCACTTTTCGGTTTTCAGAAGTGGGCTGTCAACGTCCCCTCCAAGGTTCTCAAGACTAACCACAAGGTATAGACTTTTGACAAGGATTCGAAGAGAGTTACTGTGGTGAGTGTTTTCACCTTGTTTGACTTCCACTTCGAAGCCTTTTCCCCCGCCGATCGACACGTTCTTCCCCTCCTTCGGCTGAAAATTTGAGATCGCAACGCGCATGCGATAAGCGACACAACTGGGATCGAAGCTACGATACAATATGGCTGGGAACTCTTGTGAAATGCCGTTCGCATTTATTTCCACGTCTATCATGCCGCTCCGATCGCCAGGGCAGGGGAGGACGCCGCTCATCGCATACCAAACCTTCGGCACTCGGCTGACTCGCGATAGAACACCGCCAAGATGATGTTGTCTCGTCGTGCATGCTACAAGTGTGGTACCATTGGCCACTACGCTGGTTAGTAGCATGGTCGAACTTCCGGCGCAAAGACACTAACCCAACAACAGAGGTCTGCTCTTCCACCGAGCGTCTCTGCTATAACTGTACGTGAAGATATCCCCAATCTCTTTTTTATTTGGCCAAGACTAACCCCCTCGATCTGCAGGCAAGCAACCCGGTATGTCCGACCTCGAACCTCCCCCTCGAATCGAATTCTAATCCTCCCAGGCCATGAGTCGAGCAGCTGCCCTCTTCCCCGCACCACCGAGAGTAAGCGATCTGCCACCACCAAACCACAACCCAACTGACACTACACCCTCCAGCCAAGCAGTGCTACAACTGCCAGGGCCTCGGTCACGTTCAAGCCGACTGCCCCACCTTGCGCTTGAACGGTGGCTCCAACGGCCGCTGCTACAACTGCAGCCAGCCCGGCCACCTTGCCGTAAGTCCGCGCGCCGGATCCCACAACCCAAACTAACGGCCTACAGCGCAACTGCACCAACCCTGCCGCTCCCGGAGCTGGCACTGGAGCCCCCACAGGTCCCGCCGCTGGTCGCGGAGGCCGTGGTGGCTTCCAGGGCGGCTTCCGTGGTGGTTTCCAGGGATACCCCCGCGCCGCCACTTGCTACAAGTGCGGTGGCCCCAACCACTTTGCGCGTGACTGCCAGGCCCAGGCCATGAAGTGCTATGCCTGCGGCAAGCTCGGTCACATCTCTCGTGACTGCACCGCACCCAACGGTGGTCCCCTGAGCTCCGCTGGCAAGGTCTGCTACAAGTGCGCCCAGGCGGGCCACATCTCCCGCGAGTGCCCGACCAACGAGGGCGCTCCCGCTTCCGCCCCTACTGCTCCTGCTGCCGAGACCGAGGCTGCTATCCCTACTCCTGCTCCTGTTGCTGGCCCTGAGGCCACCGAGACAGTGCCGGCTGCTACTGCGCCTGCTGCTGCCCCTACTGCTGCCGTCGCATAAAGGGCGCTAGCCTCTTAAATCCCTATTCGGGGACCATTTTGGATCTGTATGGTCACTTCGAGTTTCTCTCCGCTTCCTTTGCATATATTTCCACCCTCTTGGGTTTCTGGTTTGGCCGCAAAAACAGCCTTTGTTTTTCTTTATTTTTATCACCCCTATGTATACGAAACAGAAAAGTTTCCCTTGTTTTTCACGGAGTCCCACTCTACGATTGGCGTTGTCTATTCTCATGGATTGGTTATGTTCGACTCTTGAATGCGGTTCGAAGAGATGAAGCAATGGCTGAGATGAGTTGAGAGGAATTGGACGTGGGGACCGTTGCTTGTGAGGAGAGTCCTGGAGAGTATTTCGAGAGTCCAAAAAAGACATTTCACCTATTTTCTTCCTGTAATCTTCTGTGCTTGGTGCAAGGCGGGTGCGTTTCAAGTTGGTGTTCTCACCTGCGCACTGTTGACGTGAACCCGTGACTCGATTCATATCACCTGGGCATTCATCCTAGGATATCATTCTCTCGCATCTTCCACCTTTCACTCTATCAGACCCTTCGTTTCATCAACATGCCTGGCTCGGTAGGCAGCGATGAGTTCGATGGTGCAGAGGTGCCAATTGTTCCCACCCCAGGACTCTGTTTCACCCATCTGACGATCAACAGGCATTCATCGTAGACATCGACACCATCCAATCTCACGGCATAGGTGCAGCTGATATCACCAAGTTGAAATCCAATGGCTTCTACACTGTTGCTGTAAGTACACAATATCCACGCTCTCCTTTTTCATCCCATCTGACCTCGCTAGTCCGTCCACGGCGCCACTCGCAAAACACTGTTGAAGATCAAAGGTTTCAGCGAAGTCAAAGTCGAAAAGGTCAAAGAGGCCATCCAAAAGTGCCTACCATCTACCTCAGGCTTCATGACTGCAATGGAACTCCATCACCAACGCAAAAAAGTCGTTCGCATCTCAACAGGCAGCCAGCAATTCGATTCGATCCTCAATGGGTATCACTTCCCCCCTCTCTTACCCGGTGCGGATTCTAACTGACGGATCTAGTGGTTTCCAAAGCATGAGCATTAGCGAAGTCTTCGGTGAATTCCGCTGCGGCAAAACGCAACTCAGTCACACGATGTCCGTAATTGCACAACTCCCCAAAGAAATGGGTGGTGCGAGTGGAAAAGTCGCATACATTGATACAGAGGGAACATTTCGACCGGAGCGAATTGCCCAGATTGCCGAGCGATTTGGGATGGACCCCGACACTGCGCAGGAAAACATTGCGTATGCGCGGGCACTCAACAGCGAGCACCAGCTTGAACTGCTGAATTCTCTCAGTCGGGAGTTTGCCCGAGGCAACTTTCGGCTGCTAGTCATTGATAGCATCATGAACTGTTTCCGGGTTGACTATTGTGGTCGGGGAGAACTGGCTGATCGGCAGCAGAAGCTGAATCAGTTCCTGATGAAGCTGGCGCACATGGCTGAAGGTAAGATTGGTTTTCGTGGCTGCGCGTTGTATCTGCTGATCATTCGGTAGAGTTCAATGTTTGCGTTCTGATGGTGAGTTGGTTCCGTTGGCATGGTGTTCTTTCTTACTCTTGATAGACGAACCAAGTCCAGAGTGACCCTGGCGCTAGCGCACTATTTGCTGGCGCAGACGGACGTAAGCCTGTTGGTGGACATGTCCTTGCTCATGCTTCTACTACTCGGGTGCTTCTGAGAAAGGGTCGTGGTGAGGAGCGCGTTGCAAAGATTCAGGATTCACCTGGTATGTGGCTCTACATGAAGGTTTCCTAATTACTGACTTTCGCAGACTGCCCCGAGCGCGAGGCTGTCTATATCATCACGAACGGTGGTATCAACGATCCGGACAAGGTTTGAAGCGCAACACGACGTATCATGATGATGGCAAGATGTTTGATGATTATCCTCACGACCTTTCAATTCAACATAATTAGGATGGGATTATTTCACCATAGTTCAAGCATTCTATAGAATATATCAAAATATGACAGTCTGATGCCAGATCAAGTATGGAGTAGGGCTGGGGCCTCTTATAGTACGAGGTTCACCGCCGGGAACACCGCTCTGATATTCTGGCAAAATTCGATGCCAAGAAAAAACCGCAGAAAAAGTTCGGCTTGATCAACGCAACAATCCCGCATCAACCTCACATTCAAAATGAAGGCAGGATCAGTAGAGATACCAGGGTACACCACCTTACCGGTGCAATTCCCAGCCACATCTTTGACACCGGAACCCGCCACACACTACCTCTACATCCGCCCTCATGAACCCCGAATCCCAGACCCAGATTCCACCCGCTCTCTTTTCATAGTCAATGTCCCGATCGACACCACAGAGCTGCACTTGCGCCACCTCTTCGGCACACAATTATCCGCTGGTCGAGTCGAGCGCGTCCAGTTCGAAGACGTCCCCACCAAAAAGCGCACGGCAGCAACAAGCACGGAAACAAACACCTCAAAAAAGAAGCGCAAGCGCGTAACAGCAGACGACTTTGAACAACACCTCGATGCCATTTCCCTTCCCTCAACCTGGGATCGCAAGCTCCAGAAGAGTGGCGCCCACGCCATTGTCATCTTCGCCGACAGACCCAGCATGGAAAGCAGCCTGAAAGCCAGCACCAAAGCCGCCAAGCGCGGCACCTCCATCACCTGGGGCGAGAACCTACCTTCCGACCGACTTCCCGCACTCGGTTTGAGCCGCTACGCTGCCCACGAGCGATTGCAGTACCCGGAGCGGGGAACTCTTCTCCGTGCCGTTAATGAGTTCATGACTACATTCTCTGCTGTCTCGGAGGCGCGCAAGCGCGAGGATCACAAGCGTTATGCGGTTCCCGACGAAGATGGCTTCGTTACTGTGCAGCATGGTCCTAAGCTTAACTCTGTCGCGAGGGAGGATGAGATGCGTGAGCTTCTTGAAAAGCAGAAGAAGAAGGGTGAGGGTCTTGAGGACTTCTACCGATTCCAGTCAAGAGAAAAGAGGAAGGAGAGGCAGAATCGTTTGCTCAAACGATTCGATGAGGATAAGAAGAAGTTGGCCGATATCAAGGCTAGGAGGGGCAAGATCCGGGTCAGTACCTTCTCGTCCATTCAGTCAAGCTTGGCTAACCTTTCCCGCAGCCTGAGTAAGCTTGTGTATAGGAGCATGGCGTTCTGGTAGCCGGGAAAAAAAGGACCAAGGCGTCCAGTGTATATGTGAGTTAGTTTCAAGACTTCGCTTTTGTTTTTTCGTCTCCGGGATGAGCACGCTGGGGCCATAGTAGTAAGACGCGCTTTGCTCGCTGTCTGCCATGTCTGCAAACACCAGCATTACTTCAATCTTCTCACCTTCTGAAATGGAGAATCTCATTGGAATCTTTTTCCGTCACATATCGGTGTCGCATATGCTAACTTTATAACAGATCAATACATTCGTGATAGGTCAATTCTCATTCTTGACTCAATACACTCTGTAATTTCCATTGCTTGTTTACATGTAGATACCGATCTTGCCGAATTATGGTAATAATGTCTCGGCTTAATGCATGTGGCATAGAAATTGTGTGTAGAGACCCAAGCTTCAGGTAGTAAGTTGGGTTTTTGTTTGTCTCTTTAACTTCCTCTCCTTGCTTTATATTTTGCAATGCAAACTACTTGAGGCTTGTCTTGAAACCCATGCTTCTACCTAGGTAGCCATCTGTGTCTCGTTTATGAAGATTGGCCGAGGGCTGCGTTGGATGCAAGATTCGCATGCGGCTCATGAGGGATTTGAAATATATTTCCCGAAATGCTACGAACATTCTAGTTTACCAAAAAGACAGGCCATATTCGTTTTTGATTTGCTTTCATCAAGGTCATCCAATTCTGACAGTCTATTCATACCATCATTCTTTCTCAGCCTTCACCTAGACATGAATGCTCATCAGATACCTAGGTATGCTCGGCTTTTACATCAATGTTCCGCACAGACCAAGGCTTGGCATGACATCCCACCTTTGAACAGCTTCGGATATCTTCAAGACCAGAGGGCTGTACTAGGTAGAAATGTCTGTTGCACACTGGGATATAACGTCAATTCACTAATATAAGTCTGTGCAGCCAAATCATTTCGTCTGCTTGAGTCACCACCCTCAAGGCATCTAGTCAAGCGGCAAATCGCAAATCAGGTTGATCTTAGCCCCGACATGGCACCCGGCAAAGTTGAGGAGTTTCCAGACTCCGACTCAGACGTTGAATTTGAAGATGTTCCGATAAATCATGGAGATAGAAGTGAGAATGTGCACGTGTCGGCATCTCGACACTCACCACCATGGACGCCAACCCTTTTACTTCCACCACAACGAGCCGGGCCTCTTGCCTCAGGGTCTGAAGAAGAAACCCAACTCCGAGGGCAAATCAGCACGGGGGTGGAGCGAGTAACCTACCGCAAGATGAAATCCGACATGGGTATGGATGCACCAGACACACCTCCGACACACCGCAGATATGACACCTTTGCCCAGCTCGCAGACGACGTCAATGGACTGATTGATATGCTGTGGGCGTCTGCCACGCGTAAGTCGATACCACCACCAACCCCATATACTGGGCTTTCCGCATTTCTGACAGGCCCAATTTAACATCTACCAGCGGCAATCCAAACCGAGGCTCTTATAACTTTGGCTGGACTAACCCAAACCTCCCTTCCATCATTCTCATTCTCAGCCGAAGCTACCCTCTCGATTTTCCACAAATTTGACTGTGTCTTTGCAGCCTTGTGCACCGGTACACACCCTACTACTGGAGTCGCGCTGCCAGGCGCGGTAATTGGCCAATCTCTTGTCACAGAGACACAGAAGGTGCGGATTCGCAGCTTAGCCGAAAGGACAAGACATCAAGTCTTTTCCCTTCTGACCAGCTCAAGTACCTTTGCTGGTGATGAAGATGGCGACGAGGAGCTAGATGAAGTCGATGAACCGTGGATGTTAGAGGCTACGAAAGTTTACGAGAAGAGTCTTATGTTGCTTGCAGAGCAAAATGATGTCACAGTAGAAGGAGATGAGTTTACCTGTTGATTTATGTGCTAGGTATTTCCGATATTGAAGCTCTTGCCTATTCACCATGTATGTGCTGAGTAGTAGTATTCGTATACGATAACCGATTGATATGGATATTTTTAGAATATCCCGCGTATGATGGAGGGCCAACGACGCTTAGGCCAAGCTAATGTTGTAGACTAAGGCAGTGACATAACGTCGGGTATCAACGAGTCCCACAGTTTGCATGGAAGTCCTATTAAATGAACGTCGGTCATGAGAAAAATCCTTCCAGAACTTTCTAGCTTGACAATTTTTCAGCAAGACCTGAAACCGAAGGGCCAAAAAAAACCAGTGTGGAGAAAGGACATCCAGAGCTGAGTCGGTATTTGAGTATACAGTAAGCGTGCCCGTACCTCAAATTCAGGTAACAGTCACAATGCGCTTTGGGAATCTGTGTGGACAGAACTGAGCGAACTAAGTGGATGCAAGCCCTGAAAGTGGGGAATGTCTGGAGGTCTATTGCTCAGCCCCGAGGCTGAAAGGGCCAGTCGTAGACCAGAAGTGGCTATTGATTTAGTTCAGAGTGCTTTGACTTCCATGTGAATTGTGAGATCTTGATTTCTTTGTTGTGATCCCTTCATACTGTACACCTGGCACTCTCGACCTGGGATTCTGTACGTTGATATCCGCCTTGACCCATGGTTTGGCGGTTATATTACTGGGACGCTAGATTACCATTTTGAACAGCCCTGGAGGGCATGCCCTATGGACTATATATCCTACCCCGGACACACAGTAGGAATTGAGATATGTAATTGGACCACAGAGTATTGTATCAGTACCCGTGGACACTGCAGTAGTATGTAGGAGTGTCTTTACACCTCTTGGTGCGCTGTACGGAGTACCAGACATAAAACGAAATCTCACTCACACCTGGGCAGCTCCCGTGTCTCACCATGCAAGGGCTGATTAGCTTATTTTCTAGAGCCCGAACCCATGTAAGTAGGAGCCGCCCCTTGCAACCCCCCTTCAATCTCAATCTATACAAGCGTACGGAGTATCTGCGAACCGCCTGATTCTGGTGATGGTGCCTGGATGTCATACATGGATACCTGGCATCTAGGTCATCCCGGAGCCCTATGTACGAACGCGTCGCGTACCGTGTACTTAGAGTATCGCCAAGGGTCTCCGGATCGTAATGGTAATTGCAATACGAGCGGCCCAGCAAACCCGGCCAATAGGCAAACCCAACAGAGGATTCCATGGTTCCAAGGTTCCGACTTTTTTTTACCTTTCCACAACTTTTTCAAGTTCGTTTCTCGGGCGTGCGCGGCTGAGGTATGAGTATGGGGTGTAAGTATAGGGTCCTCCCGTAGGCATGGGGTACTATACAGTATACCGTACAAATGTTCAAAGATACTGGGAAATTGTGAAGAACCTTGGAATCCTTGCTTTTGTACTAAGGCATCCTTGCTTTGAGAAGAGCTTGAGGCTAAGGCTGCCGCTAGACGGTAGACGCAGGGGACGATGAAGTAACAGTGTATGGAAAATTGATTACGGAGTACTGTACGGAGTATGCTTAGATCCATGGTTATGTTCTTGAGTTCCTTGGGTCTTTCATTACGAAGCAGCCCCTAGGTCGACCTCCGGACATCAGGTAACTACCTAGGTCGCACCTGGGCAGCGTTGGAAGCTATGTGAGCAAAATCACACATGTGCAATGATATACCTACCATGCTACTGTACAAGTAGAAGTTGTGTACGGAGTATGAGAGCGCAAATATCACTCCATAGAATGTATCCATTGACCCAGAACTCTTAGGCACAAGCTTGGAAATTACCTCAGCACAGCTATGACGATGAAGGTCCACCTGGACAAGTCACATTGCGAGGGCAGCGACAGGTCCTTGCAGATTTCATGCATTGGGGTTTCCGTGCCCCTTGTTGTGTTTCTTGCTCTCTCGGGTTGATTTGCCTCACGCTGGCTATGCCGTCTTCGTATCTCATCCTTTACAAGCGGATCGGGCGGAAGGTGTTGATCGGCAAATGCCTCAGCCATTTCGCGTATCTGATGCGTCTGATGTATCAACTAGAAATTTCCCACTCATCCCGGGATCCTGGATGAAGAATCGCCTGTCGCGACCCCCGCATATCTGAGATCATGCAGTGCATCTGGCAGACTCCGGGGATTCAGCAATATAATGTACTAGTATAGGATGAAGGGACCGGGATCGACTAGGCAAGGTACTTGTACTCCAAGAGATAAACTAGCCTTAGAGCCGCCGGACTATTACAATCTATTCTCCCAGCAACCCAGTCACCCAGTAACCCTAATATGCCAGCCGATATGATACTATTATGCTCTAGCACTAGATAATGGGATCCCAAGAGGTGTACGGCATGGGAGTACCATACCTGTAATACACATACGACGATACCTGGTCACGTAACTCGTTTCCCACTTCCCCTCCCTCATGAGATTTCAATTCTTCATTTTCTTCTTCCCCTCTACTCCCCCTCTCTTTTCCTTATTGTTCGGATAAGATTTCGGTTTCGATTTTTTCTTGTTGGGAGTTCTGCTTTCCCTTGTTGTCTACGTTTTTTGCCTCGCACATTTTCCAGTTTTTCGTTAGATATCATATCTAGGTGAGTCTCTTCACTATCGCATCAGCCTCTTTCATCATAATCTTGGAATTGCCGTGAGGTCGCAACGCGCCTCTGCTCTCAATACTCTACACCCTCGTCATGACCAGAACTTCGGGTTCTCAGCGATCGCATTCAAATCATCTTCAAATTCAATGTGGGATGTCCCGCGAGTTCGTGGACGGTTCGGGGCGGTCGCATTTGGATTTGGATGGACGGAAACGGCCGGCGCATCAACAACCGAAAGGCCATTTCCGTCTCGTGCACCCGACCCTACCTTCACTTTCGCCTGATCCACTTCTGAATTCTCGCTTCACTCTTACCGCAACCCGGAGTTTTGGTCTTGGCGATTTCCGCTTTGAGCCTTGAGCTCTTGCGCCTGAAGCAATCGCTTGCTTCCACCTACATCCCTATCATTTTTTTCTTCCCTTACTACCCTTCTTCCTTTTGCGTCGCATCATCCGGCTTTCACTCTACACGCTATACACGCTCTCTCTCACATCACTTGCTTGCGCAACAAGATCTAATTCGCATTCTATCTAGCAAGCTTTTTCACGTATTCGCCTGGCTTCGTTACGACTTGATCTCACGCCGGTCTTTCCTTAACGACTCCACGAAAGTTCTAGTCGTTCAGCCATTCTATATTCTTACGTCGACTTTCGGACTTTGCAACCATGTCTTACAACAACTTCGAAAACTTCCCCCAGCAGGATCCTGCCGCCGCTGGCGCCCCGGCTCCCGTTGATACCACCATGACTGGCCAGGCCGATCCTGCTCAGTTCCAGGGCCCCGTTCCTGGTGAGCCCAACTCGGCTTCCGTCCCCCAGCAGGGTGCCGACGGCAAGACCACTCTCTGGATGGGCGAGCTCGAGCCCTGGATTGATGAGAACTTCATCCGCAACCTGTGGTTCCAGATGGGCGAGCAGGTTAACGTCAAGATGATTCGTGACAAGTTCTCTGGGTAAGACACTGTTCCCCGATTATTTCTCATATCGAAAGGGAAAAGAATTGTTTCTAATGATGGTAGTAGGAGCAATGCTGGCTACTGCTTCGTCGACTTCGCTTCCCCGGCCGCCGCTGCCAAGGCTCTCTCTCTGAACGGCACTCCCATGCCTAACACCAACCGGGTCTTCAAGCTCAACTGGGCTACCGGCGGCGGTCTGGCTGATCGCAGGTAAGCTACAATGCAATATTACGTCAACATATGGTTCTGATACTAATTCTTTTGTTCAGCCGTGATGACCGTGGCCCTGAGTACTCCATCTTCGTTGGTGATCTCGGCCCCGAGGTTAACGAATATGTCCTTGTCTCCCTCTTCCAGAGCCGCTTCCCCTCGTGCAAGTCCGCCAAGATCATGACCGACCCCATCTCCGGCATGTCCCGCGGATACGGATTCGTCCGTTTCTCCGACGAGAACGACCAGCAGCGTGCTCTCACCGAGATGCAGGGTGTCTACTGCGGCAACCGCCCCATGCGCATCTCCACCGCTACCCCCAAGAACAAGGGCCCCGGTGTCGGTGGCAACGGCGGCGGCATGGGTATGCCCGGCCCCGCCGGCATGTACCCTCCCATGGGTGGCCCTCCCATGCCCTTCTACGGTGCTCCTCAGCCCATGAACCAGTTCACCGACCCCAACAACACCACTGTGTTCGTTGGTGGCCTCTCCGGCTACGTCACCGAGGATGAGCTCCGCTCTTTCTTCCAGGGCTTCGGCGAAATCACCTACGTCAAGATTCCCCCTGGAAAGGGTTGTGGTTTCGTCCAATTCGTCCAGCGCCACGCTGCCGAGATGGCCATCAACCAGATGCAGGGCTACCCCATCGGTAACTCCCGCGTGCGTCTGTCCTGGGGTCGCTCTCAGAACAACTCCGGCCCTGCCGGCAGCCCTTACCGCCCTGCTCCCCCGCCACCTCCCATGTACCCCTCTATGGGCATGCCCCCAGCCCACCAGTATGGCGGTTTTGCCCCCATGAAGGTGAGCGATCACCCTGGCAGCCCGATCCCGGAACAGATGTGAAGCAGGCGGTCGGCTGACTACTCTCCAGTAAGCGTTTCCTTTGATTGAAAGCACCGGCAGGAGTTATCTGCATCATTCCAACGATGGGTCTTTTGTGTCATAACTTCGTGATTCCCTGGTTTTCCTTGCCAAGGCTATAGCTCTTGATGAGCATCTGTCTCCTGTGCTACGCATTTCCTTTTTACGTGAGCGCTATTACCTTAGCAAGATCTGGATTTTCCCCCCTTTTCGATCTGCCCTGTTCTTATGTATCCCTTTTTACTCCTACACCCTCTTCGCGCTCTTTCGTATCTTTTCTTTATCATTTTTCGATGTCTACTCTGCCCTTCTGCTACCGGGTTTTCCCACCCTGGGTCTTTGTTCGCGTGTAACGGAAGTCCGAATTGTTTATGCGCTTCTTTTCCCTTATACTCCCTGGGCAGGCATTCTGCGAAAAGTTCCATTTACCCACGATACGCCTTATTTCTTTTGTCTTTTACATTTTTTTTCTTTTTTTCTTTTTTTTTTCTTCAAGCAGCTAAATTGAATTATGTTCGCTTTGAGGATTGTTTGTTTTCTTTGGTTAGATCGCTTGTACAACACCTGTTTCGTGCGCCTCAGCGTTGAAAGCTTGTGCAATAATCTGCTGCATTCTTTGTATGGCTGGCGTTCGGCTAGTGGAGTCTTTCCATTCATTTCATCAACGTCTGGTCTTGGTATATCAGACAAGAGTACGGAGTAGTTGGGTACTGTGTTCGGGGATAGATCATTCATTGTAGCCTATTTATATCGAATTATACCTGCTATGTTTTGAGGACAAGTCTACAATTTTAACAGATAAGTTTCAGAATTGGTGTTCAGATCTTTTGGCAAATGTGTAACCAGTTAGGGCTAATGTGAGATGGGAGATCCTGATTGCCTGATCGAGCCAAAGTGGACAAGGCCTGGGAAGCATTAAGCTACCGGTATATATGCCAGTATTGCACTGATACAAAATAACAAATTGATCGCAGTTGCTTCCATGAGCGCAGCGTCCAGGCTGGAAGCCTTGGAAAATGTCTGGACGTCAACATCCTTGGGCGTCGGATTGGCACCTGCCTTGCATCCACGGCTCCTGCTTTTTCTTTTTCTTTGACACTTCATTTCTCTCTCTTCTCGCTTTACTACTGAGCTTCTCTCAACATTCTTAAGATCCAACTATCACCATGCGCTACCGAAACTGGGATGTGCTGTTGTTTCCTGGTGGTGGCCGAGTGCCCGTTTCCGAGTTTAGAACCCAATGCTTTGTGACCAGAGACCATGACGCACCCTATCTTCAGGCCTTTCACCTGGGCCCACAGGGATACCAAGGGTCATTGATGTTCAATCAATTGCCCGTCCTGACGACTTTCATTCCCAGTTTGGTGGTTGATAGTCAGTTTCAGATATCCGTTCACAGCTGGGAGACTCCGCGCCCTAGTGTCCAGTTCGAGTCCAACATGGGACCGGAGGACACTGTAATGTTCGAAGCTCGCGTTTACATTGATGGTGTCTTTTCATCGTGAGTCTACCCTTTGCAGCAGAGTCGAACTCGGGCTGAACCCACTTAGTGGTAGTCTTTACGGGCAGCGTACTTCCTGGCCCCAGGTCATGAGTGAGTGATTCAATCCGTGGGCCTAAGAGCTCATTGCGAATTCTTCCGACATCTTGGGTTTACTGACGCCGATTTATGCTCTAGGCTTGAGTTCCCGTGCGATGCCATCGACCCCTCCGTTTCGGATTCCATACTGACGAAGATAGATCCCGATCGAGAAGGTAATCAGGACTACCTTCGTTTCCCGCCCTTCCACCGCGAGATACTCCAGCAAAGGGCGTGGGATGCAGCAGACCCGCATGGTCGCGTCAAGGTCGTTCTTGCAGAAGGCGTCTCTCGTCCAAACCGCACGCCACCTTTTGAGCGTTACAGAGACTTTCTTGTCTTCTCCTTTCAACATGCACCTCTGAGTACACACATAAGTCCTGGAATATATGCATGGAGCTAACGGGAAACACTAGACGTTTTGGAAAATGCCGAAATTGCATGGCCGAATCCCAAGCTGTGGTTGCCAGTTTCGAGTACTCCTCGTTATGCAACGGCGACAGCCCCATACGGTAGCGCAAAGGAATGTGACGATCATGGTCATTCGCCAGTCAGACCCGGGAGACCTGAGCAAGCTATAGGAATGGCAGTCAATCCAAGCAGTCAATCGAGTAGCGACACAGCCACCTTCAGTGGCAGCTCTTTGTCGGCCTACAATGTCTGGGCACCCCATCGTGGCTTTCCAATTCCGGTACCCCAGTGGAATGAGTATCCACAAGGACCGCGATGGGAGCCACAAGACTCCCATTTCGTTGAAGCAGGGATGGATCCCACATTTGAGGATATAGCATGGCGTCAGCGCGGTGCCCGATCATCTGGTGAAGATGTTGCGATGCCCGATTACAGCTCGGCCTCGAGCAGCAGTCGACCTCTTTCCAGCTTGACCAGTTTCAGCTTTGAGCACAGCAATCCAAGCATCCCTGATTATCTCGTCGATCGCAGCAACCGAAGCATCGCCGTTCACCTCGATGACGACCATCGCTACAACGAGCTCATTCAATCTCTTACACCTACCAAGGCAGCACCGGTGATAGGCTCCCGCACGCCCTCCAACACTCCATCGGAATCCATGCCACCTCCAAAGCTATCTTCCGCGGCCTTAGCACGGTCGGCACGATATACTCGTAGTCACCGGGCTTTGGTACTTACGGATAGCTCACAGCCAAGCACACGAGAAGTTTCTGGATCGAGTCAGTCTCTCGCTTCCGAGAAGCTCCCTAGAAGGGAGGCTAGGAGAGTCTTCAAGAAGAAGTCAAGTCAAGAGATATCCAAGGGATCTTTGAAAAAGGCCATTCAGGCTGATACAGACAAGCATAAGGTCTCGGGCAAAGAGGCCCAGCCTAGCCAGAGCTCTGGCAAAGACTCTCATGAGACTCTGGACAAGAGCCCTAAGGGCGCCGATCATGAGAACCTGGAGAAAAATGCGAGAGACATTGCAAAGCAGGTCGAGGAGCTGATTGCGGAGGGATTGCAGGAGTGTGAGGTAGCAGAGTCGTAAAGATGTATGACGGGGCTCTGGACAAATATTCTTATGCACACTTTTGTTGCAGGCTGTATCCATTATCTCAATCAGAAGCGTCACAATGCTCGAGTAGCAGCTGTATTCAGAATGAAAAGCAATGCACAAGTCCCACGCATAACCTGAAATGCGCAACTGGAATTGTACGTGGACAGTTGCGTTCCTTCCTCCTTCAGAACTCATGTTGTTTACCTTTTTTCTCAACAAACTGATTCTCATCTTCTTTCACTCTCACCTTGTTTACTTTTAAGTATCTTCTCCTACGTGACTACTTCCACGCGTTTTTCGTTTCTTCCTCAAAAGTCTGTTGCGGACCATGCCTCCAACCCCAACCGTTCCTGCGATGGATCCATCCATCCTAGGCCCTCTGGATACGTCTGGCTCAGCCAGTGCTGTAAGCCCTGAGCCAGGTGGTGGATTAACCAACACAATTGAGCATCAGTTGCCAGCTCACTCTGAGGCTGCCAGCGTCTCCCGTTCCCAAGCTTCCCCCAGGCTCCACTCACTGCGCACCCAACGCCGGACTTCTGCTCAGCTCGAGTCGCAGGGCCAGCATGGTCCTGCCACCGAGGACCAAAGCTACCAGCACTTCTCTGGCTATGGCTATTCAGCTGCTGGTATCTCAAATGCCACAGAGCAGGTGGCCATGCCCTCATTCAAGAATCGGCAGCGCGGAATCTCCACGCAGCCACTTGACCGGGGTGATCCTGCCCAGGGTAATTCTAGCCATGCTGCTCATGATGTATCGCTTCCTGAATTGGATGTTCTGATGAGCCGCGTTACGGGTACTCAAAACAACTTTGCTGCTGCGTTGTCTGGAATCAAGGATGATGCCAATGTTTCGGCTTCGTTTCGAGGCGGGCAGGCTCTGAGCCAGCACCTCAATCCATCAGTGCCCCCCAGTACCAATGCTCAGGGGGGTCTTGTAGGTGCCGTCAGGAAGATGTGCTCATCTCAATTGCCCTCATCTGGCACCACGTTGTTTGATCGTATCATTCCTGACAGCAGCCAGATGTGTCTTGCTATTGATCAGCAGCTCAACTTGGCGCATTCTTCTGATGTTGGCGGCGAGGGAAATGCCCAGTCAGTGTCTGTGTGTCCCCGGGTTAAGACCGCTCAGAACACAGGTCAGCCAGGTGGTTTCCCTGTTGGCGGGGGTATTTTGTCAAGTCAAAGCAATGTTCCTGCTTTGTTTACCCCACATACTCCTTATGCTACTGTTTGCTCAGTTCCTTCCTTCTTGGCTCATATTTCAGACCCGCCGGTGTCTATCGACCAACAGGGCATGAGCCAGCAGCAACCATACCAGTCTCCTCGACACCTCATTGATTCTGGCTCTGAGACAAGCAATTCAGACTCGATCCATACTTCAGCCAACCGACCTTCCTCAAGCCAGCACTTGCTTTCGAAGTCAAGTGACCACGGTTCGTTCGCTGAGGCTTTCGGGTGTCCAAGGACCTTCGATAAACAGCGCCTACAACAGGGTACCAGTCCCCAGGAGCCTACCACTGGCCTCTTCAGTCAACGAGTCACTCCTATTGAGCCTCCTCCAGGGCTTTCGCCCATTGGCAGCTTTTCTTGGTCCCAGCCTCGTAGCCACGATCCTCCCGATACATGCCCTGCGTTTGATCAAAATGCTCTGGTCAATAGAGCTATGACCGCTCCTCCAGTTGGCCAGTGGCCTGAAAACCAGTCAATTTGCATGTTTGGGGGAGCCGCTTACAGCTCGGCCCCAAACGAAGACCCAGTGTATCGACCTATCACTCAAATTTTGAGCTCCAGCTCTGGGTTGACCAGAGGTCGCCGTGTGCCTGTCTTAGGGTTCTCTTCCATGTCTGAAGCTGATAACTTCGAGGTTGTGGTTCCTAAATTTACCCGTGTTGAAAACACCCAAGGGTTCTCCTCGGAAAATGGCTCTAGTGGCCAAGAGAGCGAGAGCCCAGAGACAGCAGACAGGAAAATCAAATTCGGTTTTCCAACTATTGGTGCAGCCATGTCCTGCGACCCACGACCCGAGTCTGTTGCCTTTCCTTCGTTGCCCCTCAGGATCACCTCGGGCACGAGCGATCAGATCAAGACCGAAAGGCTTTCAAAGAGCCCTTTTTTGGCTCATCAAGACGTTGATGGGGGTAATGAGCCTCGCCCGTCGGCACAAGTCTGTAGAGCACTCGTCTCCCGTGGAGTTTCCTCAAGCGCACAGGACGCCACAGGCTTCGGGGCTTTGGCAGATTCCAGCTTTGGGGGATATTCCCAGGCTTGCTTGGGTGCTCGTCCAAATCGTTTGGACCCAGATCAGGCTCTGGGTCCAAACAGATATGGCAGTGCTAATGCACAAGGCTCCCTGGCTGGTGATTGTTCCAACAGCTCAGGAGGCTCTGATCAGGTGAGCATCATAGCCACACGTGGTATTGGGGCCAATCTTTTGGTCCTACCAAGCTTGTCATTCTATACACACAGACAAGAGGCTAACACATTCTCAGGTCCGCATGGGTATCTTGGCCGTGGAGCTCCTTACTAAACAGCAAGTCATTTTCATCTTTCATATCGTCGCCTTGATGGCCAATTTGAGGCCGGAGTTTACTTTCATCCTTGGCGGCGAAGGAGGAAAAAAGTTTGGAGTCAAGCTTGCCATGTGGGGCCATACAGTGACAATTGATCCGTCCCTTGACTCAACCACAGCTGCAAAGGTTGCTGCTTGTCGTCGAGGCCTTGAGCGGCTTCAGGACGATCACCCGGCATGGTTGGTTCCTCCTCAGCCCACCGATGGGTGTACAACTCCGAATTGGAATTGGATTCCAATGCTTGATGGTAGGCCATTTTAGGAAGACATTTGGGGGCCAAGCTAATCGTGCATTGTTACAGATTACTGTAATCAGCAAGGTTGTTCACGACCTTCCTATCGACCCAGCAGTAATGGAAGCCTTTGGCATTGTGATGTGTCTGTCCAGGACAAGATATTCCGCACCGTTCGAGAGTGCAACACCCTGGCAGAAGCGCAAAATACCGCGGCGCACATATCGCTTTATCAGCTGGTGGTCGTTGAATCTAACGATCTCGGTCTCAGCTCTTTTGCCAACCTACCAACGAGTTCATCATCGGTAGCTGCTGCCGGTGGTGCTGGAACAGCTGATATCTCAATGCAAAAGCAGTGCGCTGAGCTTTTGCGCTCAGGGATCACCCGCAATCCCAATAGAGCAAATCGTTCTCCGCGGTATGGAGGCGTAGGTAAAGGCGCTACTCGGCTTGCGAAGTCACGCCGCGGCAGAAGACAGCCAAAGGCTAAGAAGTCCAAAGCACCCCAACAACAACCCCAGAACCCGCTTCCGGTTGTTGCTCGCTCTTCGAACATGATTCCACTGGTCAGCAGTCGCTTGCCTCCGATTCCCGACAATGCCAAACCGCCTGAAGACCCACTCGCCAAGCTGAAGAACATCGAGAAAGAGATCAAGCTGTTGAGCTCGCGTGCATCTTTTCGCAAAGTGATGGAGAGTAAGCTACCCAATCCTGCTGGAAGACCTATTTTAACAAGTCTAGAAATCTGCGATGTTCTAGGAGCGAATTACCCATCCATCACTCGCAGGGAGATTTCCAATGGTCGTCATCATAACTATGATATGCTCGCCGAATTTGACGACAGCCATCCCTACCTCCATCGTGCAAGCCCGATCACGCTTGCCGTTGTGGGTGATCCTGACCCTGGAACCGCGGAGGAAATTGCCGTTAAGCATGTCATTCTTCATATCCTCAAGATCGTCAAGGAGGATGCTGATATCTCTGATACGGCCTACAAAGCCCAGCTACGTGCGCTCTATGACCTTGAAGCCGAGACACGGGAGCGGTTGGGCCGTCAGAATCGCTCGTCTGGAACTTTTGGCTAGGAGCTTTTCTGGCGTCAGGGCAGGGGGATTCTCAATATTGAGCTTTCGCCAATTCGTTTCGTGTGGTTTTTTTTTTTTTTTTCTCTCACGTCGCCCTCTGTTCCTAGATATCTGTTCTCTGATCTTATGGCAGCCTGAGAATTACATGTTCTCTAGGCTTTCCATGATTCTTTCCATGCAGATCTACCTGGCCTAGGAGCTTTCCTAGCTATCATGCTTAGTTTTATTGCTCAGCAATTTTTTTTATTCACTGTTTCTAGTCTTTTGTAGATCCAACTAACTTCTCGAGACTATCGTAGAGTTTAGACTGCTTTTTGGCCAAGGATTTTATCTGCGGATCACGACAGGCATAGCAGCAATCTTGCTTGTACAGGTATCTCAATAAAAAAAAAGTAAATATGTCCGGGATTGAAGCAAGAGGTAGTATCATTTGTTCCATCTTGAATGGCAGACATGGAATAGACAGAGATTGAAGTACAGGCGACCAGGGGGCTATCCCTAGTGAACGGTTTCAAAAATTGATTCAAGAGAACATCAGGGTCAAGGGGGAATAAGCCCCAGGTTTTTCTCGTTCCCATCACAAGACCCATGCGTCGTCTCAAACACCTCACAACTAACCATATATCCACTGTAACCAACACCCCCAGCCACCAAGCATGTGTTCCGGCGGGGCTGGTGAGTATCAGCGTGGTGCATGGAGAGAAGTGGAACAGCCAACACCAGACACGCTTTAGCCAATGCACTAGTCCCCAGCAGGAAGATCCGGCGGGACTGGTAAACAAAGGCGTCGCATCATGGACAAGGAATACTAAGCCCACGCCCACTGTTTTTGTCCCCACCATGGTCGAATGAGCTGTGCAATTCATTGTCAAGGTGTAACGAGGAGACAGGAGACTCAGGTCTAGATGAGGAGCAGGAGTTTGGAGGTCGGTTCCTCGAGAGGATTGTCTCAGGTGGAGTTTAGGCTCGGAGTGATGATCCTCATCGCAATCGTCCGCCTGGGTGTCCTCAGATTTTCTCTTCACTGGGTATATGACAGGGAATGTCTATCCTCTGAGAGAACGTCAGTCACAGTGGTCCACCATGTAGAGACATAGGGGCGACGAGTCGGAGATATCGGTAGGGTTGGGGAAATATGATATCAGTTATCAGTTGTGGGGAAAGCTTACCGAGAGTTATGTTGTTTCGTGGCTGGGGGCTAGGATTTGTAGGACTGTGAGAAATGGTTAGCATCCAACGGTCGACATAGTGTGCAGAAGGTAGGATGAGATCACCTAGACTTAGCACCGGGTTTGGTGGTACTGGCTTTAGGAGGAGCCATGTGAGGATATGAGGATATTAGAAAAGAGAGGAGAGGAGGGTGGAGGAGAGAGGGAGAAGAGAGGGGGAGGGAGAGGGAGGGAGAAGAGAACCTTAGAAGAAGAAGAAGGTGAGAGAGGAGAGAGAGAGAGAGAGAGTAGGAGAGAGGGAGAAGAGAGGAAGAGAAAAAGGCAGATCCCAATTAGGGCTGCGCTGCTGAATTCTTTATGGAATCTAGATTAGGACAACTCACATAGTCCACGAACTAGATATACCAGAGTTTATTGTTACTCGACTAGACTTTGTGCAAACAAGATGAATTCGATCATATGAGACCATAAGCATAACGACATCGAACTCCTCTGCAAGGGGAATATCCAACCCAGACACCATTCCTGGTTCTTGTCCCCTTTTGAACCTCAAGCATTTGATCCGAGAGTGCAAGATAGTAGCAAAGAAAAAGAGGGGGGAAAGTCACAGGCCAAGAGCAACTACCATATAAGGTAACAAAAGAAAAAGAAAACGGCCGGCATTTGTAAAGAGAGCAGTGTGGACAGAATGAAAAAGAAAAATAAAAGGGGTCAAAAGAAAGGAAAACGGCAACTGGATCATAGGCAACTGGACTTCATACTGAGTATCAACGTTGCCCCAAGGCAAAGGAATTAAGTAACCACACAAGTAATAATAGTAATAATAGGAAAGAAAGGAAAGAAGCCAAGAAAACTCGTAGGTCACAGTGCACTAATCTCGAATACAGAACGATCCAGAGCAGAATGCCGAGGAAGAGCCAAGAGACAGGCGACGCGATGGGTCCACGCAACGTCTATCTCACGGCACGTGTGCGGAGACACAGATCCAGGGGGAGAAAACAGAACAGGTCGAGTATTCGCGAAAACGCACTAGAGCAATGATCAAATGTACAAACAAGGGTATATCGGAGGTGAAGCACCTGAAGGACCGTTAAGACTTTTACACGTTCACAGGCCGTCACCGGCTCCTGTCTCAACACCGTCGCCCGAGTAGGATATGCTCGGATCGAACCCGAAGCCTGTGGCATCGGCGTCGGTGTTGAGGAATGTGTCAAAGTCGAAGTTCTCCAAAATATCTGGGTTTTCCAGTGCGCTGAAGTCGAGGTTGAATGCGGAAGCCTGAGAGGGTGACGGGTCAGTAGATGCCGAAGTGGACTGTTCATAAGAAACACATACATCAGGGATGCTGAGGTCAGTGAAGGGTTGGTTATTCTGGTCTGGGGGCGGTGGGACCATGGTCTGAGGAGCCGGCGCCGAAGTGGGCTGGCCAGGTCCAGGTCCATTGGTTCCATTCGCTCCGTTCTTGAAGGCGTTAGGAGGGGGATGGGGTGTAACGGGGGTGGAAGGAGTGGGGAGCTCTGCGGCTTCGGTGGAAGGCGTAGCACCGGCGGCGGCGGCGGCGGCAGCTTGCTTCTTGTTGGGTCGCTAGGCACACTGTCAATAATCGCTTTTGGCACAGCATTCTGAGGTATACATACCTTGCGAGTGTCCTTCGCGTCCTTCTTACCCTTGGGCGCAGGCTTGTTGGTCTGGTTGGGAGTTGGGGGTGCGTTTCCACCGGTCTGAGGGGATGCTTCCGGGCCGCGGCCAGCGTTAGGTCCGGCGACAGGTGGCGCTGAGGGCGGTGGCATCGCGCCTCGCTCCTGCGGGGTTCCAGCTTGGGGCTGGGTCGCGGGCGAGTGCTGCGGAGCCATCTGCTGCCCTTGCGGCCATTGTCCACTAGGCATACGCTGACCGGGGTTGCCAGGAGGAGGTTGACCCATCTGGGCTCCGAAGGCCGGGTTGGAGCTGGGAGGTCGCATGTTCGAGCCTTGGAAGAACTGAGCAGCCATCTCTGGAGGCATTTGACCATTATTGAGGTTCATGGATCCAGGTGAGCCACGCTGGGACATGTCACCGGCACTAGGCGATCCAGGAAGTCCAGTCTGGTTCATCTTGGGCGTGCCCCGTTTCATTTGGTCGCTGGGGTTAGGAGAGGCGCCTGTTCTGCTTCCGGGGGAGGTGCCTGGTGGTAAAGATTGCTGGCCTGGCATTTGGGGCGGCTGGCCATCAGCACGGGCCATGGTGTCTTGCTCTTGACGAGCCATCATCAAACGCCGCTTGTTCTGCTGCTCGAGCAGCATGAGCTGCATTTGATAGTCTTGCAGAGCATGGTTGCCATGTTGACCACCGCCACCGCCAGGAGTTTGCATGCTACCAGGACGGACCTGGCCCATTGGCCCGTTAGTGCCGTAGTAGTCTGGACCGGCACCGGCCATGGGGTACATTCCTTGGCCATCGGGCATTGGGACCAGATCTGCCTGGTTGGCCATAACACCGGGATTCATCATGCCACCATTCGGGATACCCTGGGAATTCGATGCTGAGCGAGAGTGATGAAGGGCCAAGTTTTGAGCATATACCTGCATAGATTTCTGTTGCGCTTGTCCCGTTTGCTGCTGATATTGCTGGAACTGCGCTTGCGTCATCCCTCTCTGCATGCCATTCTGCATCATCATAGCCTGCTGATTAGGCTGTCCGGGCATTCCTTGTCCTTGTGCGCGTCCGTTCGGTGCGAGCTGCTGTCCGTTGACAGCGCCTTCGAGGCGAGGGCGTTTCGACGGCGAGGGGGCATTGTCTGCAGAGGCCGGTGACTGCGGCCGGTGACCGCCCATTTCCATTTCCGGTTGGTCTCGTTGCAGTTGCTGCATCATTTGCAGCTGTTGGTTCTTTTGGAATTGTGCCAGTTGTTGTTGCGGTGTACTACACAGGATCATATATTAGCATATCCACCCCATCGACCCAAAGCTCCGCGTGGGGGAAAGTTTTTGTAGCATACAGGCCAGGAGTGTTGTTCTGCAGCACTGTCTTTTGCAAGTTAGGAGGCACCATTCCATTCTGCCTCCGCACCCCCATCTGGCCGGGAATCATGGGTTGCTGGCGCATGAACTGATTGTGCTGCTGTTCTCGCAACCGCATAAATTGCTGGAATCCCACAGTTAGTCGGTGCTCCACATCGTCGCGCCGATCGATCACGAACCTGGTTGTGCTGGAGGTACGCCCGGATGTCACCGCCATTCTTTTTGTTGCGCTGGGCCCAGAAGAAATCCCAAAATAGGTTGAACCAATCAAGGAGGAATGAAGAGGGACTCTCATTATTGGGGATACTCGGGCGGGGCAGATCATCTGGAATCTTGATCTTCTCGCCGTCTTTTCCGTCGGTCATCATGGCATCAGGGTCCATACCATTCACCTCATCACGTCGACTCCCTGGACTCGTCTTGGGGTTGTTCTCCGTGTTGAGTTTGATGGACTCGTCCTGCAAAAGCGCTCGAGCGCAGTCGTGGTAGCCACGCTTCAGGAAGTAATCGTAAATATAGGTGTTGAGATTGATGATCAGCTGTTCGGGGTTGTTCATAGAGACGTCGTTACGAGAAGCTGAAGATCCATTGTTGATCATTGGCACTCCCCCAACAGGGCCTCCAACCCCGGGATTCATCCCGACATTCATCTGATTCATGGCGTATGGTGGGACTGCAGCCACCCTTGCCTATTTATAGACGGGAATGTTCAAGTTGAACGTTGAGCTTCCAACGCGCGACCACCGTTTCAGGCGACTAGGCCTAACGCGGGGTTCAAGATCCAACGCGTGGGAGATGAGCGGTACGATGAGCGGTGTAGGCGCTTCGTTTATATGAGACGGTCAGCAACGCGTTCGCGTGACTGCGCCAACCGATCAGGGTTTGGTCGCAAGAAGATGACGGGCGGCGAGATTGAGTTCAGAGTTCACCACTGTCGGGAACGCGACTGAGAGAAACGAAAGGCTCGAGGCTCGGAAGCGCAGACAATACGCTCGGTGTCTCTGACTGGAGAAATTGGTGAGCGCTTGACCAAAGAAAAATAATGAACCCCGATCGAATAGAAAGAAACAAGTGCGCGGTCTATGTGGCGATGACGGAAGTACAGGGAGGCGGAAAAAGCGCACAGGTGAGGTGGTTGGTATGGGAGGCGGGCGCCAGACACCCGATCGGGCAGAATCGCAGAACACCAAATTATACAAAGAAAAAAAGATAAACCAAAGAACCGGGGGGGAACGAACAGATGAGAGGTGGGAAGGGGGGAGTCTACGAGATGTGGATCTCACAGTAGAAGGGGAGAACGAATTCAGTGAGAGAGAGCCGGGGGGGGGGGACATACGGCGACAGGCGCTGCACTGCGGGAAATCGCTTGTTCTCCGGAAGCGGATCAACTACCTCCGATCGGGGCTGGGGATGGCGCTGTCAGGCGTATTTCTGGGAATGCACCGATCTGATAACCATTGAACTTGCGGTCTGAAGCAAACAGAGAAGAGAGTCCAGGTCAGCGGATAGTCGCAGAGAGGACCGCGAGGGTGTTAAATCGGCTGAAGAGGGTTGGGAAGGAAAGAATGATATAATACCTGAGATGGGCCCTGCGATGGATCCCAGCGGGAGTCTAAAAAGTAGGGCAAGCCACTACGGTTTTTTTTCTTCTTCTCTCTCGAATCTGGCGGAGATCGAGCGATCTGGGGATTCGGAAAATTCAATAGGAGGATCAATTAGGAATACGAACTTTCATCCGGTGCCAAAGGGGATGGGAGAGAGGCGAAGAGGAAATTCGATATGTCAGAGTTGAGGGGCGGAGATAGTCGTACAGACTTGGTAATGGTGTTTGTAATATACAGTACCAAACCAATACCTATTTCCTCAAGTCCCAAGGACCGTGTCGCCCACACAGTCTGGGTGCTGGCCGCAATTATATCTACTTGACCAAACTGCACGGTTACACAACAATACACGTTCGGCCCTGACCATACCGATCAAGCGTTGCGGGCAACCTCACCGAAGATCTACGTGTATAAAAACCGATAATCATGCAATTTATACTCCGTACAACACCATACAATCGACTGATCGCATTGCAAGTCAAACCCGTGTCTGAGCAGGTTCCGGAACCACCCATCGATCTGAAACGTAACCGCGTTTCTCAGAATCCCCTAGACTTACCCCTATGCCAGTAATAAATCGCGTGGTGGATTAAGCGTAATATGTATACATCACAAACACTAATTCGCTTGGAACAGGTATACAATGTGCATCAAATGAAAGAAAGTTGGTTCCGTTGCTAGAAAATCCCCAAACGCCTATCATGTACTCCGGGAGGTAGTCATTGTATCTCACTCTTCTTCGGGTGGCATTTCATCTTCGATGTATCGTACAAGCGAGACCCGCATTTCGGTAGTATCATCTCCGCGCAGTACGTCGCTGACGAAATGCGCCTCGATCTGCATTTGAACCTGGAAGCTGGGTTAGTGAACGGACCCAATTGGAGGGAACTCGACCTGATTGATCGGAGGTCCGAGAACTTACCATTTCCAGAGCACCACGAAGCACACCACATAAGATATTAGAGAACCAGAGCTCATCCTGAGCCCGTCCATCATCTGGAAGCTCCACAAAGTCTGCCAGAGGGTTTTCTTCGAAGATCAGAGAGAACTGCGTGTTGTCGCTTGTCCAATTCGTGACTGTCGGGGTAACGTTCAGGAAAATTTTAAAGCCAACCTGCGAGATGTTAATCATCCAAGCTTCCTTTAATTATATCCAGATTCGCACCCACCTTGGCAATCATATCGGCTGTGTCTCTGAAGTTGGCGCATCGGCCGACACCTGACTTGGCGAGGAAGTCCTCAATCAAGCGCATTCCGATATTGTACCCCATCTTTTCCAACTGCTTGTTGACATCCTGGTAGTTGCTATCGTAGTCTTGGCATAATTGTGCGACAATGGTTCCGTAGGTTAATGTGACCAATTCCGCGTTGACTTTATCGACTCTTGTTCTGTATGTCAATGCCGATTAGCTTCGGTTCGGTGAGGGGATAGCCTTATAGGGCAACAGGTTTTCCGTTTCCTGAAATTGGGAGCTTGGAGCTACTGACTTCCATATTCTGCAAGGTTATCAGTAAGAAAGGTCTCCACAGGGTAAATAAGATATCAGGGCCGGCCTACTCTTCTCCTATTCTTGAGGTCTTGTTGGACGACATCTTGCCGACGATACTTCAGGGATCTGGTCCTGTGAAAAAGATCGAGATAATAGCGGCGTGTGCACAAGCACAGATGAATGCGACAGTCAATACGCCAGGGGAATTGCGGGGAGGTGATGATTGTTGGAGCTAATTGTACGGACAGTCCACTCACCGCCGAGAGTGGGATTATCGTTCTTCCCGCAGCTCTGTCCATGAACTTTTGCTCTCCACCACATTTGCCTGAAGTCGCGATTGGCCAGCACTCAACCCTTTACTCTTCTTGGTCTCTTTGCGCCTCTTCTGGTCATGTCTGGCGAAAAGCGCCCTGCCCCTGCGGCCTTTGGGTCTTCCCATGAGCTCGTGGTCAAGCGAAACAAGGCCGATGCCGTCAATGCAGGAACTGCGCTCGTCAAAGGCTCTGCACAAAATGGAGCTCTTGTTCAATCTGTACGCGCTGAGAGAATCTGATTCAGATCGATAATTTTGGTCTTATAATGGCCGCTAATATGGTTTTACAGGTTCCTCGTACCAGTGGACTTGATGCTCCGATCATGGAGCTCACAGGTGAGATTCCGTCGTCCATCTATGTATATACAAGTACTGACTGAGGGGCTTTTCCAGGACACTCCGGTGAAGTATTCGCGACCCGCTTCAACCCCACCGCCCAACACATTGCGTCCGGTTCGATGGACCGCTCGATTCGTATGTTCGATATTTCCCCGTGCAAGCAGGCTAGGACAATTGCTGATCCGAATTCCCGCCAATAGTACTCTGGAATACTTATGGACAATGCGAAAATTACGGCCAGCTGAACGGCCACCGCGGAGCTGTTCTAGATCTCCAGTGGTCACGCGATTCGCGAGCGCTATTTTCCGCCTCTGCAGATATGACCCTCGGAAGCTGGGACGTAGAGACCGGCGAGCGTGTACGCCGTCATGTGGGGCATCAAGAGATTATCAACTGCCTCGACATTAGCAAACGAGGCCAGGAACTACTTGTGAGTGGTAGTGACGATGGCTGCATCGGCATCTGGGATCCCCGACAGAAGGACGCTCTAGACTACCTCGAGACTGAGCTCCCCATCACTGCGGTAGCATTGTCGGAGGCGGGTAATGAGATATACAGTGGAGGCATTGATAACACGATCCATGTCTGGGATCTTCGCAAGAAGGCCATTGTCTACTCCATGATCGGGCATACCGACACAATCACATCTCTGCAAATTTCTCCCGACTCACAGACTTTGCTTTCAAACTCTCATGATTCGACTGTGCGCACATGGGATATCCGTCCCTTCGCTCCCACCAACCGCCAAATGAAGACCTACGACGGCGCCCCCGTCGGGTTAGAGAAAAACCTCATTCGGGCTAGCTGGGATCCCAAGGGTGAGAAGATCGCGGCAGGCAGTGGAGATCGCAGTGTGGTCGTTTGGGATGCAAAGTCCGCCAAGTTGCTCTATAAGCTCCCTGGCCACAAGGGCACTGTCAATGACGTTCGCTTCTCTCCCAATGACGAGCCAATCAGTGAGTTCCTTCCCTCAGCCATTGAAAATCACCATTCTAACAAGTTTACAGTTGTATCTTGCTCATCCGACAGGAACTTGATGCTTGGGGAGTTGGGCAAGTAATCATGTGTGATAATAATGTAATAATGAAATTCAGCGGGCGTCAATTTCATCCATCTTTTCAACCCCGACGAACCAACTTACTCTACTACGACTTGACCTCAAAAAAAAAAGCCGACAGCCAAAGTCCCTGGCCTACATACATGTGAAACCACGAATTGTACACTAGGAATGCTGCATTGAAGAACGATCTTCACTACCTGTGTCCACCCGTCTCTTTCTGGGTCCGATTTGGATCAACCGCATCTGTTGGTGAGTTCCCGAGGTCTAATTCAATGTTGCAATTACGAGCAGCACACGGTCCTTGCCCAGGTGCCCATAACCCTGCCCTATCTACTTCAGGGTTGGTGTGTTGCACCGGTGAACCGGGTACCGTAATCTATATTGTGCGCACATGGATGATATTTAGCGAGTGCGTGTTCATTACTAGGTATATTCGCTATATTTCTAGTAAGCATTCCCTGGTTTATGGGAAATCGGTACCTACTTCAAGACTGGGGTGTTTACGGAGTTGGAACTAAAGGATTGGAAAAGTTGATTGATCGAAAGAACCATCTGGGCAGTATATACTCAAATTTCTGGCTCTCAAATACGCGGATCTGGACGCCAAAAAAAAGGCTCAACTATCGACATAAACTATCGCGCTGATATACATATCCCCCATAGATCTGCCCGGAGCCCGAGTCGGAGATGCGCCTAGCGGCAAAAAAGGGCTTATCTGGCCGAATCTCCACACATGTACTTTACACTTCTGTCCGCCATTTGGCAGCTATCCATGACCCTACGTTGAATCCTGCTCCGTGAAGCCCCACGGAGCCTCATGTTCAACCCGCCGGGGATGATGGTGATATGGGCCATCCTGTCATTATGGTTGACCCTCGCCCACGCCATGGGAGACAGCCGAGTCCACGAACTCAGGTACGCTCACCCGCCTCGGCAGTGATTTAGCTAACCGGCGCAGACAAGAAACTGAGCGCATGTTCTTCCATGGCTTCGAGAGCTACCTTCACTACGCGTTCCCCGAAGACGAACTGCGCGCGCTGACCTGCGGCCCCCTCGTTCGCGATGACAAAAACCCCGAGAATAATGATGTGCTGGGGAACTATTCCTTAACTCTGATTGACAGTTTGTCGACTCTGGCAATCATCTCCTCGAGCCCGGACAGTGGCGAGCGTGCACTGGCGCATTTCCAGAATGGAATTGAGGATTTCGTGAGGCTCTATGGAGATGGATCGGAGGGCCCTGCTGGTCAGGGTGAGAGGTCCAGAGGTTTCGACCTGGATAGCAAGGTCCAGCTCTTTGAGACTGTAATCCGGGGACTCGGTATGCTCTGCACAATTGCTTCACCCGTTGTGATCGTATGTCATTCTGACCATTTCAGGTGGACTGCTCAGCGCTCATCTTTTCGCTGTCGGCGAGCTCCCCATTGCTGGTTATGAGCCTCCAGAGCCCGAAGCTGCCTATGCGAGCGCTTGGGATAAAACGGATTTTGAAAAGGGAGAACATGGAATTCCCTGGAGCAGCGGGTTTGTCTACGATGGCCAGCTGCTTCGACTAGCCGTTGATCTAGCCCATCGCTTGCTTCCTGCTTTCTACACAGAAACTGGTCTCCCATATCCGCGCGTCAATCTACGTCACGGTATACCATTCTACGAGAATGCGCCCTTGAATCCAAATTCTGGAAAGAGGGAAGACAAGCACAACGCCAAATCCTCATCAGAAACCGACCCTGCCGAGACTTGCAGCGCTGGTGCAGGTAGTCTGGTACTTGAGCTCACAGTCCTTAGTCGGCTCACCGGCGATGGACGCTATGAGGACCTGGGCAAGAGAGCATTCTGGGCAGTGTGGAATCGCCGAAGTGATATTGGATTACTTGGATTCGGTATAAATGTGGAGTCCGGGAACTGGGTAGGGCCATGGACCGGAATCGGTGCGGGTATTGACAGCTTTTACGAATATGCTGTTAAAGTCCCCATTCTTTTGTCTGCGGGACAGCCCGTGCCGTTTGATCTCAATAGTCCCTGGGCGGCAATGGACTCGTACTATGCAAAGTCCCCTCTGACACCTTACCAACACACCTCAGAGGCCTTCCGCGAGGCCTGGGAAGAATCACACGCAGCGATAAACCGGCACCTTCTTCGTGGCGAAGGATATCAGCATCCTCATCTCATTGTTGGCGATGTTATGACCGGTGCCACGCGAGCTTTCTGGATCGATAGCTTAAGTACGTTCTACCCGGGCGTTCTTACTTTGGACGGAAAGGTGGAGGAGGCGATCCAAATTCATCTGTTGCCAACCGCCATTTGGACTCGCTATGCGGGTATTCCTGAGCGCTGGAACGTGGCTACGGGTGACATCGACAATGGTATGCCTTGGTACGGAGGCCGGCCGGAGTTTATCGAATCCAATTACTACATCTATCGAGCGACCCAGGACCCCTGGTATCTGCATGTTGGAGAGATGGTCCTCAGCGATCTCAAGCGACGATGCTGGACTAAGTGCGGCTGGGCTGGCATCCGAAATGTTCTCACTGGGGAGCTGATCGACCGGATGGAGAGCTTCTTCACAGGGGAGACTGCTAAATATTTATACCTCCTGTTCGACCGGGAACACCCGCTCAACAAGATTGATGCGCCCTGGGTTTTCAATACGGAGGGGCATCCTTTGATTATTCCAACCAAAAAGGCATCACCGCCCCGTCGGCAGCGATCGCCATCTCAGGACCAGCCAATTCCACCGGGAGTGTGTCAAATCACACCCGCGCTGGTCTTTGGTGTATCTTCGACTGCATCTCGCTCAGATATCTTCCATGCTGCGACACTGGCACGCTTAGAACTGATGCCCGATCGCACAGCAGCTAAGAGCCCTGTTCTGCAAGGCTCTTCCGAACACCAAAGTGTCTATGTGACTGATCTTACGTCTCCGACGAACTACACTTTCTATCCATGGACGCTTCCTCCCCAACTGGTTCCTCACAATGCTACCAGTGCTCCTATGGCCGTTCGACCCACGCTCGATATTTCATTCCCCTCGCTTCCGGGCGGTGTCAACCTTGGTCCCGGGGCGTTGGAGCGAGTTCGAGATGGGGTTCTTGTGAAGACCATTGGAGGACTTCGCCTCAGTATGGTACAGGATGTACGGCTGGAGGATCCGACTCCCACGACAGGGGGTGAAGACGGGTATCGGGTGCAAGTCATCAATAATGTGCCGTTGGGCAAAGATGAGAAGGTATATCTCTCTCGGCAGATCACCTTTGATGTCGTCGATCCGTATGATCCGAACTTTACACGTGTTCGCGACAATACCATGCTTGACCTCGTCATTGACGTACTCCCAGAGCCCTCTCGCCGACGCAATGCTTCGGCTCCTCCGCGAGATGAACAGTCTCAAGCAGACCATCCGCAGCTGGCAGACTCCAACAAACTTGCCTCCCGAGTCGACGCCGCCATCGAATCGCCTGACTCAACTGTAAGGGCCATCTTGTCATCACTGGTCAACTCAGTATCGTCTCTCCTGCGGGACGAGCCAGCAGACCCCGCTCCGTTGCGTCTGAGTCTCCCGGCTGCCATTTCCACGGGCGTTGGATCTGCCATGCTACCTGACATTGAAGATGCCGTCACAATGTCTCTATTTGGAAGCCAATCGACCAAGGCTTTGACTTGGTCGAATATATACTTTGCCGGCGACCTTTGCAACGAGCGCATTCCACGCGAAGTCGCCCAGCACCATGAAGTTCTTGTGATCAAGAGGGGCGGCTGCACATTTTCCGAGAAGCTTCGCAACATTCCCGCATACCGGCCTATACGAAACGCGCTGAAGCTAATCGTTGTCGTCTCGTACGATGACGTGCCTGATTATCAACAAACTAGCGGCACGAGGCCTTCACTCGCCGCTGCCCGCGCCGAGCCCATCCTGATTCGCCCCCACCTTGAGGAGGCGCAAATGACACCCAGCGGCATTCCACGTAACTATCTCATCAGTATGGTGATGGTGGGCGGTGGAGACGAGACATATCAGCTCCTGCAACATGCAGGCGGCATTGGTGTCAAGAGACGATATACGATGCGCTCGCGCGGCGTTCCTATCACAAATTTACATATTGTTTGATTTTACAATGAAATGATTTCCTTTTTCGATGCTGTGACTTCTTCCGCTGTGCATGGAAGGTTGATATTGTCAAAATTCATGAACATCATCTCAGTACATATATTCTCAAACTTTCAACTCAAAGTCTCGACCGATCTCCCATCTCAGCTTTCACTTTCCCCCAAGACTCAACTCCCCTCCTCGCAGCAATCTCAGGGCTAACACTCCCATCCCTCATAGCACGATCAAAAACCTCCATAGAAACCCAACCCGTGAACCCCATATCCACAATCCACGCCCTGGCAATCTGCGCAACAGGCAAATACCCACCAATCTCTTTCTCCAAAGGGAACGGCCTAGCATGTTTCGACCACGTAAACTCCTTAGCCTCCCCAGGCCGGGCCCAAGGATGCACCTCCGAATAAGGGGGATTAAACTTCTCCGCATCCGAAAGCTGCACGTAGAATATCTTCTCGACCGGACAATCGTGCACAAACCGAGCGAGCGAATCCCTTAACCTCAAGTCCGCATCCATCTGCTTTCCACTCGGAGAGGCATTATCACCCCACACCCTCGTGCCTTCGTGGAAGGTATCCATGCAAAGACCGAAATTGGGCCTATCAACGCGATTGACGAGATCCAGCGCAGACTCCCAGGTCGAACAATTAATGCCCCAGGAAAGAGCCTCGTAGGCGATTGCGACTGTGGGTTCTTGGGCACCTAGGTCGGCTAGCCGTTGCAGATCCGATACAATGACTTTTTCATCACGGCTGCAGTCATTCGCGAAGATTGAGGGGACTTGGAGGTAGGGCGCTTTCAGTAGGCGAGCGATTTCCATCCAATGCTTTGCGAGAGCGAGTCGCTGGTCTAAAGGGGTTGAGGCACCCTCGTAATTTTCAAATGGGGCCAAGGCCAACACTTGGAAATCTAGGGATTGGCAAAGATGTAGTATCCTTAGGGCTGCCGTATGAACTGGGATGTTATGGGCTTTGCCGTAGGTTTCGAGGTCATTGTACACGATTTCGATGCCAGAATAGCCACCATTGGCGGCGGCGGTGATCTTCTGATCTAGCAGATGGCCGGGGTACTGGCTTATGGAGATGCTGGAGATTGCTAGTTTGTTATCCATCTTGTGTGGTCAATTATTCTATCTTGACTTCCAGGGTTCTGTTGATATATCCGATGGCGGGTTTTAGTTTCCGGGGGGGTTCCCCCGCCCTGCGAGCGCCTGCATGTCCGGTCTATCCTTTCTCGATTTATTCCTTCTCGCCTGCGGCGACCAGAGATCTCGGTCTTTGATGACCGAACGAAGGTGTTGATTGGTTACTTTCTGAAGCTCTCCACTTGATGCATTCTGACCTGCTAACGTTGGAATTTGGGCTTGGAGGCGCTTCTAATTAGTCTATGTGAATGTAGATCTGAATTTATCTGGTCGGCGGTCTTGAATTCACCTCGCGTGGGTTATACGACTCATGAGGCAATATCAAATCACAAGAATCGTAGTCAGCGTTCTGCCAAGTGACGACGTCGCGCCTGTCCATGGCCTTCCGGTATTTAAGATAGTCCAAGTTGCCATTGAGCAAAGCCTGATTTGACGAGTGTGGGGAGCCATTGCTCTCAAAGGCTTCTCGTGGGTTGATGGCGTCGTCCCGGGGAAGCTCTGGGTAGTTTGGATCGCAGTGGGCCATCCACCGGGGGTCCTCTGGTGTCAATCCAGCACCCAAATTGAACCACCTGGTCAGGACCAATGCCGTATATTCCCCAATAGTCACTACACCGATCTCAAAGATGACATGACAGACTGGACAGGATCCACCAATCTTTCGGTACCCATCGTCGTGGGCGGAATGCTCAAGAAGTTGCTGGGGGATGACAACGCCCAAAGCTTGCGAGTGATAGCAAATTTTGAAACGGTGATTGACAGTGACGGTTCCTGGGCACAGAAAGCTTGTCAACACGAAGTCAATCTCCTGGACACGAAGACAAAGCTGATGCGTGTCTGAACCTATCTTTGAGAATCGTGCATTCCACGGCTGAGAGGCGGATGGTGGTGAAGAGACCGATTCAAGCGAGCATTCACTCTGTGGTGCTCGTACCGATATCCATTTCTTGGGGAATATCCGTGCTTCGATCGAAACCATTACAGGCAGCTGGTAAGTGCCACCCCGCGACCGCACTTGTGCATAGTTCAATGACTCACAGGTGATGCCAGTCTGAGGACCATGGTGAAAGCGTCTCATTGCAAGCTGGACCATCAAGAAATTGAGCTCGTACGGAGGGTCCAGGTCCTTTCGGAAGAGCATGAATCCAAGTTCGGGTGTTTTCCACCGGCCATCTCGAATGCACGGGAGCGTCTCAGTTGGTGAGGATCGCGGGCTCAACCGTGAGCTCTCATACATATGCAGCATGGAGCAACATGCGCAAGCGAAATACGCCAATGCGTCATACTCGAGTCTCCGTAGCAGGGGTAACTTTTTGTGTCCCACTAGGCTGAACTTCTTCCTGCGACCTTCCAGGATAGACCAGAGATCGACGCTGCAAAATGCTAAGCACAGGACATCCTCAGGGGAAAGGAAGTCCACAATTGACAGTAGTATTTCAATCGGAATTCTCAGGAGAGGTGGTCGTTGCGGTTCGGACTGGCCTGTGGGTGTTTGCATATGGGGCGCCCCCTTACATCCCTCATGCACTCCGAGCGTTCCATTGCGTTCAAGGGTGATAGTGGCTTGGGCGTTAAATGCAGGTGCCATGGATATCACGTGTCTCCCCGGGTGAAGCTGGGAAAAGACGAGTTCGTAGGGCCAGTACAGTGCAGGGATCCCTGCTCTTAAGCCAACGTCCTCCACCAAGGGGCTACGCCACTGGCATCCAAATGTCTCATTTCAACACCGACCAATGCCTCGATTTCTATCAGAAATTGATTCTGCACCTGGGCACCGTTGCCTAGTCACTAAAGTGAGGTGCTGAACCGTGCATTTTTTCGCCCTCTTTCACATTTCCATCACCAGCTTCTTCTTTTTTGTTTTCGGACTTGGGAAATTGTCTGGGTTTATATAGCGAAGGAATTGAGCCAATCGCTACGAGTAAATAAAGTAGGACTTGAGCTACTCCTGGGGGGCAAGGACTGGCTTGGGCTTCAAAGAGAGCCTGCTTTTGAGTCCTCTCACCTGGGCAGCTCCAGGGCTATGTGATAGGCCTATGTAATTCATGGAGAACGCCACCAGATGCATGATCCTTGCTGGGGCTTTCATTTCAAACAGGTTGATTTGCATTCTGGTCTCTGATCGACAATAGCTGGTCTGATATGTAAACCCCCAGGGTTGGATGCCAGTCCCGGGGTCGCGCGGACGACTCAAATCAATGTCTTTATCGCCCCCAGATCTCTCTTTCGCTTCAGTCGGACAACAAAATTCAAACTCGATGCCTTGGGATATGATCTTGTTCGACTACTCGCTTGTCTCTTTCCATCCGGCCTTCATAATAAGTGAGAGAGATTCCAAAATAGAAATTGTGTTCCAAGGCTCTTGACATGCACCCCTAAAATACGCCAAGAAAAGAATACATTCATTAAACTGGTTAACATGCGTCTACTAAATGAATTGCCTGCTCAAGAACAGCAGCATCATTCTGAAAGCTGAGCATCTTTTTTGCTTGCTCCAGGGGAAAGAATTTTGGCATAAACTCCTTCTCTCCGCCATCGCATTCAATGCCCACCTCTTCCAGCACAGCAATATACCACCAGATCATTTTGATGTCGTTGGCATTGTGACCTCCCAGCTGTCGTATAGTCACCATGAAGGGCTCGGTGAGATCTTGGTAAGTGCGAGGCTTGTCAGGCATATGTCCCTGCTCATCCATCGGAGGTGCACGCGTCCGCATTGTGACTGGATAGAGACGGGCTTTATAACCAGTTTCTTCGCGAACTTCGCGCAGTGCGGCCTCATGTCGGGACTCACCGCAGTTGCGGCGTCCCTTCGCGAGGAGCCACTCATCCCCTGCGCGGTAATAGACGAGGCACACTTTCTTGCTTTGGCTGTCGGATAAGTCGAATAGAATCGCCCCGCAGCTTTCGACAAACTGTTCAGAATTGTACTGGGTCGTGGCGTAAGGGGAGGCTGCCATGATGGATAATTTCCAGAATGACCTGGGCACTTGGGCAGTCGGTCAGTCTCAGCCAACCAATAAACATGCCGTTCAAACAAGACGGACTCGGTATACTCACCCGATTGGTTTAATTTGGTTTGCTTCGTTTTTGGTGGTGTCGAAGTCAGACCAGGAAGTCAGCTAATTAAACAGACTTTTCATCTTCTATCCACCTGCAGCCCCTGGGGGGCATATCATTACTAAGTGACAAATTGAGATGAGCTATTCCTTCTAGTGCGGCATAACAACGATGATTCACATGCATATGTTATGTTGATGATGATACTCGTGTTGTGAAGTATCCTGTTAGCATTTTTCAAGTCAGACCTTCGCCTGCCAGCTCCAGTGATACTCCAAACATGCCCATCGTGCTACAATAAAACTGGTACAGGCCAACCCGAGTATGCCACCAAGGAAGGCGATGAGGCGCGAAGGGCCAGCGACTTCTAGCAATTGTCCACCGATTGGAATACCAATGAGGGTTCTAGCAACAAGTCAGTAACTTCTCATCAAATCAAGACCGAAAAAAACAACCTACCCAAAGCTTGCAACAAAATAGCACGTTCCAAACCATTGGCCAAACTCTTCAGTCCCACATATTTGGCCAACACAGACCGGAGTGAGGCTGAGTATGCTTCCGGTCCCGAAGCCGAGAAGAAAGGCGAATGGGTAGAGAACACCGATGAAACGACCGAACGGGTACCACAAGACAAATATGAAGCAAGTCGTTATTGCCATCATGACCGTCATGGTGTTGAAGCGGCCGCAGTAGTCGGAAGCCGTTCCTGATAGCCATCGCCCAAACGCAGATCCACTGAGTGTGGTGTTAGTACTGATGAGCTTAGCGCAAGATTTAAACTCACGCATTCAACACGACCAGGAGATACACTCCGGTCTCTGGGCCAAATCCTTGGGATATTGCGTATGTCGGTATCAACCCCAAAGAAGCGAATAAGACAATCTCACTGACTGAAGGCATGTTAGTATCCACAAACAGAATTGATAGACTCAAACTCACAGAAAGCCCCGACGGTCGTCCAGATGAACCTTGAATCCGCAAAGCAGCGCATATCAACAATCGTCCTCCTGGATTTCATCGGCAGTCGACTTCTCACACAGATATTCCCGATCACCAGAAGCACGAAGAAAATTAACCCCAATATTCTCAGTGCCCACCCCCACCCAACTTTCTCCAACGTCTTTCTCAATATTAGGGGGAAAGTAATCCCACCAAGGCTCGAGCCCGCCATGGCGATACCAGTAGCAGTGCCACGCCTTCGACAAAACCAATGCGACAATATTGCCATTGCAGGTGTCGACACAAGCGCACTGCTTGCACCACCTAGCGCCAGACATATCATGAATTGGTAGTATTTCTCACAGGATCCAAGCAAGAATATGCAAATAGTATAGCACACTGAGCCGATGAGCATGATCCATCGAGGCCCATATCGATCGAACATCGGCCCAACCTGAAGACCTAGCACGAGATTGAGGAATATGAATATGGATGGGATCCATCCTATCGTGCTTGAAGTGTAGGCCTTTAGTTGGTGGGTTTCCCAGAATGATTGGAGAACTCCCACTGTGCTCATCATGCCAAATGTGCAGGCAAGCATCATGGATGCCCCAGCTACAACCACCCAGGCGGTAGTGCCACCCTCTGGATATTCCATTGCTGTGCCATTTGGCTCCACGTTGGTTGTTGCTAGGGTTGATAGTTCTGAGTCATGTTCTCGTCCGCCATTGCTCATGATTCGTGTAAGGAGCGATCACTCTTGACTCTGTATAGTCTTGAGCGTGTGCTTTCAATGAAATACTATGGAAGTTTGAATTAAGTTCCCGGTAATTGAGATGTTGAAAGAGATATAAGAAATGTTCCCAGCTCGCCCAGGTGCGAGTGTGGAGCACATCGCATTTGATTGGTCTCATCGCCACTATATCCCGATGGAGTCCGGAGTAAGTGGGCACGATCGCAAGTCTTTTCAGATGGAGCAACTCTCAGATCGGGTAAATAAATGACTTGTTCTCCAAATCAGTCAGATCCAACAATGCAACATCAACCTTCTTCGTGGTCACAACTCCGTTGTCAACCTGCTCAACACACCCTTCCCTCTCTTCCACTTCATTGGACTCTCTCCTCGCTTTGTTTCTCTTCGTCAATATATACCAGATCACACAGAGAATGGCTGGTGTTCCGACCCAGCTGACAACAATCATAGAAATCCACGCTCCATAATATCTCGGTCCGGCGCTAGGAACCCAAATCTGCGGCGAAACAAGATTGCCCACACTATACCCAACCATGAACATTGCATTCCGGGTCAACTTCTTCGTATATCCAGCGGCGGAGGAAGTTGCCCAGCCCAAGGCAATGATATAGGTAATACTATACGTATTCTCGGCAAGCAACATGCATGCCAGGAGCGCCAGCTTCCGCTCCCAAGCTATGGTCACCATACCGATTCCACCAGCCATGGCGAGAGCGCACCATATAGTGCTGTGGAGAGCGAGGTATTTGGGGAAATGTTTAAGCGCAAGTGTAGCGGTGATGCAGAGTGCCACGCCGAATCCTCCCCCAGCTGCTGCAACAAGCGTGGATCCCAACTCCGATACTCCGAGGGAGGTGGTGAGTAGGTTCTGCTGTCCGTAATTAAGATTGTTGCAATACATAAGGGTGAATGCTTGCAGGGCGAATAACCAAGATACTGGATCCCGAAGGGTTTCGATAAGCTGTGTCTTTTTGAAATGCTTTTGTTCGATCGAGCTCTGATGGGAGTTGTGTACACGGTTGATCACATGGACTTTCTCTTCCAGGGTGAGGAATCGTGCTGTGGCGGGGTTATCAGGGTATCCAAAGAATACCCATATGGAGAGCATCACGGTTACGCCGCCGATGATGATCATGAACAGTTTCCAGGGGAGGATGGAGCCGTGACTGAACAGGAGACCGTATGATATGAAGCCGGCGGGGATCGGGGCGCCGACACATGTTATCCAGAGGATGGGCTGTAGGAATGATTGCTCTTCGCGGTTGAAGAACATTCCAATGGTCATTTCTATGGCTGGAACGACAACGGCTTCCACGAGACCAAGGGCTAGTCGGAGCACGACTAGACCACCATATCTGATTGCTGCGCAATGGAGTAGAATAATAGCGCCCCAGAGGAATATCATTCCACTGACAAATTTCCCGAGCGGAAGACGCTGCATCAAATAATGACCGGGCCATTGGCCGACTAGATAACCTTCTTTGGGTCAGTTTTATGGCTTCGGCTTCTATCGAGGTATTTCTCACCGACATAGAATAGACTGTTCAGAGTGTTGTATTGCGATTTAGAGATTCCGGTCTCTTCGAAAAGCCCCAGGATGGCAGCATATCCAAGGGTTGATTTATCGATCTGTTGGTCAGGTCGGGCTTCTTCGGGGCTAGTAACTGTGTACGGACTTACGAATAGTATGATGTTTATGACGGACATCAATCCCATTATATGAAGATAAAGCTTCCTTCTGAGCTTCTTCTCCTTTTCCGATGTGAGCGGCCCGAACCGATCGCCATGTTCCTCTACAATCCGAAGAGTGACATCTGCATAATCCTCCTGAACTGTCTGGACATGATTGTTGACTCGAGGTCCTTTCTCTTGATCCATATCGTATAGTTAGGATGGCTTTGGCATCATGCAGCTGCATCGTAACCTGCTTACTGGCTTTTTATAAATTGAGGTTGAAAGTCCATCAACATTGCACCATTTAGATGAAATATTATACAATTGAACATGTTCCCCACCTTTGTCGTGAGGCCTATTCGCGATGATAGCATCATACTTAGCGTCAATTCTTCATCCGCTGCTTTTCGATGCCAGCCACTTGCTTTCAAGTCAGATCGTTTCCTTAGTTCAACGATACTTGGTATATTATGTGACAAATAATAATTCAATCCCATGAATGGAATGTACACATCTGTAGTGCCCAGAGTATTCGTATGAGACTGGGTTCCAAGGTTGCATACTCCGCACTGGACACGGTAACGATTTGTATTCCGTACTGCAGGATAACCTTAGAAGTGTCCCTTGGTTTTGAATCCTGTGACATGACTAGCAACCTGCCCAGGTGGCAGCTTTCCCATAAATCCCTCTGAGCACCATCCAACCTCAAACACTCCCGCCCAGATATCCACTCCAAGCCAATGCCCAACATCCCAGACTCAGGCCCAATTCCAGGCCTGGACCCAACCCTCGAAACAGAGAGACACACCCAGACCTCTCTAACTCCAACCCCGGTCCCAGCCCCACCAAGCACAGTTTCAAAATACTATTATTTCGCATATGGCTCGAATCTATCGCCCACTCAGATGGCAGCTCGCTGTACCAAGAATCCCAGCTCCAGCAAGCCCCTCGCGATAGCCACACTTCCTCATTGGCGTTGGTTGATCTGTGACGCGGGCTACGCAAATGTCCTCCCTCCTGCTGGCCTCCGGGTCCCGAATCAGGACTCCGAGCCGGCGCATGAGATCCCCGTTTCAGGGTCGGAGGATACGGTCTACGGCGTACTCTATGAAATGGACCCCCGCGACGAGAGGATTCTGGATATGTACGAGGGTATCGATGTCCATGCGGAAGAGAGCGATGGGCAGTTCGTGGACGTCGAAGTGAGACCCAAGGAGCAGGGGAGAGGAAGTTACAATAAGTGGTTTGTTAATGTGGGGGCAGTGGAATGGCTAGATGGACGCGAGGATCCAACAGCAGAAGTGAAGGTCTTGGTCTATGTTGACGAGAACTGCGTCACGCTCTCTGAACCAAATTTCGAATACATCGCGCGGATGAATCGCGGGATTCGTGAGTCTGTACAGCTCGGTGTACCGCAGCGATGGGTGGATGAGGTGATAAGGAAGTTCATTCCTCCCGAGGACAGTTGATCATAAAGTGTTGATTTAGACTAGAGGGCCCCTCGGGCACCAGAGAACAGAGTTGGTCTATTCATGTCAAGTCGCATTGAGAAAGCTATTTGTCTATAATGGAATGATAATCCAACGTTGGTCCAGCCAATGGCGGATGCCGTCCAGCGAAACAACCTTGGGGAGGCCTCGATACTCCGTTGAAGCTGATCGAATCGGCTTGATTTGGTTTGGCCCGGGTGTCACTCAATCGGGTATTCGGCATTTGGTCATTATTATGGGCTCATGGATGATTTTGGGGTATAAAATTAAGCCTGGCCAGAGAGGAGGGTGTAGACCGGGGCAGAGAGCTTGTCGCGGCCGTGAAGGAACTCGAGCTCGAGGAGGAAGATGAAGCCCATCAGCTCACCGCCCATCTTCTGGATCAGCTCACCACCGGCGTAGGCAGAGCCACCTGCTGATGTCAGTATGTGTATATAAATTCATCTAGCTCTCAGGTCTTACCGGTAGCGATAATGTCATCGATGACGAGGACCTTCTGGCCGGGCTTGATGGCATCGGACTGCATCTGGAAGAAGTCCTTGCCGTACTCCTTCTCGTATGCAACGGTGTCACAGGGACCGGGGAGCTTGCCCTGCTTACGCACAGGGACGAAGCTGGCACCGAGACGCAGGGCCAAGCTGGGACCCATGAGGAAGCCGCGGGCCTCCAGGCCGACGATGACATCGGGCTTCTGGCCACCGTGGTTTTCAAGGATGTGGAGTTCCAGAGAGCGGATGAGAGCCTCGTGCAGGGTGTAGTCGGCGAAGATGGGCATGATATCCTCGAACAAAATTCCCGGGGAGGGGAAGTCCGGGAACTGGCGCAGGCCAGCGCGGAGCTTTACCTTAAGACTGGCGAGTTCGGCGGCGCGGGAGGCATCGGAGGCGGGGAGTCCGACTTGGGAGGCATCTGGAAGGGTGGAGGAGGACATGATGAGAGGAAAGAGAAGATGGAGGGGGGGAGGGTAGAAGAAGTAAAAAGCAAAAAGACCAAAAAAAAATGATAAAAAAAAAGAGGGGGAAAATGGTAAAATTACGCTAGGGTGATAAGATAAGTACCCCTCTACATACGGCGCCTCACCTAGTAGCATTCCCAGATCCTTATTTTTGACTTTATTTTGATGTTCGATCGAATCATACAAATGCCTCTGTGGTTACTCAGGTCCTATCCAACGTTTCTCTTCATAGGTGATCTCGCGAGATACTATGGTCGCATTTACACGGTAATAATACTGTGTCACGCAATGCATATGCTTCTAGAACACTAGTCCGAAGTAAGTATCAAAGAGGTCGGATACCCAAGGTAAATCTATCGGGTGCATCTGGCCTAGTGTGTATGTTTGTAAACCCAATGGCCCGCTGCGGGCCTAGTTCATGATCTGCGTATTGACCCTAGTGCTCAGTCCCCTTCCAGGATGATAATCCAACCGAACCTGTTTCTCTGTGCACCTGTCGAAAAGTCTGGACCGTTGATCGCTCTGCTTGGTATGTAAGGTACAGTATCACAAATGACTCATTTTCCCAGTCCAGACCGGGGAATTTAACCATGCAGTGACGGATCAGACCATCGCGGCGGGTATGCATTTGGCCCTTGATGCAGCCCCGGCGGGCCAATGGGATGTTTCAAGACCCTACGTGATCTGAAACTTATCACGGTGGCTTTGCTGAAAGGGTCAAGGTACTTGATGTCGACAGGGATGTCTGTTGTGCAGGTAGTGGATTCCGTACGGGGTACGGAGTACTCCGTACTCCAGTACGCGGTCCACATGTTATCTGACAATTCCACCGACGATTTCATCCGACGATTGTGATTCTTTGGGGCTTGAAGTACCTTGTAGTCGTGAGTATCGAGATGGGTCTACTTCGGATTGATAAAAATCAATGTAATCAACAATGCCCGAGGCAAAAAAAAGATAATCTTAAAGACCATGTTGGTATTTTAGGAAGAGCCGAACGCGGGGGTCGAACCCGCAGCCTTAAGATTAAGAGTCTTACGCTCTACCGATTGAGCTAGCCCGGCAAGAGGCTGTTGAAGGGTCCGAGAATTAATGCTCTATAAGGGGAATACCTTTCAAACTGGGAATGATGCAACATTTCCAAGGTTAGTATGTTGATCCAACCTTTGGAAGCTCAACTCGTTCGCTTTGGTAAGTTCAACACCTGGCCCGCGGGGGCCTTCCAATGTTTTGAAAACCAAACTCAGGATTGGTGCCGAGTTAGTTGTCTCAACAGAGTTCTCTATACCTCATGTCCGTGAACTCAAATATATATGCACCCCACTACCTAGGTACTACCGAATGGAAGCTTGGAAACCTCCTCCTGAATAGTGATCGAGACGGGGGATTTAGCCCCCTGAAAATCTCGTAACACCATAGAGAAATCGAAGGCATGAATGATCACCTAATCTACCTCCAGGGCTACCTAGGTGGTGTGTTGAACCTTTCAAAGTTGAGCCTCGGGGATTCCAACCCGGGCATCGGGGAATGCCCACCGTTAACTAGGCTACCTAAGTAGAGTGGAGGTCTTTCAAGGTTGTGTTTTATCAAAGCGTACCCCATACCTCCACCTGGGCAGAGATAGGTCCACGGGCACAGAGAGTAGATTGTACCAGACTACCTACATTAGGTACCTAGGTAAACTCACCTCTGTACTCCGTATGTACTCTGTAGATAGAAGAAAAGTGGGGTAATCGGCCTGATAAACCTGGTTATCTCGAGGTCTCCTGATATCCAGGGTCGTCGAGGTAGCGCCGGAGATCATAAATATTGTCTGACATGGTACCTGCATATACCTACATATAGTGACAGTTTAAGTGAGGGAGGCAAGTAGATCCATGTATCCCGTGTCTCCTGCCCAATGAAACCCAAAGCAGCCTAGCCCCTCACATGACCCAGCACAGACCACCTCGCTTCACGTTTTTCCGGTGATCCCGTCCGTATAAAGGTGCCTATTTTTCCTCTTTCATCTTCCATGCTTTCGAAGCTTGTGCCTCCACAGGCCACTCCCATCTCAGATAAATGCCGTCTGACACAACGTAACCAATGTCACCTGCCGCGATCGCCGAGATGCAGCAAGATCTGCACAATGAACAGCTCGACGCTGTGGCCAAAGCCTTCGATGCGCTACTACTAACCGTGTTCCGGCTGACTCACAGACAAAATGAGCTCTTCCAACACATGGATTACGTCTTCAAGGAGGTAAGCACAAACTCTCCCACCTCCCCCCTCAGACTGCTTTTGCATCTGGGTCTCGCATGACGAACAAAAGCTCTAGATCAGGAGCCACTTTTTTGTGGCTATGACGGTTTAACATGTATTATCTGAATGAGACCTTTGATTGCCCTTGCTTTCAAACATTTGACAAGATGATCGTTTGCTAATTTTGCATCTTGCAGTACACAGGTGTGATAGAAACCCTGCCTCCTCAAGATAGACCTCATGCCCTGGACGTTCAAACCAAGTTGCTCGCTCAGCAGCAAGAATTCCGCCAGGGCCTCGTACACAGCAAGCCTCGGATGGAGGAACAGCCGCTGAAATCAATGGATGTAATAAAAACCCTCGTTGCGCATCAAAATGTAGACGAAAATACCTTCCTGGCCATCAAGAACGGAGTGAAGGGCTTCAAGTCCCTACTTCGGTCTCAAGATGGCCATTCTCAAATATCATCCTCGTGCATCCTCGCGCAAGCACCGGCTCCAGCGGCTGCGCTGGAGAAGGACTTCACTACGAATGGCACCCAGGGAAGTCTGCATTGCCCTTTCTCCAAGCCCAATAAAGCGCAGAGCGGGAGTGAAGCCAGAAGCGGCAAACACTCTGCCCCGAAGGTTCAGGTTGAGGCCGCCTGTGGCCATGAGCATCTGGATCCTATCAAGGCCGAGCTAGATGAACGACGCTCCAGTCACACCCCGTCCGCCCCGTCATCCAAGGGAGCATGTCCACTCTCGAGATGCCCGATTCGATTCTTGGACCAGCATTCCCCCGAAGAAATTGCCGAATACGTCGAACGACACAAACATGAAATCCCTCGAAGCCATGCCATTTGTGTCAACCGCTACCAGAAGAACCCTCAAAATATGCGACACCTCGACGCCAAGTACGGCGGTTTGACCAGTATGATCGCCGGACTCGGAGTCAAACACCAAGCCTTCTTGCCGGAATGTCAAAATGGCGAAGGTAAATCGTCAAGTTCAGCATCGACGCAACGAGTCGAGAAATGGGCCGAGAACGTGGACCCTTCCGCGCCCGCCCAGAGCCCTCAGGATCATCCGGACGAAGACGACAACCGCCAGAGTCACTTCGACCGTCCCCTCCGCGAGGTTCGCGTGGGCGAATCCCCAAGCCGGCCTTGGGGAATTTCAGTCCCTGTCACACACCTCCCGCCCGCCTCAGCGCCATTCAACGGATCGGCGTCTGGGCCTATCTCCCCCGATCCCCAATTCGACAAAGTCAGCAAAGCCGATGCGTCCGTCACACCTGCCAAACCTACCTTCTGTCCATTCGGTCATGATAAACCAACGCCCGCATTCTCGAAGCCCGGACTTTCAAACCCCACAGCCGATGTACCCCGAAGCCGCGAGTCTCATGAAGATTCAGCTAAAGCAGAAGGGGCACCTGCGAAACCTGGCTGCCCATTCGGTCACGACAAGAAGGCCGAGGGCCCAAAGGGTGAACATCAGCCATTGATGGACTGGCCGTCAGAAGGGGACCAAGATCATGCTGCCGAGAAAGCTCCGACAGCCCCCGTCAGCGAGGACCCAACTACCAAACCCGGTATTCCACCCACCACGTCTCAGCCTTCCCACGTCACGTTCAACGGCCCCGTGTTCTTCGGATACTCCCCCGAGCAAACGGCAAACCTCATGCAGCAGCTCGCCAGTCTTGGTAGTCTCAACCTGGGCAATCTGGGCAAATAAGAGAGGACCCTGTATAATATGTTCCCGGAAGGCGCATTAATGATAACGAAGACACGATCTGAATTTTAGCCTTTCAATTGACCAATGCAATTAAGAACCGCACATAAAACAATAAATCTCTCGTAACAAAGGCCGTATATAGTAAGATGACTTCATCGGGGAGCGTTGTCGCTCTCCGAGGGAAACTCGCAGAGCGGGGCATATTTATCATGACTGATAGCTTCTTCCTCTCCCCGATGTCGCGAATTACTTCTCGTCTCTCGTCTCTTTCTCAAACCATCCGTCCCATTACTCGTCCTATCCCCCTCAGACCTCAATTCATAATGTCTGCCAACATGTCTATTGTCTCCGCCAAGGATGCCTGCCCTCGTAAGTAAAGCCATTCAGCCCTGGAGGTTTGAGCAGCTACACTGCTTCTTCCTACAGAGATTCCCCCCTCAATCTCCTCTGTGTACCCCGGGGCCTTTCACCCATTTCAAGAGACTCAATGGCTAACCTACTTGCTCTACAGCCGCTGGCCCTTACGTATGTTCACCTCTCCGATACCTCTATCTACCTTGAGAGCCACTGCCCCGCACTTCGACGGAAACACCACAGCACAGGTATATGATTGACACTAACAATTCACAGTCCCAGGCCATCCGCGCCAACGGCCAGATCTTCGTCTCCGGCCAGATCCCCGCTGATGCCTCCGCCAACCTGATCGAGGGTAACATCGGCGACAAGACCCAGGTCTGCTGTGACAACATCAAGGCCATCCTGACCGCCGCTGGATCCAGCGTGTCCAAGATCGTCAAGGTCAACGTGAGTCAAACCAGTCATCTCCATGCCATGATGGAATTCGACTAATAACCACAGGTCTTCCTTACTGACATGGCCAACTTCGCCGAAATGAACGCCACCTACGAGAAGTTCTTCGTTCACAAGCCTGCTCGCAGCTGTGTTGCCGTTCACCAGCTGCCCAAGGGTGTGCCCGTTGAGATTGAGTGCATCGCTCTGGAGTAAATCTAGAATTTCATAGATGAAACAAGTATACACAAAAAATTAAATCACTTCAAATCATGTTATGAGAAGAGAGAAGAATCTCAGATATAAGGTACAAGCAGAGATGCCAAATTTGGGAATCGTAGAGGTTCATACGCAATGCAAACAAATGATATGAGGGGGAGGTGGGAAATCTACCTGGGCATGGATTTGGATGTATCGATATGAAGAGAAACCGCCACAGATAAGGGAAGACTTTACCGCACGCGAGGAATGACACCACTCATACGGCTTCCTGCACCGGCCATGAGACTTTGTTTCACAATGGCATCGGCAGCAGCTGCAGCGGCAAGCCTTTCTTTCTGTCTGGAGCGATCACGTAAATAACCCGCTGCTTCAGGGCGCATGCGCAGAATGCGCAAGATCATGTCATCGTTTGGTTCGGCCTGCGCTTCGCGACGCTTTTCTTCCTTGGCTTTCTTCATTGTGCCCAGGTTCCGGGAGAGCATGATGCTCTTTGCACGTCGGGCCGCGGGGAGACCTAGGCTGCCAGGCCCGGAGGCGCCGAGGGCGGGCGCGGAAGTGCGATTACGAGCCGCTTGTTGGCGATTGACCGTTGCCGACGCCATGCGCTCTGAGGTGCGGATGAGGTTCTCTGTTTGTTCGAAGTAGAAGAAATTCAGGGACTGGATTTCGTGGTATTTGGGTGATTTCAGGATGTCAATTGGGACACCGTTTGCTTCGCCGGTTTCGTCGTCAATCGCATGGAAGAAGTTCAGAAGTAGCACGAGCCAGCGTGAAACGATGTCTACTTCTTGAATGGTGAGAGGCTTCTGGTGGGAGGGCTTGTCTGACAAGGGTGGAACCAGCAAGCTCTCGATCGTGGCAAGAACCTCCTTCCAAAGGCGAGCCATCACCATTTTCATGGCTTCGGGCGTCAGTGTCTTGTTCATGATGGCGAAATTGTCATTGAAGTAGTTGAACAAAGGCGTCAGTGCGTTCTCCACGTCTGCAGAAGTGGGACCGGAGGGGGCTACCGGAGCTCGGTTGCGGCTCAAGAAGCTTGACACGGTCGACATGGTAATACCCCGAGAGAGCAGGGATTTCAGTGTTCGTCGAGATAGACAGTGACTGATGTATGCGGACAGTTTCTCAGTGATCTTGCGAGTCATGTCTCGCTCTGTTCGCTTGAGTGTCCGGAAAGCCTTGCCGAAATAGAACTGGATATCATCTCGCTCGCCTTCCATGCTGACTCGGAGCAAGAGACGACCTTGGGTGTCCAGGTCAAGCCAATATTCCCTTGGCAAGAAGTCGCTGAAATGAACTGGATCCAGTTTGATCGAAGTACGACCAACGTAGTCATGATCTCCCACCGCATCCCAATCCCAGATAGTAGCAATGATGTTCAAAGGGCCTTGGGTGGTTAGATCCACTGCATCTTCCCATCTCGGATTAAGATTATTGTAAATAGTACGTGTCTTGGCAATGCGCTTTTGATATTCATCTGCCAAGACGACGTAGGGATCGCTGCCGCCGCCAATGTCGCATGCCTTCAAATCTTCTGCTTCCACAATTTTGATTGTGAAGACATATGTGGTCGACTTGCGGACTTTCTTGAGTTGAGGGGGACTGTGTCTTGCAATGACCTCGGCGCACGCATCGACATTAATATCCTTTTCAAGCTTGTCCAGTTGCTCAAGCGCATATTCAATATTGTTCAGTTTCACCAAAGACTGTGATGATGTTAGATATGACGTTAAGCAGATAGAGGTGCCATGCATACCTCAGATGAGAATTGGAAAGGCTCGATTTTCTCCTTGTTGGTCCACGCATCTTTGGCAAACTGCAAGAATTTCTCCTGCGCGGTTTGGTTCAATGCAGCCTCCTGTTCGGGGGTGAGACGATCCATTTCCCGCGCGAACATCTTTTCCAAAGAATCACAATATGTTGCCACTCCCTTACCAATGGAATTGGACAGGTGCGTCATGAACTTCGCGTACTGGAAATCGTCATCCCACTCCAAATTCACCAGGTTTTCAACAACCTGGTTGAAGGATCGGAAAATATCAATGACTGACACACTGTGCCGATCATCCTCAGGTGCAAGATCCACCGCTTCATCAGCACGTACGCTGAATGCATCCTGTCTTGTAGCCTGGCTAACCCAATCCATGACCTTTTGGTCTGTGAGACGAAGCCAACGCCAGACGAACTCTTGAAGCAGGCTTTCCACATGGAAGGGGAACTTGGCACTACTGTTGATCAGTAATTACTCGAACATGACGTGATCAGAGTGATCTTACTCTTCATGGGTGTTATGGAACAATCTCCTGACAGTAGCGAGCTGCTTGTAGAGGTCGAATCCATCTTCAATAGGAATCTCCTCACCCCGCACATTGGCTTGCTCGAGGATTCGAATGACCATCTCATGGGCATCCTCAGCAAACATAGGGAGGACACACGAGCACAACGTGGTGTATGGATTGACACTGTTTGTAAGTTAGAAACCGGTAAAGCCAAGACCAAGCAAAAAAGAGTTTGAGAACATACCCCATGATTTCTGGGTTTTTGCGATATCTTTTTTGTATTTTCGTTGCAAGTTTCGCGATAGCATCCCCGAGCTGAATGACATGATCGGCCTCCCAAGATTCTGCATCGACGGGAATCGTTTGACTGAGAAGAGTTTGATACTTTGTCATCGCTTTCTGGGCAAGTCCTTCTTGCACATAGGTGCTGAATCGATCCATGTCCTCCGGGTCTTCGACATAACTAGGATCCATTTGGATGTGGGACTCCAGGATGTACATAACTGGTCCAATAGGACGTGGTTTGGCTTCGAAACAAACCATCATAACATCGTAAAGTTCACGCAGTAAGGCCTCATGAAGTTTGGATAGAAGCGTCTGCATAGTTTGGAGATCATGGACAGTCCATCGCTGTCGATCAAATACTGACGAAGCCACAAAGCTGCTGCGTTTGTTTCCTCCTTGTGGTGTTTCTTTCACAAATGTGAAAGCTGAGTCCAGAGTATCGAGGTCAATCTCGTTGTCCACAAACTTGGTCTGAGCGACTTCAAGAAACATCACGACTCGAGAGAAAGTGGGAATCCGCCAGCGGAGACAAATTTCATTGAGCATTTCAGAGGACTGTTTTGATAGCAGCTTCATCGAAGGCGCATCGGATATTGCCTGCGTAGCTTCAATCTCACGATCCCGTAGATCATGACTGAGGGTCTGGGACAAGATGTATCGATACAAAGACCTGGGATCAGATGGTATGAACGTGTAGGTATCAGACTCATCTGAATCCCCCAGAGAAAGGCCACTTAGGTCAACAGATTGATCAATGACATAAGAGTTCCTGTCGGTTCGACCCGAAGAGGTTCTTGACAAGTCGGAATTATCGTTGAATTGGGGAAGAGACCCTGGGGTGCTTTTGGCAAGCTCTGGATTTGACTGTATGATGGCAAGTATCATCTGGGAGAGGTCGGGACTCTCGCTCTTTTTCCATGCATCATAGCCCTCATCAGAATCAAAATCATCTCTGGACAAAGTCTTGTGGGTTTGGAGACTGAGATGGGCCTGGTACGTTTTAAGATCCTTGAGAGCAGCCTGTTCAGTCCATGATGACTTGTTTCTGTCGATCTCGGATTGCGCTTCGGAATTCGTCATCCCGAATACCTTGGCTACATGTTGAACCAAGGGCATATCCCTGACATTATAACTCAACGAGGCAACGGTCTCCGTTGCAGAAGCAGCCCCACTGGGCTCCATAAGATCTTGATCCTGCAAAAGAAGCTTGTTTTCTAGGACCGTCAGTCGATTCGCCAACTCAGGTCGGTCCTTGGACCAGTCGTGATCTTTCAGCGTGAGTGCAAGCAGTCGGACAAACAGCGCGACATGTCGATCGACCATGAGCTTCCAGCTATCATCATCGTGTTCCTTGCCCTTGCCTAGCTCTTTGATAGCATTTGAGTAAAAGATCAGGAGCAAGTCTTCAGCTCGTCGATCTTTCTCCATGCGCTTGCGGAAAGAACTCTCTTTCAACACATTTAGGAATACAGCAAACGTGCGTACCACTAGGTGGTCTTGATATTCCTTCCTCTTCTCTTTCCCCATCAATACACCCGTCAGCCGCTTCTCCAACTCGGCGACGAAGCCGTGGGGGATTCTTGTGCTTTTCGAGTCCCTGACCAGAGAAAAGTCACTCATCAAATCATGTATGGACGTAGATGATCGTTTCGGCCGCGCCGGCGCGACGGGGGCATTTTGGATGCGACGAGAGCGAGGGTTGAGGAGATAGGCGAGATAGGCGACACGGAGGGCATGGCTGTATGCCACGTTGGCATTCAAAGGGCGCCGCCGCGATGCGGAGGAGTTGCGCGAATGGCGACCCTCATTCTGGATGCTGTTGATCCGTCGGTTGACTCCTCGGGATTGGGTAGATGCTGTCGACATGGGTATGTTCAAATAAATTCGTGCAGCAGATCAGAAAGTAACAGACGGCGGGACCATTAAGGGAGTTGAAGGACCACCACCCAGGCAGAGGATAGAGGAACCTTTTCAGAAAGCTTGCGTCTTCCAATGAACCAGTAAGAAAATCTGTCGCAAAGCCGGAGGGGCGAATTGTTCAAGGGGGAGGGAGGGGGGCAGGGTGAAACAAAAAGCTACCGAACTAACTGACGTAGGCGCCCATAACAACATGGAGTTACCGCCTGAGGAGCCTGATTTGATTGTTGATCGGGTTTGCTTTTTCTTGTTAATCTTGCATATTTATCTTGCTCAGATCCCTGGACTCCCTGCTCTCCCTGGATTGATCTCAACTACGGAGTCTGTACAGTACCGAGTACCGTGTGATCGTCAGACAGAAAGCTGCAAGGGTTGGGCACCTATTCGAGAGACTATGATCAATATCACCCCATCAAAGGTACCCATGTCCTTCGATTTGCTGACCAAAGATACTCCTGTCACATGGCCGTGCTCTTTGTCGTTTGCAACCTGAGGTGGACTACTGAAAGTGAGATCAAAGAGGTTGATCCGCAATGGGAATGGCGCAAACCGCACATTTCATGTCAAAACACGCGATAGAACCCTGAAACGAACAAAATAGTTTTAATCCAAATTCATTCCGACCATGCAATCGGGCTTTTCTGGGTTTGATGAAACACGGGGCGGTCGGTGTATCGACCAGCCAAAGGACGCCGAATAGAAAATCGTACTGGTATTTACACAACAAAAAAAGTCCAGATATCAATCACCACTTGTCCTCACCGGACTTGCGAGCCTAAAACGTAGGGTAAGCTCGGTTCAGTTCCCCGGAGGGAGATGGAATACATACCGGCAGAGCATTGGGTCCTCCCAGCTCCTTCTCCAAGCCATCAACGTAGGTCTTAGGGACACTGGGCTTGTCAGGGTAGTTCATGCTGACAACGCCGACGAGACCGAGGAAGGCGACGACAAAGCATCCGAGGTGGAAGAAGCCCTTGCCGGGGGTGACATGGGTGTACTGCTCGGGACTGAACACACCGAGGATGTCGTTATCCTCGTGCACAGGCTCGCCAAAGTTGCGCTTCTCTTGCGCATCCCACCAGCCACCGTAGGGATCTCTGTGGGCACGCTTCAACGCGGGAGGGTTGGGGTAGTTGTTGTTCTGCCCTCGAGGTTAGTGCCGTTGAATACCGAGCGGCAAGGTGAACTGGGTGTCATTTGGCAACCATACCTGTAGAGGGTCATCGAGTTCAGCGGCACGGAGAGCTGGCATCTGAGAGAAGGCTGCACGGGGAGCAATTGCTCGTGAGGCAACCTGTGGGAGGCGCCGGGCCAAGATCCGTTGAGACAGCATCTGCGAGGAATTGAGAGTCAGAAAAGGTGTGGGGAAGCACTAGGGACCCGATATTGGTAGTAAATAGACTCACAATTGTGCTGAAAGACAAGAACTGAGAGAGCGTGGAGGAAGGCAAGGCAGCCAATGGGTAGAGGGGTGAACCTGATGATGAATACGGAATGAGGTTTGCCGGAGGTGTGTGTGGCCTGAGGCATCACATGTCTGGACCTTAGGTAACACGCGCCGGATGATGAGCTGGGCAGATCGCTCGCCCGAACGAAAAAACCACTCTCCACGTATTCTCATCATCTCCGTTGTTTTTCCGTCCCCATCCCCGCCACAACGCCGATAAGCATGCCAAACTTTTGGTGGTGCATCTACTCAAGATTCCCTATTCGCTGATGGTAATTTTTCATATTTTGGCCGCGCCAATATCTGGATAACTGGGGTCACCTGCCATTGACGGCCCCTGTCGTCTGCGGCTGCAAGTCATGCAAGACGGTAGCCCCAACGGCCCATCACCCCAAGATGACCATGAAACAACTGTGTCTAACCCAGCGCCTACGAACGGGTCTATTGACGGAGCAACTTTAAACCCTGTCCCCGACGAATCCATTCCTACCGAGCCGAAAGACGCGCAAACTGCCTCCCAACCCGACGAACCTCCATCCAAGAAGAGAAGACTCACGGAGAGCTCCTCATCGCAGCGATCGACCCCCCGACCGCCATCGCCACCTTGGAAGAAGGCTGGCTATGAGGGTCCCACGTCATTCCTGTCTGAAGGCAAGCGCAGGTCTTCGCGAACCAACGCGGTCCCTCTCGAACTACAATCTCCGTCCGACAAGAGAAATACGCGCGGCGCGCAGAACAAGAACATTGGCAAGTCTGCTCGTGATGGAAGCAAGCCGGTTACATCCTCGCCATTATCGGTGACGCAGTCACGCGCCGACGTCAACGGAAAGCTAGGTGGTAAATCAGCCGCCAATGGATCTCCACGCGCCACTGCTTCCCGCGCCGCCACTAGCAGGCTGCAGCGCGTCTCGCAAACACCATCCTCCAAGCCAAGTGGCTCGCGCGCGAGATCGCGCAGTTCCGCCAATGCCAACGGCTCCACCCCCCGCCCGCTCCGCGATCGCCAGCCCCATTCGAACATATCACAAGATGTCAAAGATGATCCTGATGATGCCAACATGGAAGGCGATGGCACCGAACAGGAGCCACTCAAAGTTCCCAGGCTGCGCCTCAAAATGAAGAAACCAGTCCTCCCAATCCGGCACCCCGGCCACATACCATTAAGGAAACATGCATCTTTCCGAGAATGGGTGCACCAAGATGATTGCGCAAATATACTGTCAGAAGAGGAAGCCATAGCAGAGGCGCAGAGGCGGAACGAGGTCATGGCTGCGGCAGAGCCTGGTGGTCCTCTGAGCTCGGAAGTTTGCTCAGCATATATCACTGACCAGCAGGAGGAACCTCCCCCACAATACTCGCACCAAGATCACCTGGTTGCTCACGCGCTTTACTTCCAAAAGCTTCTCGACAAGGAACACAAACGACATCGACAAACCGCCAAGCTATTCGCACAGTGGTGTGCTGATGCGTATCGCAAGCGCCACAAAGATCCCGAGGACATTCTTCGCGAGCAACAGGAAGAACTGCGGGGAAAGCGGAAGCAGTTATCTAAGGATCTTCAAAGGATGTTCGATCTTGCCCGCGCCGAGATTGATCGGGCTCGTCTAGCGCGCTGGGAGGAAGAGCGGAAGGTGGAGGACCAAAAGGCGCTCGACCGCGCAATCACGAAGTCTACAATGCTCTTCGAGAAGCGCCGAGCCGAGATCTTGGGCGAAGTGCCCAGCGATGCACAAGCTACAAGCGATGACGGACATGACTCCGCTTCTGAATCTGGATCTCAATCTGGCTCAGATGAAGAAGATGAGAGCAACATGTCGGATTCTGAATCCGGCACTGATGATGAGACTAATGTGGATGACGACGCTAAGCTTACCGAGGAGGAGCTTCGCTTGAAGTACGCCAATCTACCCGCCGAGGATTACACCGACAGAATGTCGGTCGTCTCCGGAACCAGTGCAATGACGAACCCCGATGAAGCTGTAGACTCTGAAGCAGCACTCCAGTTGGATTCTCATGCTACGCCCGAAAGTAATCAATTGGATGATGTGGACTCCGTCCTGATGGATGATAGCGATGCATCCACAGATATGGATGACGATATGGGTGACAGTGACGAAGAGGAGGAAGGTTCAAGTGACGAAGAAGACTCAGACGGCGAAGGCGAAGACAGAGGTGGCTTGATGGGCTTCTTCTCTAAGAAAGATATCTCCATACCCAGAGACAGTGAAGCCGGCGACAGTGCTCAGAATGACTCTGGACATGACGACAATGCCAAGCCACCATCAGAAGCAGAAGACGAAGTCGACTTCGAAGATCCGGATGAAGTCTCCCTTGTTCCTATCGGACCAACTGCCAGTGAAGGCAACTCGTCAGAAAACACACCACTGGAAGTTGCCGACAATTCGGACGCTTTCCCTGATACAGGAGTTGACACATCGGCCGCAGAGACACCCGTTGCTGATACCCTGATGGAGGATGCTCATGTTGAAGTACCATCAGCCGATGACAACTCTGATGAGCCCGACCAAGCCGCAGATGAGCTGCAGCCCATGGATCTGGATCATACTGAGAAGACGCAACCAACCGGAGGAGTCTCCAGCGATGTTTCACCAGGGACCGTTGCAACCAAACCATCCGAACCCGAATCGGTTTCTTCACTGGAGCCTGCCATTGAAAAGGCCTTACAAACGAGCCACTCGCCTGCGCCTGGTTTGCAAACACCTGTTCCGCACCTTCTTCGGGGTACGCTGCGTGAATACCAACATTACGGACTAGATTGGCTTGCTGGTCTCTACAACAACCACATCAACGGTATTCTGGCAGATGAAATGGGTCTTGGCAAAACGATTCAAACTATCGCCCTTCTCGCCCATCTTGCTGTGGACCACGGTATCTGGGGTCCTCATCTTGTAGTCGTGCCCACTAGTGTCATGCTCAACTGGGAAATGGAGTTCAAGAAATGGTGCCCAGGCTTCAAGATCATGACATACTACGGCAACCAGGAAGAACGCAAACAAAAACGTCGAGGCTGGACAGACGACAACGCATGGAATGTGCTGATTACTTCATACCAACTCGTGTTGCAGGACCAGCAGTCTCTGAAACGAAGAAACTGGCAGTACATGATCCTTGATGAAGCGCACAACATCAAAAACTTCCGCTCGCAGAGATGGCAGGCACTTCTCACCTTCAAATCTCGTGCTCGATTACTCCTTACGGGTACGCCTCTTCAGAACAACCTTACTGAACTCTGGTCTCTCTTGTTCTTCCTAATGCCCTCCGACGGTCAAAGTGGAGGCGTTGAAGGATTCGCCGATCTAAAGGATTTCTCCGAGTGGTTTAGGCGCCCCGTTGAACAAATTTTGGAGCATGGCCGAGATACTATGGACGAGGAGGCCAAGGGTGTGATTACCAAACTTCACACTGTACTTCGTCCTTATCTCCTTCGTCGACTCAAGGCCGATGTCGAGAAGCAGATGCCTGGAAAGTATGAACATGTCGTTTACTGCAGGCTTTCCAAGCGACAACGATTCCTCTACGATGGGTTCATGTCAATGGCTCAGACAAAGGAGACGCTCGCGTCCGGCAATTTCCTCTCTATCATCCACTGTCTCATGCAGCTCCGAAAGGTGTGCAATCACCCTGACCTCTTTGAAACCCGTCCGATTTCCACATCCTTCGCCATGCCGCGCTCGGTTCCCATGGAATTCAAGGTCAAGGAATCACTCGTTAGACGGCGACTACTGTTCGAGCACCCACTCACTAAAATCGACCTGGATTTCCTCAATCTTGCGCCCGTGTCGAGAGAAGACATCTCACGCCGACTAGCCGACGATAGCATCAGACTGATGGCGATCGGACCTTTCAAGAAACTGCGAGAACGCCAGTACAATCGAACCAACTGGGAAATGGGCTTTGATGGATCCAATATGACAACCATTCTAGAATCTCTGGAGAATGCCTGTCGAAAGAGACGCATGGCGGAATTGGAACGTTGTCTATATTTCGAATCCAAACGTCACGGTCGTCGACCGGTCTACGGAAGCAGTTTGATCGAGTTCATCAGAGCGGGGACCAAAGAGCATGCGTTATCCAACGCGCCGTTACGGAAGCGATCAATGGCCGACTGGCTGTCAAGTCGATCTTCGGTCCTTGCCTCGATGATTCTGACGATCGAGGAACGAGGTCTTGAGATGGACGGCTACGTTCAAAGATTTGCGTGCGTCACCCCATCTGTCATCGCCGCGGGAATGAACGAGGCCGCCTTGACGCCCGTTGAAACCCGGCTCTTGACAAATACTCGTCGAGATCAGCCCTACGACCCTTTCCACCAGGCCCGCATGCGCCTTTCTATTGCCTTCCCGGACAAGCGACTCCTCCAGTACGACTGCGGCAAACTGCAGCGCCTTGACAAGCTCCTGCGCGACCTCAAGGCTGGCGGTCATCGAGCTTTGATCTTCACCCAAATGACCAAGATGCTCGACATCCTGGAGCAGTTCCTCAACATCCACGGACATCGCTATCTCCGCCTCGACGGCACCACCAAGGTCGAGTCGCGACAGATGCTTACCGAACGGTTCAACAGTGATCCCCGCATCCTGGCATTCATCCTCTCCAGTCGATCCGGCGGTCTTGGAATCAACCTCACGGGCGCCGATACAGTCATTTTCTACGATCTGGACTGGAATCCTGCGATGGACAAGCAATGCCAAGACCGCTGCCATCGCATCGGACAAACGCGTGACGTGCACATCTACCGCTTCGTGTCAGAGTACACGATTGAATCCAACATCCTGCGCAAGGCCAATCAGAAGCGAATGCTGGACGATGTCATCATCCAAGAGGGTGAATTCACGACGGACTACTTCACCAAGCTGGACGTGCAAGGCATGGCCGAGAGTGACGAGCGTGACGGTCACGACGAAGCCAGCGCGGCGATGGATCGCGTGCTCGGCAATCGGGTCGGAGGCAGTACCCGGGTGTTCGAAGCAGCCGAGGACAAGGAAGACCTGGATGCGGCGAAGAACGCACAGAAAGAACAAGAGCATGCGGATGATGGGGATTTCGAAGAAAACGCTCAAACCACTAGTGGAGCCACCGACGTATCGGCCGACCCAAGTGCGCCACACGTGGGCAGTCAGCCTGGCCACATCGACGACTATTTGTTGCGGTTCATGGAGTGGAACATGAGGGACGAACCCCTGGTTCTGCCCCCGGACAAAAGCAAGAAGAAATCCAAAAAGGGCAAGGAGCATCATCTGAAGAGGCGGCGATAGATCACGGGGACAGTGCACGCCTCCGTTTCATGAGTCAAGAATCTCCACTGGGCGGAGTTACCTGTCTGGGGAATAATGTAATAGTGTACAATGTATTTTGATCTTCGTATCCATTCCAGTGCCTCTCCTAGGTAGTATACTAGGACTACAGTAAGACTGTAGTATAGAAGTCGTACCTGTAGAAGGTACCTGTAGGTAAGGTTCTTCTACAGAACCTTCTAAGGTTCTGTACTCCAAGTACTCCAAGTCCCCATACTTCATACTCTGAACCTAGTAACGGCTAGAATAAAGTTCAGCCGAAACGACATCCGACGCATCGGACGTATCCAATTAGGCTTTGGAGTACCATTACCCTTTTGGGCGACTACCGTTTTTGACAAATACTCTAAATTCGAATGCAAAAGTCGGAGATTATACCGTTCTCGAGGAGTGGATTCCATCTCTCAAGATCGATAGACCCTGCTTGATCTCCAGCTAAGCACGTCCAGGGCGACTAGTTCCGCCCGGAACCGCCCATATCGTACCTATTGGGAAGCACAGACGATGGCAATAGATTAATGTGGAGAGTGCCAGCGAGCTAACACGATGTGCAGATGCAACGTGACAATTTTAATATACTTGCCGATGGATTCTACCGATACCATTGTTGGTTAGATCCTGGTTATACTTAGTAGCCTGGTCGCATGGTTCGTCTGGGTAGCGTGGTTCGCAGTGATATCAAATCGGAGAATCATGGAATTCCCGGATCTCACCTGGGCACTGCAGTACGGGGTCTAGAGTTTCCTACCCTGAATTAGATCCAAGATGAAACAGGCAGTCTGTATGAGAAACAAGAAACACCAAAAAAAGGATTGCAAAACCTTCATCAGGTCTGCATCTCCAAAGCCCTAGTGTATCACATTGAAAGGGTATGATGCCCGAGTGCCAGGGATGTTCTGTATAGCGTGGAAAACCCGGTGCCGGTCGATCTCCCCAAGGCCTACCTCGGCAGGGAGTCCCCGAGCACGACACTGGCCTGTGGGCGTGGAGACCCAAAGACCGCCGAGCGCGCTCCGAGCGGATTATACGACGGGTATACGACAAAACTCGCATATGATCTTTGACGCCAAACCGAATTGGGGGGGGAGATGGATCCCGCTATTCTCTACGACTGGTTGAGTGTTGGAGATGTCACTCACCGAAGATACGCCGTTTCCGGGAACCTCGTAGATTGGCTGTGGCCAGGAGAGATGATCCACCGATCTCCGCCCAGGGACACCCGATCGGGCGTGCATTTTGGAGTCTTTGCAGCGAGCATACTGTTTCCGGCGATGGACCCGGATATTAAGCTTTGTGTTCGGCCAACCTCCATGAGTTGCAGTAGATCCATGGTGATCTGGAGATCTCTCTAGCCCTAGGATACTTCATCTGGTCTCTGGTCCGGGTTGAGCCGCCGGTTGGGATTGTCTTTGACTTTGGCTATAACTCTGTTCACTCTGCAGGATGAAATTTCCAATTGGCTTGCATTTTTTAAATTAGGAAATCGTCATTGGGCGGCAATACGGAGTTACAGACACTCGACGTCGCACTGTACATACTGTAGATACATATATGTAAAGTTGACATCTCCGCATACTAGGCAACCGTGGAGCCCGCATAGACCAGGGCATCGATCAATTCCAAATCATCGTTCTTTGTCGCGGCTGTTGACATGTCAAAGAGGCGTTAACTAGGCGCGGACCAAGTACATGTCTCAGGTAATTCAGAAAAGGAGTTTTCTCCCGAAATAGTAAGAAAAAGGAGAATTGGGATATGCTTTCGGGTCCACATCCGCCAGAGCTTCACAGATGGCAAAAATGGAGAACTCGGCAGAGCGACAGAGCTTCGACTCCCGACTCTCGACAGTCTGGTTCTAACGTCCATGGTTCTACAGGAGATACGTTGATACGATGTATAGAGAGCATCGTTTCAGAAATGACATATGCAGTGTTGGCAAAAGGCTCGTGCAGGCCCACCCGGGACCGTGCATGTACTCCTCGTACTCCGGCGCAGAGTACGGAGTACTGTCTCCGTCCTCGAGACCCGTTAGGGAGTTTCTCCGGGTAATCCATGAGCATTTTGATAACATCCACTATTGAGGACCCGGGCAGATCCCCGGCGATCAATTGACGAGATCGATTGGCGCTCACACGAACCGGTACCCCACCGGGAGTGGTTCATTGGCCCCGGACAGGAAGAAAGGGGTCACTAGCTCTGACACCATCAGCCTTAGCGGATTCAGGTTGCCTCTGTTCTGGATCTAGGGTTTCCAACAGTTTGGACTCGCCTCGGTCGAGAGTCACAGAGGGCACATGATGTGACGATCTTCGCAATCTCTCAACACATGTGCTCTGCAGTCGTTTTGGCTTCAACGGTTTTGCTGCTTTTTTGGTATAGACGTCCGGATGAAGAAGATCCCCACCGTCCCAAATGATCGACCCGATCGCATTCCTCCGCGGTCGAGTGGGAACCAGACACATGGTGTATCTGGTTCAAACGTTCGGCAGAGCTAGCCTGGACCCTATCCCCAACTCGCTGCCGACTCCAATGCCATCTCCGTATCACCGAACTGGGCCCGGTCGACTACTCTTTTTGGTTGGACCTGAACCGGAGGTTGGATTTCGAGTCCAACAATGAGGATCTTCTGTAACAAATTTGGGGATACTATCTTTTAATCTCGGATGATAGGGACGGCTGCTAGTAGACGGTAAAAAAAAAGCAAAGGGAGAGAGAGACCAAGACTATAGTACAGCTGTCATACAGATCCTGGAGAGATGATCAATCCATTCTCGATATCCGCATCGCTTTGTTCAGCTGCGCCAAGCACTCAACTGGGCATAGTCCTATAACGTTACGATGTCAACAGGAATGACATAGGCGAGGATCGTCCGACCCGCTCATCCTCTCGCTTTCTCGTGCAAATCTCGTTCATGATCGACGCCGCGTGCACGCCACGCTAAGGGGAAAAAAGTGGAAATCAACAAATTAAAAAAAAAAAGGAAGAAAATGGTCAAAGTGGAAGTGGAACCCTGCTGACAATGGACGATCAGTCGGAACCATGGAGGTCTCGCTGGCCCTAACAAACCACTCTTAGAATTACCGTTTTACTACGGAAAATCACTCCCTGTTAATATATAACTTCCCCTTCCTGTCTCCATTCCCTTTCACTTTATTCACACTCTTTCCACTTGGACTTCCCCACACATTGGTCCATCATGAAGACTTCCATCTCCTCAGACGTTTGGGACAAGAAGAAGGCGTTGATCGCCCGGTTGTATATGGAGGAGGAATGGCCCTTGAAGCAGGTCATCAAGCAGATCCGTTCCGATGACTTCAATCCCAGGTGAGTGTCGACGCATCGGATATCCCGAATACCCTCGCTAACCCACCTCCAGTGAAACCCAACTACGCAGCCGATTGAAGAAGTGGCGGGTCACCAAGCCCTCCCGCCAGACCAGAAAGAAGAGCCATGCCTCCTCAAGCGACGATGCGGAGGACATGTCTCGCAAGTCCTCAATTCAACGGCCTCTGCCCTCATTACAACGAGAGATCCGCCACGAATGGCCCGCTCAACCCATCTTTGAAGACCGCAAGTGGTCCGACCCCATGGCCCAACAACTTACCCCAAGCCCCTCCGGCGAGCACGTCCTCGCTTCAGACCGCTCCATCTACCAACATCCCAGCCCCACCACCTCCTTTGAGCAACCCGGCACCTCGCCCGTCGGCGAGAGTCTCATCCTCAACACCACTGTGCCCCCATACAGCAACTCAGCCTACCCCCTCTCTCCAGAATCCTGTCTCCCCAGCCCGGGAACCACAACACCAGGTCTCGCCTGGCCCCCGCGCTCCGTCTCAGCAGACTACGGCCTCAACTCTGCGCAATGGTACTCCCTGCCCTTCGAGGCCATCACCCCCCCTTCGGGCGTGCCACAGTCCGCCCCGCCCATGAACCCCTCAATCAATGGATACATGCCCCCGGGCCAATATCAACAATATCCCTATCCCGAAGGGGACTTCCATTATGATAAGGCGGCCTGGCGCCGCGCTATGTCCCTGCAATATGATATGCATGGCCACCCCGTTCCTGGGCGGGAGGGCGAGCGGAAAATGCAACCTCATCCCATGGCTTCGCCTCACACACAGTCTGGGTCACATCCTGCGATGTGCGCTCCGATCATGCCTTATATGGGTGACAACTACGCTCAGAAGCCTCCAGGCATCGGATACTAGATTGCCACTCCTTGTTTCTACTATGCTGTTATAAATACTTGTGATACCTCTTTCTTTTTTTTTCATGTGTGCTATATGGGTGGTTTTTTGTCTCTTTTACTTTGTCATACCCGGCGTTTGATTTGCTTTCCTTCATTTCTCTTATTTTTATGTCTTATGGGGGAGTCTGGATGAGATGCAAACTATACCTCGATACCAATTTCACAATCTGTACTCTACACAAATTTTTTTCCATACTGGACATAAATTAGATCCGAGTGTTCAATTCTACAGTACCTCTTTCACTGAAGATCATGAAGATCGTATCCTACTAAGTTGTCCGGACTACATTGCGACTTTGCCAAGACTCAGTTATCCGAAAAAGGACCTCGGCATCTTGCGGGGAATCCCCATATAGCTATTCTCTTCCCTTTGATTGAATTTCTCGAAACTACACAATCCTCAATCCGCAATCCAAACATTGGAAGTGCACATCTCAATACAACACAACAATTAACTCTACATTCCACCATCTACGCCCAACATGCGCGCCGTCCAAGTCAGCGAATATGTCAAAGTATCCAAACCCCCAACCCTCCACGACTCGAAAACCAACAATCTAACCAACCCCAGGGCCCCCTCGACCTAAAAGTAACCGAAGTCCCCACTCCAACCCCATCAGCAGACAAATACCTGATCGAAATCCACTCCGCGGGCACCAACTTCTTCGACATTCTCCAAATCCAAGGCAAATACCAACACCAGCCCCCGCTCCCCTGGATCGGCGGCGCCGAATTCGCCGGCACAGTCCTCTCCACACCAACCGGGAACCCCAAGCCCCGATTCCGCGTGGGCTCCCGCGTCTTCGGCGCCACGCAGGGCGCCTACGCCACACACGTCCTGGCAGCTGAGCAGACGCTCCTTCCCGTGCCGGAGGGGTGGAGCTTCGAAGACGCGGCTGGGCTATTTGTGACGGCGCCTACGTCGTATGGGGGCCTTGTTACGAGGGCTGGGGTGAAGGCTGGGGAGTGGGTTCTTGTTCATGCTGCTGCTGGGGGAGTGGGACTTGCTGCTGTTCAGATTGCCAAGGCGAAGGGGGCTGTTGTTATTGCTACTGCGGGGACGGAGAGGAAGAGGGAGGTTGCGAAGGCGTTTGGGGCTGATTATGTGGTTGATTATGGGGATAAGAATTGGCCGGAGATTGTGAAGAAGTTGTGTCGGGAGAAGAGAAGTGGGAATGGGGCTGCGGGTGTGGATGTTGTTTATGATCCTGTTGGGATGATTGAGGCGAGTTTGAAGTGTGTGGCTTGGAATGCGAGATTGTTGGTTATTGGGTTTGCGGCTGGGAAGATTGAGAAGGTCGCGCTGAATCGGGTGCTGCTTAAGAATGTGAGTATTGTGGGCTTGCATTGGGGGCAGTATGCGAGGTTCGAGACTGGGACTGTTGGTGATGTTTGGAATGGGATCTTTGAATTGGTGCGCTTGGGCAAGTTCAAGGGCACGTCTTTTAAGGATGAGAGCTTTGTTGGGCTGGAGAGTATCCCCCGGGCTTTGAAGGCCCTCGGTGGGAGGGAGACCTGGGGTAAGGTCGTGGTGAATGTTATCGGGGAGTCGAAGAGTAAGCTGTGAAGTATTCAATTGTGTATCTAGTGTTAGATTTGGATATGAACAAGTAAATAGATGACATTCGCTGGATGTAGTGCACAAGGAGTCATGCTCTCGTAGACAAAGTATAGCTCCCGAAGGAGCGACTCGAGCAAGTATAACATGAACTATGAAGGCCCTGTATTGCTCTGGCAACCTTTGAAAATCAAAGAGAACCCTGACGGGATCCCGGCTCGCAACCCAGCTCCAGTCGGTCACGGCCACAAGACGCGGCGCTGTGGTAACTGTTCTCCGAAGAGAGCCCTTGAGAATGCCCAATTGGACTAGGGCAGCTGGATTGCGAAGTTGCGAGTGGCTTTATTTGCTGTGGTGTGCTTGAAGCGCGGTTAGTGTATGGTGGAATTGATCTGGTCAACATCATGACCAGAACATTAGATCCTGATGTTCAACACAGGCATTGTGTACATGAAGAAGAAGGAAAAGTCGCAGGGAAAAAAATATCCACATGGCAAGTGAAGGCGGTGTACAAGGCGGTAGACCTTGGCATATACTACACCCCGACCAGGCCAACTGGTGAACACATTTCATGAATCACATACATTATCATCCGTACAAATTGGATGCAACTAGTTCCAGTAAAATGATTCGAACTACTCAATCTCAAAGCTGAAACAAGACTCCATGTTCGACCTCGAATTACAACCATTCAATCTCTCTTGAAAATACCCCCAACATCAAAACGGCAGTATGCTCAAAAGCAATAATCATAACATCATGTTGAATAGTCATAGCTGTGTTCATTTATTCATGGCCCTTCCAGCCCCAGCCCCTTTAATGATGCCTTTCACGCATCTCAACAATAGCAGTCCACCCCTCACAGCAAGACCGACTCATATTGTGACCACACCAGCAACAAGATACCTTCCTTGGCAGAAGCGGCGCGGGCCGTAGATCCATTCCCTCAACAGCATACGCAGCAGGGAATTGCAGAGACATCCGAGAGCCGGATTTCCGATCTTGCTTCTTACGCGAGTTGACTTTGGGCTCGTCCAGTCGATCAGGGTAGGCGAGACGCGCGTAGACCTCGGATGGGAGGTCGTGCCAGTATTTGCAGCGGCAGCAGATGACGAAGATCTTGGCGAGTTGGCGGTGCTTGGAACTTTGAGATCGACGCTTGAGGATGCTCATGGGTCCTCGGGGTTCTGGGAGTTCTGGTTGCATGGGCTCGGTCATTGGTGGCTCAGGAATTGGGGCTGGATTGGGCCTGGCCTGGACTGGAGTGGGCTTGAGCACAGGTGTAGCCTTAGATATAGCAGTGGGTTTGGGAATGGGAGGATGGCTCGAAATAGTCGGTGGCTTGGGCCCCAGAGTCTGTGGCTCAGGTGTGAAGGTGGGAGACTCGGGAGCGTCCTCGTCGGCAGTATCGTAATTTGAATGGCCATCATAGTCGGAATGATGAGATGATGCGCGACTGTGGCCAGGTCTGAAGACCCCTGGACCTCTGGGCTGATCGAAAGAGCCACGAGAGGGGTGCTGGTCAGACCTTTGAGGAACGTGATTGGAATCTGACATGTCTCTGGATGTTCGATGGCTCCTTGCCCCAGGGGATGTGTTGCCTGTATGGAAAGGAGATCGGACACCCACTTGGAAAGGCGAATGAGGGATGTCGCGGAGTGTATCAGTTGAGGCGGTTGGGACCCTCCAGCTCTCATGACTCCGGCGTTCGCTTTTGGTGGGAATTCTGGGCGGATCGGGCTGAGAATGTGATTCATTGAAGTTCTCTTTGAAGCGGCTTGAAGTCTGCGAAGCACCGTTCGAAGAAGCAACAGGTATCCGGCTTTTTAGACCATCGTCCGCTTGAGGCTGGGTGGGGACTGGCGATGGCACTGGGGTCAGTTGGTTGGGCTCATGCTGTGCTAATGGCTTGGGAATCTTGGACTCCTGTTGAGCCAGGTCGTTGTTATGTGCGGGATTCAACGCAAGAGGTGATGACTTGTATGCTCGAGGGAAAGGGTCAACCCGATTCTTCCTGCCCAGACTGCCGGTAGAACCTGCCTGGGCTATTTGCAGTGGTGTATAAATTCTGGCGATGGATGAGCTCAATGGACTGCCTGGAGATTCCGGGGATACTGGAGATACTGGAGATTCCGGAGAAGCAATTTCTGGAGGTATTTCGATTTTTGCAGGGCACGGGGGGTAAGCCTGGGCCAAGCTTTGCGAAATTGGCATACTGGTAGCCCTGACTGCGCGATCATTCCGAGGCACGCTATCAAGCGAGTGGTCGACCGCTGGGAGGCTTTTCCTATCGTGCTTCAGGGCTGCCGAGAACAATTCCCGGTCGAGTTCCTCAGAGGCTGGATTGGATGGCACTTCGCTATTTCGAGCGTTTCCAGCCACGGACCGACCGTTCAGTCTTTTCGACAACGACCAGCTCCTTTCCTGGCCATTTTGCTCCTTCCAAGCCTCGGCCATCTTCCAGTTCTCGCGGAGATCATCAGACTTCGGCGTGGCATGGAGGAGACGACCCGCGGTCGGCTTGCCCGCCTTGTTGGCAGCGGAGAGATTCAGTGCCGTGCCATGCTTAGACTGAAGCTCTCGGGTGATAGCAGTTCCAAATCGTTCCGGTAGAGTCAAAGGCAGAGAAGGCGGGTTAGTATCCGTTTGAAGCCGACTGAGTTTGTCATATTCGCTCTCAAGATCACTGGAAGCCGAGCTGCGGCGTGAGCGCCTGAAGATCGAGGAAAACCCGCTCGAGGATTTTGGTCGCTCTGCGTTCGCGCTCGAAGATCTGCTAGAGCTGCTCACTGGTTGTTTCTTGGTCAGACGGCGCGCAGTCCGATCATGGGCCGCCGGTTCAGCTTGACCCTGGGATTCCTCGAGTGCGATCAAACGCTTTTCTAGTTCCTGCCTTTCGGCCTCTAGCCGCTTCGTCACCCGTTTATCTTTTCTGTTGACCTTTTCCCAGGTGGATGATTTGGACACCTCGATCTCTTTGGCCGGCACAGGCGTGGTTTGTGCAGTGTCCTCATCCCCGCGCGCAGCTGATAGACTGGAGCCAGGCGTTCCGGTGGAGGGCAACCGTGAGTTTATGGGAGAGTACGAGACGGAGCTGGGAGCACCATCGTCCAACGGATGGATCGCATTGGATTGGTCCTCTGCCTGCTGTGCTGCCTCGCGACTTAAAAATGGAAGTGGAGGAACAAATTCGCCCTGACTGGCGCGTTTCTTCTCGGGTAGTCAGCCCACGCTCCCCACATGTCAACTGGTGTGAACATCACTCACGTCAGATTTGAACACTCGGCTGATGTGTTCGGAAAAGGAGGAGCGACGTCGCCTGCGCTCGGCTGACATTTGGACGATTAAGCGAGCGAGTCAGTGAGATAGAAGTGAGTGTGGGAGCTAATGTAGGAACGAGTGACATTGGGCTGTGGTCGCCCAAAGATTGTGCGTGTTTTGAAGCATGAAGCGAGTGAGAAATGTCAGGCAGAAGGACTAGAGGGGAAACCCCCAGAAAACAAGAAAATCCAAAGCCACCAAGGCCGAACAAAAAGAAAAGAAAAAAAAGAGAGCAGTCGAGAATTGAAGGGGAAATTCAAAACCCGCCACTGCGAGATACGGCAGGTGAAACCTGCATGCAAGCTATTCTTAGTCTTTTGGATCTATACAGTCCTACAGTTACAGAGTACAGTCCTTCTGAAGAAGCGACCTCTGGAGTATACACTGTCTACGACACATCTCCGAGTCATACGTTTCCAGAACTTAGACAGACGGAACAGTTGAGTTTCCAACCCGACCATCTTCAATCGTCTGAAACTACAGCTACACGCCAAGGCCCCGCTTGGCTCCAACCTCAAGTCTTCAAACCTCAAACTCCAGTCCTCTATACAATCAAAACATGTCACCCCACAACTCCGATCTCCCGCCAAGCTATGATGCGTCACAGGCCGGCCAGGATCCACCCCCATACCACAACTGGCAAGAAGCCGTGCCTGACACCACGAGCTTCCCGCCGCCCCCAATCACCGGCTATCTAGTCTCAGGCACCGGCAACGCCTCCGAGGACGACGCCCAGCGCGCCCACGACTTCTGCAACACCATCCCACTCTGGCTCCCCACCAAGCCTTCATCGGCCGTCTACGCCACCGTGCAAAGCCACGATCTGCGCCCCGTGCACCCACGCGAGCTGCATGGCGACGTATCCGCCGTTGCGCGAGGTCGCTGGCGGGGACGCAGCCGGAACGGGAACGGGGACTGTGTCATTCTGACGCAACTTCCGCTCTACTTTGCCGTCGAGGATGCCGGCGCCGGCAAGACGATCTACTTTGAGGTCAAGCTGACCGGGTTACGGGGTGGGCCGCGCGGGGATGCCTCCGGCTTTTCGCTGGGATTCGTTGCGCAGCCCTACCCTAGTTGGAGATCACCGGGGTGGGAGCGGGGTGGACTAGGTGTGTTCTCGGATGATGGGTGCCGGTTCGTCAATGACTCCTATGGGGGCCGGGACTTCACCAGTGAGATTAGGGTTGGGGAGACGGTGGGCATCGGGATGGCCTTTACGTGGAAGGAGAAGAAAAGCCAGGTGAATGTCTTCTTCACGCGGAATGGACGGCATGCTGGGGGCTGGGATCTGCATGAAGAAGTCGATGCCGAATCTGGGGGAGTTGAGGGATTGGAAGGGAACTATGACCTCTATGGGGCGATTGGGCTGTTCGGTGGCGTTGACTTTGAGTCTTGTTTTGACCCTGCAGGCTGGCTTTGGAGGCCCGAGTAAACCTGTTCGATATAGTTCAGATCGCGAATCTTGCCAAGGTGAGACAGGCGAGAGGTCCTAGGGCTGACTTTATGGTTCATGGCTTGTTCGCTTGACGTTTGCTATATCAATATCGCTTGTGGCCATGGATGTTGTCAATGTATCGATAGGATAGCTTTTCAGTGAATCCATCCAGGCCTTTTGACATACCTTGTTTGAGTTCTAACCCTAACTGAAGGCAAGTACTCTCGAGGTCACGACATCCCTGGTATATCCATGAATGTGACCATATCCCTCAAACAGAAGGTTCTACACTGTGCAAAAAGGCTATATCCAAAGTGGCATCTGAAGCCAAGGAAGCCCATTCGAGCCGAAAATGAAAATGAATAATCGAAAAATCGAAAAGAACAAATAGAGCATGTCCTATTTCAACGGCCAAGCCCGAGTCTACATACGCACCTGCGTGGCGTCAACGACATTCTGCACGAGCATGGGGTTCTAGAAAAGGTGTCCTTTTTTTCGTCCCCCTTTCGGCCGCATCGATCCTATTCCCGGTAATTGCAGCGCGTTAGTGTCCGGGGGGAAGCAGGAGCTGCATTTCCGCTGCGACAACGGTTGCTACGTCTGGGCCCTCTGCCGTTTCTACCGTTTTCCCGTATGGCTCCGTCTACCCCGAGGTGCAGGAGGTGCATGAACGTGCGAGAATCGGTTGACTTGACGTCAGAATGCGCCGAGCGCATTGCAGTCTTTGTCGTGATGCATGACTGATACGAATCTCGGTTCCTCCTCTGGGCTGCGTACCTGGGTCCAACGGGGGTTATCCATGTCTTCCCCCCTCCGCGGGCGAGGGCGAGACCTCGGTTTCTTTGTAGGCTTATCACTCGATACTACGGCCGAAGGCGCGTTTGTACTCCGCAAAAGGACAGCGCATTGACACCTGGAAAGTACCAGATAAGCCTGCGCTCGGTAGCTCCTTTTTTGGTGAGATACTAAGCGTGTAAGCGATGCGTCGATGCGTCTATCGAGAAGTTCGTGCATACTCCCGGATATTAGAGCCGCAAGAGCGGTCCGAGTTACTTGAATCAGGTTTTGGAGGGAAAGTCAGATATCAGCTCGGTATACCGTACTCGACAGTACTACGAGGTCGAACACAATTCTCCAGGCTGGAGCACGTCTCGAATACCAATACCAGAATGGTCTAGTCGGTACAGGCCCGTACCGAAGTACACATACAGCGTGTATGTATTACCAGTGGGGACTCGGTGATTATCCCGAGGCTACCGGCGATGGTTGCAGTAGAACCCAGCCACCAAGCCCTCAGCAAGCCCTCAGCAAGCCCTCAGCTGCAACTAAGTCAGAGCGGCTATAAACTCTTGCTGATTTGGGAAAGGCAACTGAACTTGAAAGCCGTTGCATCTCGGACTGTACTTTGTGTGCCTGCAACCGTTGTCAGATCGCGCTATGAGCACTGAAGGTGTGGATATACGAGGTGCATTGAACTGACATGGTGGAGCTCGACGAAACATCCCAAATGATCAACAGAGAAGAATAGGTTTGTCCTGTACCTTTGTTGCGATCCACTCAAAGTTAGAGAGGCCGATCTGTATTTCTGGCGATTGAAACGGGTTAAAGAAAAGGATGGTCAGGACGAATAGCGAATAGCGTCGGGTACTTTTTTCATCTCTTACTGATTTGGGGTTGGCCGAAGAGGGGAAACTTGATCGACCTGCATGTCATCGCCCCTTTTTCCCGTGACATTCCCGTCTGGCCCCCATTTGATATTCACATTTCACTTCGTGTCTTTGCTTTCGACACCACTTCGCGCCCGTACGGCACGAGATATCCACTCGCGTCCACTTTTTTCTCACAGGTCCATCCATTGTCCACTGCCCACCGAGTGTACATATGCGTCGTGTCCACTCCGGCAGCCAGTGACCACCAACGGGTCTATAATCCCCCACTGCCCCAGCGCACTGTCATTATAAAATCCGGCCATTCCCGGTCTCGGTGGAGCAGAAAAGCGGGTTTCCTTAGGGAGTCCGTGCAGCCCGAAATACGCGTCTGTTTCGGTGTAAGACGTGATCTGGCGAATCGGCCGGCCACCGTATTTCGGTTCACAGGTTAGCGAGAAGCACAAGTCCAGTAGCACGGCCTGTGCCCTCAAAGGTACGTAGATTGCGTAGGCTGAGTTCAGGCGATCAACTGCATAACCGCATTAGGCCTTCTGCAGATGCGTTCCCATGGATCCTTCGGCCGTGCTCCACTCAGGCCCTAGGACTGTGATGGGTGTATAATTAGACGCCAAAGCGACTTCTGGCGCGGTTATAGCTCTGACAGGCACGGAATCCCTTGCACATGCCCGGATTCCTGTACTAGTACGTTGTCCCTACTGCAGCGACAGTCTAGACTGCCACAATGTACTGTACGTCGGAGAATGTCTAAAAAAAACCCCCGGTCCCTCCGTGGGGGGGAGAAAGGTCCTGGGAATCTTGAATCATGAACCTTGACATTCCCCCCGTGATCGGGATTTACCTTCACGCCACCCTAACGATCAGGCAATCTGTTCACATTGCAAAACCGAAAATATTATGGAAAAAAAGAGAGACAACTTTGCCCCACCTAAGCTGTTACACTTGATCGCCACTAGGATTACTCGTTTTCTTAGGGACTAGTGTACTAGTATGATACTCGTACTAGAGTGTACTAGAGTATACTAGAGTTGTACCACAGCATCAACAGTGAGGTGACTGGCACTTTCTTCCGACCAATATGCACGTGCTGGACGCACCTGGAGAATTAATAAGGGATTCATTTATCGCCGTACTTTTGCCATAGACAAGGCGCTAAATAGTCTCGCCTGGTGTTACCATTATTGTTCCACAAATCATGTATTCGCCCAAAGGACAGCGAGGATTGTGTGCTCCGGGGAGAGAAGTGAACAGTCGCTGTCGCTCACGCCCGTTGGAACGATAGGTTGGAGTCCAAGCCCGGACAGTGTCCAGTCTGAGTCTCGGCTAGCGGCCGGTTCGCCTGGGCACCAATGGATCTCGCGTGCATGATCGGATATGTTCTCCAGAGCGCATCTACTTCCTTTTTGCCGGGTAATCAGACTAGAATAGATTACTGTTAAACTAATTCCATGCGAAAAGGGAATAATAATATGATATGATGCATGAACAGGGTACCTGCAAGAGAAGTACCCCTCGAAGCATTTGTCGCTTCGAAGAACCTTGTCAGCAGGTATCTGTGCCCAGGTGCATCCAACCTAAATTTGCCCGTGATCTCTGGAGAATGTGAAAAAACGTATGGTATTATACATTGCAGGAAAAAAAACAAGAAAGTCGCCTGCATGACTTCCCCACTAGATTTGAATTCGAAATCATATTATGCCGCAAATCACTAGTTGCCTTCCTCGGCATCGGATACCCCGATCTGTACGCGCGCTCGTGCCGACTATCTATAGAATGCAGAGTCTATGGAGAGAAACCACGTCTAAAAGAAAAGAAGAAAGGATGAACCTATGAAGTAGCTCAAATAACTAGCATACGAGAACCTATATCCAAGCGATAGAAGTCAATACGGTGCTAGTAATATAGCATGGGCCGCCAACCCATCTCCACCTCCTCGTCTCCCATCTAGATCCAGGGTCTCTGACGCACGCGGCAAAACTACCATGCAGCACCCTCAAAACGACAATGCAGAGCTTTCTTTTGGGGTTTTTTGTCCTTTTTATTTTTATATCCGAATTTTATCCATTTTTCGTATTTGTGTTTATTTAATTTGAATTTTTTTTTTTCGTGAGATTTCGAGATTTCGAGATTGGGATATTTGAATACCTTTTTTTTCCCTTTAGTTCGCATGTGCCTCTCTTCCTACTTTAATCTCTCTTCCCCTTCAATTCAGCATTTATCCTCCCTTGTCTTTCTTTCCTTTTCCTCTCGAACTGGAAGCACCTTCCCCGACATTCGTTTCGACCCTATACCTCCCCGGACGATCCACTTAGGGGAACAACATATCCAATTGACGAGATATATATGGAAATTGGAACGGGGAGAATCACTTCAAAATCATGGCATTCCCGTTTCTGCGAGCCTTCATCGCACTCTTGTTCGTGACCTGTAATCCTCAAGCGTCGGGAATTGTGGAGCTAATTGATAAAAGTATCTATCGCTATACCCGCCTCGTGCTGAACCTCTTCTCCTTCTGGACCTTTAAACCAATTCCACCCCCGGAAAACCCAAAATTAACATCGCAAGATGTAACAGTGATCATTCCTACCCTAGAAGGTAACGGAGATGAACTGGTCGAGACGATACGGACAATTCTCGACAATCAGCCCTTCGAACTGCTCCTGGTGACCATCGAGGCCAATCGCAAGAAGGCCGAGAAGATGCTGAGCGCCATGCCAGCCTCCAAGTCCCGAATCCGTCTCTTCACCGTCATGCACCCCAACAAGCGGCGTCAAATGACCCGCGCCATTCCCGAAGTCCGCACGGCCATCACCCTCCTGGCCGATGACGACGTGAGCTGGCCTCGCACGCTCCTCCCCTGGATTCTGGCCCCGTTCGAAAAGGACGAGAAGTACGGCGGTGTGGTCACCTGCCAGCGACTCCGTCGCGCCATTGGACCCTCCCTCTCCCAACGCGTCTGGGGCTTCCTCGGCGCCCTGTACCTGGAGCGACGCAACTTCGACTGCGGCGCAACGACCCATGTGGACGGAGGACTTCCCTGCATGTCGGGACGGACGGTAGCATATCGGACGCGAATTCTGCAGAATGAGGGCTTCACTTACGCTTTCACCAATGAGGAGTGGTGGTGGGGCAAGTACCAACTCAATGCTGACGACGATAACTTCATCACTCGTTGGATGGTTTCGCATGGTTGGGAAACTTATATGCAGTACCACCCGGAGGCGGAGGTGCTGACCACCCTGGAGGACAACCCACGGTTCTTGAAGCAGTGTGCCCGCTGGTCGCGAAGCAATTGGCGGAGCAATCTGACCTCCATGTTCCACGAGAAGCACATTTGGTAGTAAGTGCAGTGCCCGTTTTTTTTCTCCCTTCTTTGCTTTTTCTCTCTCGTCTATCCGATTGGTCTCCGACATCTGTCTGGAAGGCCTTGTCACTGTTGTCTATTTCCCCACGCGTCTTGGTGCTTCGTCGGTGTCGCCTCGGTCCCTTTCTTTGATCGGATCAAAAGCAAACCTTCTTCGGAGTCTAGGCGTGCACGGCCAGAATAGGAAACAAAGAATCATTCTGCAGATGCTAACATATGCTTTTCTCTTTTCAGCCGTCAGCCTTGGAGTGCCTATGCCGTCCATTTGACAACCCTGTCGCCGCCCGCCCTTCTCGGCGACCTGTTACTTGTTTGGCTGTGCCACAGAGCAACAGGCTCGTGGGGGGAATCTCTGCATGATAGCTCCATGACTGCCCTATACTTTTGGATCTTCACCAGCAAGTGGATCAAGCTCTTGGGTCATTATCTTCGGTATCCTGTGGATGTACTGCTGCTGCCAGTCTCCATTCTCTTTGGATATTTCCACGGTGCCATCAAGATGTATGCCGTTATGACATTGAATGTGGTATGTCTCAATTTCTTTTACGTTTTGTCATGTTTTCGAACCTTTTTTTTTTTTTTTTTTTTATGTTTTAATTTTCCCCTTCTGTTTCGCATTCGTTATCTGCGGGTCGCATTCAAGTGCATCCAAGCGCAGCCCCTCCTTTTCCCGTATTTTCCCCCTTTGCCTATGAAAAGACGGCATCACAACGCTTTGATCACTGTCTCCTCCCTTGTGCAGTCAATCTGCTTCCACCCTATGCTAGTCTTGCGTTCGGCTCAGATCGTGCTTGATCCGGTTGCCTTTTCCATACATTTGCATTGAGTCCGAGAGCTGACTTTGGAATCTTACTAGACCACATGGGGTAGCCGTGACGGCGCTGATGACTATGACGCCGAGCGTATGAAGAAGCGGACGGATGCTGATCGAATGAAGCAACCGTATTATCCGCAATACCTCCTCAAATGAGTTCGACCTCACCTCCCGTTCCACATGGGAAACGGGACTGCCACCCATTAATTTGGCTGGCTCTCTCTATCATGACGAAATGCCGTGACGACAATCTTCTCTGGATTCTAGATGTGCTCTTGGTGACATTGCCGATTCAACGTCCGAGCTGCAGCTAATACTTGATGGTATTACCATGCCTCGGCTCTGAACTCGCCAGACTCCCTCGACAGTTTTTACTTTCTCTTTATTCTTTTGGCGTCCTTTTGATCCCCGTGCTTTTGCTTTCTTCTTTTTGCACATGATTTTGGTCCACAAAATGGCCTTCGAGCTCCCTTTCTTGTAAATTACAAAAGCATGGGCGGATGTCGTTTTTTGCCTCGCTCGGTTTGATATTCACTTGGTATGATTCCCCTGGGTTGATTTCGAGACTTTTTTTCCTTTTCTTTTCTTTTCTTTTCCTTTTCTTAGATGCAAGGGCGGTATTTTGAAGTACTCTGATGTTTCTGCTTCTAAGTTTCATCGCTTCTCCAAACTGCAGTTAATCTCTAATTGATTGGAAATACACGCAATCGTCCCTATGTATCGCGTACGGAGTGCGGAGTAGTGAACACATGCTCCGACACATTGAGCCTGTCAGTGGTCCACGGGTACCTTAAAGCTGACGCAACGGTGCAGATTACTCGGCCTAGACCAAGCATAGAGCCTCAATTGCGTAAACCCATTCGGCGAGACATGACTTTATCCGAGTTGTAGGTAGATCTACGCCGTGTCATTAAGATGTGGCGCGCGTGTGGCGAGCCAAGACTTCGGCCAAAAAGTTCCATGTTCCCAATTGCTCTGGATCCAGGAACCCACCACCTCCTTCGATCTTCCTATATACACCCATTACTCTGGAAATCGTAATGGTCGCTTTCCGTGCTGCGTTACCGCAGCTCTCAGTCGCCCGACGCTCCCTGTCCTTATGCCGACACATCCACTCGTCGCCCGTCAGATCTGCCATTGCGCATCCGATCACTGCTCAAGGTCCCCCTCCCAAGGCTCCTGCCACGCCAGAGCGGAAAGAGTCCTCGGAATTGAAGGACGCATCCTTCACAGCCTCTGAACCCGAGGCTAGCAAACCCCCCAAGCTCACCGATGCGCTGAAGAAACGCTTCTGGAAAGATGTGCACGTACATGGGAAACCAGGTATGAGGGAACTCGAATTTCGCGTTTGAAATGCGGCCTATTGGAACAGTTCCCTCGCTAACCATTGCTATCCTCCAGAGGAATACCAAGTCCTGCTTGACAAGCGACCTGTGCGCACACCGACGAAAGCCATCCTATCTATTCCCTCTACAAAGCCCCAGCTTGCCCATGCCGTCGCCCTGGAATGGGATGTGATGACCTCGGCCCAGCAGGCACTCAAAAGCCACCTCATTCCCATGACCTCCCTTGCCGCCCGCGCCGCCGATATCGCCATCGAAGATTCCAAGGGCGTCTCTACCACCCGAGACCAGATCATTACCACTGCCATGCGCTACCTAGACACAGATACTCTCCTTTGCTGGGAGCCGGAGCGGGAGGTCCACGCACTGGACCGCAAGGCGGATGGCACGCCTCAAGAGAGTCTGCGGGAGATTCAGACCAGAGTCGCTAAGGATATTATGAGCTTTTTGTCTACGAAGGTCTGGCCTGGCCTTGAGATTATTCCTATCTTGGACACCGAGAGCATCATTCCACTCTCGCAGCCCAAGGGCACCAAGGACAGCATTCGCACCTGGGTGTCAGAGCTGTCGGCGCATGACTTGGCGGGACTGGAGCGTGGCATTCTTGCGTCCAAGAGTCTTCTGATCGCGGTCCGCTTGGTGACCGAGTGGAGTGAGAACTTCCGCCACATCCAGCGAGCCGAGACTAAGAAGTTTGGTATCGAGGACGCCGCTGAAGCGGCCAGCTTGGAGGTTACCTGGCAGACTGATAAGTGGGGCGAGGTTGAGGACACCCATGATGTCGGCAAGGAGGACATGAAACGTCAATTGGGCAGCGTTGTGATTCTGGTCAACGGAGAGACCAGATAAGCCACCGACGTTGTAGTGTCTTGTATGTATATTGTGTGGCTCCTGTATGATAGATTTTGAGGCTGTGCCTGCCTTGCTTGCAAGTGCATGTATAACAATGAATACCACCCTAACATCCTCCCTGCGTCGATCGCAATGTGTCGCGATCGATCGAGTTCCTCATTTTGCCAAGACGGAGATCAGCATCATTTGCCCCCCAAACAAGGCCCGAGACCCCCCTCCCAATTTTATTTCCAACTTTCTAGAACCTGAGCAGCTCCGTATTCTATTCAGACGAGCAGTCGCAGCATTCGGACAGCAAGTGTATAGAAGAGAGCGCGCGAGAAGGAGAGAGAGGGAGAGCAAGCGACGAGATGTCAGACAGACCCGAAGGGTAAGTAATACGGAGTGGGACATGCGATCCATGGTTCAAGGTGGCCATGTTGTGGCTGCGAATACCTTCGCTTTGGCCTGTGGCCTTTGCCTCTTGTCCCTCCAGTTCCTTGTTTTGGGTATATTGGGTCATTTGCATGTGAAATACTAACATGTCACCCCTCAGGCACAAACGCTCTAAGAGCGCCATAGCACTTTCCCTTCTCCACCGCGACAAGTCCAAGGGCGAAGACAGAGAAGAAGACGACACCAGTTCTCTCGCTTCTGCCTCCACAAACGGACCCTCGTTGAAACACACCCGCAGCAGCAGCCGCCACAACCGTCGCAAACAAGCCCAAGACTCGAGTCCACCCCCGGCCATCCAGGAACACGCGGAGGATATGGATACCGTGGAAGAGATGGCCCCGCTGTCTCAAATGGAGACAGGGAGCATGTCCCTCGAGCAGTCCGTCCGCACATTCCGCCTATTCGAGATCCTCCGAAGCGGCGACACCACCGCCATCGCCAAGGCGATCAAGGACACAAATGACCCGCAGGGAGCGAATGCCCTGAGTGGCACAACCGTTCTCCACCTCGCCCTGCAGTGTGCCGAACCCCAAGTCGTGGAGTACGTACTATCCGCCGCGGAAGAAACAGATATCAACTCAAGGGACCGGGATGGCAATACCCCTCTCCATATTGCCGCCCAACTGGGTCGGGGTCCGTTGGTACGCGAATTGCTGAGCCGACCGACCATCAATGATTCCATCGTCAACTACCGCGGCCAGACCGCGCTCGACCTGGCTCGTACCCCTGAAATCTTCCAGCAGCTCCAGCTTGCGCGGTCCCTGTTCATCGACAGCAAGAACCAGGAAATCCAGAGTCTGATTGCAAATGCCGATTACCAGGGCTTGGAGGCTCTGTTGGAGGAGCCTCGGGTAGAGGGTATCATGGATGTGAACAGCTACGAACTCGTTACCGAGCGGACCACATCTCAATCCGGTGGCACTCTTCTGCACGAGGGCGCGAGGAATAAAGATGCGCAGCTTATCGAGATTCTTCTGACGCACGGTGCGGATCCGTTCCGTCGCGACAAGAAGGGCAAGCTCCCGCAAGATGTCACTAAAGATGATAAGACCCGCGCTCTGTTGAAAAAATCACCTGCTGCAGTTATTGCGCAGCGTGGCATTCAAGAGAAGGCCATTCTTGGGAACAGTAACGCTCAGGGACTTGCCGGTCGCGTTTCAACTGGCGATGCACCTTTGGCTGGAAAAGATGCTCGAGAGATGAGAGGCTATCTCAAGAAGTGGACAAACTATACAACTGGATACAAGCTTCGCTGGTTTGTTCTCGAAGATGGAGTTTTGAGCTATTACAAGCACCAGGGTAAGTCGGAAGCATTGACATGTTTACTGAACGTGACTGACGCTTTTATAGATGACGCGGGCTCTGCCTGTCGCGGTGCGATCAACATGAAGATTGCCAGACTTAACATGGATGCTCAAGATAAGACGCGATTTGAGATTCACGGAAAGTCGTCGGTCAAGTACCACCTTAAGGCCAATCACGTTGTTGAGGCAAAGCGGTGGTTCTGGTCCCTTAATAATGCTATCCAGTGGGCTAAGGACGAGGCTAAGGAGGAAGAGAGACAGCGGTCGAAGAACGCAGAAGTGCTTCGCCAAGCTAAGATTGATCAGACAGAAGGTCGAGCTGCCGATACTCCCTCTGAATCTGGACTTTCTCACAAGCCTAGCACTAAGGGTTTGGCCCCACCATCTCTGGGTGGTGCTAGCAGCTCTGGCACAAGATTGAGCACTTATGCATCCCGCACCACTCTCGATATTCCTGCTGGAGATGAAGACAGCTCCGCATATGGAGGGTCTTATGACCAGAGCAACGCCCCCAACGAGATGAACCGAGTGATCAGTCACGTCACGACCGCACCCGAAGGGGACGGCGAAGAAGAGGAGTTCATTGACTATGGTTCAAGCCATGAGAATGATATGCCTGCTGCTGATAAGGATGCCTTGAACATCACTGCGCAGTCCGCGAAGCTCCAATTAGATCTCCTGGCAAACGTCACTGCATCTCTGCAGGCGGAGAAAGCCAAGAACCCCGACATGACGATTACGGATCCCTCGCTCGAGCAAGCCCTTGGTGCATACGAGGCTGCGGTTAGTAGTCTCAAGGGCCTAGTGCAAAACCTGCTCAAGATTTCCCGGGACCGGGACTCCTACTGGCAGTCCCGCCTTGGCCGAGAAGAGTCCATTCGCCAGATGTGGGAAGAGAGTATGGCACGTGTTGCTCGTGAGCACGAGGAACTTCAATCTAAGATGGGAGAGTCAGAGGAAAAGCGAAAGCGGACCAAGAAGGCTCTCAAGGAGGCTTTGGAGAGTGCAACTGGGAGTACCCGTTCAGTCGGAGCTGTGCCCTCGCAAGTACAAACAGAGAACCCAAGCCTTGAGGTCAGTCAAGTGGAAACCGATGCTCCTGAGCCTGCTGAAGCAGAGAAGCCTGTCCAACAACCACCCACCAAGCCTGCTCTCAGCCGCAATGCTTCCACATACTCCACCATGAGCAGTCTTTGTGATTCAGAATCGGATGGGGAGGAATTTTTCGATGCTATCGATGCGGGCGAAATTGAGGTCGAGGATTTCAATAAGGTTGAGAAGAACAAGATGGAAGAGCCGAAGGATGGAACCGCTGAGCTTCGCGCCGTGAAGTCCACTGTCATTGCGCCCTCTTTCAAGGGTTACGAGGAACCTGTACGACAGCGCCTCAAGATGGATGCCGACGACCGGCCTAAGATCTCTCTTTGGGTAAGCATCTGTTTCATTGCTACTATATGTTATTTACTAACCGCAACAGGGTATTCTCAAATCCATGATCGGAAAAGATATGACAAAGATGACTCTTCCCGTATCTTTCAACGAGCCCACCTCGCTGCTTCAGCGTGTGGCCGAGGACCTCGAGTATACTGATCTCCTTGATATTGCTGCCGACCGCACTGATTCTATGGAACGTCTGGTGTACGTCGCGTCTTACGCTGCTAGTGAGTATGCCTCGACGATTGGTCGTGTGGCCAAGCCCTTCAACCCTCTTCTGGGTGAAACCTTTGAGTATGTGCGTCCGGACAAGGGGTATCGATTCTTTGTCGAGCAGGTCAGCCACCACCCACCTATCGGTGCCGCGTGGGCTGAGTCGCCCAAGTGGGACTACTGGGTAAGTTCATTCATATCGCTGTCTTCTAGACCATAACTAATTGTTTCTGCCACAGGGTGAATCTTCCCTCAAGTCCAAGTTCTACGGCAAGTCCTTTGACATCAACCTGCTGGGTACATGGTTCCTGAAGCTGCGCCCTTCATCCGGCGGAGAAGAACTTTACACCTGGAAGAAGGTTACCTCGTCGGTTATCGGAATCATCACTGGTAACCCCACTGTTGATAACTATGGCCTGATGGAAATCAAGAACTGGACTACCGGTGAAGTCTGCTACCTTGACTTCAAGCCGCGGGGCTGGAAGGCCTCATCCGCCTACCAAGTGACAGGCAAGGTCGTCGACAGCGAAGGCTCTCCAAAATGGAGCATCGGCGGTCGCTGGAACGATAAGATCTACGCTCGACACACGCCCGGTTTCGAGGCCCCGGTCTCTGGCCAGGACCCCGAGTCTGACAAGACCTTCCTCGTCTGGCAAGCCCACGAACGCCCCACTGGCGTTCCCTTCAACCTGACCCCCTTCGTCATCACCCTCAATGCCCTACCTGAAGGCCTCAAGGATTGGCTGCCTCCCACGGACACCCGACTGCGTCCCGACCAGCGTGCCATGGAAGATGGTGAATATACACTCGCTGCCGATGAAAAGCACCGCGTGGAAGAGAAACAGCGCTCCAAGCGCAGGGACCGCGATACCATGGGCGAAGTCTATTCGCCGCAATGGTTCGTTCGCGACCAGTGCCCTGTCACTGGCGAGGAGTTCTGGGCCCATAATGGAAAGTACTGGGAATCACGAGATGCGCAAGACTGGAGCAGATCAGAGGATATCTTCTAAGAATCGCCACTTTTGCATTTTGGTTGAGAGGCACATTGATTTTTTGGCCTCTATACTCCGTATAAGACGCTCTGTAACGAATACAACTTGCATCAATCTTTTCACGGCAACATACCTAGGTACCTAGGTATCGTAGGCCATTCAGTAATCATTGGATCCAGAGGATACGCCTGGGCAGGAAACTATAAGGCTATGATGCTTACTCGTTTTTGTTCCAAGTGCTGTCACCTTGAGAGTATGCAACCAACTACCTAGGTAGGAAGTGATATAAGATAATGACTATACCTAGTCAGCCCTAGGAATTTTCCAATTGACCATCTTGAGACATAATGACTGAATTAGTGTTGATAGCAAGTTGCTGCCTTAGAATAATTTACGCCTCAGGCGGCACCCGGGATTATAGGCGAGTCTTGGCATGCAATAGCAACCATCCTATCCGTGGGCTGATCAACTCCCCTCCACATCAGATTGACATCACAATGGCCGGATACACCTGTGTCCAGTGCCTCCAGGTACTCCGCCGAGGGGCCTGGAGCTCAGTGCCCCAAGCTCGTCTTCAGAGCCTTACGCGCCGGAGGGCAATGCCTTCTTTGGTCCGGAGCTTCGGCACGCAACGAAAACCGTTTGGCTCCAGCGAAGCTCAGCCCAAGCATGCTCATGGACAATCGTGTTGCGCGCCCAAGGCTTCGCCTTCTCAGCGAGCAGTCCACACCGAAACAGGACCGTCCCTCATCCGCCCGGCTATGAGACCAACCAATTTATTCCATTCCTTCACAAACTCGCCCGCGCCTGAAATCCGCCAACGCGCCGAGTTCATCAAGCAAAACGCATTCTGCCCACACCCAGATCACCAGCAGACCCGGGCCCCCACCTCGCCGCATGACCCCGAGGCCAGAAAGGAGGCCACCAACGCAAGCCCCCCGGCCCATTCGCATTTCGAATGCCCCGACTGCGGCGTTCCAGTCTACTGCTCCGAGGGCCACTGGATGGACGACTTCGAAGCCCACCTCGAAATCTGTGACACACTCCGCCAGATCAACGAAGACGACCACGATCTGCACTCCGGTCGCTTCTTCCCCGAGTTCGACTACCCCGGTCCCCAGGATGACAACTTTGTCATCAACATGTCAAACTGGGACACCTACCTGTACACCCGTGAATACGAGGCTATCAACGACGACCGTTCCATGCGCCAAGTCACCCGCATGCTCACCTACCCGCAAACCATCGGCAGTGTCCTGCACGAGCTGAGCCCGTACGGCGTCCGTTCCGGTGGCCGTCTTACACCGGAAGGATTGAAGAGTATGAGCGGTATGTTCTGACCCCATCCCATACATTCCCCAAAGCCACCTATGACTAACAATCGCAGCCCTCCGCTACTCTTTGCACCCCCCGAAATCAGGCGAAAGCACCGACATCAAGGGTCTCCGCCTAAAGGCGCCACCCGTCCGAATCTTTATTCTGGGCGCACGCGCCGAATCCTCCCTCCCCCGCGACGTCTGGCTGCAGCTGCAATACATGTACCCACGGGCACTGCTGCACCTGATCTTCATTGGACCGGAGAGCATGGCGAACCGCGACGGTGAATTCCCACTGCCCGAGCGCACGCCCGAGAACCCGTTCGGCGGAATCGTCGAAGACAGACTCGGTGGACAGATGAAGATCACGACGTACGTGGACTATTTCCACACGATGAACAAGGCGCAGTACTTCGGGCCGTTTGATCCTTACCTCGATTGCTTTATGCTGTTCCATCCTGGACTTGGACACCCTGCCAGCTCGCATGAGTGGGAGGAGACGCTGCCGCAGTTGTTGGAGACCAAGGTGCCTATTCTGTGTACTGGTTATACGCAGTGGGATTTGGAGAGGGATATCAATTGGGTTAATGAGAAGTGCGCGGGAGAGTTCGATGTGCTTCTTGAGCCGGGTGAGAACATCTTCCGCAGTTTGAGGTGGGATCTGAATGACCAGGACCCTCATGATGTTTCGTGCGGAAATTGGGGACTCTGGGCTTTCCGTGGAAAGAGATATGAGGCCAGCTTCGTTAAGGAAGATTAGGTAGCGAGCCTTCTTGTACGATATTGTTTTGTTTTTTGGTTCCTGAAGCCATTGTAGTAGATATTCTCATTTCACATCTCATCGATATTCACATTGTTCATACTCGTACTGGTTCCACCATGATATCACTCAATGCACGTTCGAACGAGGCATGATCGACCACCTTGAACACTGTCAGTTCGGCTTATCTCAAGGTCAGCACCATGGCACTGTTTGATCCATGCTAATCGAGGTTCTTAGCCATGCGCCGATTGTCAAATAACCCCACATGACTAGACTTCCAGCTGAATTGCATGCAAAGAGCAATTCGATTTCAATACACTCTACCCTGTACACCAAAGCAACGGGAACAAGACCATGAAATGTGTAAATTGTCAAAAGATTATGTCATTGATATCAAAATTGTAAACTCGTAAGTCTTACACTCGTACAATAGTAGTGTGACATCCAAGAGCAAAGATGCAAGCACCAATGCGAAGAAATTAGTCGGAAAAAAGCATTATAAATGCTGCATCAAAAGGGGAGTGTCGAAGGGAAAGGGTATAGACATAAATCAGATCGAAACCGTAACCAGAAAATAAAGGGTCCAAAAATAAGGCACGGTGAAAGAAGAATATGTAAAGAAGAAAAGATCCCAGTAGAGTCGGGAGAGATCCGAAACCATTCTAGATGGCCGAATGTCAGGATCGTCAAGATCGAAATAGCTCCATCCACTCTGCGAGAGGGGTGTTTAGATCACGAGAAGACCCGCAATGGCGACCACGCCCGCTGCGACAGCGCCGGGGAGCTGGTGGGCCCCGGCGCCGGAGGCAGGAGCGGAAGTGGTTGCGGCGCCCTGGGTCTCAGAGGCGGTGGCCTTGATCAGCGGGGTAGAGCTGCTGGCAACCTTGGACATAGAAGCACTGGAGAAGGGAGTGCTGGTGGACTTGGGGGTCCAGGTTGAGGTGGGAGTCTCAGTGGACGTGGGCGTCACGGTGGAAGACGTGGTTGGGGTTGGGGTTGAGGTGGGGGTTGCGGTGGTCGCGGGAGGAGTGTAGCCGGAGGGCACCAGAGTGAGAGTCTGGGTGCTGGCTGAGGCAGATGCCTCTGGCGCGACGGCACCGAATGCAATGGGCGCAAAGGCCAGCAGGAGGAGAGACTTGAATTGCATGATGTGGATCTTGATGTTGATGTTGTTATTGGGGTCGGGTTCGTGTTTGCGGTTAGATCTCGCGATTGTAGTTTCAAAAAGAGTGAATGGAGCTGAGAAATGAATGCGACAGCCCGTGTGCGAAAGAGAAAAAGAGTGACACTGTTAATTAACGAGAGAATGGTTGAGAAGAAGAGATTGCGGGAAATGAGGTTTCATCTAACGGGCCCGCTTGTCTCGTTTGGGGGCTAGACTCCGACGTAATCCCGTGTCCACAGCAACATCGGAATGCTTCGACTGCCCTTCTACTATAACAGTACTATACAGTACTTCCTCTATAATTCATGCGCTGATCAATCAATTCATTTCGAGCAAGTATTATAATAGTACAGCTTCCGACCGGGGTATCAATAAAACTGCAAACAGCCATCCCAATTCGTCTTCGCATTAAGGGCTCCCATTCACAAGCCAGGTTGGAGCCAATATACCCAGCAAAGACCAAGGCCGAAGCACAAGCCAAGAAAGCCAAGGTTAAAGAAATATCGAAAACGAAAGCAAAAAACAACAACAAAAACAACACGGGTTAGGTTTAGAAGTAGACCATGCCCACCACCGTAGCAACAGTCACCCAGAACCCACTGGCTTCCAGAGCCGTGGCAAGAGGCGAGCCCCCGGAGCTCGAATCACCACTGGCAGCAGTAGTGCCGTTGGGCAAAGTTCCATTGATATAGATGGTCTCCGTGCCATTCGCCTCCTTGACGACGCGCACGACGCTGGAGTTCTTGGGCTCGGTACCATTGAACAGAGACTCGTAGTAAGTGCGATTGGTATTGTCATCACATCCACACTCAGAGTATTCCTGACACACGCAAATCACAGGGTAGGTCTCGTTCTTGTGCTCGTCCTGGTTGTAGTAGTGGTAGTTGTGCGAGTAGGGGTAGGCGTAGGCGCTGTACAGCCAGATACCGGGGAAGAAGCCCAGGGCCGCACCACCGAGGACATACGGGGCGATATTGCTGCCCTTGGAGCGAGATCCAGATCGGTAGGGTGTGGTGGCACCGCCGGCGTAGTAGCTGCCTTTGCCGTAGCTGGCTCTCGTGCCGGAACCGGAGCTGGTCGTCCCACCGACGTTGCTGGAGCCACTGCGGCTGTTAGAGCTGCCCGAGCTGCCCGAACTGCCGGAGCCTGATGAGCCTGTACGACCACCGCTGCTGCTGGAGCCCGATGAGCCACTGCTGCCGGAACTTGAGCCACTGCGGCCTCCACTGCTTCCTCCTGAGCTGCCACTGGAACTGCCACTGGAACCACCACGTCCTCCGCCACCACCGCCGCGGCGTTTCTCGAGGCTCACAAAGTGGGAGAGTTCAGTGGAGGAGTCTCCATCTGTGGGATCGGATACCTCGGATCCGGGAATAGCCAGTGACCAAGCACTGGTCGAGAGAAGCAGGAGCGTTGTCCCCCAGGCGAACTTCATGGTGAAGTCTTTTCAGTAGATATTGAGATAATCAGTGCGGACTGAAGAGGATCGAGAGTTGTATAGGAGCAAAAGTCAAGTCCAAGTCAAGATGTAACTATAATGGAAGCTGCACCGTAACAAGCGAGTGACGAAATAATGAACAGGAACATCCTTAAAGACCAAAAATCATCAAAGTTTGGCACAGCCTCGGGGCTAAAAAGTGAATGGGCCCTTTTTTCGCCCCTTACCCACTCCTCGTATCGATGACTTCAGAGTCAGCGGATAATTGTGAAGGGTCTGGAGTATAATAGCATAATAGTACGGAGTAGATGCTAGGGGTCTTCATGTCTACCCCACTGACACCTGCATGTACTTCTGCGTCTTCATCTACCTACTAGTACGTACCACTACGGTGTACCTATAGTACACTCCTAGTACTCAAGCCCTGGACTATATTATACACTAAAATGCCTTCGCTTTCACAACGACTTCTACTCTCATAATTGACTCCGCTATAGCAATGCGCCTTGTGCCCGGCATGGTGAGGCTCAGTCCTGCGCCCCGCTGAAAGAGTCGGTGTGCTGAATTTAATTTGAAAGAAAACCTGAGGGCCGTAATCCACTCCAGAGTGCGCAGTAGGCGACTAAGAGCAATAGTTCACTACTAGTAGTTGTTGATACTAGTGGTCGAGAGGATCACCGGGGCTCCGGTACTGAGCCTCCCTCTCTCTTTCACACTCTTCTCTCTGCAGGCTCAGAGGCATGGCACGACAAAGAGGCCTCTCAAATGCCTCCTCCGCCTCCTCCGTCCCAGACCAGGTATGGAGGCCAACCAACATTCTAAGCCCCAAGCTAACCGCCCTCAGGAGCTGGGGAGTATGTACGACTACCTAGCGAAGATCATCCTCCTAGGACCCAGCGGTGCCGGAAAGTGAGCGCCCCCAACCCAACACAGAATTTCCCCGCGCTGACATCCCAGATCCTGTGTCCTACACCGATTCGTCAAAGAAGAATGTACGCAATACCCCAACTCCCCATCCCCAATCCAGCAACTAAACCAACCCAGGGCGGGTCCTCTCCTCCCAGACCATCGGCGTTGAATTCGCCTCACGGATCGTGAAACTCGGCACCGGCCCTCGCAGACGCCGCATCAAGCTCCAACTCTGGGACACCGCAGGCACAGAGCGCTTCCGCTCCGTCTCCCGCTCTTACTACCGCGGCGCAGCGGGCGCAGTCCTGATCTACGATGTCGCCTCGTACGCCTCCTTCGCTTCCCTCCCGACCTTCCTAATGGACGCCCGTGCCCTGGCATCCCCCAACCTATCCGTCATCCTGGCGGGTAACAAAGTCGATCTCGCAGACGAGGATCGCCCTCCGCCCACGCCCTCCAGCGTCTCCAGCCGTGTCTCATCCATCCCCTGGGAGAATGGATCGATTCGATCGAGTCCCGGGACGAGATTGACGGCTACGCGCGCGGAAAGAGATGTTAGTTCAGAGGAGACATCACACTGGGCTGCCAAGTCCAATATCCCCGTTGCGGTGGAGGTGAGTGCTCTGACGGGGGATGGGGTGGAGGAGATATTCAATCGGTTGGCTAGGATCATTCTCACGAAGATTGAACTCGGGGAGATTGATCCAGATGATCCCTCCAGTGGGATTCAGTATGGAGATGGAGGACTATATCATGGGAGCGATGAAAGTATTCGGAGTCGGGCTACGGACGACAATTCCATGCCCATGCGCAGGAGGAGGGCGGGAAGACCGCCATCGGGGAATGGATGGAAAGGGGGCATGAGGGAGTGGGAGGATGTGTTTCGCTTGGGCTCAAGCCGAAGAAACCAGGGCTGCTGCTGAGCGTTATTTGTTTGGACGTTGACTTTTTTTTTGGCTCGTTTTGCTCACGATACCCATCTTGATTCTTCTGCGAGTATTGAGTATTTAATTCTAGACTTTGGACAACTTTTCGTTTCTTTTTTGGCTCTCTGCTAATTCACAACGCCCCCCCAAAAACCAAATGACCAATAACCCCGATTTTCATATAGATTCGTTTACTCATCAATGCCAGCAATCAGGGTCTTGATGCCCTTGCCGGCCTTCACCTCAATGAATGCCTGCTCCGCCTGCTCAAACTTGACAGTGCCGGTGATGAGCTTCTTGACATCCACCTTGCCGGACGCAACCAGGCCCACAGCGAGCTTGTAGTCCCCGCTTCCGTACCGGAAGCTACCCTTGATGTTCAGCTCCTTCGAGCAGGCCGCCATGATAGGGAACTGAATCTCGCTGCGTCCCATACCGCCCTGCACGTAGGTACCACCGTTGCGAAGAACGTGAATACCAGTGTGCACAGAGGGCTCGGCACCAGAAGCATCAATCGCCACATCAGCACCAGAACCCAGGTCATTTTCGGCCTTCAGACGCTCAGCATTCTCTGTCGCGGCAACCTTGCCCGGCATGAAGGTCGAGGTAGTCGCGTACCCCTGCGCAAAGTCCAAGCGCTGCTGCTGAATATCCACGGCGATGACCTTGGCCGCACCGAACGAGGTCGCCACAGCACAGCACAGTAGACCGACGGGTCCAGCACCGAAGACAACCACAGTCTGCCCGGGACTCACACCGGCCTGTCGGACAATGTGCACAGCAACGCTCAGAGGCTCCATCAGCGCACCCTCCTGCAATGACAGGTTCTCGGGCAGCTTGTAGCAGAAGTCCTCAGGGAGAGTGTAGTACTTGGCGAGGGTGCCGTCGTAGGGTGGGGTGGCGGCGAAGCGCATGTTCTCGCACAGGTTGTATTTGCCTGCCTTGCAGGGCTCGCAGCGGCGGCATGAAATTCCGGGTTCCATGGCGACGCGGTCGCCGACTTTGAGGTTCTTGACGGCGGATCCAACCTTGCTGATGATACCTGCGGACTCGTGGCCCAGGACCATAGGGTCTTTGACGACGAAGTTGCCAATTGCGCCGTGCTCCCAGTAGTGAACCTGAACTATTAGCCTTATGTCGGGCTGCTGTGGTGGTCCTGTGCTGTACGTACATCGCTGCCGCAGATACCGGTGAATTTGACATTGATGATCACATCGTGGGGATCCTTAAGCTCGGGAACTGGACGGTCTTCATATTTGACCTTGTGAATGCCCTCGAGGACGAAAGAGAGGTTCTGAACTTGTCAATACTCTATCCGCTGTCGGGTCTTGTTGGGACTTACCTGTGCTGTGGACATTGTATATATGGAGGGGCAATGGAATCCGGGGAGATCACTGCGGGGATGGAGGAAGAGTGAAGTAGCGAGCTTTCGGCCGGGAACGAGCTAGCTATATAGTCACCGGGTCGCAATTGGGATATGAAAACTGGATCTCCGGGATAAAATGAATTGAACCGACAGCACACACCGATAACAGCTAGATGGAGTTCCACAATGAGATCAAGAGGAGTGGATCGGTCTTTTGAAGGTCTTTTAGCCGCGATATTAACCGGCGGGATCGTCTTGCCTCGCGATGCACCGAAGAGGCAAGTCCATGTGACCCGCCACTGTGACTGTATCCTTACGTTTTAGTACTTGGAGCCCTGGAGTCCGGGAATCTCTGGAGTACGGAGCTATACATGGACGTTTGTTTACATGTATAGAACAAAGTACTGGTATACTTGGCGTATACCTGTATCAATTGTATATAATTATCTAACGGAAGTACATTATAAAGAGTAAATATGATATTTCTAAAGTGGCGTGTATAAAAACAATTGAGAAAAGCGAATGGCGATATACACGTAGTAATCCATCCCCGGGGCCCAGGTGCCCCGGTGATGCCAAGACTCCGGAGCTCGGTCCGACCTCAAATTGCTTCAAGCTTCACTTAGACACCACCCAAGATGGTTCGATTAACCCCAGCCTTGACCCTAGGGGCCCGCAGTCTACGGACGCGCCCAGCACCTCGTCTCCGCCAATTTGGAACATCCGCCCCCAAATCCAAAGAGAATGCCTCGTTCAAAAGCCAACTCTACGAAAGCACCCAGCAACGACTGAAGCGCGAGCGCGCGGAGCAGGAGAAGTTCGCTCAGCTGCAAACGCAATCCCCGGCCGGACGCAACGCAGCCCTTATCTTCGGTATGGTGAATCACATCCGTATGGCTCTTCATCCCTAACTCGACTAGCCCTCGTGTTCTTCTCCACGGGCGCCTACTACCTGGGATCTCTCAAGCCCGCCGCCCTCCCCTCGGCCTCGACAACACCGCTGTCCGACGTTGATCCACTGAAGCACAACGTCTCCCAGTCGAATCTGCAAGCCGCGTGGGCGGATTTCGTCGCAATCCTCGGCGCAGACCATGTATCCACGGCAGCTGGCGACCTGGAGTCGCATTCCGGCTCGGATTGGTCTTCCTACTCCGCCAAGGCTGACGAGAAACCCTTCCTGATCCTGTACCCCTCAACTACGGAGGAGGTGTCACAGATTATGAAAGTTTGTCATCAGCGTGTGATCCCCGTGACGCCGTATTCCGGCGGAACCAGTCTGGAGGGCCACTTTGCGTCGACGAGAGGTGGAGTGTGTATTGATTTCCGGCGCATGGACAAGATCCTGCAGTTGCATAAGCGGGACTTGGACGTTGTGGTACAGCCCGCGCTTGGGTGGGAGGAGTTGAATGAGGTTATTGGCCAGGATGGACTATTCTTCCCGCCTGATCCTGGCCCTGGCGCGATGATCGGCGGAATGGTTGGCACGGGATGCTCCGGGACGAATGCGTACCGCTATGGAACTATGCGCGAGTGGGTGCTGTCGCTCACGGTTGTTCTTGCTGATGGAACCGTGATCAAGACTCGACAGCGCCCACGCAAGTCCAGTGCTGGGTACGATCTCACTAAGCTGTTTATTGGCAGCGAGGGAACCCTTGGTCTGGTGACTGAGGCGACTCTGAAGTTGACGGTCAAGCCCCAGAGCCAGAATGTGGCTGTTGCCAGCTTCGGTACCATTTCCAACGCCGCGGAATGTGTGACAAACGTCGTTGAGGCTGGTATTCCTGTCGCTGGTGTTGAGATTCTGGATGATATTCAGATGAAGTGCATCAACGCCAGTAAGACAACTAGTCGCCAGTGGAAGGAGTCCCCTACTCTGTTCTTCAAGTTCACTGGTACCCAGGCTGCGGTGAAGGAGCAGATCAGCATGGTGCAGAAGATTGTCTCTGGTACCTCTGGCAAATCATTCGAGTTTGCCCGGGGCGAGGAGGAGATGACTGAGCTCTGGAGTGCCCGCAAGCAGGCGCTGTGGAGTGTCATGGCTATGAAGAGGACACCCGATGACCATGTCTGGACAACTGACGTCGCGGTGCCGATGAGCAAACTTCCTGATATCATGGAGGCCACCAAGGACGACATGACTAAGAATGGATTGTTGGCTGGTATCTGTGGCCATGTCGGTGATGGAAACTTCCACGGTAAGTCAAGTTGAATATTTTTGGGTTCGTTCGTTCTAACGAATACAGCGATCATCTTGTTCAATGAAAACGAGAAGAAGAAGGCCGAAGGCGTTGTGCACCGAATGGTGAAACGCGCAGTGGAGATGGAAGGCACCGTCACCGGTGAGCACGGTGTTGGTCTTGTCAAGCGAGACTACCTCGAGCATGAGTTGGGTGAATCTACAGTCGATGCTATGCGCCGGGTAAGAACTCTTAACATTCCCAAAATCTGCTTTTACACAAAGCAAAGGCTAATGGTCTGAATTCTAGCTGAAACTGGCTCTCGATCCCCTGCGACTGCTCAACTGCGACAAGGTTGTCCGCACCGAGCAGCCTGCCGCCGGAGAAGTCAAGGAATGGTAGACGCGTTCGCCAAATGGAACAGAGATTCTAACACAGCATCCCGGAGCCCATCACATGGCTATTTAAGACGAGTCTGAACCAGACCGTTCGTGGTGGTGGTGATGGCGGCGGTGATGGTGGTGACGCTCCTCGTCACTGCCACTGCCATAAGCGCGCTCCTCATAGCGTCGCTCGACACGGTATCCATCACCACCCTCGTACTGCCCACCATAGCCCTCCTGGGGCCTATAGCCGGAGCCTTCGAACTCGTTGTAGCGAGGCTGAGGTCTTCCGTAGGACTCTCTGTACACCTTGTCAATACTGTACCATACCAGATAATGCAAATAACTTACTGTTCATACTCGCGAGGGGGTGGAGGTCCTCCGTATCCATACTGCTCACGAGGAGGTCCGCCATATCCTCCGCCGTACCCTCCGCCGTACCCACCACCATATCCATCGCCAGGGGGTGGGCCTCCGTAGCCAACCTGCTCTTCCGTGCGGTATTCAGAGTGGCTACTCTGGTAGGTCTCACGTCTCTCTTCCTGGTAATAGCCCTGGCTCTCCGAATGACGGGAATGGTACTCCTGGCGTTCGTAGTTCTCCGCAGGTGGCGCATATCCAGAGTACTCATCACGACGCACAGGGGGCTGTCCGTAAGTGGTTTCGCTTGAGTATTCATATCCACCAGGAGTGGGACGGAACTCTTCATGGTGAACAGGAGCAGGGGCACCGTAGCCCGAGCTTCCCTGGTAGCCATACTCAGGACGAGACTGCACTTGGCCGTACGAGTCTCCTCCGTATTGCTGACTCTCGTGCGGACGACTCTGGTAGTCATTTCCACTGTCATAGGAGTGTGTCTGGGGCTCTGGGCTCTCCCGTCCAGGCTTGGAGTTGTTGTTCAGAAGCATGGAGCCCATGCCTCCTACAATCCCACCGAGCAGACCGCCCAGCGCGCCGCCTCCCACGGCCTCGGAGGCAATTCCCTCGATAGCGGAGCTACCAGAGTCCTGACCAGAGCCGCCACCGTTGGTCTTGGGAAGTGCGAGAGGCTTGCCACATCCGTGACCACAGTCCTGAACACCGTCCTTGTGGTTGCGGCCTTCTTGGACACCATCACGGCTGAGTTGGTCGCGGAGGATGTCACGTTCGTCGTCATCCTTCTGACTCCACCACTTTTCAACTGTTGAGAACATGATTTGACGCATGTCGGAGGCGCCGTCGCGGCCTGCATCGCGGTGAGCTGGATGGTGGAAAACACCGGCGATGATTCGGTCGAGAGTTCGGTCGACATCGGCATCTTCGTGATCCCAGCATTGCATGAGCTGGGGGACGGACCACTTGACAACTTCGGATGCGATACGTCCAGCTGGCTCGTTGAGGATGTTAGAGAAGTGGTCCTTGGAGAGCATGGAGTGGGTAGGGTTGGAGCACTCGTCATCGTTGAAGACGATGTGTTGTTGCTCTCGGCTGCTTTGAATCACCTCTGACGAGCCGGTCTCCAGCTCCGACTTGACCTGCTTGATGATGGGCAGGACATAGGGAGCCAAGATGGAAAAGACAAAGACGGTGATCTGGTCCTGGATTTGTTCGATGAGCTCAGGCAGGACTGGAATCTTTTCGATGGCCTCGTTGATGCGCTTCAAGAGGTTGTCGTGCCACTCGAGGACAGGGTAGATCTGCTTCTGGACATTGTTTAGGTAGAGAGTCCATTCTTCGGGCTCGCGGGGGTTGATATCCTGACTGTCATGTCTAGCGTCATCGGCCTTAGACTTGAAGTCATCCATCTTGTCGGTCTGGTCATTGCTATCACCGAGGAGACCCTCGGGGATCTTGGATAGCAGGTTCTGCAGGAAGCTCTCGGAGGCGTCTTGGTTGTCCGACTCGGTGATGGCGTTTTCCAACGACTGCAGTTCAGACTGCATTGTCTTATCAGACAGTTCGCCCAAAACGGAGTGGAAGAAATCCACACCACCAAAGGTACCAGTCACAATGGGATAGACCTCTCCAGCTCCCTCGACCTCCAGTCTAGTGTCACGTCCGACGTGAGGGAAGACATCATTCTCTCCGAGTTCAATCAGAGTGAGTTCTGTGTAGTTCGAGTGGGCAGCAAAGTCCTCCAAACAGTGCAGGCCAGTTCCCAGAAGTCGAAGGGCTTCATAAAGATCGTCCTTGTCTCCGGACTGACCATAGCGGCGACCGAGCTGAATTGAGCGACCAAGAACACGACGAATGAGAGCAGCCGAGGTATCGATACCCGCATCCTCGTTAGCGATGTAATTTTTCAATCCTGTATCCCCTAGTGTAAGCCAAGTCTCCATGCAGCGAGTCATGATTCAAACTCGTACCAGTACGGTAGTCAACAGAAAGTTCCCGATCTTCGTCGATGGGGCCACGCAGACGACGGTCGTAATTGCGCGCATCTTCACCCTCGGCGTATCCAAGTGGGTTATCAATATGCTCGGTGGGCTGGTAGCATCCCAAGCGCTCCGTCGTAACTTCGAATTCTTGGGTTCCGTATCTGATAAGGTTTAGTACATGCGAAATAGTCCTCGCCCAAAACCTCTTACCCGAAGCTCATGAAGCCAAGCACCCAGATCAGAATGCGAATCGCTTCTGCACTGACGTACTTGACGGTACCGACATCGACTGCCTGACTGTAATCACGCAACCAGTTACCAAAGTACACACGCTTGACATCCAGCTTGCCGAATTTCTTGCCGCCCGCTGATCTCGCCAAGTAGAGGGCGAGGAGGGCATCTTCGATATCTCCATGACGCCAGTTCTGGCCTTCCAATTTGGAGAGAGATGCGATGTTACCAGCGCCAAAGGCGTGGACCTGGCTGGAGAATACAACCAGGAGTAGTAGGGAAAGCCCTAGGTTCTGTAGAGAGAGACCCATGGAGGTGAATATGAGGGGTGATGCTGAAAAAGAAAAGGTGGGAAACAGGAAGATGTCAAACCCCCACCACGTAGGGAATACACGTCAAACAGATTTCATGGTGGGGGGAGACAATCAGTACGCGCTTGGCTGCAGCTCGCGCTGCCATTTGTTCCGAGGTTGGTCTTGGCTGTCTTGGCGTTGATGATCTTCTGGCTTTCATCTGCATATGATGTAGGCTTTGGCACGGTGTACGGGGTATCGATCTGCTTGATCTGATGCATAAAGGGAATAAGAGCAGCCAGGGGTAGGGGATGAACAGCTGGGGAATAGTGGGAATACGGAGGGGTTGGTGCTGATATTGAAGCCATTCCCATACTCGGGACGTCCTTTACACAGCCCTGGAGAGCACAGGGGATGAGTTCTGCGTAGTCGACAGAGCTCTAGCGCCGACTGTGACAGGATCCACACATGACAAAGAGGTTCGTCGGGTAGATCTGAAGGGACATGAACTAAGTACGTGTACTCCGTACACGGGAATAGAGATATCTAGGGAAGATCGGAAAGGAATGTATTGAAAAGACGCATCGGAGGCGCATAGAATGGCAATAGAAGGTCGCTAGGCTTTCTAGAGGGAATGCATAGTGGGGAGAGTAATCTCCACTGGGTGGATTTAAGATGAGATGAAGCAATAGGAGGAAATGAAGTTATAAATAGGGGAGAAATAGGGAGAGAATCAGGAGAAAAGGAGAGTATAGCGACATAATCACCGCATGCGGTCTCGACCCGTCGCACTCCGCCCTCACCGCCGTCCCCTTTTTCTTTGGTGATATAATCGAAGACTTTTCCTCTTCTCGTTCAGAGGTCTTTGCTTGCTCTGTTCTCACATCGGCTCTTTCGCCCCGATATGTTCTAGTCCGACTCAGCATCTCACTCTTGCGCATAAGCGCTTATCTGAGCGTCTTTGCGTCCTTCCCCGCTGATGCCTTCGCCCCCTCAACTTTCAACCCCCTCTCACTTCTGAACTCGCTTCAATAAGAGCTGTGAATCTTTGAGATCCTACTCTCCGTTCTCCGTGGCATCCCGTTTAGATCTGCGCCAATCTTGCAGATCTTCTTCTCTCCGTGATCCCCTCCACCACCATGCATCACGCGATCCACAACTAAAAGGACTTGTCACATTGACTTTGAGAGTGTGGTTCCCCGCCATGGCTCGTGCGGAAGTCGAATTCTCTCGTGAGGCGGTTTTACCAGCCTACAAAAACCGACTCATGGGGGAGACTGGGTCGCTCCAGCGTCCTCAAAAAGCGCGTCCCAGCCTCGAATCCAGACGTACAGCCTCCTACAATATCTTCCCGCCTCAGAATCTCAACGACTCTCAAGGGTTCCCCTTTCCCGATGTTTCCGACAACACGCGCTCCCCCGTGGAACGTCGAAAGCGCGGTTCCATGGCCTCCAGCTTTGCGCACGACGCTCACATGGAACAGCCCTGGCTCTCAGAGTCACATCAGTTGATGAACGCGTCTGAAAACAACACTTCCTCCGAAGGTCTCGACTATCGCACTCACAAAAGTAAATCAGTGAAGCCGAGGGTGCACATCAAGCCCATCTTGCGAAAAATGTCTCGGGATGACGCGACATCGACCTCGATTGATTTGTCTCGATCCTCTACCGAGCAAGAAGGACTGGGTATCTACATGAACTTCGAGCGAGAGCGCGGTGGCTCTGTGACAGGCGTCACATACAAAAGAACGCCATCCGGTCTGCACAATCGATCCACCAGTGGAACCTCCCAATTCTCCAACGGGTCCGGATCCAGTGGAGGAAAGCCTGGATCTCAGTATGTGCATCCAATGCGGCAAACCCCCCGCGCATATACACCACCACTGGGCCAGTCCTACCAAGAGTCGAACGACAGCGACGACCTCGATGAAAGTCCCGAGTCAGAGCCCGCAGGCCTGCCGGAGTCGTATTCCAGCCAAGCGCCACCCCGACTGTCATTGCAAATCCAAGATGACTCGCTCACCCGTCTCCCTTCGATCTCGCAAACCAACGTGACCAGTCGGCCATCCTTCAGCTACTCGCGGGATTGGGACTCTACCACATCCCCAACCTCCCGAGCTTCCCTCGACTTTGTGTTCCGATCTCGAACCCGAACCAGCACCGATCCCATTTCTCGTGCAGCCACTGTACAAGCAGCTCGCCAGGCCTTTGAGGAAAAAGAAGCCGAAAAGAGCCGACGCCTCGAAAAGCAACAAATCAAAGCTGAAGAAAGGGGCAGTCGACGCCGTTTGAAGCGACACACCTCCTCCAATGGTCCCGAGTCACCCGTCTTGCAGTCGAGTGAAGATGTTTCTGAGAAGCCCCGAGGATCCACCATTCATGAAAGCGAAACAACCTCCCCCTCGTGGAAGTCGCAATCAAAAAGCACCTGGGTGCTCTTCATGACATGGCTCCGGACTCGGATCTTCAAATTGAAGCGAAAGATCCGCAAGCATTGATTTAGAATCTTTCGTCTTCATTTTTCCTTGTGTTATTTCCTATGTTATTTCCTTTTCTTTTTTCTCTTTCTGTTCCGGTTCATACCAATGAGCGAGCGATTTATGGTTCCTGCCTTCTGACATGGGAGTTTTTTGCACTTTATGGGAACATCGCTCGAAATGAGCTGGATACAAGGCGTTCGGTTTGCTGCCTTTGCAGCGCATGCATTTGATTGCTCTTGGGATTCGCAGGCCGACAATCCGAGTGGAACAGGCACATCTCAGAGCATTTCATGCATGGAAATGAGAAAGTGGTGACATGGGTCCCACAATGCTAAGTGACTTTATGAATTGAAATCAAAAAATCTACAATTATCAATCGTGCCCCTGAGTAAACCTCCAGGGCTGTCCGTAAATAGCACCACACTGTGTACATGAAATACTCCTTACTGAAGCCCGGGCCCATGAACCCGGTGGACCGACCTCGGGAGGTTCGTCTGACGGGCGGCCCCGGGGCAACGGCTTTCCAAGGTTCGGGCCATCGATAAGACCTTATCGAGCACGTGACCAAAGTGCGCGACTGTCACGTTGCGCCCGCGAAGTCCCCCAATCCCCCAAAATACGGCGCACAGCAGCGACAATAGACGACAACCATCTGATAAGCTAGCTCCACACCTACCTGTCTATCTCTCCCACGCGCCTCTGGGGAGGTAGCGCCCACCATGGTCTACGATTGGGCTGGGAAGCGGGAAATCTGCTACCAGATGTACATCGAAGAAAAGAAGCCGCTGGAGGAAATCATGGAGTATATGCGGACCGCCTACCAGTTCGCGCCCAGGTATGTTTTCCCTATTTAACCTATGACTCAATAATTGACCGCAATCTTCCAGTAAGCGCGCATTTCAAACCCAGTTCAAGCGATGGGAGTTCCCATCCAAGCAGAATCCAGCACACAAGAATGTCGATTTGGTCGTCCGCGTGAAGAACCTCTGGGAAAAGAACACCAGTCAGCGGGATATGCTTCGCATACTGAACGAAGAAGGCTTTGAGATAAAAGAGAGGGAGTTGATGCGAGTGCGCGCGAAGAATCGTTGGCTATTGCGGGTTCCCAATGGGATGAAGTCCCATCCCAATGCCGAGGTGGAGGCAGTGAACCCCGAAGATGAGGGGCTCCTTGCCTTGCAGCAGGAGGTTTATAAGGTTCAGAGCGCACTGGATGATCCGGACGCGCTTCCAAATGAGCCCGATTCTGAGCGACGGACGTCCGAGTCCCACGCTCTGTCGCCCGAGGTCATTGCAAAAAGGCAGGAGCGACTGGATCGCCTCAAGACAGAAAGTGCAGAGCGTTGGGCTTCTAGGAAACGTCGTCGTCGCACCCGAGGCTGGGCTGGTTTACCGGCTGACCCCCCTGGACCTCCCCGCTTCCCTTCAGAGACGACTATTGATGAGAGCAAGCAATATCTCAGTCTCGACAATAACATGTACCGCCAGACTAGGGATCATTTCCAGCGAATATGCGAAGAAGCCGGGTTTATAAAGAAAACAGCGGCTGGTCCTGAGAGATGGCAGGCTGCAAAGGACAAATTGATCCAAGAATCCCCACATTTACAACAGGTCTTCAATGCCGATCCGGCCCAACGTGATGCAAAGGTACTTGCGCTTGACGTTGTTTGTACCGATGTTACAAAACGGATGCGAACCCTGGAGAGGCGGATGACTATCGCAGAAGCAAAAAACGCATTAGGAGTCAACCCGGAAGAGAGCCGACAGATTCGAAATGCTTTCTACGACACATTGAAAGTCGACCATTTTACCAGCAAATTGGAGGCCGGAGACGAACACTGGCGCGAGCTGAAAGACCAATGGATCGCGAACTCGGAGTTACTACAGCGCATACTCGCCCCTGGGCAAACCGATCCAGATCATGCCAACAAACTAAAGGCCCTGGAGGTGCTTTGTCGCGATGTCATGAAGAGACTGCGAGATGATCAAACCAAACGTGATCCAGCCCGCAAGAGATCTACGGGACGCGCCGAGTCTCGCAACCCCACTCCCACAAATACAAATACCGCGATGGGCAATATGCTGGGCAATGAAATTAGCAATGGGATCAGCACGCTGGCCTCTCAAGCCCTGGCCAGTGCGCCGATCGCCGCCACTGAGATTGGAGATATGCAAATTGATCCTTCTCTTCTCCAAGCAGCCAACGATCCGTCATTCACAAATCCCCATGGAAATGGTACCTTCGAGTACGTGGGCACTATGCTAAGCTCCGAAATACAAAATACCCCCGTCTACTTCCAGATTGGTCCATCGTCAGAGACGGCGAAGCCATGGCTCGAGAAGCTTACTACCTGCACGGTGGAAGAACTCCGCCAGCTGATCGACGCGAGGTATCCCTATTCTATCATTTCCAGAATCGAGGGCATTGACAGGGATGGAGACGGGCACGAGATCCCGTTCTCTATCGAAGAGGATCATGACTTGGATGCTTACTTGACCCATGTGCATGGAAGGAGGGCTCTACTTGTATTTACTATCTGAGCATTAATTAATTTGCTAGCTCAATACCTAGGTACACCGATGGGTGTGATTTTGTATCACCTGGGTAAAATATCATTACGTTCTGACATGACGCTTTGAGCATTCCAAGTTCAAGATGACCCGTGAAATGTAAAGGCTTCATTCAAGCTTCATTCAGAACAAAGCCACTGGCAAGTTTCATTGTTCCAAGTTCGAAGAAGACATAAACCTTGGAAGTAAAAAGTATTATCGGCATGGACAGGTCCACTCCGCAAAGTGAAAACGACGACCGAATGCGTGAGAACAGATATGTAAAATCATGATAATTTTGAAATACCAAATGTAGGCATATAAATATACATTGTTCGCTGTCCACAATTCCAAGTTTCAAAAATAAAACATCCCAACCGCTACACCTGTGCACCGAAAACCCATAGACCCTTTAGTTTGAACCGAGGGTCTGAACCACGTTCCTGAAGAGGACACCAATAGCAGGCAGAGAGAACGAAGGAGTCTCGCCAAACACACCAGCCAGACCCTTTGTCTGGGCAGAGAAATCAGCCACGTCCTCAATTTGGGCCTGGGCAGGCTTTTCTGTCCGCGAAAAGAGAGTTGACAACCCGCTGTCGATTTGTCCAGTCACATCACGGGACTGGTTATTCTGGCTCTTCTGAGAGGCCTTGTCTAGGCAACCAAGGCGCTGCACGGTGGCGGCGGAATCGAGAACAATGTAGTCGCCTGAGTAAGCATCCGCGAGCAGTGAAACGGGTGCGCTCTTGAGAGCTTCCTGGAAGACGACTTCGAAGGTGGAAGCGTCATAGATCTTGATTTCGAATCGAGCCTTGTTCTTCTTCTTGTGGGCTGTGGCAGAAGTGATCGCGAGGGAGTTGGTGCGCGCATTCACGGCAATCATGGTGTTTTCAGTGCCCTGCGAATCGACAGAGTCAGATGACTGGATGGTGCGGACGACGTCGTCCACCGCATTCCATGCAACGACTGAGTGGGTGGACGCGATGATTAGTTGGCCTCCCAGGAAACTGGTAGAGCAAGGGTTTCCTAGGAAGACGCCTGTTCGGCGATAGTGCACAGAACATTCGCGAGCGTCGATCAGGAGAACAAGGCCGTCGTTGGCTGCCGATGTTGCGGGCAGGCAAACGGCCAAGACGGAGCCATCCTCAGAGAATGACATACAAGCAGACTTCAAGGATGAATCTTGGGCAGTGTCAAGACAGCCCTTGAGATCGACGATACCTCGGCACTTCCAAGTGTTAAGCTGCTGTTCGGGCTGGTCCTTGGCCCTGAGGCCACTGCGATGTTTGACAGTTGGGCACCAGAATCGAAGGGTAGAGTCCGCACCTAGGGTGGCGAACTCGTGGACGCCTGGGCGGGAGGCCAGACCGAGAACGGTGGCATGGTGGTTGGCAGAGAAGTGGGGTCCATCAACACGAGTGACCAGTTCCCATGTGTCAGATGAGGCATCCCACTTCCAGAACTTCAAAAAGACTTCCTGGTGGGTGGCCGCAGCCTTGCGATCAAGAGCCTCCACATCCTGGGTGTGCGGAGCCCAGGTATCGACTGTCGCGAGCCACTTGGCATCATGCACGATGTCCAAGTGCTTGACATCAGGTGCAATAACATGAGTGCCTTCTGGGCCGATGTTCAATGTTGTGGCATTAGTGCGCGCAAGAGCTTGGCGAGAAATGCTCGAGTTTGCGCGGATATCATAGGTCTGGAGTACAGCCGCGTTGGCCGACTGAGAGCCATTTTGGCTTTGGGTGAATTGGTGAGAAGCTGGGACAGAGACGAACAGTCTCTCGGGTTGTTGAGGATGGATTTTTGCCACGACCGAACCAACCGAGGCCCCGGTGTCCGGAGACAATTGCAGCCCTGTGATGGAGGCAATAGGCTGCAATTCTCTTGTTGATAGGACCATGATGGAGTTGTCGGCTAGCTTAACAACGTAAGAGCTGCCGCTCGCTGAGACAACTATGTTGCAAATGGGGGAAGAAAGATGGGGGAGGAAGGATTTGCGGCCAGTGTCCAACTGCCAGAGAACCATGACCGACTCATTACCGCCAGAGATGATGTAGTTGCCTAGTGAGACCGGTGAGCACTGCCATCTTTAAGTTTTGTAGGAGTACATACCATCTTTGGACCAACGCAAAGTGTTGCAAGCTTCTCGATGCCAGTGCAGCTTCCTGGGTGCGGCCTTCTTGTCGCCGCTTTCCTTGCCAAAGAGTGTGTCCAGAATGTTTTGGTAGACCAGAATAGGGCCAGTAGTCGCTCCTACAGCTAAATCGATTGATTCCGAGCCCTTGATGTCAAAGCTAGCAGCCTGGACAGGAAGGACTACCTCGCGCCAGTTGTACTGCACATTTTGGAGATTTTCGAGCCCTGAGCCATTTGTAGTGCCCAGAAACAGGTGACTTCCATCACTTGCAAGAACCACACGGCCGTTACCGGTCACCTTGATAAAAGTGAGTCTTTGGGAAGTCTCGAGAATAGTGGTACCTTGGATCTTTTCATCGCCAAGAGGGCTGACAGAAATTTGGCGCTTTCCACCCTTGGACGAGATGATAGAGTAACATAAGGAGGATTTTTGTCCCTCCTTTCCAATGGAGGCCAAGCTCGTCGCAATGGTCTTAGATGTGGTTTCCCAGCGCGCAATCCGCTTTCCTGTGGTCCAGTTCCACTTGCTGATAGATCCCGACAATGTGAACACATAGAGGTTCTCGTGGTCCTGTGGGCAGATATTGAGTCCGACAATCGTTTGGCCAGCCTCCAGTTGGATTGTACGGGTAATGCGAGAGGTGGAAGTTGCGATTACTTGAACAGCTGTGTCGAGCCCAACCAGGAGCGATCTGTAGATAAAATGGTCAGCAGATTCTATGACTACCAGGAAAAAGGCTCCTCACGTCTCGTCCTCGGTCAAAATGGGGTCCAAGTTGGTGTAACGACCACCAATAGGGCGAGAGAAAGACCACGGCGCGGGGGCTTTTTGCTTGGCCTCAGCATCGCTTTGGATATCACCACTGGAGACCATCACGGCTTTGGATTCTTTGGTCGTTTGAGGATTCTTGCTTTCATTGGCCCCGGAAACTCGGCGCTTCTTGGATCGCTCGTCGTTTGACCGGGCAGGCTTCTCGGCCGCATCGCTGGGCCGGGACCGTTTTTGTTGGCGCGCTGACTGATTCGCCGCCATTTTGTAGAATCTTAGACTGGAGGAGTCGTGCTGTGTTGAATGACGAGTTCTGCAATTTAAACGATCATAACTCGTGCAAATCGGTGGGCAGTTGCAAAGAGTTGAATATGGGGATCTAAAAAGTCGGGAAAAAAAACTACGCATTATGTAATCAATAGATAAGAAATCCTTATCGCGATCTATAGGTAAACCTTTGGAGCGCTGCAGCATGACTTAAGACTTCATATTCATCAACCACTGAAGAAGGTAATTGAAATGGTACTCGTTATGCTCGAGCTCGCCTGCCAGAGTGCGCAGATGCCCAAGAAGTCTTATTTCATGACGAGTTGTTGACTCATTGCGCCCGGTGGCGCGCTCTTCAAAATGTAATAGTATGTCCCTGTAAATATTACATTCTGTAGAGTCAGGCAGCTGCTCTAACATATGAGCTATGTCCTGCACATTCAAGTAATACTCAAGCAAGTCTTGGAACGTTCCGGTATTTTCTTCGGACTCGAAAAGTTCCAACATTTGCCGTTGGTGCATTGGGGCCCTTTGCCCTCAGCAATGCCTCGAAATTGGCCCGTTATTCCCCGACCATCTTTCCTCTGGCCAGGAGGACAGATGCAAGGGGATTGCGTTGTATCGATGTCCGTAACAACTCTAGACATACACGCGCCTGATTGGGATTTGGATATTCCGGTCTTCCATTCGTGCTGAATGTTAGACGACGAATAAAATCCGGATGTCCCAATGAGATGTTTGTCACATCAACGCTATTTCGTGGCGAGGAAATAGCTGCCCAGATGACTAGTCGGCGAAGGTTGGAGAGCCTTGGAAGGACCTCAGAAACGGGCTTCAAGGCACTCGTGGTTGATGATATTTTGTTGGACTGGGGGAGAACCTTGGAATTTTTCGAAGCTCTCTTTTCCCTGAGGACATAACCGGAACCTTGGAACCGTTTGGCTTCCAGTTCAGGGCTGGAAATTCTCAAAAAAGTCGATGTTTTGTATGTGAGGCATCGTATGTTTTTTCTATCATCATTTCGATCACACCAGGACCTCGGGACGCGGTACCTGCTTCACCACCTGGGCAAAGACATTCAAGTCCAGCAGGAGATTATCTGGGCTCTACCGAAGCGATAGCTACCTAGTAGATTAACCTGCCTAGTACTAGGTACCTAAGTCCGAGGTCTCAATCACTTATGAAAGTATTAGAAGAATTGAGTGAGAATGCACTCAATACTTTAAAATTCCCTTCGATCTACCCCGTTCTGGATTCTTACTTCTACCTAAGGTTTCATTTGTCTCGGAAAACTTGGAAATATATATCGACGTTTTCCTCCTGGCAAGGCCCGGAGGCTACCTAGGTACCAGATATCCAAAGTTTTCAATGAGGCTTGACAAATCCCCCGGGGAAAAAGACAACCAAGCTGCCCAGATGAATTATTGGGACCAAACCAACCCTGAGGGTGAATTCCCGTCATACCGGAGGGGGAGGGGTCGACTACTACTCCGTCCACTACTGCATGCTTGAAATTGCCCTAGCTAGGTGGAGATAAACCCCGGCAACTTTCAGAGTTCCAAGTTTTATTCAAACACAGCTAATTGTAACATAGAAAAGGTAAACATGGGGGGCGGAGACACATATTCTAGGGCCGTACTGCCCACCTGGGTAGGTGTCGAGGTCTGCGACGGAACTAACGCACTGGGGCAGTGGGCGATCCCGAGGTCCCCGCAATGCATGATATGGACCAATCAAGAGCCAGGTTCTGCTGACTGACTATTATACACACGTGACCACCGACCAAGATCTTAGCGCATTCTGAAGAGAGCTCCAGATCTTGTTTCACCCACGGATGTTATATAAACATCAAAGATATTATGACAAGGATATTAAAAGATATGAACAGTCCCGAAGAGCACTGCCATTCCTTTAAATCAATGTAAGCGTGAAAAATGGTTATACCAGATCCGTAGAAGCCGATGTACACAATCAAGAGCGGTGTCCCACGGCAGAAAAGTCTGGTTCAGCATCATCCACGCGGTACATCTTTATCACTTCTTTTGTCTATCGGGTAATCAGCTACTTTGAATCGCCGACATGATTATTCCTGTTCGTTGTTTCTCTTGCGGCAAGGTGAGGAGTCAGTCTGAGTCCCTAACGTGCCCTTACTAAACTCGCGCAGGTCGTTGGTGACCTCTGGGAGCGTTACCTGCAGCTTCTGGATGAGGGCGTTCCTGATGGGTATGAAAGCCTTGATCCGCCACAATTCAGTATCGCTAATCTCACCCCCGTGTAGTGACGCTATGGACCAGCTTGGCTGCAGACGGTACTGCTGCAGACGCATGATCATGACTCACGTCGATCTGATCGAGAAATTGCTTCGGTATGTTGGAGCGGAGATTGTCCAATTGACTTCCAGAACTCAGATACTGATTCCGCCCAGCTACAACTCCGCCGAGAAGGACCGCTCCAAGGCTCAAGTCTAAGCCATTCACCATTCTCGACCAAGTCAACCTGTCACCGATGCCCAAGCGAAGCTTTTCATTCAATCTCCGTCTCACATCCTCCTACCCGTTCCTTGCTCATGTCGTGGGCTTTTCGACGGCCTCCGCCCTTCGTTGATCAGGGATCATAAGCCACAGCCCGACGAATGTATTTCTGCACGACAAGACGAAAAAGAGAAGGAGCTTTAAAGCCCAGACGTGGCAGTTGGTCTTGGCCAAACCCCACACTTGACTGTCACTTTTGGAAATCTCCGGGGGCGGAATGGAATGGCTTTTGATGCGTCAGGCGACGTAAGCTGAGATACAGGAGTTCGAGATCCCTCAGTTGGTTCTGGGATATGCATTTAGGGTGGCGTTTTACGCTACACACTGGGATATGGCGTCAAGGGCGGCATTTGCGTTTTGATACCTCATCAATGAAGTTTATCAACTTTTTGCAGTCTGTTCCAACCTTGGAAGGCCATAGCTTCGAAGGGCGTTCGTAACCAAACCTAGCGCAATACCCTGCATTCCGCACTGTGGGCGTTGCTCTATTAGAAACAGGCCATCATCAACTTCAGTAACCATCTGATCTTAATTGAATTCTGCGCGCAGACTTCACCTGGATCTGCAGCACACCCAAAGGAGGGTCGCCCCCAATTCCATGCGCTGTTGGATTGATAGATGCCGAGGCGCCTAAAGAAAAAAAGAAGAAAGGTCGGATACCCACCATATAACCGAGTTTAGGCGCCGTGATGAACATGCATCTCGAACCCCCGCGGACCACTCAGCTCGTGCGGAGCTAGACCCGACTAAACCGCTTAGGGGACGAAAGCGCTTCTGTCGTCCACAACCAATCAGAAGGGCAAATGCATTGAAAGAATACAATTACTTAACTATGGCATGGACTTTGAATCTGACAATTCTCCTCCAATTTATCCAAAATCAGGGAATTGGTCCGGTTGACTTGGGAAATTGGGTATCGGAGCCCTACCTCACCACTTGGGGACATCGCAGAGAGGTACTTTGCGTATAGTATCACGTGTAGTATACGCTAGGTATGTAAGCATAAGGTCTGGGGCTCAGCTCTCTCTTTTTCATCTTCTTTCTCTTCAACTTGAGCTCCACTCCCTACAATCTGGCCATGGCCGTGAGGTCGCCCGTGTCTGTTCTACCGTTCCGCGACTCGAGCGCGTCCTACCACTCTTTGATGCCAATGTACGTGAATTTCCATATCCCGAGGATGCGACTGACGGACAGGTCTCTAAATGGCTCAGTCCACGGGTCAGTGAATGGGTCGATCAATGCGGACAACGAGGACAAGGACAGCCCCGACTTTCCTGAGACCAACGACTCGGTCCAAGATGAAGACCACGCGGAAGAGACAGATTGCGACAGCTCTCCAATACGTGCGGGGGTACCTCCGCAGCCGGAACTCACGGTCAGCACCTTCTCGCAACATACTAGGAGAAAGTCCTGACGACCACACAGATCCAAACCGCATGCTCGACCTTGATTGGACCCAACGGACGATCGGACGACGATGAAGCGCCACAGTCTGTGATTCATGCTCCGCCTGGATTCCATGATTTTGTAAGGATTTTGCTATGCCCTGGAGATTTCGTGGTCGCTGTTGTAACTAGGCTGACAGACTATCGACTGAAAGGCGCCAATGCAGACCACCTTCGAGGGAATTGAAAACTCACAGTCGCCGCCAATTAGCCCCGAGGAGCAAACTGATTCATTGAGTCTGACAGCGCGGACTAAGAAGGTAGCTATGATACAAATTGTTGTGATGATTGTCTGTTGACGATTTCCCAAAGTTTACCAGCAGCCCAATATCACCGCCACCATTGTCAACATCTCTTAGCCTGGCCAGTGATTGTCCCGAGCGAGCAACACCGCGTGCACAAACAAGGCATGATTTCGAAGAATCCGAGCGACGCACTCGTTCAAGCAGCTTGGAAGGTATGCTTGATGCTCCATACATCATCCGCACTGCTTAGCTTTGCTAACCTCTCTTAAGATATTCCAGAAGGTATCGCAACTTAGCCCTACTTGAGCTTTTCCAACTGACCCGGTTCCAGGGCTGACTAGCAAAGAAGCCGAGATCAAGGCCCTCAGAGACGCACTTGATGAATGTTGGACACTTTGCAACACATTGGCCAATCTCAGCTACATCCACCGAGAACGTATGCTCAAATCCCACAATAATGACATGGAAGAAGACGCATGGCGGTCTTGCTGGAGACTATGCCAAAAGCTATATGATACACGCGACGATGATTATGCCACCCAAGTTCACCCTACACTAGATCTCTGCCGGGACTTCTGCCAGGCGCTATTTGAAGCTCGAACCCGCGATGCCGACGCCTCCGACTCAGTTCTACGGGTGAGCTTTGAATTGAACAACCACTTATACAACACCCATGATCGGAACCTCCCAGACGCGTTCCGCGAGAGAACATTGGATTTTTACATCACTTTATGCCACCGGCTGATGAAGCAGCGTACTCGTGTCACAGAGACGGATTCTCTGCTCAGTTCCTGCTGGACACTAGCCGAAATGCTGTTCAGTATTCGACAGAGCAAGAGAGAGGGAAAGTCGCTGGACGAGGACCTGTTGGGTTCTGCTGTCCAAGCGTGCTGGGAACTCTGCGATATTTTCCGAGAAGGATGGACACAACATAATTTACGCAATTCAGACAGAGGGACACCGCAGCCCAGTCAGACAACATTCTCACAAGCATTCTACCAAGCTTCCCAGCAGTCAGAATTAGATTTTGGCGACGACCTATTAAGTCAGCTTGGTAACCCCGAAACACCCACCACCATTTTCGAAGACACGGCCACAATCTCACCGGATGAGGGCCCAATCCCCAACATCTTCGTCCTGGGATACGACAAGAAGCACGGTACACACAATAAGTGGTCCTCCAACGCTTCTAGTATATCAGAGAAATCGCGGTCGTCAAGCCGTACAGCCTCGTCCGCCAATACCGTCACCACCATATCAGAGGATCCAAATCTCACAAGGTTGAAGATCTTGATCACAAGAGCCGCCATAAACAGCGGGTTCCAGCGAGGTGGCAACCAGAACCTCTCATCATTCGTTAAAACCCTCCCCTCAGACGCATTTGGATCTGCTCCGTGGCAAGTGGCCCTGCTGAAGAACTATAAAAAAGCGGTCTCCTTCGACCCGGCGTTCAGGAATGTCGGCTTGCAGGCTCGAGTTGGTGCTCTCGATGTCGCACACGCTTGTCAGGCTATGATACAGAATGGACAGTACTCTTGGCTTCGTGACCTCTACCGACTTGTCTTCGGGTTTCACGTGGAGGAAGCGGTGGGCCGCAAGGGAGTGGCCATTCAGACGTAGACCGTGGCTTGCGAATGGCATGACCCGCTGCCCTCGGTTTGTTTCCGATGATGCCTACGTGAGGTCGTTAATAGAACACATCGATGGTTCCGGAATTTTCAGACCCATGGCGAAGGGCAAGGTCGTCTATGTTTTCTTTCTTTGGTTTTCCCATGTACAGCGTCGGGTGCCGTTTATTTCTGTTGATTCGCACGGAGTTGAGGCTGGCGGCTGGAGTTTTGGAGCTATAGATACACATGCCATGGAAAACGGTTCCGATCCCCTGTCGATCCGCAGATCTATAGAGAACATCAGTGTAGTACTCAAATTAGTAGAGTGGCGAGAGGTTAAGCAAAGCAACGAGTCTCGGGAGATCTCGACAACCTCCAGGGCTTGGAAGAAACATCAAGGCATGTGACTGGAGACCCTGGAAACCCTGGAACTCTTTGACTCGTAGTTTGGGCCTCGGGACAATTCCATGGTTAGACTGCGTGAACCGTGGAAAAAAGACCCGAGGTTGGGCCCATGGATCTGCGTTTATAGTAACCACGCCCGATATTTGCCTTGGGACAACCTACTGCGAGCATCTACTCCTTTCTCCGTACCCCTTACACCGTACCGACATGCCAGGAATGGGGCAACTCGGCCGCCCCTAGGGCAGTCCAATCCCCATGTTTTGTGTGGGGCCTCCACACGGCCCCCAAAGTCCGTAGATTCAGTGGATAGCGCGATACGACATCACGCAGCCCCCGGATATTAGCAGCCTATGAAAGACGGAGGAAATTAACCCATTTCTCCATGTGCTGGCAATCCAAAGAAACGGAGATTGCTTAATATACCGGCGAATAGTCCGAGTGGTCCGGAACAACTTCCTCCTCCTTGGAGCCCAAAGCAACCCGGGGGCCGCAACCTTGTAGCCAACCACCGTGCAAAGGCCTTCTAATGAGGTAGGTATACCGCTACAAGGGGACTGGATATTACGCAATTTGAGGTTTGTGTGCGGTTGGGGCGATCCGATGACCGACGTTTCACAGGCATCCATGCCCAGGTGAATGCAACGTACAGTTTACATGACGTGGGTGGTGAGTGGCTCTAAGGAACACAAGTTCGAGTTTGGATCAGATGAATGCGGGAAAACCCGGGGATCTTTCTCTCCAGATGTGCTTGTTTATCATTAGTTGGGGGAATGGTCTAAAGAACCCAGAAAAGCCAGAAGACCTTTAGAAGTGTTATTGAGGATTTGCAGATCTAGGCCGATCCCCCAAGCAGTACTGCGTTTCACAGCCTTTCTAGAAGGAAGATGATGTGCATCCCGAGCCACAAAAGAAAAAAGCAATTGCCAATTTTCTTGGAAATGGCTTGTCTTTTGCCTAGTCTTGGCCGCGGGGCCCCGGCGCTTGTTGAGGCTTACTTAGTTCGACCTGGGCTGACTCGGCCTTACGCATTAGCCAATAGACAACGAAACCTGCAAGCCATTTCGTTGGCTTCCAAATGGCACACTTTCCTTACACGGATTGAGACTTGACTGATCTTTTTTCTCTGGGATTGGTCACTTTTGGAAGTGGCCCCCGGGCTACTCTACTCTTATAAAGGATGTTGTTGCTGCGTGTCTCTCTGGTTTCTCTCTCTACCATCAGGGATCTATAACTCCCTTACGGATTCTATTGAAATTGCCTAGTATTCCCACTGGTACCATCTCAGTCACCGAGTCTTCGCCATGGTTGTTCCAAAATTTGCCGGCATGTCCGGCAAAATGCTGGGGCGTGCTGTAACCACAACTGCTACAATGGGATTCTTACTTTTCGGTTATGATCGTGAGTGCAGCAAGCCTACCTAGGTACTCGAAGCCACTTACTTACTTGGCACCTGCCAGAGGGTGTTATGAGTAGTATAATTGACGCCGATCAATTCACCGATGTCCTTACTGAGTTGAAAGGCGATGCGACGCTGCAGGGTACCGTTACTGCAATCTATGAAATCGGTTCGTCATAATCTCGTTGTACATTCGATAAGGTCTAACATGACTATAGGCTGTCTCTTTGGTGCTATTTTCATGCTCATCTGGGGTGATTGGCTCGGTCGTCGCAAGGGTATCATCAGTGGCGCCACGATTATGATTCTTGGTGTGATCATCCAAGTGACTTCGTACATGGGAAAACAGCCTCTCGCACAATTTACAATCGGGCGTATTATCACTGGCGTGGGCAATGGAATGAATACTTCAACCATCCCCACCTATCAGGCCGGTATCATCTCAAGTCTGATATTGACCAAATACTATACTAACTGACAACTCAGAGTGCTCCCGAACATCTAATCGTGGTCTGTTGATCTGTATCGAGGGCGGAACTATTGCCTTTGGAACTCTAATTGCATACTGGATTGACTTTGGTGCCTCGTATGGTCCTCCTGATCTCACCTGGCGTTTCCCTATTGCTTTCCAGTGCATATTCGGTGTGTTCATCATTTTTGGTATGCTTGTTCTCCCCGAGTCTCCTCGCTGGCTTTTCACCCGTGAGCGTTATGAGGAGGGTGAACAGGTCATTGCCGCACTGATGGGTGCCGAGCCGGACTCCCACGAAGTGGTTCTTCAAAAGAACATCATCATGGATGCCATCCGTGCCTCTGGCCAGATAGCAAAGACCACCCCCATGTCGGCTGTATTCACTGGCGGTAAAACCCAACACTTCCGTCGCATGCTCCTCGGCGCCTCATCTCAACTGATGCAACAAATTGGCGGCTGCAATGCTGTCATCTACTATTTACCTATCTTATTCAAAAACTCGGTCGGACTGACAGGCAAGCTTCCTTCAATTCTTGGTGGAGTGAACATGATTGTCTACTCAATCTTTGCCACGGCTTCCTGGTTCTTGATCGAAAGGGTTGGCCGACGCAAGCTCTTCCTATATGGTACGGTCGGTCAGATGGTGTCTATGATCATCACCTTCGGCTGCTTGATTCCGGGCACACCTGGCCCTGCCAAGGGTGCTGCCTTTGGACTGTTTACCTACATCGCTAGCTTTGGTGCAACCTGGCTGCCTCTTCCTTGGTGAGTAGCTTAGCTCTAGCCCTGCACTATGTATGAAAACTTAGGGCTAACTTTCATAGGCTATACCCTGCCGAGATCAGCCCGATCAAGACTCGTGCCAAAGCCAATGCACTTTCCACCTGTTCTAACTGGCTGTTCAACTTTTTGATTGTCATGGTGACCCCAATCATGATTGACAACATCAAATGGGGAACGTATCTGTTCTTCGCGGCTATGAATGCTTGCTTCTTGCCCGTGATCTACTTTTTCTACCCTGAGACCGCACGTCGGTCTTTGGAAGAAATTGATTTGATCTTTGCTAAAGGGTTCTCGGAAAATATTAGCTATGTTCGCGCTGCCAAGGAGCTTCCTTACCTGTCGGATGAGGACGTTGAACGCTTGGCCATCCAGTATGGATTTGGTAGCCCCGACGCGACCAAGGCTGAGGAGCACAGTGATAGCACTGGCGATGCCTCACAAAAAGATCATGAGAAAGCCGACACTCGTGAACTTTCTTATCATCATGAAATTTCTTAAAGACTCTGTATTGATCAGACGCAGTTTCGCGAGGGGGCTATTCTGACCTACATAAAGCAGAACATCTTATTAGAATACTAGAAGCTATCCATGGATGGCTACCTGCCAATAACACAGTTTGGAACTGCAAGCTATCATTGTCACCAACTTCACTCACACATAGACATAGCAGAATGGCCCCGCAGTAGTACTCAGGAGATCTTCCATAGCCACTGGACCCGAGTTTGCATGTCCAATGTTGACTATAGTATCCAGAGTCGTATTAGGAGAAGGGGGCTCATTCATGAACGTACCAGTCCCCGAGATCGCGTGTTGCCGCGTCTTCAAATCAAGGCTTTGCCAAATCCACCACACACGATCTATCATCCCGTGATGGTGCCAGAATCCAGGCTCACCAGGGCTTCCATCAGCGTCACGGCCAGGATCACCACCCATAGAGTAGTGTCCCCCACCATGAACTCCTAAAGATCCACTACCAGGTAGACCCTGTAGCTCTGTTTGGAAATCCCAAACGTTGTGATTGTTTAGTATCAGATGAACAATTGATGTATAGTTGTTGAATCGCCGCAAAACCGCGGATGTTAAGTCGCGCGTCATGCATCGCGGGTTGTAATCAAGAGCATTTGACATTCCTGTGATATTACCACCAGGTTCTGACAAAAATGAAGGTCCCATGTTGACAACATAGTCAACGAATGGTCCATTTGTGACACAGCCTCCACCAGAGCCTGTAGGGAGATATGCGGGTGTATAGTTTCCCACGGGTACTTTTATATCCAGCTCTGCTGGGATCCAGGCTCCATTCCCTGATAGCGAAGTATCACTGCCATCGAAGACTTCTGAATTCTCCATGTCATCGGCGTCAGCACCCCAGTCCCAATACCTATATATCTGTTGAGTAAGATAAAAAATATGATGGATACAGGGAACTTACGGGAAGTCGCCAGTATAAGAACATTCATTATGCAGAGCAGATTCAAATTCGTGGATAAACCATCGGTGCCATCCCAGGAAAGTTCCCTGCAGCTTATCAGGATCATCCTTGGGGGTTGCATCTGGAGAGCCTGACCGTGCGGTGAATAAAGAGAGTTTGATTGATATGTGTGGCTACGAAATCATCATATCGAGTCTTTGCCCCCGCAGCCAAGTCTGAAGGTGTACGAGCTGGAAGTGCTTGCAGACAGAGCACGGATCGAATGTATGCTTTCTTTTCAGTGGCGGAGAAGGCTCTCCAATCCCGACGGACTTGTAAATCCTGGAGAGTACAGTTTCCTTTGGGGTGGCGAAGAAGATTCTTTGTTATATTTAGTGCGAATCGAGAAAGCTGGTCCAACTGGTTGGATGCGATGGCCGTTGAAAATGATGCAGACGTTGGTAGCCCAGTTTGTCCAAGGACGAGTTTCAAGGAAAGCAAAAGCATGAGAATCCTTGATATCATCATGACAAAGCCAACTGCGATGAAGGATTTATATGGGAATCCATGTCTATCTGTTGATCAGTTCTTATATAGTATGTGAGTGAGTGAACACTTGTAGAACTCATGGACGCTGTTCATGCGACATCCTAGTTCCGGAGTCCCAGGTTTTGATTCCGTGCTACGCTGATACGCGATCCGAGCTATATATTCAGGGCTCGGAAGAGGTGAGCATCGAGGACGTAAGACACATACCACACCGTAATAACATATCGAGGAACCTCGGATCAGGTTGACACCTAGAGCTTAGCCATAAGCTGACAGGAGAAGTGCCTCAGCTTTGGAAAGAGGCATGGAAAGATAAAAGACATGTTTTATTGTATGCTATTATCCGACAAAAGATATTGGAAGAGTAGTTGTCCTTTAAACCCGCGTGAAGAAATAGAGATACGCAGACTTCTTCATCGCCTCGGTATCTTCAAACTTCACAACCTTTTCATCATTGAACATCACCCATGAAAGGCCATCCTGACCCGGCAATTGCTTGCGACTCAATGCAACGTAGTGCCTAATATCAATTAGCTTGGGCTGAACAGTATACGAGCTCATTCAACTTACCCTGCGTGAACCGAAGTGCCTTTGTGGCACACGATTGAGCGCAATTCGTAGCGAGCCGGGAGATCAGTAAGCCCAGCGGTGTGACCAGATAGTGGAATCTGATCGTCAGCAGTCGGCAAGTCCTCATCATCGGGATGACTGAAAACCCAATCAACTGCCCTGTTGACATCGCCATCAGTTGCAGCCAGGGCTCGCTGAGCCCTCGGGGCCTCGATACCCATATCTCCCAACTGTGCAATTTTCACCGGATCTTGTTCTGCGACGCCCGACCCGGGACTCTTTGCTTTCAAAACAAGCGGTTCATCAATATCAGCATCTTCCATGTGGGCAAACAGCCAGTTCATGGCGGCTTCCGGATCCTCGTTGCCAGTCGCATGGAGAGCCTTCTCGCATCTAACGGCGGGGAATCCCATGGCCATGAGTTGATCGAGTGCTCCCGCATTTGGAACAAATGCTGCCGATTCCTCGACCTCTGGTAGCTCCTCCTCGCTCTGGTCGTGTTCTCCGGCGAGATAAACACTGAAATCCAATACCTTGTCATCAACCAGCACAGGGATATCAAGCTTTGTAGGGACCCAGTTAACAAGCTCGAATCGGCGAGCATTAACTACTAGCTCTTTGGGCATTGTTTTGAAAAGCGAGCGTTTCGAAAAGCCATCCTTGCCGCCACATCCGGGACACGTAAGCTCAACAACCTCCGTCGATGTAAACATGTCGAGGCACTGGGAGATGGTAATAGCCTCATATTGAGGACCTGTCTCCTCAGTGGTGGCAATCTGGCGTGCAGGAACGGCCACTGAAACGTTATCTTGCTCATCCACTCTATAGCGCACCTTCTTGCAACTCAAACATTGAAGGCGCTGCTCAACTTGGAAACGGAAGTCCTGCACAGGGTCATGCTGCCCGCTTGAGTGGTTCGATCGAGCCACCAGCTTGAAGATATGAAGAAGGAATTCGAATGCATCCTGCTGTCTCATAGTTGAAAACTCCTCGTGGCCCTGCCCAACAAGGTATTTGAACATTGCCGGCGCTAAGCCTTTCTGATGAGCAAGTTCGGGCGCGTCCACTGAGGAAGTAGAGCGAGGATCGGGTCGGGAGTATCGGCCAGAGAGAATCCCGTCTGCAAGTTTTCGCAATTGGGTTTCGAGATCCTGGGCTGGGGCCTGACTGAGTGGTGGCTCTTCAGACGGATGGTAGTATCGGTCACGGAATCCAGTGATCGAAAAGATGCTCTGCATAATACTGGATAGATAACAGCTGTTTCCAAGATTGGCCAGGCCGGTCAAATCAGGCCCAAAGATAGGAGTCAGCTCCCGACCATCCTCTGTTTTCATAGAAAATTCCCATTTGAGGTTGTGCTCAACCTGCATTTCCATCAAGCTCTTTTCAGTCTTCTCACGTCCTGCCAAATAGATTCCCCAGTGAGCAAGGTGTGCGGCCAGCTCTGGATCCACTCTTTCCTCGTTGCACTTGTAACAGTAAACATCCGCAGAGCCTTCCGCTGTGATAGAGCCGAGCTTGACAGCAACGGCATGTGAATTTGAGTCAGCATGAGTAAGACCGTGGGAGTTTCCTTGGCTCCCGCCGAATTGACTTCGCCCACAGCCTTTGTTACCACATTCCAAACAGAGCCAGAGGTTCTCGCCCAAGTCACAGTCAGCGCAATGGTTTGATTCTGGCAAGTTGTGTTAGATTTGTGTAAAGCTCAAGGAGCAAGGGTCTCGTACCGGCTGAGGCAGCTTTCAGGTTTTCTTGTTGGACCAGACAGAGTGTATGCTCACAAGGAACAAATTCTTGCTCCCAGGCTTTGACTTCCTCTTTCTTCGAGTGAGTCATTGCAGTCATTACGCCCTCGATCACCGCGGGAAGATTGCCGTCGGTCTTATTCACGTTGTCTTGGGAGCACGCATAACACACCACCGATGTAGCAACGTCATATCTATCCTCGTCTGTCTCGGCAGCAATGGCAAGCTTTGAAATCTTGGGCGGAGGCTCATCGCGCTAGAATTGGCAAGTGTTAGTTTTGAACGCCGTTTTTCGAAGCATAATCTTGAACCCTTACTTGGACTTTCTTTGGGGTTCTTTTAATATTGAGGGCCAGGGCATGACCGAACCGCTGATAGTGAAGCAAACCATGGCTTCGATCGCCTGCACATCCGCCATTGAAACATTGGAGACAAACGTTCAGTCCGGCGTCATCGTCCTTGGAAGGTCAAAGTTAGATCTGATGTGGGGTAATGCAAGAAGCGGTGGGTGGCATACGATGGAATCGAAGCACTGGGTGCAGTCTTCTCGATAAACGGCTTGAGAGGACCCTGGTGGAATCAGATCTATAAGTGGTAATGCCCATTAGCTTAGTTTATCCTCGATTTTCAGGATAGTGATGTCACAAACCCGGGGCACTGGAATGGACACACGAGGCCATATCGAGGGAGTGAGTCTCGAGTGTTCGAGGAAATACCAGACGATAGTACTTGTTGCAGCAGGTACTTCCAAGCTTCAAACAAGTAATCGAAAAGCAATGATGGAGAAATACAACAAGAAAGCTGGAAATGACCCCCCACCGCCCACACGTGCCTAATCGCGTACTGCCCGCACTCCCCGCCTCTTATCGATCGTGATGGTCATGTGACAGCGTTGTCCAATTAACGCGTCATTTTTCTCAACACGCGTCGTGAGCTTCTCATATCCCACTTTGGAGTCAACACTGAGTGCACGTCAACATATTGTGTTATCATCGTGTGCTCACAAAATTTTACAACCTAACGTCATTTTACTTCATCAAGTCATACCATCATGGCTTCGGAAGCAGCATCTCAAATCACTGTTGGTGCTCTTAGGTATGCCATCCTGCCTTGTTACCCCACAGGAAAGATCCATTCCCAATGGTCCCGGTATTAACAATGTCTTGGGTAGTGCCATATTTGACGAATCCAAACCTCAAGTGGCGGAGCCGGTCGTTCAGTGTGTTCAGATCAAGTCTTTGCCTCCCCAACCGGGACAAGGAGAACGGTACCGGGCCGTTTTCAGCGATATTGCCAACTATGTGCAAACCATGCTTGCTACACGTATGTCTATGGTGGTATCAAAACTCGCTGCTGCCCATGACTAACATTTGAGAAGAGGTCAACCCTGTTGTAGCAGACGGTTCCCTTCGAAAGGGCTCTTTTGTGCGCCTCAAGTCTTACCAGGCCAATTCCGTCAAAGGCAAGAGGTATGCGTTACGTTTCTAACTGAATTATCGGAACTCAAGCTGATCAGTCTCAGCATCCTCATTATCTTGGAGCTCGAGGTTCTCAAGGAGCTCGGAGAGGCTGAAAAAATCGGCGAACCTAAGCCACTCGAACTTAAAGTCGAGGAAGAAGAAGCCGCTCAACCCACAACAATCTCCAGCAACGGGTTCTATGGCAACAAGGTAGAGGCAGCCCCGTCTCAGCCAGCTAGACGGGCCCCGCCCCCAACAGCGCCAGCCTCTGCCCACGCCACAATTTACCCGATCGAAGCGATTTCACCCTACTCCAACAAATGGACTATGAAAGCTAGATGCACCCAGAAATCTGCGATCAAAACATGGCACAACAAGAATGGCGAGGGAAAATTATTCAGTGTGAACTTGTTGGATGATAGTGGTGAAATCCGCGCCACTGGATTCAACGATCAGTGTGATATGCTGTACGAATTGTTCCAAGAGGGAAGTGTGTATTACATCTCAAGTCCCTGTCGTGTTCAAATTGCCAAGAAGCAATTCTCAAACCTTAACAATGACTATGAGCTCACTTTTGAGAGAGACACCATCGTCGAAAAGGTCAGTTTGTGGTTCCTTTGCTCATTCCACCCCTCCAAGACTTGAATCCATGGCTCATACTCAATTGCAGGCCGAGGAACAAAATGATGTCCCTCAAATTCGATACAACTTCACCACAGTTTCCGATCTGCAGACCGTTGAAAAAGACACCACTACCGATGTCATCGGCGTCTTGAAAGAGGTTGGAGAGACATCTCAAATCACCTCTAAGAGCACTGGAAAGCCATATGACAAGCGAGAAATCACATTGGTTGATAACACCGGATACTCTGTTCGTTTGACAATCTGGGGTGCGACCGCAAACTCATTCTCCGTCGCGCCTGAGTCCGTCGTTGCATTTAAGGGAGTCAAAGTCTCCGACTTCGGTGGAAGAAGTCTGAGTCTATTGAGCTCAGGCTCCATGACCGTTGACCCTGACATCGGAGAGGCTCACAAACTCAGAGGCTGGTATGATGCCCAAGGTAGATCAGAAAACTTTGCATCCCATGCTTCCTTGTCAGGCGCAACAAACTCAGGCAAGGGCGATCGCTACAAGACCATCGCGCAGGTTCGAGAAGAACAACTCGGCATGTCCGAGAAGCCTGATTACTTCACCCTCAAGGCTACTGTGATTTACATCAAACAAGACTCCACCTGGGCGTACCCAGCCTGTCTGTCCGAAAGTTGCAACAAGAAGGTGACTGAATTAGATCCTGGCCAGTGGCGGTGCGAGATGTGTGACAAAACCCACCCCAAGCCGGAGTATCGATTCATCATGCCCCTCAGTGTTAGCGACCACACCGGTCAACTTTGGGTTAGCTGCTTTGACGACACTGGCAGGACCATCATGGGCATGACTGCCGATCAACTAATGCAACTTCGCGAGGATGACCAAGGTGCTGTTGGTGAAGCTTTCCAAGCGGCCAATTGCCAAACCTGGAGCTTCAGATGTCGTGCTAGGATGGACAACTTCGGTGACCAACAACGGTAAGAATCCCCGCTGTCCAACACGATGAATCCATACTAACTCCCAAACAGTGTTCGTTATCAGGTGATGGGTTGCTCGCCCATCAATTACTCGGAGGAAGCTAATCGCCTGTCCGCCTTGATCAGCGCTTACAAACTCGAGTAAGCTCCCGAGGTCGGTATGAACAAAACCATGGCATCCAATGCTTGAGTTACTTTCTCATTGTCATCCTTGTTCTTGATACCACTTGATGATCTCATAATTGTAGTATCATATTTCTAGTTAGTTTGAGAAGCAACTAGTAATCTTGAAATGATCCTTTTATCGAAATCTGGGGTGAAAGCTACTGATTAGGCTATATTCCAGCTCTTCATTAGAATTTGTTAGTCCAAGACTCATAATCTGAACGATTCTCAGTCCAACGATCTAGTCGATGCCACGTCAGAAACACCGGATACATCGCCTTTGGAATGAAATATTGTATTATAGCACAGCCTGTTGTTCTTCCGGTGATGTGCTGGTTTTCCCGTTTTCAGCAATCCCTACATTGCTGTCCGTTGTCAACTACCTGTCATAGCCTTCCTGTATGATGATGCTTCCTGACCCGGCCTGGATAAGAATCCTAGACTTCCTCTCGATCAATGTCTATACAGACTCTACATGCAAATGCTCGCTTTCGCTCATTTACATCAAGGTGGTAGAGCTGACGAGCTTGAGAAAATCAAGCGGGTTTGGCCTCTCCAATATCATGTGGAGTTCTTTTGATACTAGGTAGACATTTTGTTGTCATTTTATGTTTTGTGCGGGCCATAACTAAGTATCTATTGCCGGCGCTTGCCCAGGTGACGTTCGTCCCTTACAAATGCTATACCTAGGTTTGATACGAAAATCCTTTTTCAGTGAAACAGGCAAAGGCAATTTCTTTCACTAGCACTAGTAGTAGTAGTAGCCCTGGAGTGAGTTCTCAGGATATACTTGGGTTTCCACAAATATGATAGGTTGGAAGGGGTACTCCATACAGTGGCCCACAGTGCCTCAAGGCGGTGTGGTACTCGGAGGCGGGATTCAGTGGCACTATCATTGCAAACCATGCAAACAAAAGTGGATCTGCCGCAACGGACCCCGGTCCGCCTCTTTTTTTTTTTTTTTTTTTTTTTTTTTTTTTTTTTTTTTTTTTTTTTTTTTTTTTTTTTTTTTTTTAATCTCCTTTATTTTTTAAATGTATTCCCCATTCTTCCCTCCAACTTCCTCCATATACTCCATTTTCCCTAAT